CAAAATGTCTCAAGCCACAACGTCCAGTTCAGGGGCTCCCTAGTAGAGTGATAACCCAGTCCGTATTGGTTTTAGACTTTCCAGCTAACCGAATATCGCACGTCATGCCCGCCCAGAGACACCGCCCCCAGTGCGACCCCTCGAAGAACAAACTCCACAGGTTCGTCTCCCTCCGCTCGGGTCGTCCCCGTCCCGAAGGGAGCCCCGAAGGGAGGGACCAGTCGACCAGTCCGTGACCCCGTCCGCTCGTAGCATGTCGAACCAGCGCTTCTCCCTAGGTGTGATTCCTCAAGAGTCTCAATTATCCGATATCCGGACTCAAGCACGGTTAACAACCATTTGTCTGGCCCCGAGTCCAGCCAGCGCAGTCAGTCTCAACGGCACAATGGCGCCAAGCATCGCGCGCCTCTCAATCTTCATCTTCGGCCTCTCGTCCTTCGCAGCGGGAGTTCACTCCCTCCTCCGTCCCCACGACTCCCTCAAGGCGCTAGACCTACCCGCCGTCGCTCTTCCCGCAGCCAACGGCAACGCTCTGGCCGCTATCGCGATGGGCATCTACTACACCCTCGCAGCCGCCCAAGACAACCGCGCCTTCTTCCTCGCCACCATACCGATGCGCCTGACGACCGCCGTGATGTTCTGGCGACAGGACTGGGGTATCGTTGCCGGCTGGGAGGGCGGAAGCGCGGCCTTGACGTTGCTGGCCTTGGCTTGGGATGCTCGGCAACGACCCAAGACTCACGAGGCCTGAGGGGCTGGGCAGTTTGTGACCTGACAAGTTGCGGAACATGCCGGGAGATCTCGTCTCTGTTCTAGATCTGAATTGATGTGCACTTTGACTGAGATGATGTCTTTCGATGTGAGATTTTAATCTCAGGTTCCCATTCACGGCCAGTCGGCGAGAAGAGCAGCCTGACCTATGCAGCATAGCCGCGGGGGAGGAAAGATCATCACTCGAGACCAATGGCAGACCGAGGAGCAAAGACATGAGGCGAACCGGTCTTACATCCTGACCCAGTCGTTTTTTCAAGGCTTCACGAGGGCCATCAACAAAATTTCAAATAGTAACCACTCGTACATGTTATCGTCTGACTATGAGATGCCACCCTCATTCCACTTCACAAGGCGGCGCGACGTGAATTTGCCAATATTTCGCCGTCTCCTTGGAGATTCTCGCCCTCTCTTCGTCAGTCATCGTGTCCTTCCCATACTCCTTATGCGTCACCCCTTCCGCCAAGACGCCGTCTCTCGTGCCGTTCTTCAAAAATGTCATAAACTTCATAGTCACCCTAACATACTCCTGCAACCCTTGCCGCGCATCAATCGTAGCACCCGTGGTCCAACGAAGCAGGAAAGGCTCAATGAGTGGCGCATCGGTCACGCTGGGATGACTCGTCTTCAGACTAGTCAGGAACCAGCTTGAGCCCACGCGCTTGAGTATATCTCTCACAATGTCCCTGACCGTGTCAAAGTGCGGCCGGCCGAAGAATGGTTTGCTCTTCTTAGACCAGGAGTCGGAGTGGACGAGGAGGACCGGCACGTCGATATCGGTGTTGAGCCGGCCGCTGCTCTTCCCTGGGTCGAGAGCGATACCTCCCACGGCCGGGTTCTCGGTTGATGTGGCACCTTTGAGAGCCTGGAGTGCGCCCGTTGCGCCAAAGGAATGGCCTGCGATGGCTGTCTGGGAGAAGTCGAGTCTGCCTTGCCAGTCCTCCAGGCCGTGGCCTTCTTTGCGGGCATTGTCTGTGAAAACCATCGATCCCTTCCCGGCGTGTAGCGACTCCAATACCGCGATCGTCTCTTCAATCTCAGCCTGCCGGAAGGCCAGCTGTTTGAACTTCAGGTCATCAGACTCCATCTTCTTGCCGTCCCTCAGTTCGTTCTTGTTAAGGTACATGACCTTGCGTTTCTTGCCGTCTTTAGCTGTAACAACCGAACCGGGTCCGCTACCGTCGCGATGCTCGATGGCAGCGACGACGATTCCGCGACTCGCGAGTTCGCCGCAGTAGTGCGTATAATCCGTCCGAGAACTGGCCAGGCCGTGAGATAACACCACGACGGGGAGCTTCTCATCCCCCTTCCTGCTTGTCGGGGGAATAAGTGGTACATCAACCTGGGCGGAAATCCTAATGCTTCCCACCAGAGCCCACAGTGCGAACGTAAATGCTGGCCGTGAGATGAAGTTGTTGAAGTGAGCAGCCTTCGCATAGCCCTCTGCTGTGAGGCTGATGGGCTTGGGGACCCAGTAGTGATGACTTATTCCCTTTACACCCTTCTCGGCTGGATAATACAGGGTGAAGAGCACTGTCTCTGGGTTGAACGCTGGTTTGCCGTTACTGGCGAGAACTGAGTCGCTTGTATTGCGAGGGGTACGGATGGGGATCTCGATGTCTATTGCCCCGACTTCAAAGGGGCCCGAGTAGCTGGGTAACCTGGAGGCAAGAAGAGGCGACTGGATGAGGATGTAATAGAGGACATACAACCCAATGAGACTCCATAGCAGGTATCCTCCTGTTAGTCGGGGGCGTAGGGTCGTGAGGATCCTCTGCGACATGGAGCGACTCCATGGTTGCGCGGTCCTCATCCATTTTGGTGTATTTTCCATGATGCCTTCAGGATACACTCTTCCCCCCGTGGATCGTCTGATGGTGTTGTCGTTCTCGTCGAGCAATGGAAGCGGAGAGTCCGGATCCTCGAAACCTGGGGCTTCGGCTAAAGCATCGAGTTCCACGTCAATGTCTCTGTAAGCGTGTGACTGACGTGACGCCATAACTTGAGGAGAGATCTCATAGATTGGGCTAAGAGGATGAATCAATGTTACCCTTCAACGTGTAGTGAAGTGGATGAGATGAGGTTGGCGGGGGCCGGAATCTGCGGCGGGATGTTCGGCAGTGGCGTTACGTCATTATCCTTGGTGTTCGGACGCCTCAAGATGACAGCAGTCCTGCGCGGATACCCGAGAAGATACTTGTGACACTTATCCTGCTGGAAATTCATTAGTTCAGTAATTTGATGATCAGAGCTTTGTGTTAATAAGAAAGACAGCGCAATTGGTGCCTAGTAATGGAGAGGTGTGGCTGGTCTGCTACACAGACCTAGGCCTCTCAGTATAATCTAACAAAAGACTGGAACAAAATAGCTACAATGAAGGTATCATTGTGTGCTCTCCTGAGTTGCCATAGGCTGATAGTCAAGCAATCTAACTCGTCCAAGTTGCTCCCCTTCGCCTCGCGGTGTGCGGCATGTTCCGTCTGCAATTATGTCCAGGCGAGCATTCGACTGGCCGTGAGCAGGATTTTTGATAGAAATGATGTCGATGCGAGAGAGCCATAGCTGATTCATTCTCTTGAGTCTTCGGCTACTCTACAGAAGAACGAAGGCTAAAGCCTCGGCTCCCCTGGATATGCTGCCAGTATCGGCCAACGCCAAAGGAGTGGACTCCTCGCAACACTCTAATAAGGTTCATCGACTCTGTCACAGTTGAGGCTTAGTGAATGACATGGTGGAGTTAAACGTGCTTTGCTTCAGTTCACCGGAGAATAGCGGATAGTTTCATAGCAGGCCTTATCTGATGGTGGAGTCCGGGAAGAAACGCCATGACCGAAGGCTTCCCTCTGATTTGTCTTGGCCGCCGAGGCGCCTCCTGAAAAAGCCTGCCTGTCAAAGCTCCGATGGAACAAGGGAGATACCCACTTCATTCAAGGGAATATGAATGCAAATCTTTTCGTATGCCTCCTTTCATATTGGTCCGGAATGCCGAGGCCTAATGAGATGTTTGCCGAGAAACAAGGTCCGCAGCAATGGCCTTGACTGCCACTCCGTGAGATAGGAGCCAACTGCTTATTCTAGGTATCAGTCTGGAAAGAAGTGAAGGAAAAGACTTCTTTGAGTAGCAAGTTGATTTTCTAAAGCATCACTGTGCTCTTAGACCTGTTAGAGAAGTTTATTTCATTAGATGAAAGGGTGTTTTTGAACTGGAATGGTTGACAACATGTAGATCCTGGCAACTCCTCGTACACACGCAAAAGCAATTTTGTGTCATCGGTTGCTTGTAGAACTAGCTCACTCCTGGATAGTGCCGTTTCCGCATTTGATAGTGAGGCTTAGAGGCGGCTATGTTGATAACGATGTCCTAGACACAACGGCTGACTGCATCGCAAATCTCGCGACAGCACCCAAGAGAGGTAAGCCCCTCACAGGCAGTCCTTCGAGATGGATCAACTATCCACAGACCGGGGCACGAGTTGAAAGTCGTTGCGCAAATCTTTTCCCGGTCGATCGGTTGATCAGTTATCATATCAACTAGGCAACGTCTGCGGTCGGCCTTGGGGGTACTCAATACCATGCGGCCAACTAAGGACAGTAGCACGCTCGAACTTGCTTAGTGTATCCGGCAACTTCGCCACTCTTGACAACAAAAGTCTATCTAGGAATTACAATGAAATACCAGGGGCTATGAAGAGTGGTTGCTAGATATTCTTTTACTCAAATAGCTGGGATGAACACCATGTATGCTGCCGCGTAGCCGCGTAGAATACAGATTCCAACCAATCGCATCTGTCTTTACAGAGCCTCGAACGGATTCCGGGATGAAGGATTTGGAACTGCCCCGGTGTCGTTCGTTCTCCTAAAGCCCTCAATCAAATAACCCATGACGTGCATCATAAACGCGCCGACCAGTCGCATCTCTCAGTCTTTGCTCCATTGTTCACAGCAGCCCCCCCCTGCGAAGACCCGCGTCCTACCGTACCTACCTTGCCCCAGATCACCTACCATGGAGCCGATCATCCGCAATTCGTTTTGTAGCCTTTTAACAACTACAGACTTCTCCCACCGCCAATCGAATCGAGAGTCTCAAAGTGCGAGTTCTGGCTCATGATTGGTGGGTTAAGGTGAAACACACCATGCTGAGACCATGTGGTCCACCACTCAACGTTGAACCGGCCGAGAACCCGATAGCTTGTTTGGGGATTCGCTTTTGATTCCATCTTGGGATGGTCCAGCAACCCCAGTCTGGCCCCGCCAGGTCGGAGGCGACTCTTGATGGGGGATCCTCGCGAGGTCAACGTTCTTCAGCCAACTCGGCTGTCTTCCTTACCAAGCTCCTTGCGTTCTCTGTCGCAAATGAGCTGAAGTTGGGCCAAAGCAGCCTCGGCTGATTCGATTGCCGCGATGGACGGAAAACGGTGATTGATATTGACTCAGCTGTTGGACTGACGGCTGCCATCGCAACTCACGTATAAGTAGCGCAGCGTCCCTCGTCCCATCTTGGCTTTATGTTAACGAATCTTCACAGTAATTCGACGCCAACGTAGCATCTGCCCAACGAACAAGCTTTCCTGCCAAAATCACTAGTGCAGAGCGCTTGTTTTCAATTCAGCAAACATGGTCTATTCACCCGTCGTCGCACTAGGTTTTCTGGGCGCCCTGCAGGGCAGGAGCGAGGTCTATTCCCGACAGACGAACGCGACGGGCTGTGCGACGGGCGTGCATATGATTGTGGCCCGGGCCAGCACTGAGCAACCGGGCACGGGAGTCATTGGCGCGATCGCGAACAACATCCAGTCGCAGGTACCGGGATCCGATATCGTCCCGGTCGATTATCCTGCGCTGCTGAATCCCTATCAGCCGTCGCAGAAGGCTGGTGTCACGGCGATGACCAAGCTGGTTCAGGACTACGCGAAGGCATGCCCCCAGACGAAGATGGTTCTCATGGGATACTCGCAAGTTAGTGATCATTCATTGTTGCCATCACGAGACAGGAAGACTGACGGACAGCAAAGGGTGCTCACGTCACTGCCGATGTTCTTTGCGGCACAAGCGAGACTGGGTTTGAGGCAACAGAGCCCCAGGCCACTGACATTACGGACAAGAGTATGTTTTTGAGTGATACCGAGAAGTCTCTGCAGGTCATTGACACGAATGTAGTTGCCGCCGTCGTCCTCATGGGCGACCCAAGCCACGTGACCGGGCAGCCCTTCGACCAAGGAACCAGCCAGAAAGACGGTGTAAGCAAGACCAAGCAAGAATCCGAGTGTCTGGTCAAGAGCGGTTTTGCTGACCAATTCTCCTTCTAGATCTTTCCAAGAACGAAGATGGCCGGGTGCGACGCCGTCTCGAGCAAGATGGCTTCCTTCTGCAACAGCGGCGACCCATTCTGCGACAGTGGTGCCGACATCCAGGTTCATCTGAGCTACGTCCAGTCGGACGGGGACGCAGCCACAAAGTTCATCATGTCCAAGGTCGGCGGCGGCGCTGCGGCATGACTGGGGGAAAGCACGGCTGCGAGCCAGTCTGCCAGCCTGGTCTTCGTACTGTACATGACTCTGCTGGCACAGATTGTTGGTTTCTTGATCTGAAGAAGGAGGGCTTTGATATGATTGCTTCGTGGGCTAGGCAACGGTAGATACCGGGGTTTCCTGATACATAAGTTTGGATTAGTTGAAGCATAGTTAGCGTACAAGAACATGTTCACTACTTTTTTTTAATGATGACGGGACCTTCATTACTTTAGAATGTTGTCCTGTTTAAAGTCCAGCCATGGCTATGCACATGGCATCGCTTCGGAGATGAGTGTTCTCGTTCCTTTGGGCAAAGTTAGCCGCCCATTGTAGCCATCAGCTGACCACTGTGACACATTTTCTGCATCAAGCTTTTCAATGGAGGCTGGAAAGTGACCTCAGTGTCCGGGGGAAGGCATAGCGAAGGCTCGTGTGGGACTGCTAGATACACGTATGACTCAAGAAGGGGCAGCGAGGCTTGATCAAACCTTTTGACGGTGGCAGAAAGTCCCTTCTAGCTTGCCGGAAATGCCACGATTGACTATTGAGTACATCACGTCCTGAGACGAGACTTGGTGTGCTGTTGGTTCGGAAACCTAAATGGGTATGTAGTGGCCGACTCTATGAACTACCCCGTCGTCTGTGGAAATGGCCTTACTTACTTTTGTTGCCAAGGGATGTCGGCGAGGATGAAGATACGGCTCTGGTCTTCGCAAATCGTCTTGGTGGTAATCTCCAATTCGCGTGCAAGAATGGGAGACTTGGAACAAATCCATTGAACCAACTGTGAAATGATATAAGAGGAGAAATTCAGAGAATTAGTTGGAACATAATTTCATCCTTCACCTTCGTTGTCTCCTCCGTGATTATTTCTGTAAGAATACACCATAAAGAATCGGCATTATCCAGTGTGCGACACTAGTGTGTAGAGTGTACTTGATTCTTATAATAGACGAGCCGTTGCATAAGGCCGATTCCCTAAGATCTTATCTCCTCCTTCTCACGCATGCCCTCTACTAGTAAGAGAAAGGCCAGACTAGTCTAATCTGCCTTTACTTCTTCTTAAACTCACAGCTCTCTCCAACCTACTCAGAATTAGAAGGGGCAGTTTGGAAAGTCGTGTGTAGGAGCGTTAACTTGGTTTAAATGATATGGGCGAGGAGGTGGAGGCCCCTCGAGTCCCTAATCCTAATGAGTAGTCGAGTGGTGCATCTTGAAAACAGGATTGGCCGTATAGGTACCGTTACAATAATAATATAAGTACTAACTAACATTAATAACTTTAGCGACTGGTCGCTTTGGTTATCTTCTCCGTGACTATACTAAGAGGGATATATTGTGAAGGAACGGCGATACTCGATGAAAGACGCCAGTAGGGTGAGCCCGCTTGACTGGCCAAGCAAGTCGTTGCACTGTTCTCCCCAGAGGTCAACTTAGCATTTACAATGTCCCCCTATTCTTCTACTTCCTTGTCCGATGCAATAGATGTGGACTGTAGTCGCAAAAGAACGACGCTGTCAGCTTCGGGTAGAAAGAGTCAATTTATACTACCAATTCTCCAACAGACGTTCCAAGCAGCCGGGGATATTCGAATCGCTTTTAGCGGAATGGCCCGACGGGTACTGCCGAAATGGTCATGCAGATATCAAAGGTACCCCACAACCTTGACGACAGCCATGCCACCATCTTCGTAGTCTCTTGCTGCAAATATCGTGTGAGTCTTGCCGGTGATGTTGGGCGTTTCATGACTGAATCAGCTAACGTAAGTTGCAGCGAAAATTGAAGTCGCTGGTGTCAGAGAGCGAAGAGATGATGACTTTGACTCAATGCTGGACTTCTTTCGCACCTGGACTTGGTACTTGCCGCTCGAATTTGCCAGTCTCCCACTTTGTGGCCTATCGAGCCATCTATTGATGTCTTATGCCGTCTATGTTGCCGTCATGTCACTCTTTGGTGCCCGGTACGACTTTGCCGGGCCATATATCTTACCGACTCTCGCTCTTATACTTCTCTCAAATTCTAGTCCGGCTTGAACCCTCGACGCCCATCGGCGTTTGGCGTCGTGATAACTTGCTCATGGAGTCCACTCAGTATCAAACCATTTCGAATCGAAGTCGCAAAGGAGATACCACGTTATATTATACATGGAGACCTCTACGGCATCGTTTTCAGAGGGATATATAAACAGGTACTTTTTCCCCTTCCCTCCTGATTCCTTTCTCATTCTACATCCCACTTTCAATCGTCTACACGCAAGAGTAAGTCTACCAACTGTAAGTTTTTCATTCAGTCAGTTCGCAAGAAACCAAAAACAACATCACCATGTCTTCCTCTACATCCTCTTACCCCGCTGCGATGGACGTGGATACTCCTCCCACCTCCTCCTTCGGTTCTTCTTCTTCTTTTCTCCCCCAAGGCAGTCCCGCCATCCCTGCCTTTGGTGCTCCTTCTTTCTTCCCCTCCCAAGTCAGGCACACCCCCCCTGTCTTTGGAGCTCCCTCCTCTCTCTCCTCTCCTCTTTCTTCTACCTACTCGGTTGGAATGAAGGTGGCCAGACACACCACCTCCATTCCGACTGAGGATGATCTCATTTCCTCTTTTTCTTCTTTCAACGTTGGGGCTCCGGCTACACCCCTTCCTCGTGCTCTCAGACGTGGAAAGCAGGAGCCTCCTCGTCTCTCCCCTCTTTCTCTTATGGCTGCTCGAGTCGCTTGGGCTAAGTGCAGGAAGAGCAAGTGCTCTCCTTCTGGCAATCCCTTCCGCCAGAATCACGCATTCTACCGCAAGTACTCTCACATCTCTTTCTCCCCCTCCCGCAAGAGCCACTCTGAGAGGAGCGATACCCCCCGTGGCACCTCTTCTCCCCGCGCCCCTGCTGATCCCCTTGGACCCAAGTCTGAGGGAGTAAGCAAGCGTCGTGGTCCCGCCAAGGGTCAGGGCAGAGCTCAGGTGAAGCAGCAACAGTATCAGGGCAATCGTCAGCCTCCCCGCGGTCCCCGGAACTCTTCCCCTGGTCAGCCTCGGTCTTACCCCCAGCCTGCTCGAGGTCACACTCGCGGGCCTAGACCGAATCGCTATCAGGGTCCGGGGACTGCTCGGAATGGTCAGAATCCCTTTACGCCTGCTGTGAATCCTTTCTCTCAACCCTTACCCAAGGCTTCCGCTCCCGCTCCTCCTTCTCAGCCACGCAATCGCAACTCTCGGGGTGGTTACCGCGGTCGTTACCGTGGCTCTCACCGCAACCCCATCTCTCTCTAGAGTACTTGCTTCCTCTTTTTCTCTCCCCCTCTCTTTGCGTTTGTTTCTTCCTGCACAAAAGCCCAAAAAAACTTGAAAAGCCTTAAGAGAAAAAAAAATCCGCGTTTCCTTTGTCTTTGGTTTTGAGATCATCATTCTTCCGCTTTCTTATGTCTTCCGCTTCCGTTTGCTTTTGTTTCTATTTCTCTCTCTCTCTCTCTCCCCTCTCTTCTCTCCGCCGTTGTTTTTGGTTTCTGCGAATCTGGTGGACTTTTATCGCTTGCATGTAGGCGATTACTGCTAACCTCCCCGGCCCCGGCGAGCCACCATCGGGAAATCGCCTTTCTCCCCTCCCCTTGCCTCCGAGGCCCCAGCGAGCCACCTTCGGGAAATCGCTCCTCTCCCCTTCCTCAGCCTCCAAGGCCCCGGCGAGCCATCTTCGGAAAATCACCTTTCTCCCCACCCTCCTTTTCCTCCCAGGCCCCAGCGAGCCGCCATCGTGAAATCGCTCCTCTCCCCACCCTCTTTTCTCTCCAAGGCCCCAGTGAGCCACCATTGCGAAATCACTCTTCTCCCCACCCTCTTTTTCCTCCAAGGCCCCAGCGAGCCACCATCGTGAAATCGCTCCTCTCCCCACCCTCTTTTCTCTCCCCGGTCCCGACGAACCACCCTCGTGAAATCGTCTTCCTCCCCACCTTCTTTTTCCTCCGAGGCCCCAGTGAGCCACCATCGTGAAATCACTTTCCTCCCCACCTTCTTCTCCTTGGCCCCGGTGAGCCTATCACTACTCCTTTGGGCAATAAAGTCGGACTCCAAACCTCCCCGTGGTATTGCCTGGGAACTTCCTCTCCTTCGTTGGATTGGATGCTAAGTCCTTCTGGACTGGAGACGCAAACAATAGTAAGATTCATCTCTGTTTTGGTATTGCTAATTTTATATAGTCTATTCCCTTGTTGGGCATGATTTGCTCGCTAAGCAGGGAGTGACCAAGGTAGGTGCTGTGTCCTCATTTCTCTTTTCAAGGCTCATCTGAATCGACTCACTAATACATGAATAATATCACTGGTTTCTAGTATTTGCATCAGCGTCCTTCTCATCATTTACAGCCTCTCTGGTTTGTTGTCTCCCTTACATATCTACACAAATCATGAGCATCTCCTTCTCGCTCAACTCACATCCAACACTGTCAGTCTAGTAAGTAAGTTGACATCTTATGCTCTCAACAAGAGATGATATGAGGTCGTACTCTTATGGTACCAGAGGTGAGTTTGGACTGAAATCAAGAAGGCAGAGAGAAGCTGACAGGCTCATGTTCAGAATGAAGTCAAAGTTGGAGTCGCGCGTCGCGTGTCGCGAACGTTTGAAGATGAGGGGGTGGCACCCCGTGTGGCCTGTGCACCTACCGGGCTGCCGCAAGCCCTTTTCCACCGTTCGGCCTAGCCTTGCCTGTGAGATTTTCACATTCCCTTCATGCTCCATACTCAACAGCAATGAACTGAAAATTTCCAGGAGAAATGATCAGAAAGGTCTACATGTTCCGAAATTGGACAAGCAGATTTTCGGGGAGGTTTATGAGCCTAGCAGCCGTCAAGCTGCCGGGTTGACTCGGGCCGGGCGTGGGTGGGGCCGGCCAGTCCGACCTGTCCGTCGAGGCCCGGTTTCCGGCGTTCGCTCAGGGGGGCAGGCTAAATGAAGGTAAGGCTTAATCCAAATTGATAGGAAATCATTTCAACTTTCAAAGTTCAAATAGCTCAATTTGTACACAATTAACCAAGAAGTCAAGCGAGTCCAAAGTCTTAATCAAGGATGCGACTAACGCTTCATTGTTCTAGAATCTGCTCTTTGCAATCATACTGCCCAGAGCTACTGCACCGCCTTGGCATGACAATGCCCCGTGGGTAGGGGCTAGCTCAACGCATTTCATGCGGCCACTTCTTCCACAGTTTTGTTCAGTGATCGAGCCGGCGGGCAAAGTCTATTCTGGTGAACCTTTCAGTTTTGTAGGCTCAGGACAATTGTCTGCGGCAGGCGGCCGATCATTCATATGGGGAGATTGCTACTGACATCTGGTCTAATACAGTTTCCCCTAGCACACTATGATTGATGAGGCAGACTCAGACATCGTGAGGAGCATCTTGGGGTCTAACACAGAGTGCTGAGCTGCAATATTCAATCTAGGCGATTTCACCCTGCCTCTCGATGGAAACGTCCACTACGCCAGCAATCAGTCTACATCAAGTCAAACGTCCTTCATCAACCTTGCACACTAGACTAGGCCCAGAATGCTGTCTCAAAAGTTCTTTCGCGGCCTTTGCGCCCTCTTCATCATCCTTCTCGGAGCCAACTTCGCTTCGGCCTCCCCAGTCGCAGTCAACGCGGACCTAGCCGTCCGCACCCCGGCCGAAGACACCTCCGTCGCCGCCCGCGCCTCAGGCGGCGGCTGGTGCTGGCCCTTCTGCAACCCTTTCAGCCGGGGCGTCCCCAACGCCCCGAGCCGCTACATCTTCCGCCCTCCCGCGTCGACGGCCCGCCCTCAATATTTCGACACCCCGGACAACCAGGTGACTCTCCGCGCCGAGACGCAGGCATCGGGCGCCGTGGTGGTGACCGTCTCGGTGGGCACACGGTACACGCTCCCGGCGGGCGCTGAGATCAACGTGCGGCTCCTGGTGCGGCGCACAAATATCGATTTCAACCACGCGGATCTGTCCGTTGGGAGTGAGACGGCGGTTGTGAGGATCACGCCTGAGCAGGCTGCTGGTTTTAGGACTGGGGAGAGGAGTGAGGATGGGTCTTTTGCGATTACGCTTCTGTATAAGTTGGGGCAGGAACTGTGAGGGGATGATGGATTCCCGTCTGCTGTCTGAGTCTGAGACTTCCCCGTCCGAAGTGCTCTCAGTGCGGATTTAGATCTTGGTACAGACTTGACATGCTGAAATGCTGCATACTTGTCATACCTGGTCGATGACCTTCATGGAAAACGTGATAAAATTCTATCGAATGGCTTACATGAATTAATAGATCTCATAAAGAATGAAATTGACTTATTTTGTAAAATAACTGACGTGAAAGAACCCGAAAGACATCACGACGTAGCCTGACAGGCCTGAAGCTACGTTGGAAGCCAGATGCCTTACCCAAGTACCCCGGTCGAGTGCTCAGCAACTGCTGGCCCTGTAGCCCGCTGAAGGCACCTCATGGTTCTTGAAGCAACACAACTTGAACATGGAATGATGTGATGCTCATGTTGCGACCCCGGCAAACCCATCGAATCGCCACAAACACGCACAAAGTCAGTACATAGGCTGCTCATGGAGATGCATTTCGTGTCCCAGGGTAGAGAGTGTATGAGCCGTCGCTGATCTGCCTGCCACCAGGAAATGCCCGGCCCTCTGCAGGTAAGCGGACGTCTTCTACCATCTCTAGTGACAAGCTGGTGTCGAAGATAAGCTTGCGTTATCCACCAATCCCGGCTTCTCGATGAGCGGGACGTGCATACGGCTGCATTTCACTCTCTGTTATCTTATCTCAACTACCGGGGGCATGAGTGAGATGTAGAGACGACGAGGTTCATTGGAGACATCGTCGAGGTTGCTCGTTACTTCAACGTGATTATCGCTATCATTTGTTTCGGAGCCTATAGGTCACTGACCGACATACCCCCTCACTCTGATCGGATGTTCAGCCTCTAGCACCTACTGAGATTGTCTAGTGAAAACAAGCCGATCCAAACGCCATGGCAGAAAAGACGAAGTACGTCGATCGGGTGATTCCCGAGGTATGGCCCGGTCCCTTCCTCTCGGATTTCTAGTCTAATGAGAAAACTGACTGGCTTTCAAACACCAGATCTCCCTCCGTGATTTCGAGACTCGCATCGACGAAATCACCTCCCAGATATGTGATGCAGCCGAGAACGTTGGCTTCTTCTCCATCAAGGACCACGGTCTCAGCCAATCCGAAGTAGACGAGATGTTCTCCGTGTCCGAGTCCTTCTTCGCTCTACCAGATGAAGCCAAAGAAACCGTGCCATGGAGCCCCAAGAACGTCGGCTGGGAGAAGCTATCACAGATCAGACCGTCTACGGGTGCAGCCGACCAAAAGGAGTCGTATCAACTCCAGTTCGGGGAGAACATGACCGGCGTCTGGGCCAGTGATGACATTCTTCCCGGCTTCAAGGAAAAGTCGTTGGCCTTTATGCATCGCGTGCAAGCCATATCGGAAAGGCTGATGCTGTGCCTAGCCCGGGGCCTCGGCTTTCAGGATAATTACTTTATCAAGTACCACGATGCTGCTCACCCCGGCGCGCAGTCGGTGCTCCGGCTTCTGCACTACTTCGAAACTCCGCGCGTCGATGATGGGAAGATATATCATCGAGCAGGCGCCCACGCCGACTGGGGATTCCTCACGCTATTATTCCAGCGAGAGGGACAGTCAGGGCTCGAAATCTGCCCTGGTCGTGAGGCTGTCAGCGAGCACGCCCTCGGAGACGAATGGACAAAGGTCGAGATCAAGCCTGGAGTCATCATCTGTAACATTGGTGACTTGCTGATGAGTTGGAGCGACGACCGATTCAAGAGTACTTATCATCGGGTCAAGGCGCCGTGTGAAGAGGGTGACTACTACGGGGAGAGATATAGTATGGCTTTCTTCAATCAGCCGTGCAAGGAGGCTCTCATCCAGGGTCCGTTGAAGAAGTATCCGATGGTTACTGGGGAGGAGTTCAATCGCAATGCGATGAATAGGATGTATGCGGCTTTGCAAGCGAAGATGGCTGGGAATGAGGTCAAGGCTTGAATGGTGGAGAGTGAGACTGGCAAAGGAAAGAGTCAGAAAGGAGTGAATCATTGCGTTTGTCCCAGCAAGAAGATTGGACCTACTAGCTATCATCTACTCTAACCCTTCGTGTCAATTCCAGACAAAGGCAAAGTCTCTCTCGCTCATGGAAACCTCCTTCCATCCAGACAACGAGACGTCCTTCCAACCTAAGGAGTCGCAGCTGATGGTTCCCTTGAAAGAGCGGCAGTCGTTCCCCGAAAACACAATGTAGCCTCTGCCAGTCTCCCGCCTAGTAGTCAGCGACGTCTGGTCGTCTAGGGAGGACGTTGCGGTGGAGGTGACGTCTCCGTTCCATTGGAACCAGAGTTTGGGAGATCGGAAGCTGTTCTTCTCAAAGTTCTTGAACCGTCTGTGCTCTTCTGCCTCGCTTTCTTCCTCTTCCTCTGATTCTTCGTCGACGTCGTCCTCCTCGTGGGTGTCGTCTGCTCTCTTCTCATCCTCGCAGGTCTTGTGCTTCGATCCTGAGCCTCCATTCTCGTCAGAGTCATCGGGAACTTCAGTCTCTTCATCGCCCTCTTCAAACTGCAATATCAGATCTTCGAGAACCTTTCTGCTTCCCGTGAGAATAACGCTGGCTTCGAGCACCCCAGGCAGACTCAGCTGGCCCAGCAACCCCCTGCCATCATCCGAGAGGCGAAAGATATCCATTAACGGACCAGCAGACTTCCCGGTGCTTTTTTCGGACGTAGACCCCCTCATTTTGGTCGCACTCGGGCACTTGATGTCGTATCTGCCAAACGCTCTCTTGACTTCGAAGACTCCACCACGTTTTCCGCGCCGGCCCCCTTTGTTGGACTTGTTTGCCCTGTTGTGGACATGCCTTGATGTAAAGGCTGCCTCTTGCCAATCGTCCATTGAATGTGATGTGCTCGAATTGATCAAGGGACTTGAAATGTGTACTCATAATGGCCTTTTAGTTGCGTCGGCGCATTCACACTCGAAGGCGCTGATTCTCAATCGCTATCCGAAAATGGGAGTCTTGACGTCATCTCTTCAGCGGCTTAACTGACCCGAGCGCCCGGCTTTTGAGATCGTGTCTTTTCACAACAGCAAGTGAAAGAATCAAATGCGTTTGAGTTCGATTGAGAGAAAATTGAAATGGAAATGAGAACCAATAATATCACCAAAAAACTTGCGTCCATGGATTTCATTTGAGCATCGTCAAATGAGTGACTCGGTGGGGTTGGAAGGGTAGTTCATCATAGGTGCGCGCTCACCAGCATTGATGAAACATTATGAGATGAACCAGCCCGTAGCAAGCAGTAGCAGACCTTGACTTTACTCGTTGCGTATCACTAACTTTCTGCGATCGAAGTTCGAAAACTGCGGTTCCTGAGGGCGACTCAGAAAGAGGCCAGTCTAGCCCTGCCGTCGCGATGGGGACGTTGAGCGATAAATCGAAGCCATAGCAGGCGGCCCACGATCTGACGGGCGGAGCCGGCTACAACGTTGACGTGCCGCGCCCACCAACGCTAGTTAGCGCATCTCATCAAAGACAATGGTTCTGAGTCTTGGCCCTGCGAGACTGCGATGTGTGGATGAACCTTCTCGGCCGGGCTGCCCCCGGACTTGTCAGTGCACGCGTTACATCAGAGGTCGCATGCCCTCTCGAGCCTTTTACTCAATACCTTGTCACCTTTCTCACCGAGAAGAGTGAGTGGAAGACTCAGACAGTACATAGACGCAGGGGAGAAGAGTCTAGACCATCGAGAATCAAGTAACCTGTTTCCAAGTTCCAACCCCTGTCTCTCACCTCACGGCTGACGCTCCCCCGCAATGAGCGGCTGGTGGCCCCTCTTCGCCGCTGCGCATCACCGAGTGTGACGTCAAGCCCGCCAACACAGGAGCATTTCCCTGCCCGCCCAATCAGACGCGCAACGCAACGCAAGCAAACCCAGGATTTCTTGTTTTTTGGACGACTCCGTCACACGCAATGCCGCTGCTTGGGGAGGCCAGAGCTCTGAGCGACATCATAAAGCTCTTTGGCGCACTTCCTGACTTGCTCCCGCTCCCCTCACACCACTGACTTCGATCTTTGATCATTGAAACCCTGCGATAGAACTATTCACCTTCCAGCGGAACCCAGCACCGCGTTCAAATATACGAACAACACCATAGACAGAAAAGAATCACACACATAAAAACACCATCACAATGTCCGACGACGAGACCAAGGGATCGGGAACGATCTACTCCCGCAACAAGGAAGACACAATCGAAGCCGAGACCCTCCTCTGGCGCGCAATGTGCGACAGCAAGACAAAGCACCTGAAAAGATACCTCGACAAGGAGGCCGTACTCGCCCACCCGGGCCAGAAGCCCTTGTCACCCAAATCCAAGCCAACGCTCCAGGAGTACCTCGAGGAAGACTGGGAGCCCTGGACGGCGTACCGCATGCACGACGACCCCGAGTTTGTCGAGATTGACATGATGAGCTCCAGCCTCGTCTACCGGGTCACCGCTTGGCGCCAGGAGGGCAAGAAGCTTGTTGCGACGGAGGGGATTTGCAATAGTGTTTGGAAGCAGGAGCCTGGTGGGGACTGGACTTGCTGCTGCCACCATATGAGCACTCTTTGAGCATGGGAATGATGGATACGAGAGGATTCGATGCAAGATTCACGGCTGAGAGACGATGCATGGCATGGATGGAGAAGGGAAGATCTGGGCGTTTTGTACGAGTAGCGGCATGGCTCGCGGGCGCTATTGTTACGGTATAATGATGACTTTTCGTAATAGCATTTCTCATGACTTGAACCGTCGTAATTCATCCATATTGAACGTCGCATGCGTGCGTTTTACTAGCAGTCTTTGCTGACTTTCCCCGCAAGGTGTTTCAACGGCAAGGCGCGTGCGCGTGCGTAGTTAGCCGCGCAAATCCTTTACTTGGCCGAGCAGTAGCAATTTCACCGTCAAACAAACGACGATGATAGCCTCTTTCAAGGCTCCTGAGTGAAAAAAGGTTGCTGCGAAAATGTGTCCGGGATGTAAGGGGATGATATGATGTCACTGGGCGAACTTGGAATGGAGACAGTGGGGGAACCTTGGAAGACCTCGGCCCCGATCAACTTAAGCCAGTGATGAAGCATCAGGAGGCAATGGCCCCAGAACAACGAATTGAACTACCTTGAATGGACGCAAAACAGATCAACAGCGCAGCGTAAGAATGGCCGAGTTAGAACAACTTTCCGGCAGATTTTCGGTAGGGGAACACCTCGATGTCACCCGGTGTTCGGAGCGGATATGGCCCCACATCGGTATTGCCGGCCGGAACAGTACGCCGGAGGATCGGCTAACTCGAAATTTTTACGTTCAAACTAATCGAAGAACTGTATCACAAGCATCATATGGAGAAATTTTGGGACAAATTTTGCAGTAGAACTGCATATCTGACAAGAGCAGCCTGCGTCGGTAATCAGGATGATCTACACCTCAACAAGTCAGTGAGAAGAGGCTGATGCAACCAGAAGTTCCTAAATAATTGCTTAGGTTAAGTATATCGATGAATCGACGCCCGCAGCGAAGCTGAGCAACGGCGCAGCGGCGGACCATTACCTCCAGTCGCCAGGGATCGGCCTGTGCCGCCAATCGTGTTTTAAGGGACGTCGACGACGTTTCTGCTGTGAACTTGGCTCATTTTTCGCGAGACCAGGCACAATAATTCTTGTTAACGCCGGAAGATGCATGTATCGAAGATCACGCCTGGGAACCTTCAAAATGGCGCAGTCATGATGAGGAAAAAGGAACTGCTATTCAGTTAAGTGATTCTGCAGACTGGTTCGGGGGGTCTCGAATCACGGGTCTCATTTTACAGGTGGATTTCAATGTGAAGGCGAAGGACATGCATCAGTTTTCATAAATCCTACTTCCAAACATGAGAAATATCTCCCTCGGAACCGCCGAACTGTATTTTTGGCTACTACAATCTTGCCACCAAGTCCAGTTGATCTGTAATCGAGTTGGTCCTAGTGACAACTCCAGCCACCTCCCATGGGTACCAAGTCGCATCTCTTCCTATGGCTTCTTTTAGAGCAGAGGTAGTCCAACGATTGAAGTTGAAAGAGTCATCGAAGTCGACATTCTCGTGACCTTTGACCCACGATCGGAGCATATCTTTACTCTTTGCCTCGTGTTCCGGCGCCTTTAAATCAGAAAACATGTCTTCCTCTTCCAAGTCACACCGAGGGTCTCCAGCTAGCAAAACTTCATGTAATTCAAAGTCCGGAAGACCATGGCTTCTCTTCGGTAATTTATGGGGATGTAAGCGGGACTATACCGGAACACAACCACGGTGTTTTCCTGCTTTTCATGGCGAAGGATAATTTTCAGGGCGTCTAGATGGGGCTTTGCCCTCCTGAATCTTACAGCGTTCGATAGATTGAGAACAAAGAGTATCCAGAGAGATGCGTCTCTAATGATGTGAAAGGCAGGCTATTCCATCAGCACTATTCTTTTTTGCATCATACGCCTACCAGGGGTCTCAACCTCGTCGCCTTTCCGGTGTGACATTGATAGCTTCAATATAACCGGAAACAAGACGTTTGCTGGCGCTTCCAATAACCAGGGAGGCTGTCCAGAATTTGTAATCTGGTGCAAACACCTGATAAGGCTTTCCATCCTTCACCCTTGTTGCGTCGAGGCTCTTCGGCCAACCTAAATCGCAGGAAATCAACCTGACCACAGTAGGCCGCGGTGGGTAGAAAAGGATGCGAAAAAGTGGTCTGTACCCCCATTCCCGCAACCGCAAATCCCTCTTCGAAACGTTCGAAGACTGACATCCAGTGACTTCACGAAATGTCGTTGCATACGCGAAGTGATCTGTCCAGATCTTCTCGAAGGCCACAAGTGTCTTGATTTCAAGCCCTGAAGGTCGCGAAAAGATTTCTAATAATTGGCTATGCAAGCTTCGTCCATGTCTGCGCATGAGACGTCTCATTCGGGTAAATTCCGCCATTCGCAGCAGGGCATAGATGTTGCGAAATCTGTACACGAAGAGTTCTTGCTCAGTTCGATTGCCTGCTCAGAAGATAGAACATAGTCTTTAACCGTCTTGTGGAGAAAGCCTATGCCTTTCAACAAGCGTCGAATAGTGTTGTCGTCAGATTTTGATGGGACCATGACAAGAATTCCTGTGGTGAGGCCTTTTGATTGTTTGCTTATTCTTTCCTGATCCCTGGCAAGTGTTACCTCAGTGTAAGACGTCCTGGAACCCGAGAAGTCTGAGATCGACATCTCCAAATGCATTGATATTATCAAACACAGATACATGCAGAGGTCCCTCGAAAGGATTTGTGGCGACCAGCATGAGTAACGAACGAATTTTTCTTTCGTCATCTCGAGGCAATAACGATAGCATGGACTCGTACAGTTTGTCAAGTTGAGTTGGCGTGCTGTAGAGCTTTTGACACATTCTTAGGTAGCTGCTGTGCATCTCGGCTTCTTCTAGAAATGCTCACACAACTAATCGAGCCCAGAGCCCGACAATCTTTCCCACGAACTCAAGATAGAACAATGAAATTCGGTCAAGTTATTGTCATTCTCGAAGGTGTCTCGATTTGAGAGATATACGTCGCCTTGGGTGATTTCATGGAGATGGATTGCTAATCGGAATGTATTCAGGAAATGCACCTCTGGCCTGGAGCTGACGTATACCTTGATCAATCTTCCCTTTGCCCAGTCTCGGAGTTTCAGAGCAAAGATTTTCTGGTCGTAGGCATTGGCCTTGTATTCGTCCAGTCCATCGACGAACATGCAAAACCTGATGTCATCAGAAGGCAATTCGAAGTTCATTAGCCGTTCGAAAGCGGCCTTGATATCGTGCGCTCGATACAGGTCTTATTTACAAACTGTATTGTTCTTTTCGAGATTCGCAGCGTCCCATTGCTCGTGTAGAACCCCTGGTATGAGACGAGGGCAGTGTCTGAGGATGGAGAACAGAAAAGATCGATACATCCCATCGAGGGTCATTTGAAGTTTCTGGCCGTCCGATCGCCAGAAGAAGAACGAAGAAATCGCAACGGTTGCATCGCCAGCCCATTGCTGGAAAAAGTTTTCGTCTGCTGGTGTTTGGCCATGAACTTTAGCAGAGTTGAATTCCCACAGCCTGCCTTGCCAGAGATGTGGAATATTCCGCCGTCGCCCGGGAGCCAATCGAGATATTGTTGGCTTACTCTCTCCCATTCCTGTTTTTGGCACCTCAAACTTCACTCGTCCGGCCATCAACGATTCAAGGGCTGCGCGGGAGAAAATATCCACTCAAAAGTCCCTTCACTTGGGTCGATTATTGAGTTGACTCTGTTGAAGATCCCTTTGAAGTACAAGTGTTGAAGAATTCGTGCCTCCTTGGGCGTGAATTTTATAAGAGAGTTCAAATGCTCAGTCTTGACAAATACTTCATTAAGGGAGTTGAAATGATGTTCTTGGACATCTCTTGAGATTTGTTCATGATCGATACCATCATCTGATGTCGTAGTTGTGCTGCCCTCACTCGCATCATCGCACTGCAGTCTTCATCCAGCTTTGCCAAGATCTTCACAAAATCGACTCGAAGAGACTTTAGCTCCCCAGAAGAGCTCAATGACATGGTTTGAGCTTCACTCTGTATGTTGTCCAACTGCTTTTTGACGGATGATTGATGTTCACTATTTCCGCACGTGTTAATACTAATATTTTGAAGAGGCATGGCCTGAGTGGATTAACGACTTACTTCAGTAATGCCAGAAGCCTGGTGTTCATTTCCATGCGATATTCGGCAAGTCGACCTTCGATATGCGCAACCTCTTTCCTCTGGCGCATGCCAGCCCATGTTACCCTCATAGCAGCCCAGCGCGAGCTGTCTGGCGCCTTGAGCTTCTCAAAAATGGCCATGAGTTCTAGGCATACATCGTAACATTCTGCTAAGAGAGCCTTCAGGGCTCGCTCATGCTTTGAGCTACCCGACTACTCTAATTGAAGCTCTAAAGAGTAGTCTCTGAGGTCGCTAATAATCTCGCTTATATGGGCCTTCTCTTTGCTAACTTTCCGTCTGGAATCATATAGCTCGTTGGCACCGGTAGTTATTTTCTATGAGAAGTCAAGAAAAGCTATTATGCCGGCTGCAACACCTATGGCTACTTCTGCCCCCATGATGGGTCCGGCGCAGATACATCGACAAAGCGAACTTAGAAAGGTAAATCCTATTCTGAAATGGAGAGAGTGAAGTCTGAATAGAGGACACGTCAGAAGCGGGGTGATCACCTTTGCAATACCAAGGTGAAGTCTTACTGGCTGCCTGGTTGCATCTTTCTGGCATTTGTCGGATGGTCAGCCTGCGTTGCAATTTGCGGTTTTGCGAACTGCTGCGCCTCTCATGGACGTCTGGAATGTCTCATGACCTGAGCCGTCTTACATCAAACCACTCAAGAGTCTGCTTCGCGTTGACTTGATACTCCTGTACCTGCTGTATGGCAACATCCTAGATCACAGAGCAAAGGGGATCAGGTGTAAAATGTCTTGTCGTACCACGCTCAAATGTGTCCGTCTCTACGCCAGCGCTTGTAATGCGTCCCTTCCGTGATGAGAGATTCCTTCTTCCTCACTACTTGTCGACCTCTATATCCTTAAGCCGTCTCTATCCACAGTAATTCGTTCTTTTCACAAATCTATCACAAAACTTGACATTCTCGATCGAGAGCTCTTGACGTTTGAACCCGTACCCTCGCCCTTGCCCAAAACCGAGGAGCCTGATTATCCATCTAATTACACGATTCTAGGCGGCTGGCAGCCTTGTAGCAATGCTGGACTTCTCGTCAGAGACATTGACGACCGTCGAGAAGCTCGACATAGCAGCCCGATCTGCCATCTACGCCGTGTTGACGGTGGCTCTCGTCATGTATCTAGGAGAGTTGCGACTAACTCCACGTTCTCAACCAGAATTCGTTTAGCACACTCTCAATCTGAGCTATTTCAACTGGAAGCTACTGAACTCTCACGACCTCTGCCTTCTCTCCAATCAAGACTTCTCCTTCCAGTAAATAGGCCACACCCACTCTCTCATAGCGTTTCTCTGCCTCCGAGGCCTTGACGGGAGATACCATAAGAGCAAAGTATCTTGGTGGATTGCTAATGTTCTGCCTGCTCGTACCAATGATGACACACATCAGCGGCCGGGGCAGAATTCTCTCCGGGTCATCAAGTATCAGCCGCGCTAGGTTGTCGCCAATCAACGTGTGAACTGGGGCCTGAAAATATGTCCTCTTTGAAAGAACTCCTGCTTCTTCCGAGTCCCTATTCGTCCGACTTCCGAACGGTGACGAAATGTCTGTAGCTCTCGAGATGTCGCCAAACGGAACATTCATATAGCTTATTTCTCCCTCAAAAGCCATCCATGACCAGGAAGGGACTCGTTCTCCGGGTTGAAATATGATGCGTCGCAGCGAGGTCCCAGTGTTGCGGCGCTGCCACAAAAGATCTCTGTGTAGGTTTGATTGGAAGATACCATAGCCACCGGTCGACTTCAGTGCCGTCATCAATCTCTTTTCGAGGCCCGCAATGGCTCTTGGTTTGTCCGTAGAATATGTCAGACTCAGAGAGGAATAACGTTCGTAGAGGTCGTGGTAGTGCTGCAGCTGCCTGCCTTGTTTGAAGGACTCAACAGAATGAGGGAAATTTGAGTCTCCAAGGAACGCTGCTTTTCGACTGATGTCAAAATTAGTACGGAGCAAGTTTTCATGTAGATGGATCAACACTCACTTCGTCGTCTTCGTAAATGTCTCACACCGTATGCCTTCTCCGCACTCCCAGTATGTCTGATTACTCGTGAAATGCAATGTTCTTTGTGAAAGGGCACGCTCCTGAAGAACCCAGCCCCTCTGATTCAAGTCTCCTTTCTCTACGTCAGTCTCAAAGTTGTCGATGAGTTCACAAATGTGAAACTGCACGCCATCATGGGTTCTCGCGGTGACAAATCGTCGCGGCATTCGCGGATTGAGGAACCCCTGGAATCTGTTTTCCGCACAGCTGGCGGCAATGGTTATGTAGGCAGAACCAAACACCTCTTCCATAAGTTTTGACTCTTTTTCCCAGTCATCTTTCGAGTCCATGTTGGTATGGTTCATGTTGTCCTGAAGGATGCAAAGAGAGTCTATCCACAGGTACTCCACTTTCAATTTCCTTGTGATCACTACGGCGTCAAGGAAGGTCTGGGGCAAATAGTCGTCGTCAATACCTACTACGCTTGTGATCTCGTGAATGTTGTCCGTGGTCGTTGTGACAAACTTGCCTTCCATTGACGGATCTGTGCCCCATCGATGGGACAGCGCAATATACTTCAGGGACGCCGATTTTGAGCCAGGGCTGGAAATCAGTCGGACACACCTCGTATCTTCGTCACCAACCAACAGCAGCCTACTCGGAATGAATCTCTTGCGATCAGGTAGATGCAGAGCAACATTACAATCTTTCACCCATTTGTTGAGAATACTAATGTGTGTCGAGTCTCCGGGGATGAGAGGGGTGGGAAATCCCAGCTGAATACCGTTGGATCTCAGAGTTTCTGAGTCTTTGAGTTGAATGTGAGCGTTGCCATCTGCCTTTATAAATGGATTGGTAAAGTAGTTACCAATTGTTCGACAGAGTGACAGAATGGGAGCCCATTCTCTGTCTCCGAACGTCAAATATGAGTCCTTCCGCATAAACCTAATGAGCTCATCCTTGGGGCCCGTTCGCCTAGCCAGAGAGTGGTGGAGGAGGCGACAGAGTTCACACGACATCAATCGACGTTCCAGGTCTGTGAGTGTATCAGAGAACTCGAAAACCATGGACCAAATTGGAAGCTTTTGGCAACGTTGGCAGAACTTTGAGTCCTTGTAAGTCCTTCGCTTCTCGATACTGTTTGGAACGATGGATTGGGCCATGTCATGATCTGCGTTGTAGATCCAAATGTCGTCAAGCTAATCGCATGTCAGGAGATTGTGTGTCATCATGCATTGAGCACATCACATACCGGCTGAAGGAGTTTACATCAGCGTCATTGATCTTACGGCTTGCTGTGAGCGTATCATGAAATGCGGGTTCATGTATCTAGCAGGAGCACATGGGATAGACCTACGGTCTACAACGAGAGGCAGTGCACAAGTCAGCCATGTGATCAGCAAATTTACCAATAGCTGACCTTTGCTTACAAACTGATTTTACGGAGACCATATCTTTGAATTAGCAGTATCCGATGAGGAAGAATTAACACAACAATACCATCTATTTTAATCTCAGGTCAGTTGCCGAAATCATTAGTCTGAGCCTTCAAACTGGTAGGTCACTCACATACTGTGGTAATGTTAGAAGACAATCTCTACATTTTTGGCAAAAGACTCCTTGAGTCTCAGGAGAGGGGCAAATGTCTTACTCTCTATATCGTGACAAAGTGTCAGCTACTTCCTCCTATCAACTGCAAGAGGATTCTTCTGACTACGTACGTCGCTTGCCTAGAAGAAGATGATTAGTGGCTATTGGTCTGTTTGTGTTGATGTCTGACTGACCCCTTGCATCAACCTGTTTGAGACCCCTGGCTGAAGAACTCCTCTGGTATCACTAGGATTCAGACTAGCCTTGGGGACAGGCGGCCTGCGTTTCGCAGCTTCTGTCATGCCACGTTGATTGATCCACGAAAGTGAATTCTTCTCCATTACAGCGTGAACGATTCTTTCCATCTCCTTGAGAACCTCTTTTGCAACCGCTCTTTCGGGTTCTTCTGGTCTCCACGTGGGCTGCTTGACAATTACCTTGGGGAGCGTATCGTCGCTACTCGTTGGAAAGCTGTCTCTGGTCGCCAATCTTGATCCACTGTCTTGAGTGAACGAATCTCTGCGGGTTTCAGCCCTGACAACCAACATTCGGTTCTCGATCAGGTTGACCAAACGTCCTATGGCGGTCTCCCTGATTGGAGTGCACCTAGGATCGTCCTTGATAATCTTGATCCAGTTTTTGACCGAATCTTTCAGCCCGACCTCTGGTTCTTTCCTGTAGTAGGGCTGGCCGGGTCCAATGTCTTGACGGAAAGACTCGAGCATGACATTGCCATAAAGCATCCAGACAAGAAATTCCAAATAGAGGCACCCTAGAGACCAGATATCATATCGCCTCGACCTGGGTTCCTGAATTTTCAACTCAGCCTCCGGGGGCGAATACATTCTCGTGCCTTGTGGTGTGTTCGTCGCGTCGGGGCGAAGCTCTGTGGCCTTTTCGTGTACTTTTGCGTGCCCAGCATCGGCGACGACGAGATGCACGTCTGTGGGAATCAACTCCGTGCCGATCTCAGTCCCGCTGAAACACAAGATGTTCTCTGGCTTCAGGTCGCCATGCCTACATGATTGTCGCGGGTTCTTCTTAGGATGGTGAAGGTCTTCTATAGCGCTGGAAAGACCAAGGAGCTGCTTGAAGAACCACTGGTAGTAGCTAGACCAATCTTTGGTTGCAATGTGTTCTGCTTCAAGACTTAAATTGGGCTGTTTGGCCCAGAAGTCGCGAAGATTGCCACCTCGGGCCCAAGGAAACACGAAGTAATGCCGACTTCCTTGGGTGTAAGTGGCAATTGCTCTGATGAAGTGCGGATGGTCCTGGTCTTTAAGACGCGTCAGGATCTTTGCTTCGTTCTCGGCTACATCGTGGAACTTCTTCCGTGAAAGTCCTTGTGCCGACAACAGTTCTTTCACGGCAATGTGAGGGTTTTGCTTATCATCAACTAGGGTTCCCTTTTTGCAATTCATCAGCCTGAATCTTCTTGAAAGGATTTCGTCATCTTACAATCTGATCATCAAGTTTGAAATTGAGATGCTTGCGGTGGATGACGAAATGCCTGACGACGCTGAAGTTTGTTTGGCTCGAACCAAGCTCTTCCAGGTATGGCATTTGACATGAGGGGTCAAAGATCTGAGGTGGGTCTTGCGGACTGAACACAGGCACAAAGAAGTACCACTGATAGGTGTTGCAAAACTGTTTGATGGTGTCTTTGTCATCATCGTCGTCGTCGTCGCTCATGTCCTCGTCTTCTTGGGGAACCCAAACGCTGATGGTCTTGCCCGATCTACACGACTGAATGGACCATCTCGAACGAGTCTTGTTTTTGGCAGTTTGAGGTTTGAAAAACTTGATGGGAAAGTCCTCATCGCCAAATCGTTCGCGATAGAAGATTTCTAGCAAGCCAACGCGGTCTCTCCAGATCAGAAGAGAAACGAGTCTCTTCGCATGTTCAAAAACGAAACGCTTCATGCTCTCGTGCATCTTCACTTTCTCTTCGAGAGCCTTGATCACATTGTCGTTGTTTTGAATGATTTCATTGATGGACGAAACCGGAAACCAGGTGTAAGCTTTGGCGTCTCTGGTGTTGAACACCTCGATTTCGACTTTTCGCAAAGCTTTTCTGAGGCCTTTGAGAGTATCCATGGTTCCAATGTTCTCCCGCCCCCGGCGAATGAATGGGATTGAGTTTAGAAGCTGACTGGATTGAATGGAATCGCCAATTTTCCCAGAAAATGTCTGTCTTCTTGGTGGTCCTGGCTGATGGGCCGAGCGATCGTTCGGAACGGATCCAGTCGTCCGGGCACGGCGTAGAGGGGGAATCTGTGAAATGCTGTCCTGTTCATCTGGGGTTGAAAAGAAACGAGGAGGCTCCTCAGGATAGGCCTCCGTGGAAACTCCGCAGATTAAGTTGGCCAAAGATTGCCGAAAACTCATAGTGCCACCTGCATGGAAAAGTATCCGCCCGGGAGATGTCTCCTGTCTGTCTGAATGGAAAGCCTTACCTAGTACTGACCTGGAAAAGACGAGTTTAAGTCAGATAATCTAGCAAGTGCATAGCATCTTCGAATGTTGCTACTGTCATTGCAATGGCAGCGAATGCGTGTCAGCAGCCGAGAGGAACTAACAATGCAAGCACTTTAGGTGACATGCCGATCATTGGTGGCATGGCCTGCTGGAGTCAAAGATAATGTGGCGCAAGTTGCTGAATTGTTGGTTGTTGCATACAGGTTGCAACCATCATGTTGGTTCGGTCAACCATCGCCAACATGGTGCACTTTACCCGTCCCCGTATCTCTTTCCCCCGAAACTTGCACGTTTCTGGCACTGCAATCAGGTCACATGGCTCGCTCCAGGCATCACTGATCTGGACGCCTCGTTCTGACCACCCGGACGCCTTCTTCTCTAAGTATGCCGTGTCGGACCTGGGAACACCGCTGAGCGAGGTGCATGATGATGAGGTATTTCTGAACCCCCATCCACAAGGCAGGCTCTACTACTGTTGGACACAACGAATAATCAGGCTGCGTCTCGTTTGGATTGCGGCTCACATGGCGATGGCCGCAATCACCCCGCAAATAAAGGGGTCTTCTCGATCCCCCGATCCGAATGGCCAATTCCTCACTTTTGGAATCTCGATATTCGCCATTCCCACCTAATCACTCTCAAGGCCCAATTCCTCTCACTTTATTACACACTCCCCAATTCGATTTTTCTTCCTCACTCGCCGTTCCGTGGCATTTGGGACGTTGATTGAAATCTCCAAGCTCTGCAATACTTCATGCAGTGTATCTCCTTATTGGGGGTAGATGAATAAGTGCGCGTGTTCACCAACCACCTTTTGACAGCAATCGGCATCGGTGCTCAGTCGAAACAATATCCAAAGGCGACGACGGCAGTTCGAATCTATGACTAGTCGCCCAATGACGGGACTAACACTAGTTAGACAGCTTACCAAGGCTCAAAGGGTAGACGATTTAAATGGCAGCCGTAGATTTCTGCCCATGGACACTTTGGATATGCTTATCACGGAGGATAACGTGAAGTCGGAATTGGAAAGAAGGTCACCAAGAAGGTCGCGGATTTCACTCACTTCCGCTCCAGATCAGGCGCGGACGTTGGCAGCAAGGGTTGTAACCAAGAGAGCGAGAAAGCTTTTTGTGATACTACTTCACCTCAAAAAGCCCTGGGATGTCAAGAGACTGATTGATTTGGGAATCAATGATGACCACCTGCCACTCTTCAGGAATGGTCAAGGCAGAAATGAAGACCAGCTACAGTCAGCTCGTAACGCGAAAGTCATCTTCAACCCTCCTGCCGACTGGGACGATCAAGACGGGTGCGACTTTATTGATAAGCAGTGGCTGGTATTAGCTCCTGTTTTTGGAACATCCGGAGCTCACAGGACACTGGAAGCTTCATGTCCACTCCCGCTTATCAAGGTGGACGGCAAGATCCATGGCCCTGGAAGTGTGGTGTATAAGACCGACGTCCACACATCTCATCAGCAAGACATCGCAGTAAGCACTACATCACCAATCATCTGAATTATTTGCGAACTAGGCTTAATTATTGTGTACAGCTTGGATCTCAGAATGCTGAGATTGCTTTGAAAGAGTTCAAGCGTGACGAAGACTTTCAACAGGAAAGAGACAACCTGAGGAGAATCCGCAAACTCCGAAACAAGCACATTACCATCCATTTCGAAACCTTTAGCCAGGGCGACAGGAGCTACATTGTTTTCCCATGGGCAGGAGGTGGGGATCTGGAGCATTTTTGGAAGGATGGAGACAAAAAAACCCGAACACACCCGCTCGCTCTTTGGAGCTTGGAACAGATGCTCGGTCTGTCTGAAGCCGTCCACGCTCTACACGAGGAGATGGGCGAAGATGCAAATTGCCGCCACGGTGACCTTAAACCTCAGAACATACTCCATTTCCTCACAGGGTCAGAGAGGGGCATCCTCAAGATCTCTGACTTCGGAATCTCTCGTATTCATCTGCAGAAGACTATCAATAGGAACATGCAGCCTACAATCACACGGGCGACATCGCCGTCGTACGAAGCACCCGAGGCTGTCGTGGGAGAAAATCGAGCTAGATCCCGCAAATACGACATTTGGTCTCTCGGCTGCATATTCCTAGAGTTCACGATCTGGCTTGTACAAGATTGGGAGGCTATCAATAGGTCTTGCGATGCCAGAAAGCCTAGAGGACATCAGCATGGTGGGGCTTGGGCGCACTTTTATCGCATCGACGGTTCTAACGCTTCTGTCCACCCCGAAGTCCCTCGCGCTATACATCGTCTCCAAGGCTTGGCGCCATCTGCCCCAGGTACGGCACTGGGAGACCTGTTGGACATCATTCAGGGGAATCTCGTGAGAGTTGACATCAGGGAACGGCTTGACGCGAAGAGTCTTTGCGAGAAGCTCAAGCAGATAATTAGCATGGCTCGTGCTAATCCCGCATATCTGTTCGGTCCTGGTTAGAGAATCTGCGAGCTGATGAAGTTGGAAGCGTGTATACATGAATTATTGTGAGCAACATTGTACGAGATATGGACTATGAAGGTGTAATAAGGGCACGGGATTCACGGGAATTGGGAGGCTCTTGTGTTTCTTACTTCTGTGTTCATCTTCAGTGTCGTTACGTTGTGTATGTGTCATGCGATTGTATGTGGTGATTTTCTTTGCTATTTCAATGTTTCTCAAGTACTGCTCTGTCTTCTATTATAAATTCTATGTATCGACAGCGGGATTGCTGTCGAAACACTATCTTTTGACGTAACTCTCATATCATTTAATCACCTCATATTTTCTATACCATTTTAAAGCGCGACTGCACCTCAATCTATAGTTTCCGATGAGGTCATCGGGGAGATAAGCGTTACTTCACAACCTTCGTTAAGTTCAGAGCTGTCTGCGTTTCGGGGCGAGGTGAAAAGAGAGATGAGTGCCTCACTTGCCAACTGTGAAGCTTTTGGGAAAGATCTTTAGCCCGCTTAGCTAACCCGAGAAGTTACTCATAATCAAGACTACAGACAGAGGTATCCTTGCATTTCCAATCGTCGTTAGAGACAAAGTTGAAAGAGCGCGTCTTTAGAGCATAATGTGGGCACCGTGCACGGGTCCAGGATAGGCTGCGATTTTCCGGTAACACGGCGGTTTAGCTTTGGCAGCACTGTCAAGTGTAGCCCACCTCTGAGCGTCAGATATCCATAAGCGACCGAAGATGATGAATCGTGGAACCTAGTGTTTGCGATTTTCATAAAAGGTTCATACTAAGGTGCAATAGGCGTTACGCGTCTGCGTCTGCTTATGTCCATGCTGGGCAGGTTTGACTGCTAGGGCTGAAACTGATGTTCAGGGTGGTGCTGGGTGATGCTAGGTGGTATTACTGGATGGCATTCTCGTGGTTTTATCAGATGGGGCGTGCAAGGTGTCATCTGATAATTCTCTGTCAAAACTCTGTCGGGAAGTGGAGTTAATTCATGGGTTAAGGAGAGTTTTTTGGAGGGGAAATTAGCAGGGCGGTTTGAATGGTACTATCGTGGCTCGATCAACGAATGGATGGCGGTGTTAGGATACTCCGTCCTTGGTCTGGACTCTTGGCCGGGTTAATTATGAGCTGGATAAGACGTGTGTGAGTATGGTTGAACCTAAAGTGAGTTTGCTTAGTGCCTGGAGTGACGCGTCTTTAGCTGTAAGTACTGTGTAGCTGATGATACGAGTGGCTCGTATGGACACAGATCTGTCTTGATATGAAGTACCTGCTCCGTATAGTCATGGATTGAGAGGATTGATCTGCTCGTTAATCGAGAGGAGCAAAAGAGGAGCAAAAGGGGTGATTTGAACGTTGGATCGCCGTAGGTAAGTGGGCCCGGTATCATCTGGGAGGCCCCCTTTTGCAATACGCAGTCACGCAGTATTAATTAAGACTCTGAGAGTGTGAGAGACAAAAGAGGGGAGCAGAGGGGAGGAGTCGCCTTCACCTGCCTCACCGGGTGGTGCGTAAAGCTGCAAGGTAAGGTCAGGGAGGAGGGCAGACCGCAGACCGGCTGCGGGTCCGCTCACCCCCGAGGGTTCCCCTTGACCCTTGATCCTTTACCTTAATTTTCCCCCCCTTCACCCTTGGTTCTCTTCCTTGACCCTTCCCATCTCTCCCAGGTCGGTCGTCCGTTCCAGTGTTCCTTGATAAATTTCCCCTCCACACCACACACCACGCACCACACCTCTCTCACTGCCACCACTGCCACCACCAAATGGCACCCAAAAAGATGGTGGAATCTGCCCGGCGCGCCTTTTAAGTGGATTACAAATCGATTGTTGGCTGCAGCCAGCAACACCCACTGCTCACTCAGCAATTCACCACAGATTCTCATCCGCTCACTCACTCACTCACTGAGCACTCTCACTGACCATCGGTCACTTGCGCGTCCGACTTCCGACTTCTGGTGCTTCTTTTTTTTTCCCTTGTTTCTGTATTCGTACGGTGACACCCTCGAGTATTCGTGATCCAAACGAGATACCTACACGCACGCGCAGTTGACTGACGGGACGGAGCAGCGACCGACACCAACAAGGACCGCTCGCGAAGCTCACCTCACCATCTTTGAATGAGATCGCCCATTTGATACCCCCCCGTCTCTTTGTCTCCCTCACAACAATATTCAAAATCATCGCTTGTTTGCATGCGCGAAGCAGCAAACACCATAGCCCACCATGTTTTCCCGCAACAAGGACCTCTCCCACATGTCCTCCTTCTCCAACATCCGCTCGCGCTTCAAAAACAGCATGTCGTCCTCGGCCAAGATCCGCAGTTCCGAGGGCTGCTGGACCTGTCGCCTGCGCCGCAAAAAGTGCGACGAGGCTCGGCCCGTCTGCGAAGGGTGCGCCCAGCTTGAGATCAACTGCTTCTACAGCGAGACGAAACCGGACTGGATGGACGGCGGCGAGCGACAAAAGGAAATGGCCGACCAGCTCAAGAAGCAGGTCAAGATCCAGGCCAATAATCGCCGCGAGCGAAAGTACCTACAGGGCCTCGACGTGGAGGGAGGAGGCGGCGGATCCGAGGATGGCGATCATGTTCCTCCCGTCCCGGCGCTGAGTACCGACGACGGCTCATCAAAGGCCAACGATTCGAATAGTCCGTCCACCGTGAACGACACCCCCGGCGACTCATCGTCTAGTCCGCCCTTTCAGATGAACTCGGTCAAGTCGTCGATTCATGAAATCGTCCCCGGCGCATCACCGAATCAGATGCGCCAACATACCCCGGAATGGAACAACCACCCCAGCCCAGTATCCGCGACACAACACCAACATCACCAACAACAATATCAACAGCCACAACAACCTCAGCCCGACTTCGCCGCCGGCACAGGCATGGGCACCTCCGCCCAAACCTCATCCCCGCCCTTCGCCGACGACTCCAACCTAAGCTTCATCATGATCTACCTCGACTACGTCTTCCCCTTCCTCTTCCCCTTCTACAAACCCGCCCTCCTCGAAGGCGGCCGCGGCTGGCTCCTCAATGTCCTCAACCACAACAAGGCCCTCTACCACACCGCCCTCAGCCTCTCCTCCCACTTCTTCGGCGTCGTCCTCGACTCCGCCCAAGTCGAACACGCCCCCTGCCGCATGAAGTCCGTCGCCAGCCTCCGCCACCAAATGCACCTCGCCCTCCGCGAGCTCCGCGCCGACATGACCCGCATCAACGAGCCCGGCCCCGGCGGCGTCCCCCGCGACCCGCAGGACCAACTCCAGCAGAGCTGCCGCGTCCTCGAGAGCATCGTCCAGCTCCTCATCTTTGACGTGACCTTGGCCACCACAGACCACTGGCACATGCACCTCGACGCCGCCACAATCATCTTCCAACAAATCCTCCCAAGCCCAGACCGCTGGGACCCAACAATGAACAGCATGGCCATCCCCCTCCTCCAAGGCGTCTCCTTCCCCCCAGGGTCCCACAAACCCTGGTCCTCCGACCAAGCCGCCCTCCGCTTCTTCACCGCATCCCTCCTCTACTTCGACATCATCTCCGCCACCGCCCTCGAACGCCCGCCCCGTCTCCAACGCTACCACCGCCACCTCCTCTCCCCGCGCAAAGAACCCTCCACCGCCTGCGCCGAAGTCGAGCCCCGCCTCCGTCTAGAAGAGTACTTTGGCTGCCAATCCTGGGTCCTCCAAATCATTGGTGAAATCGCCTCCCTCGACGCCTGGAAGAAAGAAACCCGCCGCGCGGGCTCCCTCTCCATGACGCACCTCGTCTCCCGCGCAGGCTGCCTCGAGCTCGCCCTCCGCGAAGGGATCGCCTGCATGGACAACGCCTGCCCTCAACTCATGGGGAGCCCAAACTGCGCCGAAGAAATGGCCTGCCGCGCGGGCTCCTGCTCCGCCATGGACGCCGAGGATGCTTCCGCGCCGCCGCCGCACCCGACACACGTTGACACTACAAAACTCCCGCCTGATCCGCTGACGCTGTACCAATCCCAACAAACGCGCGACGCAAGCGACGCAGCGCGCATACACACCAAAATATGGGCCTACGCCGCACTAACGTACCTCTCGACCGTCGTCTCGGGATGGCAACCCTCCTGTCCGGAAACAGCCTCCAGCGTGGCCATCACGATTGACCTGCTCAACTCGCTGCACAGCCCCGTGTGTCTGCGCACCGTCGTGTGGCCGTTCTGCGTCATCGGGTGTCTGGCGGATCCGTGCCAGGAGCACATGTTTCGCGAGATGGTGGGTAAGATGGGTGCGCTCGAAGTGTTTGGGTCTATCAAGGCTGCGTTGGGGGTTATGGAGAATGTGTGGGCCAAGAGGGAGACAATTGACGAGAGCTGGGATATTACGGCTTGTTTCAAGGTTCTTGGGCATGCTGTGCTCTTGACTTGAGAGGTCTCGGAGGTCTTGAACCTTTGACTTGTTCACTTGGGCTTCGTCTGCTGGAAAATGGCGCGTGGCTTTTGGGTATAGATGTTTCGGCGACTAATCACAGGGTAAACCGGTCTCACTGCCAGGGTTCGATCACACGATATCACCAAAGAAAGTAACTCGCCCATCCCAGTTGTTTTTCTTTTATTATCAGTGGACCCAATCCGACTACCAAAAAGCCAACGCCATTGTTTTTTTTCCCAGAACAAGAACAAAAAACCCGAATCTATCCAGTAGACATTACCCCCGTCGACCAAAGCGACGTCTTTCCAGAAACCCAAGACCTAAGCCGTAGAACACAATCTCTATTACCAGCAGAGCCTCACGACACCAAACCCATACCCAAAAAGGGAAGACCCCAAACCAGAGGAGGGGGGGGGGCTCACTTCCTCCTAGAAGCAGCCCTCTTCTGCTGCTCCAACAACCCTAAATCCCACCACCCGTCAATGAACTCCATAATCGTCTTCCGCTTCGATTTCCCACGATCAAGACCCTTGCGAGAATGAACAAGGTGCTCCACCGGCGTCATCGGCGTCATTGGCGATCTTGCCTCCGGAGTCAGCGGCGGCGCGGGAGAGACAATCAACTCGGGTAAAACAGGCATCGCGTGAACGGGCTGTCTCTGCTCGACAATCTGCACGCGCTTCTGCTGCACTTGGGCCGTGGTAGGGGGCATCTGTCGTTGCGTCGACATCGACATCGGCGGCGGCGGGAACCACGCGGTCGTCCGGGCGGGTTGAGATGCGGGAGGGGGTACAGCAATATGGGCATCATCCGAGTCAGACCCGGACGAGTAGTCGCTGTCCCATCGCTTCTCCCGCGCCAACATAGTAGCGGTGCCCAGGCTCTTCTTGGTATTGCCAAAGTAGCAACCCCGTACTACCCTCGTAGGAGGAGGCGGGAAAGAAGGAGCGTAGCCACCACCACCACCACCGCCAACACCGGCACCACCGACTGCCACCCTACCACGGGCGCACCCTCAACCCTCAATATCCTTCACCGCAGGCGCAACCTTGACCCGGCGCCAGAGACAAACCGCCGTCACGGCACTAAAGGCAAAGAGCACACACAGCGCAATCGAAAGACCCCAGACGGCCTTGATGGCATAACACGTGCTCTGGTCAGCGCCAACCCAGATGAAGTAGTTGAGCGCGGAACCGGTGTTGATGTTGGCCAGAGCGGAGGCCATGAAGTTGGCGGTGCTGCCGGAGGACTTGGGCAGGGCGGCGCAGTCTAGGTAGGACAAGGGTTTGCCCAGGAGGCATGCGACGGCGATGACGGCGATGAGGAGGAATGTGTCTGCTCCTGCGGCGAGGAGGAGGGGGAGCATGTTGTCGTAGTAGAGAATGTAGGTGATTGAGATGTAGAGGGTTGCGATGCAGGACTTGAGGGGTGTTAGCTATCGTTCTTCCAATCTACATGTCTTTACTAATATCCTTGAACGATGATATGTGGAGTGACGACTTACAATAACGAGCGTACCGATCAAGACCGAAGGAGACTGCACATCAGCAGCATTAATCTCTGAGATAAAGTTGGCAACCATGCCGATGATGGACACCAGCGAAACGAATTGCATGGCGCGCATGAGGGTGAAGGTGTGCCCGAGGGCGCCGAGGCGAGGAGCGGAACCCATTGTGTAAATGCTGTGTTTCCGGGCGGCGAAGTCGCGGGCCAGAGAGACGGGGGTGACGAGGGTAAGCTTCGGGCGCGGGGCGTGGAAGTGGAGCGCCGTGCGGATGGGGAATTTCCGGGGCGGGAAGGGGATGGTGGCGGTCGGGGAGGAGGTTGAGGAAGGAATTTTGGAAGAGGTTGAGGAAAGTCGCTTGGTTTAGCGACTTTTTGATGGCTCGAAGAATGTAGAAGTAAAGTTGGTCGTGGATAGACACGGGACTCTGTGGGGGATAAAAAAAGAGAGAAAGATGTTGAGGTTCTCGAAGAATCGATAGAGAGAAAGTAAGTTCGTTCAAGATCGTGTGTTTCGTTTCGTTCCCGTTTTTTGTCGTGACTTAAAAAGGAAATTCGGAAGATGCGAAATGAAAATCGAATGTTGACCGAGATAGATGAGAGATAGTGAGAGATAGATGAGACCCAAACTTGACCAAGGAAATTGACCTAGGAAATAAGGAAAAGAGAGAGGAAAAAAAAAAGGAAAAGACGGAAGATTGTTGTAAAGACTTGTGTTTGTAATGTTGGTGAGGAACAGAAAGAAACTCGAGACTGAGAAACGGATGAGCTCAATCGTCTTTATACATCTTGATTCTACAAAAAAGCAACATCTTCATACAGCCCAGTAACCAGTCCTGTGGTTCATCTTGCCTACAAATGGTACCTCAGGTTGCCTTGCATTGTTGTTGTGTTGCTAATTCGAGCTCTCGCGTTCTGGACCTCTAGATCCTCACCAAGCCCATGAACGTCAAGATACGGCAAGGTACCTTTCGGTTCCTGCATGAGATACGTCAGTTGCCGTACCTCTGTGCAAAACAGTGAGCGAGTGGTTCGCCCTAGACCCTTGGAGGCTCCCGTATCCTGGACGGCACAACGTTGGGCTAGGTATGATGAGCCGCTGGGTTGGGCCAATCATCATCAACGGCCGGGGTTGCTGTGCGGCGCTTAACGGCGGTGGAGTTCCGGAGAGGTTGGACAAGCGACGCGGGTACGAATTTACGACGGGGCCACACGGCTCCGGGAAATTGGAGGCTTCAAGGCCTGCAGCGTCGGGCTTTTTCTTTTCTGGCATCTCTCATAAAGCGAGTGGAGAGGAAAATAGGCGCGTCCAATGGCATGTCATTGAGCCACGCCCTGGTATTGGATGGCTGCGCGCCTGTTTTGAACCAGGCTAGATGGACATGATTGGATCTGCTTCATCCCGGCGTACTCACCTAGCTTCAACCTTGGCCTTGACCTGGTGGGTATCTATGCCTTTTCTCCATCTTGAACTGTTCGTCGAATAGACCACTAAGCGCGGCCGTTGTGGGACGACAATGGCGGAGGCTGAGGCGCCTGTTCATACGAGCTAGCCCAGGCCCCAAAGACATGCAGGTACCGGACCTGAAACCAGGTCTGGCGGTTGCTGGCCCAGGCCGCATATCTTAGCTTCATGGAGCTTCTTTGTTGAGGCCCATACTGGGCCCGTTCCTGGGCCATTGTTGGTCTGACGCGTTCTGTATGCGCGAGTATCTATGCACTGATCATCGAGCCTCTTGAGCCTCACACAGCCGGGGGACGACGATGGTTGGCCCGCGGACGGTCGGTTCGCTGTTGATCGACTTGGCATCAGTTGGGTCCTTGCAATCGAGAGTTCGCGATAGAGCGCTCGACACGGTCTAGACCTTGTTAAGTCGCCCCTTCACAATAACGACGGCTTGCTTCGGATTGTGGGCGGGCGCATGAGGTCGGTCTATCGGCCGCAGAGGGCTGTGAGTCCTGCAAATGTGATCGCCCGACGATCAGGGCATGCATAGGCATGATTGTCGACTCGCAACGATGCCCACGCGCATTAAGACAGCTGTCAAACCTGTGAGTATGATGTCACATTGCACGAGGTGAAAAAATCCATGAGGACCTAAGTATTGAATGTGGTTCGCTTGAAATTTCAGTATATGGTTCACGTGTTGCAGTCTTCTTTTGCCTGCCGATACGCCTAGGTAAAAAAGCCTATCAGCACACGTCGTCTCGCCTTACCATCACCGCGGCGGCCTCTTTGCTTGCGTTGCTGCTTGGCCAGTGATGCTGTAAGGTTGGGTGAGCCCCGTCTCTTCCACTCCAGGTCTTCGTCTCCGCGTCTTTGTATCATTATTGTAGGCTTAACCAAGCAAGTCGTCCAGGCCGTGGTTTCCGCCGGTGGAGGAGTTTCCGGCTGGCTTCGGTGTCGACGCCGCAGCAGGGGCGCCCCAGATTCCAGCACTGCTCTTCTCCTTCGCAAGCTGACCCAAGGCCGGGCCAGTGGTGGGTGTGCTTGTCTTCTTGACACCGGAGCTGGCCTGTGACCACAGGGCGCCGAAGGCGTCACCACCGGCAGCGGCCGGCTTAGCAGCAGCCGAAGCTGGCTTTGCCGCCGCCGCAGCACCAGGAGTAGAAGCGAAAGAGCCACCAGTAGCCTGCGGAACCGCGGTCTGAACGGAGCCGAAGTAGTTGGGCCCTGAAGGCTGGTATCCACTAGGCTTGATCTGTGCCGCGGGGGAGGCGACAGCGGGCGTGCTGAAAGCTGAGTAGTTGGCGCTCGGGGCGGGCGACATGGAAGACATGCTGACCATGTTGCCGATGTTGGCCTGTTGAGGTGCGGAGACCGGCTGGGGCGCGGCGAAAGTTGTGGCAGAGTTGGCTGTCATGACGGGAGGGGACATGGGAGTGGCTGCTGCGGGAGCCGAGGGCGCGGATTGGAAGTCGTCAAAGTCATCGTCGTCGTTGGCGGCGACCGGAGCAGCAGACAGAGAGGCGAAACCGGACCCGTTGGATGGGGCAACGGGGGCTGGCATAGAAGCTGGCGCAGGATCGTCGAAGGAGAAGAGGTCAACTTCGGGCTCCTTCTTCTTGGGAGGCTCGGTCTTGGGAGCGGCAGCGACAGCCCGCTCTGGTCTCTTGGAGCGAGACGACGAGGAGCTGGCAGCTGGACGAACGTCATCCTCACCCTCGTCGTACTCTTCAAACTTGTCGCCGTGAGACTGTGTTTTGCCGTAGTCGTTGCTCTCCTCTCCGCCGAATCCACCACCGTCACCGTAGACGCCTCCGGAGTAGCCACCGTAGCCTCCCTGCTCGCTGCCGAATCCTCCATAACGACTGCCGCTCCCGCTCGAGAAACCGCCTCCCATACTCATTCCACCTTCGACACCAGTGTACTTGTTCTTGGTTGCCCGCGCCTTCTTGCGCTCCGTTCGGATCCGCTCGACGTCGCCTAGGAGTTCGGCCAATTCCTTGGCACGGTTGCGAACGTTGATTCCTTGGTCCTTTCCGTTCTGATCGATAAAGTGGAACTGGCGAAGCATCTTGAGGAGTGTGATGTGACCGCGGGCATCGTCGATGACTCGTTCGGAACCGTGCTTAATAAGGAACTCGAGAAGCTGAAGAGCTTTGTAGATTTGCCGCCACTCTTCGGCGGACTTTTCTGTGAATCGACGGTAAATCATAGGCATGATCTCGTTAAGAGTAGCACTGGGACTGCGTCAGCGTCGTTGATTCCTACAGTCCGATTTGGGGGAGGTTACTAGTTGAATGTGCCGTTGGCAATCTCCTGCATCAGCGATGAGGACGCGCCCCAGGGTTCGTTGTTGGTTGCCTCTCGGACCTAGCACCTGTTAGACAGACTGGAGTCTGCGTTGGGCTGGATATCCAATGGACGAACCTTTGACTCCATTTCCGTGTAATTCATCACGGCTACGCGCAATTAGCATGCGATTGAGAAGGGACTGGCCTGGACAGTTGGTGATTACCATTCTGGACCTTTCTGACGCCGGCCTTGACGTCGTACAGGGTCATGTTGGAGACCGTGTCCTTGAGGTTGTTCCAATCCATTTTGGCGGTTTCGAAGGGGTGACGATGGGGAGGAATTCGATGAACGGCAAGCAGCGAGAAGCCCAAAGGCGCAGGTGAAGGTGGTAAACACGAAGACTCGATGCTCCTGTGATTCTTTGTCGACGTTTCAAAGAGAAGCGCAATCCAGCGACCTGGCCACCCTGGAACTTTCAGGCCCAAGGTCAATCGGTCTCGGGCAGTGCGGCGGCAGGGGGGTACGTACCGCTGGGATGAGATAAGATTGGCTCAGTCCTGAGGGAAAGGAAATATGGGGAACGACGGTACCGAGTCACGTGGTGCGCCTTCCGTAGAAAGAAAGCGTCAGCGAGCAGCCGCCAACGGAGGAGGAGCAACTTCCAATTTAGCAAGAGCTTCCCTGGTCGTCGGTACGTACCGCGATGCACCTACGTAGTACACAGTAAAGTAGGTACGCTTCGATCAGCTCACAGCTTGATTCGGGACAGCTACTGTTTCCGGATGAGATATTCTCAGATACCATCAATTGATTGATGCTGTTCAAGTTTCAGCCATGCGTAGTCCTGTAATATGAATGATCTCAGCTTGCTGTAGACATTTCAGTCTTGCCTTGGGTTTCCAGCAGACTTAATAGAAAAAGGCAATGGAAGGCCTTGAGCTCCAAGTCGACAGCTGTCCATCTCCAATTGAGGGCGCCCGTGCTCTAATTCCCTCCCTGGACCGTGGGTGTGTTCCTCAGGTTGCTGTCGTGCCGTGCCGTGACCATCCGCCCCCTTTGGGAAGTCCCTGACCTCACCAAAACTTTTTTCTCCTGAGAAGACTGCAAAAGTTAAATTCTTCTCCCATCGGCGACTTTCATCGACCTTCGTGTATCAACAAAACTTCATCTCATTTCTTTTACTCTGTACCTGTACCAACACGTAGACTGTGTAATCCTGCTCTTTGAGGTGTGTAGAACCAGTTCCTTTCGTCATGCTTCAATTCGCATCCATTTTTCTCTGCATCCAACACAAGCTTCTCTCTCCTTACCAAAGCTGCCCATTCATCCACCTTACCTTACCTACCTTGCCCATTCCCACATGAAGGTCGTCGGAGCTACCAGAGCTGGTCGTGCGGCCAATGCGGTTCTCATGCAGGCCAATTGGGCTGTCAGAATGGACGGGAGAGCTTTTCCATCCAGCCTCTACAACTTGAGATGCTCGCGCATGAGCCCATGGAGCCTACCTGGCATCTTGAGCATAGCTCCTCGCACGAGCACAGGCTTGGACTGGACTTTGTCTTGTATGCCAACACTGGCGACGGCTCGAGAGCACCAGCCCCCGGTGACGCCGCGGCTTTGGATGGTGTCATTCTTCATCCCGGAAACTGGACGGCCTCATTGGCGTTCGGCTGTTGGGTGTTTTGATGCCCGTCGATGGCCGATGCATTGCCTTTCCTTCCCGGCTTGTCACGTCACGTCACTCGTCCACCGCCGGTCCGCCGCCGTCGCCGCTGGTGTACCATCCACTCGTCCATCGAAGCTACCATCCCCCCCGCTCCCAGTGGACGCAAGATTCCACGAGCTTCCGAAGGGTTGTCAAGGGACAACGTGGGCCAGTGGGGGACGGTGACTTGGCCGTGGCTGACAGCCAGACAAACGACTCCATCCGGCTGTGCCAGCTTGCTGTCGTTGCCGCCCGCCCCAGGGTGCCTCCCTTGTCGCTCCAATAGCCAGCGGCTTCGGGGTTTTGACGTGCATCCGTCTGTCCTGCCCGTGCCGCACCTTAGGTTACCAATGGCTCTTCTGTTCGCCGCCCTGCTCGGAGGCATTCATCTCTCTTTGAGCTTGTGAGTGAGGGAGTTCATCCAGGTACCACTGTGAAGCTGGCAGGCCGGTGGAGGTACAAGCCGTCATCCCCTAGCACACCGTCTTCAGCCCAAGCACTGCCACCGTGGGACATTTTCTCTCAGTACTTGGCTTCTGATTGAGAACCGTCCTTCGTCCCCAACGATGCCGGCTGGCCGGGTAACTGGAATGGTTGAGCTTAACCTCACGTTGCTGTTTTGCTCTCCCTATCCGGTTTGCCTGTCGAGCTAGGCGCAAGGCGGGGTTGACTGGTTGATGAAGTCATCCTATTCGTCTCTTTCATATTGGCTATGGCCTGGCTCAGGCTTCGCCCTCTGGCTTCTGGCTTGATGGAAGTTAGCGAGCACCAGCAACATAAGCAATTGGGCTGGCCTAGCTGGGCTGGACTGGACTGAAGTTCTGAACTGGCGGGCTGAGGCGAGACCCAACCAAAAACCAAGCAGAGAAAGCCGGGAAGAAGATCCCTTTGCCCCTCATTTTGTCCAGTGCTCTGCTCTTCTTTCCTTCCTGCTTCTTCCCAGTTGTTGCAACTTTCCCTGGCGCCTGCCCCTCCCCGCCGCATCGCCTCCCTCCTTCCCTCCCATTACGCCCCAACCCGACCCCTCCTTCCGTCACCTTGACCTTCTCGGCGGTACTTGCGCCTTGTACCAGCTACGTACCTGGGTCAGGTACTTCCCGGTCCGTCAGTGACCTCAGCAACAGCTCACTTCACGTGACTTCCCACCCCTCTTTTCTTCATTCCTTGACTTTTCATTCGCCCCTTCGGCACCCGCAGTGGAGAGCTCTTGCGCTAACAATAAACCCCTCCACCCAGCTGTTGAAAAAATGAGACCAACCCTTTTGCGACCCCTCCTACCCCGCCATACCTTCTCCTGCTCCTCCGTTTCACCCTCGCCCTTTTGTCGACCTTCTGCCTTCATTCAACCTCTCCGAACTGTGATTCCTGCATCTACCAAGCCATCCGTTCGATTCTTCTCAGCATCCAAAATCATGCCTAACTCCCAAGTGTAAGTTATTCCTCACCTCGGTCTTCCTCAAGACGATCATCATCGTGGTGCTCTCAATGACGCAATAACTAACCTTCTGTTCAGTTACTTCGACATTGAGTGGGAAGGTCCCGTCCTCGACGGCTCCGGACGTCCCACCTCTACCGTCCAGCGTAAGTTTTTTTCACTCGCCCATTGAGTTGCATCAGAACAATCATCACCATGGTTGTTTCTGATGTTTCTAGCATCAATATGCCTATGTCCACAGCTCTAGAGGGCATGGAAATCACCCCACCTAGACTCCAAGACTTGAGCTCTGCTGTCCGCAGTCTTTCTACCTACCTCGCCATCTTGACCGCAACCAGAGCTTCGCTGACCATGCTTCCCTCGTACAGAGCAGAACGGCCGCATCGTCTTCAACCTCTTCGATGACGTTGTCCCCAAGACCGCTGCCAACTTCAAGGCTCTCTGCACCGGCGAGAAGGGCTTCGGCTACCAGGGCTCTTCCTTCCACCGCATCATCCCCGACTTCATGCTCCAGGGTGGTGACTTCACCCGCGGCAACGGCACCGGTGGCAAGTCCATCTACGGCGAGAAGTTCGCCGACGAGAACTTCAGCTTGAAGCACGACAAGCCCGGTCTGCTTTCCATGGCCAACGCCGGCCCTAACACGTAAGCTCTCCTCTTTGGCCACCATTCTTCCCAACGCAGTAGCTAATCCTCCACCAGCAACGGCTCCCAGTTCTTCGTCACCACCGTCGTTACCTCGTGGCTCAACGGCCGCCACGTCGTCTTCGGCGAGGTTGCTAACCAGGACGGCCTCAACATCGTCAAGGCTCTCGAGGCTACCGGCTCCTCCAGCGGTGCCGTCAAGTACGGCAAGCGCCCCACCATCGTCGCCTCTGGTGCGTTGTAAAGTGCTTCTCGTTTGGTTCTTTGTACGTTAGGTCCTGCTTCTGAAATGTCGCGAGAGACACCTTGACGCGAAAGGAGGATGATTTGGTAGGGACTTGGGAATTGCGCCATCACGCAGCTTGGTGGCAATCAGCTTCACTGCTGCTATACAGTCTGCCAAGACAAAAAGTTACTGCCACTCTTTGTTTCCATTGCCTCCATAAGTGACGTTTTGCCTTGATGACCTGATGGAAAGATCGTGTGGCAATCCTGCTGCTCGCAACCAAAGGAACATTAAAGACCTAAGTTTACCAGAATATCCTGACAATGGACCTCCCAGTGGAACTGTCAATGCATTCAAACAACTTGGGGCATGGTGGGGTAAAACATGTCATTGGTATAATTACAATCAATGGCTGGCCGCCATTGAAGTTAAATTCCGCTTGGGAAGGACAGAAACTCTACCCTGAGCCCCCATGGCAGACCTTCCCGCCCATGTCCTCTCTTTTTTGATAATTCGTGCCAACGCCAATGCAATGCTTCCCATGATGTGAATCAATCAGACCCAGAAAACCGAAATAAAGGACCGTTTTTTGAATGACTCCTAGACAGAACCCCAGTCTTTTCAGCTAGGCTCTTCCCTCTGATGTCTTGTGAAACCCCAAGTCCCATGGACCTCATTCCAAGCCTAACCACCGCTGAAAATAGACGCAATTGCTCGCGCTGACGGGACCGCCCTCCTCACAAAGCTCAAACACGGGACACCGGCCGCAAGGAGCCTCCGTGTACCCATTGACAAACGGCTCCGGCGCGCCCTCATCGTCCTGGCGGCCCGCCCACGGCGTCTTGCTCTGCCGCGGGGCGCGGCAGACTCTGTAGCCCAGCCGGCCCGAGACGCGGATGGGCTCGATGAGGCCGTCAAATATGAGCACGTCAATGAGCTTCTGCATGTCTTCTTCGCCGAGGATCGTGTCGCTGGTGATACCGGACTGAGAGACGAAGCGCGCGATCTCGCGCGTGGTGGGGTATTCTTTGAAGCCGGCGGGGAGGGGCAGGCAGGTTGGTTCTCGCTTGGGGGGTTGGACTGCGGGAGAAGACTTATTCTCTGCGTCGTTTGTGCCTGACATTTCCCCCGCGCTGCGCTTCTTGCCCTTGGTGTCCGGCGGGCCACCCTTGAGGACGCCCTTCTTGGGCACAGCGGTGCGGGCTGTGGCGGACGTGGAGGAGGAGCCGGTGCTGTGGTAGGTGCTCTTACGCTTGACATAGTCAAAGATGACGCGCTGGACTTCCTCTATGAAGGCCTCGTCGAACGAAGAGTCGGTGAACCAGGGTCCGCCGGTGGCGCGTTCCGAGGGCCGCATGGAGGCCTTGATGAACATGCGCTTGTTGGGATGTTCCACGTTCTTGAAGGGGGCGATGAGGCCCTTTCCCTGGAGCTGTTTGAGGGCTGTTTTGAGGACCGAGTCGTGCATATTGAGGCGGTTCTGGATTGATTTGGACCAGATTCCGTCGCCGCCTGCTTCGTCTATTGCGCCGTAGACCATACGCTGTTCATCTGTTGTGCAGAGTTTGTACCTGGAGGAAGGGGAGATTGGTTAGCATGGCTGACAGCAGGCCAGATTGAAGACGAGGGTGTGTACTCACTTTTCCGCATCTTCGACGGAGCGCCATCGCCAGGCGAGGCCGGTCTGGGAGGAGACGGCGATGAGGAGGCGGTCGTTTGTGAGGCTCTGGAGGCATTTCAAGAGGGTGACGGTGTCGCGGTTCGGAATCACGTCAAAGTCGAGGAGGTCGTATTGGGTGAAGAGGTCGTTCTCGTCGCCGGCCTTTTGGAATTTTTCGTACAGCATGTCCTTCCACACCTCTAGCTTGGAGTCGGTGCTCGAGGTCGTGGCCGCCGAGGGGGAGTCCGCCGCTGGGGGTGCGGAAGCCATTGCGGCTGTCTGCGGCGGTGGCCTGTCGCGCTTGTGGTATGTGGTCGTTGGTAGAAGGTAACGTATGAACTACGGCGTCGGAATGTCTGTGGGGTCGGTTCAAGGCCAGCTGTATCGTGATACAGTCGCGGGAGAATTGGTGGTGAAGAGAGGTCGATCGGTGGTGGTGGGGGAGTTCGTGCCTGGGGGATTTTTTTGTCGTCCGGGGTCGTACTCTCAAGCGGGTTTCGCGCGATCGAGGGGTCGGCGGTTTGCGCCAGCAACGTATTATGAGGTGATATGACGAATCGAACTTTGGACTTATATTATAGATCGAAAGCCAAGGTCGTCAATTGAATCGCATTCGCAGCTATGATATTTGAAGTTGTCTACAGAAAAGAGAAGAGTCGGGTCGGGGCGGACGCCTGAGAGGCGCTTCGCCCACGGTGCGGGTGAGGTGGGTGCGGTTGACTTGGGTCGGCGACGATGGTGGGATTGGTTTTTGGAGCTGCATCAGAGGTCGATCAGCACTGCGGGCAGCCCAAGAAAAAAAAAATAAACTGCCCCGCCTCTTAGAGCCAAAGGACCTGCGCACCTGGCGGCACATCAAATCAGCCTTGCATTGGTGCCGGATGAACTGCGGGTGCGCTGCAATTGCGCTGGGATTTGGCCTGCTGAGGAACGAACGGTACGTACCGGTTATGTTTGGTGGAGTATGGTGTTGAACAACGCTCTCTTGGTCAAGCTTGAGATATCTTGTTAAAGACAATACGATTGTATTCTTTTGGACTTGGAATGTCTTCAGTAGAATCCTGAGAGACGATTGGGATTTTGGCTCAGAGGACATGATGTACGCGCCATTTATCCAACCAGTTCTCCGAGTGACTCACTGCGAAGAAGCCTCAAGGTTGAGACGACATGTCAGCCTGTGCCTCGGATGGTTCTGTGGCACAGCCAGCTTAGAACCTAAATGCCAGTTTAAGAATCGCCGTCAAGTAGTTCACGTTTATCTGACGGTCTTAAAGTCCATGGTGTGAGAGGACGTTAGTAGGTCTTGTCAAATTTGAGCATCGATCATAGACACTTTTAGACACCATTCTCCTAACATGAGCTTCGTGCCTCATCGCCAGCTCGAGGTGAGGTAAGAGGTCTTTTCTTCATTGGCAGACCGCGTTCACTAGAGTTACCTTCACGAGCTACCGACATGCTATGAGCATTCATCATGAAGGTTGTTGTTCGATATTTTCTGCAATACCAGAGGACGTTCGCAGCATCCAGAAATATTTCTAGTGCCCTACTCGATACCTAGCAACATTTCTGGGTTTAATACACAATGCATGACGTGAATCTTGGATGCAAACAGCGCCTTGGACAAGATCACACCGACGTTGAGTCATGCTCAGCTTCTTGATGCTAGTACGCAATTAAGAGGGGGAATTGAATATCGCCTTGAAACAGTTGATATAACTACGTTTCATTTTATGTGCCAAAACAAAGAAGACGTCATCGTGCAAGTAATCCAGCTTCATAGACGTCTTTGAACAAATGATATTTGCCAACTGTTGCGTTGACAGACTGCTTCCGCCTTTTTTAACCCCCAAAACACAAGCATTGAACTCTTCAGTATCACTACAGCCCACGTAATCGTGGGAGGAGCGGCCAACCGTCACCTTTTTTTTTAGTCATTTTCTAGACCCAAATTTCAAGAACTTTTTTTATCAAAAACATGGGCGGCTGCTTAGACTTGCAATCGACGCTAATACGGGCGACGGCCATTGGACTAGAAAGGCCGTATGTTGATGAACATCGTCACCCTTCATGAAACACTACCAACCTCACACCATGAACATCATTCTATGCGGTTCAGAGCATCAGCGGCGGAAAAGATGAGATTTAAGCCTCCTGGAGACTTCCCCAATCTTCAAGACTCTGCTCACACAATCCTATATAGGAGTTCAAGGCGGAACCATTCCCGGGACCACGGAACACGGACCATAGAAACCGCACATAAAACCGGAGCACCGCTCCCCGCCCCACTTTCCCGCAAGAAAAATTGGACCAAATCTCTTCACATCACGGCTCTGACCCTACTTCTATGACTCAAACGCGAACCTCCGCAACAACGAGCAGGTCCATCGGATCAACTTTCAGTAACCCGCCTTGCTAGCTCAATCGGTAGAGCGTGAGACTCTTAATCTCAAGGTTGCGGGTTCGACCCCCGCGTGAGGCTCAAATCCTCACCGCGATTGGCAAAGCCACTCTTCGGGTTAATCTTTTGCTTTTTGTGAGTCTTGGACGATGACCTCTTCTGTTTTCCCTCCCTCCCTTTACTGTTTTGTGTTCATGTGCGGGTACTATGTATAGTAGGTTGGCATCCGTTGGTCCATATGATGGTTATCGGGGTGTCCCATGAGGATGGTTCGCTCAACATATATGTATCAGCAGAGCTGTTTCTTAATGATATCTCGCTGTACTACGCCTTTCTCTTCTAGGCAAACGCTCCCACAATAGCCATGAGTGATGCTCCGCCAATCACCGCCATGTAGGCATTCAGCCGCTTCCGTCCTTCTAGAATCTTGTAGCTCTTCTCGGAGAGGAAGTCTTCGGCGAGCAGCTGGACCAGTCCAGCAAAGAGAAGTAATCCAGCCGAGATGGCGTTCATGAACCCAACCATCAGTAACCCGGTCTGGCTCATGGGATCATACAGATTATGCACGATGAGGCCAATGAGTTGACCGAGCGGTGTCGTGCCTCCAAAGGCGAGTACCATCAGCCACGGCCGCGCTGATGATCGAGGTAGCTGGATGGCAGCGATTCGGCTTCCCAGAGCCAGCCCCTCAAATGTCTGGTGGAAGCTGATGGCAATGAGGAACACGATAAAGGTCGGGCCTGTCGCGACCGAGATAGCCATGCCGATAAATACGCTGTGGAAGAGAATCCCTCCTTCTAGTAGCAGACATTGGCGGAGAAGCTTGCTCTGCTCCTCTTCCGTGACGATCTGGGGTGCGCCGGGGGTAACTGTAATCTTCGGGCGAATGCCAGGTGAGCTTCGGCGTCTGGGTTCGTCGGCGGGGGTTGGGTCTAGCTCATTGACATCGAGGTCAATGTCCGACTCGTCGTCGTCGTCGTCGTCGTCAAAGCTATCTCGACCGTTGGCAAGGCTATCGTTCGCTTTCGCACGGGTCGGTGTCGAACTCGGCAAAGGCGATGCGCCCGCCATCAGCCCCTGAGTAGAATCCATGTTATCGAGGTTAATATCTTCCGGCCGGTGAGAGCCGTGTCTGTGCGACGCCAAACTTCCCGTGGCATGGGCGTTTGCTGGCGAGTGACCGCTACCCTCTTCATCATCCCAGTACTCGTACTCGTGTGAATGGGAGTGGGAGTGACCGGCCCCGCGGGTGGCTAGGTAGGACTCGAGCGCGACGACAGAAAGTGCTGCCACCATGGCGATCAAACCTGCCATCTGGGGGTAGCCTTTGTTGAAGACGAATGGAAGGCAAGGGTCGGTGAGTGAGGTGAAGGCGGTTGGGAGTAGGTGGACAAAGGACGTTGCGAGGAGGACACCGGTGCCGAAGTGCTGGCAGTAGAATAGGATTATGCTTTGCGGTCGGCCTTTGGAGGTTCTTCGGGGGAGTAATGGGATTCCGCATGCTGTCACTCATTAGCAAGCGTTTCTTCGTATGGTGTTATACCAAGACCTTGGCCGGAAGCTCCTCCTGAGCGCTCAGTCGTAGACCAACATGGTCTCGCGAAGTATAGTCCAGCGCAAGGTGTCACTTACAAATTGTACTCAACGCCAATATCAAGATCAGAGCGCCAATGTGCAGCGCGGTATCATAGGACTCCTTCCTTGATGAACCGCATTGTGGCTTTGTTGCCTCTGCCGCAGCAGCTTCGGCGTTCGTGACTGGAGGTCCATGTCGCTTGGATAGTTCGGCGAGGAGGAATTCAGTCGGTATCGAGGCCCAGGAAGCGGCATCTTCGGAAGGATACAAGAGTCAGCGATAAAGGCCACATCGACATATCAAGCTTGACATGAGTGAACCTTTCCTTCGCTGCCGGATACCTTGGAATAGTACACACCTCTTGGCCAAACTCCCGTGGCTCCTGTATCACCCATTCTGGACTGCGGACGTTGATGATGTCTGGCACAATACCATGGCGGCTCTGCACCGGGGAAAAGATGCAGACGGGATGGTTCAAGAAGACAGAACCTAAATAGAGGGACAGAGAAGGGAGACGGATCGTGCTTCGTTTTCGTCCCAAGTCTGCGCCCTGGGAAACGCGGGACCCGAAAGATGTGTAAAAGTGCCCGGTGGTGAGCAGCACCGAGAGACAGGCACCTACGGGCCCTTTGCCCTTTGGGGAGGTGCTTTGGGGGGGGCGGAGCTTCTGCATTGCCTGGAGCTTCCCCCCCGGTCCACTGTGTCCTGATCTTCAACCCCGTGGCCCCCAGTGCCCCCCTATGAAAACATGCGCACACGGGGGCCGCTTAACCCCTTGGATTTGCTGTAAAGCAGGGGTAACGGAGTCTCGGGGCCACATTGACAGCTGCAATCTGCGCTAACAACGTAATCGCCCAGCGAAGCGAGGGGGTTGCGAAGCCAGGGCCGTTTCCAGAATCGATAGACCCCCTGCCAACGCTGGGCGTTGATGTCTTATCGCTCAGCCAGATTATGTCAGCCTTCTTCGATAAGATAAGAGCTATGACGAATGGTGGGCCTCGGCAACATGACTAACCGATTCGCGATATCGGTCGTCTATCGCAACAGCTCCCAAATTCCGACTGAGACCCAGCTCTGACCCCCCAGGTCTGTGACACACAGCTTCCCAACCTCGTCTCAACCTCATCTTTGCAACTCAAGTTACGAACTGAGGTATCGAACATCATGGCTGGAGCTCGTCGACTACAATTGGCCGGTTTGGCCCTGCTCGGTGGTGTGTCCGCCCTGCAGATGCAGATGCAGATACCTGAACAACAGGCACCGATGATTGCCGACGAGGCGCCTATCGTCGCAACATCCCCGTCCACCGCGTCGTCGTCGTCGTCGTCTTCTTCCAAGAAGCCATTGGTCGAGACCGAGGCCCTTCAGGGTACCATCAATGCCGACAATCTCCTTGCGCGCGCAAAGGACCTCTACGATATCGCGAAGCTGGGAGAGGAGGAGTACAACCACCCAACGCGCGTCATTGGCAGCGATGGTGCGACCGTTCTCCCAGCAACTAACTATTCTTCATGCTTACCAGTCGCATAGGTCATCTCGGAACTTTGGAGTACATCTACTTTGAGCTCGCGAAGCTGGGCGACTACTACAAGATCTGGAACCAGACTTTCCCCGCCGTTTCGGGCAATGTCTTCGAGTCGCGCCTTGTTATCGGAAACGATGTGCCAAAATCGGCCTCTCCTATGGCCCTGACCCCGCCCACGAAGGACAAGGAGCCCGTGTACGGCGACCTCATCTTCGTCGAGAACAACGGATGCGACGCTTCCGACTACCCTTCCAAGGTGAAGGGCAACATCGCGTTCATCCGCCGCGGCACCTGTGCGTTTGGAGCCAAGAGTGAGCAGGCCGGCAAGGCTGGTGCCATCGCAGCTGTCGTGTACAACTACGAGACCGAGACTGTGCACGGCACACTTGGAACGCCTTCTCCCGATCACATTGCCACCTTTGGTCTGGGTGGTGACGATGCTAAGCCCATTCTTGAGAAGCTGGGCAAGGGCGAATCTGTTGATGCTATTGCCTACATCGATGCCGTTGTCAACACCATCCAGACCACCAACATCCTCGCCCAGACCATCGAGGGTGATCAGGACAACTGCGTGATGCTCGGTGGACACAGTGACAGTGTTGCTGAGGGACCCGGCATCAACGATGACGGCTCCGGCAGCTTGAGTCTTCTGGAGATCGCCACTCAGCTGACCAAGTTCAGCGTCAACAACTGCGTTCGCTTCGCTTGGTGGGCCGGTGAGGAAGAGGGCCTTCTTGGCTCTGACTACTACGTTGATGTCTTGCCCGAGGAGGAGAACCAGAAGATCCGTCTCTTCATGGACTACGACATGCTTGGCAGCCCCAACTACGCCTACCAGGTCTACAACGCCACGAATGCCGTCAACCCCACTGGCTCCGAGGAGCTGCGTGACCTCTACGTGGACTGGTACAAGGCTCACGGCCTTGCTTACACCTTCATTCCTTTCGATGGTCGCAGTGACTATGACGCTTTCATCCGCAACGGCATTCCCGGTGGTGGTATTGCTACCGGTGCTGAGGGCATCAAGACCAAGGAGGAGGCCAAGCTGTTCGGCGGCAAGGCCGGCGACTGGTACGACCCGTGCTACCACCAGTTGTGCGATGATGTCGGCAACGTTAACTTGACTGCTTGGGAGCTTAACACCAAGGTGAGTTTCGTGACATCCCAAAACTCACTCACAATACTGACACACGTCTTAGCTGGTTTCTCACTCTGTCGCTACCTACGCCGTGTCCTTCAAGGGCTTTCCCGAGCGTACCAAGGCGGCTGCTGCCTCGACCTACTCGAAGAAGACCAAGTACCATGGCAGCAAGCTTTTCATCTAGGTGTGAGAGGACAAGTTCTTTCAATACTATGAAGAACTAGTGTACACTATCTAGCATATGGTAATAGGAGTATATCAAGATGGGTTGTGTTGTAGTGTCGGAGCAGAGGATCTGTTTATTTGGCGCGCATTCATTTTACTAGTTACTTCATAGATAACAAGTTTGCATTGAACGACATTGCTCTACAGTCTTCATGTGTGTGAAAACAATCATCCCTACGTGTATCCGACGGTGATTGTAGCTGTCAAGAACCGATGAGAGCACCTAGGGATCCATCGGCATAGAGAGCGGAGGCACGGGGTGGCTGGTTGAGGAACCCCGGAGAGCGGAGACGTTCTAGTTACCCCAGATTTCCCACCTCGTTGGATCCCTCCCACGTCCTTGGCATCCTGCATTCACATCCAACTACAACACCATGTCAAACTTGCTTGAAGCTGACACCTGAAGTGTCAGCCATCCCCGAGTCGCTGAACAGATATCAAACTCAATGCCCTCCGGTTCAGTCAGTCGGACCGGCGCATGCCAGCGCTGTCACCGCCGAAAGGTCAAATGCGACCGCACTCGACCGTCATGCGCCCCTTGCTCGCGAATCAACGTCCAGTGCACATATGCCGCGAGGGAACATCAGATACAACTCCGCCGCCAGGATGTCGAGAGGCTTGAGCAACATATACGAGACCTGCAGGCGGAAAATGACAACCTGACTGGGAGACTGGTCGATGCTCAGCAGCAACACCAACCAGGCACTGAGAATGAGAGACTCGCGACTCCGACTACAACGTCAAGCCTGGGGCTGCAGACTGACGAGTCCGAAGCACCAACTGCTGGGAGCGGCGAGATTGCCAGCCAGGTCATCCACCTGTCACTCAGCGCTGGAGGGGGTCGAGACTTTGTCGGCTCGACGAGCGGCCTGTTTCTCGCCAATTTGTTACAGTCTCATAGCCAGTTTGCCGGGGCAGCTAGCCATACCGTTGGACAACACCCAAGCTCAACATCGCGCCATCATGGACGTAAGGGAAGCCTTGTGCCTAATGGATCTTCGAGTCTGCCTCCAAGGAGCATGACGGTAGAGATACTCGACGCATACTCCAGCCATGACCGGCTTTGCTACCCATTCCTCTCACCAAAAGCACTGGACCGGGCATTAGATGCTGTGTATGACGTGGGAACCCCGCGAAACGCAAGTCCCATCGACAGCTTTCTCGTCGACATGACTCTTGCCATCGGTACAGCGCAAGTCTACAAGCTGAACTGGAACGGGTTCTGGGATTCCGAGGTCCACTACACCCGAGCCATGACGCGCTTGGGCGATGTGCTCTCTCGTGGCGGCATCACTGCCCTTCAGGCTTTGCTCCTGATCTGTCAGTACCGGATGGGAACGACATCACATGACACGAGCACCAGCGTGTGGCACTTGATTGGCGTTGCGGCGAGGACATGCTTCGAGCTTGGGCTGCACAAGGCGTCGACGTATACCATCCCTCAGTCCCGGCCCGGTGACGAGGCGGATGTAGAGGGCAGGCATGAAGACGTTGAAATCAAAAGGAGGTGCTTTTGGAGCGTGGTGTCGATGGATCGAATTGCCAGTCTCATTCTGGGGCGACCGCTGGCCATTCAGCTCGAGGATATTGACGTTGAGCTCCCACCCTTCGATATGCCCAGCAGCCCCGTTCCGCTTCTAAATTCTTTGTCAACGGCTCCCTTCATGACGCCGGAGTGGCATCTAGGGACCGCAATATTCGTTCACATCGTCAGGTACCGATTAATTTGCGGCAAGATTCTTAACGTCCTCCACCGCAGTGCCAACACAAACCGAGACCCGGTCTCCTACGAAGATAGCCGAAGCGCCCTCGTGGAAGAGCTCCAATCATGGCGAGAGGGGACAAGCAACCTGCCCCTGATTCCCGTAGATGCGCCGCTCACCTCACCAGCCAGCAGGTCCAGCTTCCGCTCGGCAGAATGGTACAATCTCTTGTATCACAATGGAATATTGATGTTGTTCCGCCCATCTCCCACTCTTTGCGATGCAACCGGAAATAGCATTGTGCTACAGCACATATTTGATTCATCACAAGAGGCCATTAAGCTGTACGCGAATCTACATCGTTCCAGAAAGATCAACTACTCTTGGGTGACGCTTCACTCCATCTTTATCGCAGGACTCTCCTACATCTATGCATTGAGGAATCATCTTCAGCACATACATAGCCGGAACCCTGCCAACGCAAACACGCCCAGAGCCACACTGCGAGCAACTCCCACGATCAGCCAGGTGGTGAACGATACCCGGGCTTGCTCAAAGGTGCTAGTGGCGGTGTCTGAGAGATGGGCCATGGCACGCAATTGCTCGGAAGTATTCGACCGACTCAGTGACGCCGTTGTCGCCGATATTGTCGAAGCCCAAACTGGACATGCCTCATCATCAAACGAGCCGACATATAATAACCAACCTACACGCGATACAGATCATCTGTCCCAGGCTATGGATATGAGTCTGAATGACGCCATGTACGGTCACGGCCCCGGCACAAACTTTGTCGATATGACCGTCGACGAGACTCTACGAGATTGCTTCGGGGATCTACAGAATATCTGCTACGACCAGTATCATAGCGATGCCATTGCTCAGCTTTCCCAAGATTGGCTGTTCGGAATGGGAGAAACTCCGAGTCGCTATTTTTAGCATTAATGGATTTTGAGAACAAATACGTTGTTCTACTATTGGTACAAGCTATCATTACACCTCAAATCCGACCTCGTTGCAAGAATGTTCTTGGCACCTCGACGTATCTACTCCGTAAGTACTCCGCAATTCCTTTACCCAAGCCATCTATTCTATCCGAGGATGCGATACCTCCATTCAAGTTGTCCAAGATCCGGCTAATATAGTGGTTAGTTAACGCAGTTACAGAAAAAGAGAAGGAGCTCGACTCACAAGTGTACAGCATTGATACCGGGAAACTCAACCCGTTCGACCCTCCGATCTGGATTGTTCTTGTACCAATCGTCACCCAGCAGCTGCTTCAGCCGACCCACGGTCAAGATAGTCCGCAGCCAGGGGTACTCATCTTCGTTGCGAACGAAGAAGCCCACGTTGGAGTTATCAGCCTTATCGCCAGAACGAGCATGGACAATGCTGCCCAAAGGCGCGAACTCTGTCGGGCCCAAGGAGAGGATGTTGACTGGTTCAACCGTGTCGGCGGACGGTCTTTCGATCTTGTATACCGCTATGATCCGAGGTGGAGCAATGGAGATCATCTCTCTTGTGCCCAGAAGCACTTGGTGGTCGATAGCTGATTGCGGTATCAGCGCCGGGAACATCTCCATGAACGGCTTCGGATCCATGGTCCGGAAATCTAGCGACATGTGGTAGCCGGGGTAACTCTGCATTCTCACGGCATATATGGGAACCTTGAAGTTGACGGCTGCAATATCCTCCTTCTTCCGCGCCTGCGCAAAGACACGAAGCTGCACGGTGCCAGCCTGTTGAGAGCTGGGGTTCTTAGCTTGTGTGCCATACTGCTCAATGCTCAGCCTGCTGAAGTTGCTGTCCTTGAAGAGATATCCCAGCTGGTTCTTCATCATGGCCACTTTATCGTTCACGTCAAGTCCGTTGATGTAGAATGTTGCCTCAGCTTGGTATCCGCCTTCGGCAGCGAACATGACTTTCGTTGTTGGTGGAGGCGGAAGGCCTTTAGCACCCCATACTCTGACACGATCTTCCTCAGACTCCTTTTGCTCCTCGACGCGAACATTGGATAAGTCGGCAACCACATCGGGGTTGAGGTAGAGGTGGCCCTGCAGCTCGTATAGCAGCTGTGCCGTGACGGTCTGTCGCGTAACATGGCCGCCGCCCTCGGTAGTCTTGCTGATAACGCACTCGCCGTCACGAGAAACCTCAGCAACAGGGAATGCGAGATCAATCAGTTCTGGAAGGAAGTCTTTGAAGCCGGAGAAGTTGGCGCCCACGACGTACGGACCGCACTCGATCAAGTGCGCCGCGAGCAGGGCCCCAGCCAACTCCTGGTGTTGGTCCTCCCTCCAGCCGTGGTACCACGCCGCAGCGCCCATCACTGGCGACGCGTCGGTACATCGTCCGCACACTACGATGCGCGCACCTGCTCTGAGAGCCTCCACGATTCCCCAGCACCCGATGTACGCGTTGCCACAACACGGCTCGAAGCCCCAGTCGTTGAGGGTGGTCTCTGGATGATCCAAATGCGGAAAGGTCAAGTTCCCTCTTTTCGAAGTATCTTGAAGCAACCCAGAAACATCATCCCCCAGAACAGCGGCAACTACGCTCTCGGGGTATCCCTTCCTCTTACACAGCTCCTTGATCTTGTCGAATAACGCAACGGTGTTGAGCGCTCCCGCGTTCGTCACGACGCGAACGTCCTTGGTCATGATGTCGTCGATGCATTCTTCGAGCTGTTCGTAGAAGCCGTTCTCGTAGCCGAGGTTCGGGTCGACGTCGCGTTTGGTGATTGCGTTCCAGGCGATGTTCATCTCGGAGAGCCAGTCGCCCGTGATGACTTGGACGTTGCCGGAGCGCAGCATTCGCGCCATGGCGTGCGGGTGGTCGCCTGTTGCGCCGGAGACATTTCCGATTCTGATGGTGGGTTTATCGATCATGGTAGAACTTGTAGTTGTTGAAGGAAGGGAGACAGGGCAAGAGAGCGTGAGAGCGAGAGGAGCAAAGTGAGGAGAAGAGGCAGCAGATCAAGGGGAATAGAAGATTAGACTTCAACGCGGTCCACGGTATTTTCATAAGGGACTTCTAAAGCCGTCTGATCTACATGTGCCGACGGATATCTTCGGAATACCAAACGTAAATGCGATCCATTTTCTGGAGCCAGACAAGAGCAACCGCCGATTGTGGACTCAGCACCGAGCCAAGACCTCGAACGGATGTTGTCCGTCTGCAACACCCTGCATGATCCATCGAGATCATAAAGGGTCAAATCAGAGTGATGCGAATGAAGGTATCAAGCAAGAATGCATAGACTTTCGTTGGAGTCTACTAGCTGATCATGGTGATGTACGTTCACGACAGAGCGGCACCACCGACCGAAACATCGGCGCGGCCCCCGAGGCCGAAAACTCGTCCCACAAGTCTTCGCCCAGCCTCTCAACACTTTACTGAGAACCAACACGGCACATGCGAGAGTCTCCAATAACGTATTGTCTGATTGGCTCAGTCTTCAGAGGAATGAGTAAGAAGAGCAATGTTTGGCCCACCGAAACCTTCCCCGATACCACCATCCGGCGGGGAACTGAGCGAACAAATGCCAAGGCGGAAATCTGGAGTTGGAGAGAGGACGGCGGCTGGGCAATGAGAGACGATGAATCCTTTGTGGCGCGTGGGATACCGCGCGGGGATGTGGCCGCTCTCCATGCTCCTCATGGGTCTTGTCGGCCTTCGGCGCCGCTGGCCGAGTTGTGCTTTTGCCGCTTTACGCTTCCGCGACCTTACCACCACTATGCAATGTGGGCGCCGTCACTTTGGGTCCAAGGCTATGGAATATCACCCTGCCACGGTACCACGGCGCCCCCACCAGATATCGCGGAGCCAAGGATGCCAAATCTGGGGTTGTTGCGGGGAAGAGGGACCGAAGGGGGTTTGAGGTTTTGTTGTACGAGATTGTTGTACATATACAGCCTTGGGTACCCTTGACCAAGTTTCTGAACGTGGACCCCGATTCATTGCTTCAGCTATCCAACTTTTTTGCTGTTGTCGCTCGCACCATTATTCTTCGTCTTGTTGAGGACTAGTAGCAACGATAACAGCATCGTCAAGATGGCGACACAGACGGAGACTGTGGCCAAGGGCCTCCCGGCGCAATCGCCAACCGATAATGAGAAGCAGCAGGTTCTTCACCAAGAGCACTTTCATGTCTTGGAGGATGAGAAGAGGCCTGCTGCGGCGGTTGACTACTCTGGAGCTGCAGCCAAGACTGATCCTACGGAGATCAAGCTTGTGAGGAAGTTGGATCTCTGGGTGATGGTATGCCCCCCAAGACTAAAGCTGCTTACCTGAACTCGATCTAACTATCCATGAAGCCAACCCTTTGGTTGATGTACTGGCTCAAGTAGGTTCTTTCCACCGCCACCCAACAACAACTCTCAAAGCCAACCAACTAATAAAACCCAGCTACCTCGACCGCAACGCAATAGCCCTAGCCCGTCTCAACGGCCTCGAAAAGCAACTCGGCCTCAGCAGCGTCGAATACTCCACCAGCGTCTCCATCCTCTTCGTCGGCTACATCCTCGGCCAGATCCCCAGCAACATGATCCTCACCCGCGTGCGGCCCTCCTGGTACATGGGCGGCTTCATGATGGCCTGGGCCGTGGTATCCGCCCTCACTGCCGTCGTAAAAGATTACAAAGGCCTCGTCCTCACGCGCTTCTTCCTCGGTGTTGTCGAGGCGCCGTATTACCCCGGCGCGCTGTACATCTTGTCCATATTTTACACCAGGAAGGAACTCGCGACGAGGATTAGTGTGTTGTATTCTGGGAATATTCTGGCGACTGCGTTTGCGGGGCTGATTGCTGCGGGTGTGTTCCACGGTATGGAGGGACTACATGGTCTCGAGGGGTGGCGGTGGTTGTTTATTCTCCAGGGCGCGGTGACGTTTGTGATCGCCATGATGGCTTGCTTTACGCTCCCCGACGAGCCTCTTACGACGAGGTGGCTTACGCCTGAGGAGCGACAGCTTGCGCATGACAGGATTGAGAGGGATACCGTTGGCGCGAAGATGCAGAGTAGTACCTGGGGTGGTCTGCGCGAGGCGATTGTTGATCCGAAGGTGTGGGTGTTTATCTGGATGCAGCATTGCCATCTTGCGACGAATGGGTTCAAGAATTTCTTCCCCAGTGAGTTTCCTTCTCGGTTCTCTCACTCTCGATACTGCTGGCAGCCACTGACCAATCTGCGTGCGAAGCGATTGTCCAAACGCTCAACTTCAACACGACGATTACGCTGGTCCTGACGTGCCCACCCTACCTCATTGCCGGCGTACTTTCCATCGTTTGGGCGTGGAGCTCGGGTCGGTCCAACGAGAGGACGTGGCATATCACTATTTCAAAGGCTGTTGCTGCGTTTGGGTTCATCTTGGCTTGCGTGACGATGAATACGGGCGCTAGGTACTTTGCCATGACGGTGTTTACTGTTGGCACATACGGCGTGAACTCGATGTGAGTAAACCCCCCCACCCAAGCCTTGGTCCTGGGAGATGTTTTGTGGTCGTATTGAAGCTGACAAGGCTTGGGAACAGCCTGCTTGGTTGGGTTGGAAGTACGTGTGGACAGACGAGAGAGAAGAAGGCTTCGGCGCTGGCGATAGTCAATACCAGCGCTAGTATCAGCTTTATATGGACACCTGTAAGTCAACTACACTTGCCTTTTTCCTCTTTCGAGGTTCCGAGGACTTGGTTGCTAACTGTCTCCCTAGTACTTGTGGCCCACGTCAGATGCCCCGAGATACGTGATTCCGATGGCCAGCAGCGCGGCGTTCTGCGTGGCCTGTGCTGCCGGCGCCTGGTTGATGAAGTGGATGCTTGTTAAGGAGAATAGGAGGATCAGGGCAAGCAATTCGGAGGCCACGTTATTTTATGCCCATTAGAAGAGGACTTTCAGGTTGGAAATTGCTGTCTAAGTATGATTGGGTAAAATTGAAGTTTTGACCATCAGAGGATTCATGTGGCATCTGTTGCTGTCTTGCCTGAACTCGAGCACGACACTGATGTGGTGGTAAAGTGTTTCTCAGGCAATGTATCTACAGGGATTCGAACCCACTTGAGGGATCCAAATCGAAACACAGTAGCTCCCCTTCGAAGTCATGAGAGTCCCCGTGATGCTCTGAGTTAACCAACTCAGGCCACATGGAGTTGAAAAGGTAGTTCATGTATCCTGCATCGGGGGAGGCCATGAGACCGTTAGAAAAAGATTTGAACCCGATCTGTTACTGGAACGGGACCACCGTCGGCCGTTCCGCCGAGTACCTTGGGGTTGAGCCTCTCGGGTCACTACAGCATGAAATGAGAATGTATTGATGTACAAGCAGTGATATTCATGCGAAAGACGGAGCGTAGACTTCATCTTCGGAGACACTTGGAAATCTTCCCGATTTACACTCCATGCCATTGCTGCCTCCATGAGATCGCCCAAGTAGCGCGGGTAGTCACCCTGCTGAATCGTCGATTGCGTCTTCTCAGTAGCTGAATATAGTATCGAGTGGGCGTTGTGGAGAGTCTGCATCAGATCCAAGTGCGCATGTAGAACTGATGCGTAGCCGTCGGTACTCGATCCAGCTTCAGGCTTTAGAGTCGGGAAGTCCTTGGCCGTGAGCTTAGAAGAAAGGACTGGGCCACGGGAACAGAAAGACTGTCCCAGTCAGACTGAGATCTGCCTGTCCGCCAAGTATGTGACTACGATTAAAAAATTGGTCAGCACGAACTTCGTATCTTGCATGAACTAAGAAGTTAGGCTCACACATCCAAATGAGACGATTCTGCTCCTGTCTTTCGTCCACGGAGTATCCCGAAGCAGGCCCCCGGAATGCGGCACGGTCTAGTCTCAAGGAGTAGCCCCAGCGTACGGCCAGGCCAACGATGGACCAAGTTGTTCTTCCTCCACTGAAATGATCCTTCTGGAACTCCGAGGTGGAGCCTTTTTTTTCGATGTCAGGCAACCACTCAGATAAGAGTAGCAGGCCTTCGACTGTTCGCGGGGTCTGAGTCCAGAAATAAGACAGAAGCACTTGGAGGAGTAGGCTCCGCACGTGGTTCCAACAATAATGCTGAATGATTCCGTGCTCTGGCGAGTCTCTCGACGCAACCGTCAATGAGACTGCCAGTAGGAAGTAGTCACGTTTCTGCAGCTGCTTCAAGCCCGGCTGGATCAAGAAGGGTGCCAGACTGATCGGGCAATATGGGTGATACTTTCTTGAAAATCTGTTTTGTTTGAGTCTCAACTCACAACCATGTCGTAATGTCTAGCCTACACGTCCTGAAGCTCGGATACCTGTTCAGGTTGAAGAACGCCTTGCTTAACCAATTCAAAATTGTTGAGACCTGACATTATATCTCTTGAGGCCTTGGGAGTTGAAATTTTTATTATAGAGCTAGAACGACTGACTTCCGCCGAGTTTATACCACTCTCTCTAGGCTCAGGTTCAGCTGATATTGTAGTCAATGTACGGCGAGATGCTAAGGGAGATCTAGCTGAATTTTGACATTGTGGAACCGATGGTCCCCATGGCAATCTATATCTACCAGGGTATTTTGAAGCATTATGTAGGCATGAAAGTCAAAGCCACCAAGAGGATTATTCTTCGCCGAGTCCGGGATCGTGATTTCATTCCTCAAGTTCTATTTTCCAGTCTCTTTGCATGTCATTCTGATTCCATATCTGATGAAAGCTTTGGATAGAAATAATGTATGAGCATCACGTTGGAAAATCAGTCAAACGATATTCATATGAGGGAGATATTGAGAATGAAATATTTTTGTGGCTTTAGTACCTCGCATTACGAAGTACACTTCGTTATTCTAACATAATTGACGAGCAGCTAGATCTCCAACACAAACCTCTCCATCTCCTCATCGCATAAACCGTAGATAGTAGTCACACTTAACGACTGACATCTACTTATTCTATCACAAGTTGCACTCCCCAATTAGGAAAACTTCGAGACGAGGCCATGGTTGGGTCTCGGATATAATAATGTTGTTGGAGGTGATCCAGACGCACATTTTGGTCTGCTCCCCTGCGACGAAGTCTTTCATATACCTGTTCGGAGCTGAATTTCAAAGCCTTGGCACACCGAGGACACCAAAATCCTTCATAATTTCCTGGGTAACAGTCCTCCATAAGGATCTTTCCCACTTCCAAGATTTCTGGTGCTACCCTTCCATGGTGGGAACGTACCAGGTGCGTCACGAATTCTTTCTGCTCTTGATGGGTAAATGCCAGGTTACACACAACAAAGCTGCCTTCGCCAACAGCTGCAGTGTTCTGCCCACACACCCAATGGATCCCGGTATTGAAACGGCTAGGGTGATCATTTTCCTCATGATTCCTCCAATTTTTGGCATCGTCGAAAGAACGTGGGCAGCCGTCGAAGGTACAAAAAAACGTGATGGCAGTGTTGTTACTTTGGTTGTGCGTCGCTTCATGGGTAAGTAGGAGCGTCCCATTGGCGAAAGTTCGGCCACAATACCCATAGTAGCACCTTAACCGGCTCTGCATATTTCGATCCGTCTGCAGACCTTCGTCCGCCGATGGATTCTCCATGCCGTTAGTGTGTGAATACCCGTTCGTGAGGGAAGCCCCGTTCGTGTGCGTAGCTCCATTTACAGACATGATGCAGTTATAGACGCTATCGGATAATCTTCGACTCGGAAGTTACACTACTAGCAGAAGCAGGGTCGCAGCTACCTCGAGAGAGAGAAGTACTTCAAATTGTGACCAGAAGGGAGTTAGAAGTCAGGCGACAGGTGTGGAAATGAAGAGCGAAGTTTGTAGAATAATTGTAGGTTTATCCTCTTCTAGTGATGGGTCCTGTTTTCGTATCTCAAAGGCTGGATAACCTCGCATTTAATATACTTCAGCATAGTCGATAGTCAAATCGACTTGTGAGATGACCAAGCCCACTTGGCACGTTTTACTTCCATGCTCTTGTGATAATCTCATCTTGGGCGGTAAAGCATTCAAATTCCTTGAGTGACATTCATCGGCTACGTCTTTCTTTCTGGATACGTCCAGCTAACGTCGTCTGGCGTGAGTATAATGAAAAGCCCTTCGAGAATTTCTTTCTGATAGTGACCACTGCCAGAGAAGTAACACTTTGCTAGCAATACCTCAGCTCCTCGCCGCTTCGAGTTCAGCAAATCAGTACATTATTCTGGTTGTACCTTTGAGCTCCATGAATGATCTTGCCAGGAAGCTGAAACGACCTCCAAGGTCTTCTTTGTTAACACGAATCTTGTGAGGAAAAGTTGTTCAGATCTTCTATGTCGACCCATAGTACGGCGGTATAGTGGCGTTTACCACATCGCGGCGGTAAACACGCGCGTCTTTGTCACTCTGAACAGATAAGCCCTATCGATGCATTTGAGAAACTCGTAATCTAGGGCCGGAGTCAACAACCGACATGGTTCTTATCATGGCCACAGGGGACCGATCTCAAAATCAAACACAAATGATAAACCTCTAACGTGACAGGACCTGATGATTATTGCGGAATAATCTGCAAAGTCTATCATTTATCTTTACATTATTTGGTATGAGGACTATCCATTGGGAAGACCTCAGAGACATGTTTTTTGACTGGGTTTGCACTTCCTTAGTAGGCAAGCCTACTCAATTACCTAAAGTATTCGCAAATCTTTGACCAACGCCTAGATACTAAGAAACAACTCCATTTCCAAGGGTTCAGTGGCTCACCATCAGGCTCAACCACTGATTTATGCTCCATCAGTCTCCTGTCTATCGCTCCCATCTCTATCAGTCACCTGTCTATCACTCCTCGGCTCAATCATTCCTCTGCGACACTCACGGATTAGGCCAGGTCAACAGAGGTTCCCCTTCATCTTTCATCAAATACTTTTGGAGGTGATCCAAACGCAGCAGCTGCTTAATATCACGAAGAACAAGCTCATCAGTCATGATTCTCGGATGATCGTATCTCAGACCCTCCTTACACCATCCACAGTAAAATTCCTCAGCGTCAATCGGGAAAGTGGACTCTTTAAGGATTGGAACTATGCGTTCCCATGTTCGCGGCTCTGCGTGCACCGTTGCCAAGTACTCCATGAACTGGAAGCGTTGCCCAAAGGTAAATGATATCTTGCACCGTTTACGCAATCAGTAAATGCTGGGGTACACATCCACAAGATAGCTTGTGTCATGCCGTCAATCGTTCGTGCGCTCTTCACTCCATTGCAGACGGAAAATGGCGGCCACAGTTCGGATAGGTGCATGGGAGTTGTAGATGATCTTCTTGCCTTCGGTGCACTGTTTCAATGTGCGCAAGCAACAGCTCTGGAGTGTTGTGTCGCTCACCGCAACATCCGTAACAGCACCTGTTGGGGTCGCTGCTCGCTCCTCTGCACTGCTCTGATCTGTGCATCGATGGCAATTTATGCAAGAGTGCCCGTTTATGAGATGATTTCCGTTTGTGGGTCGATGTCCATTCGAAATACATTCCATTGATTCCATGTCCGTTCGTATACGCGGTTCCGTTCGTGGATATGATGCTTTTGTAATAACATCGTCAGCACATGTATGATAAACATAGAGAGTAGATTAGAAAGAGACGCAAAGTGATAGCTACCTTGAGATAGACTACCAAGATTTGTGTTTGAAGTTGAATGAAATCAACGGAAGACTCACACGTCAAATGCAAGGTCTGTAGAATGTCTGGATCCGATGTTGTGATGTGTTTTGTTCTCAATTCGAAGCGGGATACCCTTACCCATCGTATACTAATAATCTGATACCTTTGAATAGATCAAGATCCCGTGCTATCGGCAATGTTTACTCCTCCATTCTCGTGAAGTGTTCCCTTTGCATTATGGGTGGTCAGGTATTCAGCATGCCTGAGTGACAATAGATGAGTCAAGTCAATCTTCCTCATTAAACCAACCAAAAGCATCTGTATCATCTGGTAAGCTTCAAAAGAAAAAGCGCGCTTTCGTCTTGGTGTTGACCGCATCAGAAAGGTTCAATGTGTATCGTGCATGAGATTAGTACATCTTAGAGAGAAGGCCAGATCAGTCAGCCCTTTGAATTCCCTAAAAGAAGAGTTTGATCGCCATATAGAGCATCTCTGTCAATCTGAGTACATCTGGGGAGTCAAGATTCAAAACTTCCGTGTTGACTCGCTGCACGGTAGCGTTTGTCACGCTGCGGCGGTAGACATTGTTTTGTGAATTATCATCTTCGGTAGATGACCACGAACACCGCCATTGAAACAACTTCTCAGTGGTTCTTCATGGATGCTAAGATCCATTCATGGTCATTCAGTTGACCTTTGGGCAGGTATGAATGCGTTTAGTGCCATATTGCCGCATTGCACAATCAATGGACATTCTTCACTACCAAGTTTCATGATGCCCGTCAAGGCCCATCGTTGTGCTATTTGAAGTGAAATGATAAAGGTGTTCTGTGGCGAATCTTAATATTGGGCGGCGTTTGCTAACTCCTCATGAAGTCACTCGCTGGGATACTGAACAGTTGGTTGAGGTGACAAAGAGCCCTCTGCAATTGTGAGGCCATATTGGCAATGCGGCAAGTCTTGGTATTATGCCATGAAGAGTGGCCATTGGCAATTGCCAGGGACTTCATTGGCCAAGCTTGAAATCGAGATTCTTTCCGTCGGCCGGCAAGGATCGCTGTTTCTTCAACGAAGGATGCGGTGATCGAAGTCGAGCCGGGGATTGCCACAAACTTCGAGTCTTCTTTGTCAACATGGACTTATAGTGCGGCGGAACAATGGTGTTTACCTTGTCATGGCGGTGAACGCGTGCGTTTTGTTACTTTGAATAGAAAAGCCGATTGCTGCCTTTCTGAGACTAACTGCCCAAACTCGAATTTAACGGCACGAGTCACGGAAATGATGCCAAATGCAATGAGACATGAGGGAAATACTACACATTAATTACTGACCTCATTTCTGTCTTGACTTTCTCTCCTCAAGCAAGGATATCTGACCTGCAACTAATTCACAAAAACAAAAAACATGTCTTATCCTTCTCGTTCAGCGGCCCATCGTGGGGCAGGACTGCTGATCTCTGCGTTCTAATTAATTCACGCTCACACTCCCGGAATAGGCCAATGCCACTCGATGGCACCATCTTCCAACACATGCTTTTGGATGTGATCCAAGCGTAGTGGCTGGTCTATTGTGCGGACCTCAAGGCCTCTTTTTATATCTGGAGAGTCGTATTTGAGACCCTTGCCACAATATCCGCACCAGAATCCAGAATGTTTAAAACAAAACTTCTCGAGGATGTGGCCTGGTAACTGACCCGGCGTGTGTGATCGGTGGTCATGCCGTGAACTCAAGTGTGTCACGAAATTGTCGCGTTGCTCACTGGTAAAGGATGTGTTGCACGGCTTTGCATCAATGACCGATGCCTCCGAGCACACCCAGTAGATCTCGGGCCGTCTAGGATTGTGTGATGCTTCACACACTCTCCACTGGATTGCATCCGGCCAAGCTTCCCCGCAGATGGTACACCGGAAATTGCCAGAAAAATGTGCACTTTCTTCACTTTCTTCGTGCTCCTCCCGGAGCTCCTCAGTCTCGAATTGTAAGCCACAGTATCCATAGTAGCACGTAAGATGCGCTGCTTCGTGATCAACCCGATCCGCCACACTTTCGAATCCTCGGTCGCAATGTGTGCACGTGAGATGCGTTTGTTCGTGCGCATGTCGGTCCTCGTCATCATCGAAATGGGCGTTGCAATCTTTATGATAACACACAAGCTCGAGTACAAACCCCATATCAGGGCTCTGGAGCATAGGGGAGCTGTCACTATCTGAGGAAGACATGGTGCCTATGTTACAACACTGTTAGCATGTGCCGAACTCGTACACGATCTTGGTGAGCTAACCAGAATAATAGCTACCTGAAGGTTGATTCATGGTTCGATTTGTGGTTGATAGTGGAAAGTTAACGCTGTGAATTGTACCTTAGGTTGGCTACAAGGTTCGTAGAATTTCCTGAGTGATGGATGCTATCCTTACTTTGAGCCCGGGTGATACGACTCTTGAAATACTCGTATTGCGAAAGATAGCACCCAAATGAATCGCTACATGGAGTCGGATCTTGGACTCCCGGTCTTCTTGATTGCTACATCCTAGTATCTGTGCATGGTTTTGGCGGTGAGACCGGGGGCCATTCATTATGTCAAGTCTCATTGAGTTATATGCATGAAAATGATGTTCATGTTTGAGAGAAAGACTTCGATTCAATCTGATGATAATGGATCTGTTTGATACTGACCGCCACCAGAAACGTGGTGCACCGTGAGATGCATCACAGACAAGGATCGACTGTCAAGGACTATTGAGCAAGGGTCAAGCTAGACGACTCTTTGCGTTATCTGAGAGAAGTGGCCGATGACTAGCTGAATCTCCACGGTATCAAAGGTAAACTATCTAGGTAATGATAGTCCTGTTTGCCTATTTTGACTTCTTCCGCGGATGTGATGACGTTTTACAACGCTCCGGCGGTAAACACGCCTCTGTCACTTGAGCCAGGTAACCCCGAGGACCGCCTTCGAGACTACCTAGTACGTTTGAGAACCCAATTCGAATGCTCTGGGTCATTTCTGGCGAATAAAATGAGCTTCCAATAGGTGTCAATGTGTTTACTCTTGTGTTGCATGGCGAGCCTTCTAGTCTCAAATCAAATCTTCGTGATTGTTGTTCTCACGTATTTACGCTAAGGTAAACTTTGTACAAGAAAGATGATCACGATGATTTGTTTTTCAAGTACTTTATTGTAGATAAGAGATACTGAACTAGCAGCTAGATTATCGTATATACCCTTGGCTGCTTCAACTCAGTGCTAGTAGCCAATTTTCTGGCATAACCGCCCATTTCAACGTCACCAGCCTCCTCGCCTCATCTAGGCCCTCCCTGACTAGGCTGTGGCCAAATAAGTCCCACGGGCGTCACATGCGTTTGATGATGATCCAAACGCCGCGAATTCCAATGCCCATGGACCTCGGGGTAATTTGAAAATTCGGGATCGTCGATTTTGCGAACCTTGCTACAACCTAGGCAAAAGAATCCGCGTCCATTCGGCTTACACTCAGAATTTTCGACAATCGTTGAGACTTGGTCTTGGGGTACGTTGTGTGTCGTTGATAAATGTCTCTCGAACAGACCAAGTTCTTGACACTTGAAGCCTGTTTTGCACGGACTTTCATCAGGGCCTTCCATACACACCCAGTGAAAGCCGTCCGCAACACGGTCCGCATGGTGTGATACTTCACACATTCTCCACTGCTTTGCAGACCTCCAACGCCAAGAGCACCAGGTACATTGAAACCGCCAGTTGAGCCTCTCGTGGTGCATATTTTCATGATTTTCCGCAAGTCCCTTAGTTTCGAATTCTTCGTTGCAAATCCACCAGTACGAGCACTTCATATGCCTATTTTCATGCTCCACCCGAAAAGGGTCATTTTCGAAATGTGTGGCAGGGTCTTTGTCCTCGTAATATGCGCAATCTAGAAAACGACAAGGAAACAGGTAACTATCCGAGAATCCTTCCATGTTCGTGTCTGTCTCGTCTGGGGTCGAATCTCCGCTTGAGTGGGAACCTCCATTGGTAAGCCCGTTGGTGAGCCCGTTGGTGAGCCCGTTGGTGAGCCCGCCTGTAGACATAACGTCCTTGATGCAACAGTATCAGTATGTGTAACGACCTCCGGATTCCTGAGCATGTGTAACTACAGAGTATATATTTACCTCAAGATAGATGGACGGATTGAACTGTGATATAGGAGAGCAGGGAAGGCAGGTTTTGAAGCTACCTTAAACGGGCGGTCCGTAGATTGTCTGGTTCTGTTGCTGATGTGTTAAAGACATCTTCACTTCCAAAATGGATAATGTCACCTTTAAAATACTTCAAATTTGACCGGTTTGGTTAAATAAGTTTCTTTCAAAGAGATCTAAATCACATGGTAGTTTTCAGTTTTCTTTCATCATAGATCGTCACCTCGGGCGGCTAAGATGAAGCTGTTTAGAGAACTGTTATCCGTAATTTCTTTGACTTCTGCCTAGTCTTACGTATAGCGAGCATAGTGATAGAAGTCACCACATGACGATGAAAAAAACGTCCTTCTCACTTTTAACAGATGGTTCAAGTTACCGCCAGCTTGACCATCAGCCTCTTGAATCATTGGCGAGATTTTATCTTGATTGCCCCCGAATCTCAGTTTTCCCTTCATCTGGCCAATGTTCATCAGGCGCCGGTTTATGACGAGCAGTCATCTGATTCAAGACTCAAAGGTTTGATAATATCATAAGTCCGAAGTGAAAGGATAGATGTGTTTGCGTCGAAAGGTGGTATGGGAAATTGTTTGCCTAATAACACTATCGGAGCGGTTTGGTAAAATCGTGAACAACCGATAGAATCAAGGCACCTACCTAGTAGACAAAGAGCCTGATGACATCGCGAAGTTTGCCAACCGCTTTCCCGCTGACTGTCTCTCTGTCCACTGCGGTAAATGCGTAGGTGACCGACCGACCAAGAAGAACCGGGCCATCAGTGATGGTCAAGATGACAGGGGTTTCATTGGCAAATCCGGCATGAGGTCCACCATCCATCACGGCAACCCCTGCCTCACCCCCGTCCTCACATTCAACCCTCACGCCAGGCTACTCCCATCATGAACAGTAGCCCTCCTCATATCCCTCCTGTACCGATGCGCAAACTCTCCGCCCATGGCGCGATGCATCGTACACGTATTATCCCAAACAACCAAATCTCCAACATCCTCCCACTCCACCGTGACGCGGTACTTTTCCTGCGTGGCGTGTTCAAAAAGCCTCTCGAACAGAGCCTTTGAGTCCGGCACGGCGAGGTTCTCGATGTGGTGGATGTGTGCTGCGAGATAGAGGTTCATCCGCCCGGAGGGCTCGTGATTTTGGACGAGTTTGTGTCGTCCCATGGGATTATCTGTGGGCTCGATGTCTGCAAAGTGCTCCGGGGCGGCAAGTTTTTTGGAATGCAGGATAGACTGACACGCAATGTAATCTTTCTCGACCAATTCCACCTTCATTTCCTCAAGACTATCTCATGCTGCCCTAGTATCGCAAAACTCCGTACTACCGCCCGTACCTTTTGGGGGCAACTCATGAGCCAGAAGCAGAGAATGTTCCGCCCGTCTAGGGTTGAAGCTGGAATCAACGTGAAAGAGGGCATTGTCTAATCCAGCCTGGGTGCTTGGGGACTTGCGGTCGACGACCGATGCGTCTGCTTTGATGTTTCCTATGTCAAAGAGCTCGTCGTATTGGAGGCGGGTGGCTCAACCTGCTTTGTTGTAGGGGTTGACGTCGTCTAGGTCGCCGAGGTGACGGGCTAGGGCGATGTGGATTTCGTCTGTTAGGTTGGTTTTGCGTATGACGAGGAAGCCGTACTGGTGTAGTTGGATTTTGTTAGGGTTTATTGAGTGGGAGGTAAGGGGAGGGGGGAGATTACTTCCTTGACGAGGTCTTCGATTAGACGGGCGTTTTGGTTGAGTGAAGTTGGGTGAAGTGGGAAATTGTGTACTTCGATTCCAAAGCCGGGACGGAGCCCCTTGGTGCGAAGTCCGGTGGTATTCATCCTGGTAATTTTGGTGGTGATCAAGCTCGTGGGTTTGATGTTGAAGCAATGGAGTTTTATGGACAAGATGAGTCACGACTGGAACTTATGCGTATTGAAGAACAGATTAGATCAGGACAACTCAGACGTCACGTACTGACGAGATGGCGTGTCCGATCAAGTCGTATCTTGGCTGAAGCCGTCCCTTTCCGAGGAAATGGACGGATCATTTGATCCGGCGGGGTATGCTTCGCAATGGTAAGACGAAGAACATATGCTCCCTCTAGTCACCCAAAGCCTCGGCGATAAGACGGGCTGTGAGTTGCATCAAAGGTTGCTTGAAACCTTTGCATCTGCCTTGCGCGGAGAAGCGGTTTCATATACATAATGCAGCCAAATACAACTATGTTGCAGTTTGGTAGACTGGTCGACTATCCCGCCGCCGTGATCCAGCACTAAAGTCCCGGATTGACAGGCAAAAGACTTGCAAACAAGTTGATCAACCCTTCCGAGGTATTTCGCGGCAGGCGCCAGGGCAGATTGGAGGCAAAAAGATCGGTTTCGTGGTGTCAGGTCATTGGGCAGGGAGAACACAACCAGTTGCCAACGTTGGGAACGTGCTCCTATTACTAACGCTGGATTATGATTCAAACAGTAGTGCAATTGGATCGCTGCGTGGGTATAGTATTATGATTCCTCCTCAACGACGTGGTGTGTCGTCTCCCGTGAGCCTCAAGTCGATGTATCAAGTATATCTAATCCGGATCAACCGCAGCAGACGGTAGCCTCGCTTGCAGCAGTAGTGGGTCCGTCGTAAATGGTCTCCCATTGGAACAGGAAGGCGCCAATGTAGGAACCGATGAAGATGCAGATGATGAGGTAACCGTTGTAGTACATGGCAAGACTAGAGAAAGTGTCAGTGCGATTCCCTTGGGCGAAGGCAAAGTCAATGAAACGTACAGCATGACAAAGTAGGCAACGGCAAATTGGCACATGTGGATGAGGGCGCGGACGGCCTGCTGCAGGACGTTGGGGCGGAAGGGCGGGACGACGTTTGCGGCTATAGCGGCAGCGGAGCCGGACGAGCCCTTGCCGTTGTCGTCGGCGCTAGCGGAGCTCGGGGAGACGGCACCGGCGTTGGCGTATTGCTGCTTGTGGGCCTTGATGAGGTATCTGTCATACTCCTTGGTGGCGCGGCGGAGAGCCTCGAGGACCATAACCAGGAGAATAACTCCAATACATGAGCCAGCAAACATGCCGTTGGAGGTGATCTTCCCTGCTGGGGTGTTAGTGGTTGGGTGTTGTCGGTACAGGGTGGGGGGTTCGTACACTGGCTGCTGATGAAGCAGCTGTCCTTGACGTTCCAGTTCCACAACATCTGTCAAACGGTTAGTAGGCGCCGTGGATATTAGGATGATGTTGACGATGACTAGAACGTACAGAAATCTTGCAGCCGGTGCTGCTTCCCATGCCAGACATGGCAGCCTTGGTGCTGGTGGTAGCGGCCATGCTCATGGTGCCAGTGGCAGCCATGGCAGTGGTGGTGGTGGCCATTGACATGCGATCCATCTTGGCGGTTTATTCGTAGATGCTTCTCCGTACCGAAGATGGTCTGTGTTGTAGCAAAGGTGCCTAGTACGGATGTCGTGATACTCGCAAACGACGATCGACCGAAGGAGCAGGGGCGGCCCGGAAGAAGTCAGAGTAGAGCGAAGCTGGAGAAGAAAAGACGGAATAGAGTTTGAGCAATGAGGATATGTCTCGACATTGTTATATAAGGGCAGAGCCAGCAGGGTATCCAATCGATCTTCTCTCTTCTTTGCCGCGAAGGGAAGAACGACCTTTGCCAAGAGACCCACTTTGAGCTAGATTTCCATGGGATGGAGGGAGTTACAAGGACTGGTTTGCGCTAGATTCCTTCCCGAGAGACAAACAAGGGTCCAAAAGTAAGATTCGGCGGGTTAGTGGGCAGAGGAAACACGATAGACATCCATGGTTGAGAAGTAGAAAAGTCGAGTCGCGAGTCGGTAGACGAAAATGGTTGGTTGGCGGTCCCGGTTGGACTGTGGCTGGGGAGGGGCATCGGTGTAAATGCAGCGACGAGGATGTGTCGATGATTATCTGATGAGGTTCCACTTGACGAGGTCCTGTACTTGAACTCTAAGGCACGTACCATTCTTTCTCTATCCATATATAATAATTACCTTACCGGGCAAGCCTGGTCTTTCCGGTGACATAAACATAGGGCCTCCCGTCCTTGCTTGTAGCGCCAAAGAAAGAAGTTGATTCTTCATGTTTAATGTTCGCGCTTTCCTTATGGCCTGTGTTACATAAGGTACAACGAGGTACGTACAGCAGAACCTGAACTGGCAAGGAAGCAGCCAAAGAAGGTCGATGTTGGAGTGGCCTGCCTTATCGTATGTTCAGGAAGGCGCATGTAAGAAAATCGCACGGGGAAACTGGGGGCAAAATTGCTCTCTTGCCTGCTCTCTTCCTGCTCTTTCCTGCTGCCAAGACAACGCTATCGCTTCCTGCCTCGAGCATCCTGAGAGTTTTTGAGCAAGTTTACGCCCAATTGCAACCTCGAAAGATCCCCGGGCTGCTTCCCACAAAACTTTCCCTGCACGACACCCGCGGGACTGCAAGTCTTGATTCTCGACTTTCGATTTTCCATGTTCAACGCACCCTGTATTTCCTATCACGACCTGTACTCTCGCAATCCCTCTCATGTATCGACCCATGTCTTACTCGAACGCAGTACTCGGCGCTTACTGTACAAACCTGTCCCTCTTTCTAGCCTCTTCGTACGGAGTACCTCCATCAAAGTTGCAACAGGCAGGTCACATTCGGCCACTTTGCCCCACATGCACCTCGAGGCTCAAAATACTTTGCCAATTCCGCCAAATAGAACAGTAACTTGACTCTAGAGATTTCTTGAGAGCCCCCGCGGTAACGCTATGAACGAGCTGCACCTTAGGCTCAGCCCTGTCCACCGTCGGGCTGATCATTGAAAACGAGAAGGTCATCATGCCTGTCCCGTCGTACATCCTGACATCGCCTCACGAGGCAACTATCACCCAGCTTCACAGGAATGACAGTGAAGATGAAGCCTATCTAGACGCCCTGTACGCCCGCCACTCACCGCGTTTCGCTTGCGCGACCATCAGCTCGTCGAACCTCGCTAGATACCACCATGGCTCTGTCAGATCTTGAACATTTGTGCTACGGCATCAGACTGCGATTCGGGATATGGCTGCTCACCTGCAAGTCGGCATTTACAGCGGCTACTTCCAGGCCCTCGGCCGATGCGATGCGATGCGATGCGATGCGGTGGACTTGGCCAAGGAAAATGGCCGACGCCCCTGGCCTGACATGCGCTATTCTGAGAACATTTGCGAAAGATTGTCGATTCTAGACTCCAGGTTTCCGACGCCGGTGCCTTCCCTTCATGTGTTGCCATGTCGTTTACGCCGATGGCTCAGGAAAGAAGCTGCAGTTTGCGATAATTCCAACCGATCCAACCAGGTAGACTCGGGAGTGCGCGATCTGAGGTTGCGAAGAGCCAAAAAGAGCCCCAGTTCGACCTCGCCGTCCATTGGGCTACAAGACGAGGCTTCCGCCGCCCCGGCGCCGTGCGTCTGCTTCTGCAATATCGGCCTGCCGTTGGGGTTGCGTCGCATTGCAGCTCGCCTCGCCTCTCTAAATTGCTCGCTACAACCCGTTCGCTGCCTGTTGGCCGCCTCATCACCAACCACATCGTGTTGGCTTGTTGGCCTGCCTGCTGCTTTCACTGCCTGTCTCCATCTGAACTTCCACGAGAAGAATATCGGTCAAGAGATCAGAGGCTTTAGAGCTGCGACCGGAGGGCCAAGGCCGGAGAGATAAAGCCAACAGGGAAGCCTGCTGCAACTTCAGTTTTAGCGCCAGGTTCCTAATCTCCGCCATGCTCTTGCTTGGCTCTTCCGCCTTCTCAGACTGTGGCTACCATGCCTCGATTCCCACCGCCGATCTCACGGCTTGCTACCAACGAATGACGCTGTCGCCGAACACCTCCCCGCTCAACTTTATCCGCGGCACACTTGGACCTGGGCCCTAGCATCAATGTGGGCGACGGATTTCAGCGGGCATCCAGTAATTTAACCATTGGACCTAGCTGTTTTCTGCCCACCATGAGCATTATCTTACAAGTACGCGAGTACTTCCTACAGATACACATGCCCCAAACACCTTGAAACGCCAATCCGTCGTCCCAGCAAACCACAGAAGTTTCGTCTTCACTGCAAAAACCGTCAATCATAGCTCAGCCTTGGTTTTATCCTCCGTCTTGGACTCCAGCGCGTACAGTTCCCTCGGCTGCCCTGCCGCATCGCAGCTGGCAAACTTCCACCACCCCCAGTGCCAAGCACCCGCGATATTGATCAAACCCCACTTGATCGGCGCCGGCATGGGCGGCCAGTTCGCCCACAATCCGTCTTCCGTCGTCCGATCCAGGTTCAGCAGGAAGAACGGCACCACATCCGCCGTGCCCGCCTTAGTGACGGTGCTCTTGCCCCACGTCTTGAACGTCAGGCTCGCGTTGGCCGCCTCCGGTGTTCCCTCCTTGGGCGCGTTCGGGTGCTCCGCCATGCCGGCAATGGTGGTGATCTCGCTGTGGAAGTGGTTCTCGAAGGGTTCTTGGAAGCTATTCATGATCTCGAGCAGCTTGGCGCCGGAGAAGTCGGACGGCGAGGATAGGGAGGTAAGGTATTTGTTGAACTCGGCAAGGCCACCGAGGAAAGATTCTGTCCGTCTTGTGTCAGTTGGTCGTCTCGAATCGGTGTGATGGATATCAGGTACGTACCGTGTTCCTTATGCGTCTCGGCAAAGACATTCTTGTCCTCGAGGAGATCCTCGACCTTTGTGAAGAGCGACTCTTCCTCGTCGTCATGGTGCGACTTGACGAATTTGAACCAGGTCTGGGAGTAGCCTATAAAGTCTGCCTTGTCTGCTTCCTGGATATAGGGGGCCTGTTGGTAAATGGAGTTATAACCTCGCAGGATCGAGTTGTGCAGCAGGGCCATATGCGTTGAGCCCAGCGTGAAGAGGTCGGTCTGTTGGAATGTCAGTTGGACCTACTTCCAATTGGGCCCGGTCCCCATTGAACCCGACAGGCTCGTCGCCTGGATCCAAGCTACGAACGAACCTTCTTGGTCGCATACTGCGGCGTGGTGATGAGCTTCATGGGCCCGTCAGCCCAGGGCTTGGTGGTTTGCGGTGTGGTGGTCATCATGAATGGCGCTCTGGAAGCTAGCAAGCTGACGAGGATGCTTGGGATCACAAGCAAGAGATATCCGGCCATTTTGAGAAGAGGTCGGTGGAGCCTAGCGAGAGCGAATGGCGCAACTGATATACAATCAGGGTGGAAGGTGGAAAGTGGTACGATTCACTGACGTGCGTTGCCGCCTGTTGAGGGAATCGAGGGTCGAGGTTGCGTGACCGGGAGGACAGCGGCAGCACAGGGCAGCTTTGTATTGGACGTCACCTCGGGGCCGAGAGAAGGGAAGCTTGTCCAACGTTTCCTAGAAAGTCTGGAGCTTCCAGGTCTTTGGAGCTTGCGGTGAAGCAGGAGAGAGAGGTTGGCTGATTAAAAGGCATCTCGCCATTGGCCCGTGCTAGGGGAGCGCTGGGGGACCTGGGGTGATGTGCAGGGAGCTCTGGCGCGGTTTCACCTGGGGAGCTTCCGCTAATGCCGCTGTGGGATCATGGCGGTGGCTGCCGACGGGATGGGGTCACCGATGCGGTTTCTGGATTGGGTAATCGGGGCTCTTGGGAGACGGGGAAATGAGACGTCGAGCCGGGGCTTCGGACCTTGGTGACCTGCCGATGTCCGAACATGTTCGGTATGACGGGAAGGGTGGAGTATGGGGAGCCTGGTAAGCCTGGATGAGCAGATACGGCGGGGTCAAGTGGCTCTGCTGATGGTGATGTTACCTATAAGTTGGTGATGGAAGCTAGCTTGGATTACTCTCAGAGATTGCGCTCAGCTTCTATCTGCTCCAGATTATTGGAATGTTACTGAGGGCTCTAGGTTGACTCGAATTTTAGGGATCATCTTATCTCCCAAGAAGGGTAAGGTACAGTAAATGTAGTAAAGTAGACGCCGACGAAGATGACATTGAGAGCTCCAATGAGCATAACATTCTTAGTGGCGATGACTTTCTCTGAGAACAAAAGACCGTCAATCGTACATTGAAATGCGAATGCGCTGTAGCAGTCTCTCGGTGGTAGTACGAACGGGGCATGTCTAATCACAGACTTGTCACATAGAATGGCCAGTACCTAACTCACCTCGGAACCATCAACAGAAGGACGGTGCATTCAGGCCTTGGCAGTCATTGTAATCCAATATCCACACAATACAAGGGATTTATCCCATCTGCCCCCATCGAATCAAATACGAAAAAGAGTACAGCATTTCGATTTTCTGAAGTTCAATCGCCAAATTTCTTTTCCCAGTCGGAAACAAAGCGGTGAAGACGACTCACCGTGCGGGGTTCCAGGCAGGCACTCGGTTTGCGTACACCGCAACGACGTGCCTGTCTCTGGCGTGTAAGTGAAGGGCGTCTCCACGCTTTACCATCAACATCCCAAATCCATCGTCCATCAAACCAACTTGCAACCCAACCCAGATTATCTGACTTCATCACCAGCAACTCTCAGATCAAGAAAGCAAGATCAAACCAACCCTGAATAACCTCAATCCCACCCCCCAACCCGCCACCATGCCCACAGAAGGAGTCTACCTCTCCCCCGATGGCAAAAAAACCGTCATCCCCCTCGAAAACAACCCCGAAGTCTTCACATCCCTCATCCACGACCTCGGCATCTCCCCCGACCTAGGCTTCTTCGACGTCTACAGCCTCGACGAGCCTTCTCTCCTCGCCCTCGTGCCCCGCCCCGCGCTAGCACTCATCTTCATCTCCCCGGCACCAATGTACTACGCCGTCCGCGCCGCTGACGGCACCAAGCTCGCGAAAGAAGACGGGGTGACGTATACCGGCTCCGGACCGGATGAACCTGTAATTTGGTTCCGGCAGACGATTGGGAATGCGTGTGGGTTGTATGCCCTCATCCATGCCGTCGGCAACGGGCCTGCGAGGGAGTTTATTCAAGAAGGCTCATTGATTGAAGGGTTACTGAAGGATGCGGAGCCGTTGGGGTGGGAGCAGCGTGCAGATGTGCTGTATAACAGCCAATCTCTCGAGGAGGCGCACATGAAGGCTGCGAGGAGGGGGGACACGGCGGCTCCGCCTGCGGAAGAGAAGCCTGGGTATCATTTCATTGCGTTCGTGAAGGGGAAGGATGGGCATTTGTGGGAGTTAGAGGGGGGGTCGGATGGGCCTGTTGATCGGGGGTTGCTGGCGGAGGGGGAGGATATGTTGAGTGAGGGGGCGTTGGAGAGGGGGGTGAAGAGGTTTATTGGGTTTGCGGATGGGAACTTGGAGTTTAGTGTTGTTGCGTTGGCGAAGAAGGAGGAGTGAGGTCTTTTGTCGTGTGGTTTGCGTTGTTTACTTGGGAACTATAGATTGTAGAAGGGATCGGGATTCGGCATGCATAGCTCAGAGGATACTTTCGTTTGCAAATGACTTAATGCAAGCACCCTGGTGTAAGCGAATCCCCCATAGCAATTCCGGGACTCGACTCTTCCAACATAAGGAGCAGAACGGCCATGTGCCTCGGTGTGCCCTCACTTCTTCACCGAACTCCCCGGTCCGACGCTGGGTGTGGACCAATACACCGAGGTGAGGATGGTGAGGGGCTCGGTGAGTTTGGTGGCAGGGCGAACTCAGCCTTGAACCCCTCCATCTGCACGAGCCAGCCAACGGCCCCGCCCGTCCAATCAGCACCCGGCGCCGGTCCAACCATCGAAAGAGCTAGAAGGGCGAGCTTGGGCTGTTTTCTTTCCCGCCTTTGCTGCATTTGACTGCCTCACCCCACGACGAGAATTCCAACTTCTCTTTCTCCCAATTCCCACAACAAAAGTCTACCAGATACCCTTCCCACCTGTCGACATTGCGATTGCTTTTGAACTTTGATTTCGATTTTTTGACCACCCAAGAGTCATCCGCATATTTTCACAGACACACACATCGTCATGGCTTCCGCAGACGAGCTCAAGGCTCTCGGCAACAAGGCCATTGCCGAGAAGAACTTCGACGAGGCTGTGTAAGTTTGTCTCTGCTTCCACCCGACAGTCACAGAACTGACAAAGTCTCAGCGCCAAGTTCACCGAGGCCATTGAGATCCAGCCCGAAAACCACATCCTCTACAGCAACCGCTCCGCAGCCTATGCCTCCAAGAAGGACTGGCAAAACGCCCTGAACGATGCCAAGAAGACCACCGAGATCAAGCCTGACTGGCCCAAGGGCTGGGGACGTCTGGGAACAGCGCAGTACGGTCTGGGCGACCTCCTCGCCGCCAACGACGCGTACGAGGAGGGTCTCAAGGTCGACCCTAACAATGCCGGTCTGAAGAAGGATCTCGCTGCCGTCCAAAAGGCGATGAAGTCGGAGGCTGGTGGTGGTACGTGAAAGACTCGCACAAAGAAACAAAACGTCCATGCTGACTGACTGACGGCAGACGCTGGTGACCCGATGGGAGGCCTCGGCAACATGTTCAACGACCCCCAACTTGTCCAAAAGCTCGCCGCAAACCCCAAGACGGCCGGATTCCTCGCTGACCCCGCCTTCATGGCCAAGCTCCAGCAGATGAAGGCGAACCCCTCGGCCTCACCGGATCTGTTCAGCGACCCTCGTATGCTGCAGGTCCTTGGTGTCCTGATGGGCGTCGACATGCAGATGGGCATGCCCGACAACATGCCAGAGGACGCCGAGATGCGCGATGCTCCTCCCCCTCCTCAGTCGAAGCCTGCTGCGCCCAAGAAGGCCCCCACCCCGGAGCCCGTGCCCGAGCCCGAAGAAGAGGCCGTTGAGAAGAAGAAGGCCAAGGAGGCCGCTGACAAGGAGAAGGCCCTTGGTACCGAGAACTACAAGAAGCGCAACTTTGACGAGGCTATCGCACACTACTCCAAGGCGTGGGAGCTGCACAAGGACATTACATACCTCAACAACCTGGGTGCCGCGTACTTTGAGAAGGGCGACTATGATAAGGCCATCGAGACTTGCTCAAAGGCCATCGAGGAGGGCCGCGAGATCTATGCCGACTTTAAGCTGATCGCCAAGAGCTACGCCCGTATCGGTACCGCCTACGAGAAGCAGGGCAACCTTGAACTTGCCATCGAGAACTATAAGAGATCGCTGACTGAGCACCGCACCCCCGACGTGAACGCGAAGCTCCGCGCCGCAGAGCGCAACAAGATCGACTCTGCCCGCGCTGCCTACATCGACCCCGCCAAGGCGGAGGAGGCGCGCGAGGAGGGTAACAAGAAGTTCAAGGAGAGCGACTGGCCTGGTGCTGTTGCTTCGTACACGGAGATGACCAAGCGCGCACCCGAGGACCCCAGAGGATACAGCAACCGCGCGGCGGCCTTCATCAAGCTGCTCGAGTTCCCCAGTGCTGTCGAGGACTGCAACACTGCCATCAAGAAGGACCCGACTTTCATCCGCGGCTACATCCGCAAGGCGCAGGCTTTCCACGGCATGCGCGAGTACTCCAAGGCGGTGGATGCCTGCAGCGAGGCGTCCAAGGTCGACCTGGAGAGCCACAAGGGCGCCAACGCGCGCGAGATTGAGCAGACGCAGCAAAAGGCCCTCAACGCCATGTACTCTGCACGGGAGAACGAGACGGAAGACCAGACTAGGGAACGGTTGGCCAAGGATCCCGAGGTAAGCACATACACGCGACCGGCACAGCGACCGGTTCCTTCCATCCGCGACTAGTTTTTAGCTAACAATGTGCACTAGATCATGAGCATCATGAACGACCCCATTATGCAGTCAATCCTTCAGCAGGCGCAGTCGGACCCCGCTGCTTTGAACGAGCACATGAAGAACCCCGATATCAGATCCAAGGTGCAGAAGCTCGTAGCGGCGGGAGTTATCCGCGTCGGCCGGTGAGAAATCGGAGTGGCGTCAAGGTGAGGTAGTGTGGGGAACGAGTGCGGAGGAGGTCGCAGATGGTGGAAGGGAAAGAAAAATGGTCACGCGTAATGGTTGGACGAAGAAACGTTAAAAGGAGCTCACTAGGTCATTTGTAGTGGTTGCAATGTGACCCCAACAACAGAGATATTCCACGTGAGTGCCCTCGGATGTCTTGGAGTGTGATGAATGACTTGCGCGGACCTGCGAAAATGGGATACTGTGGTTTGTGAGGTCGGAGGAGTAAGTAAACTTATGAAATTTGTGAGACATGTCATGCCGGAATGAGGTTTGCGATGGCTTGAGGTTGTAGTGGTGTGCCAAATGAGGCCCGTAAAAGTCGACTCGTGTAAGTGTCACCCGTTGATGAGAATTGTCATTCGAAAAGACATGAGTCGCTGCCTTGGTTCATCTCATCTAGATGTGCACTATTTGATACCTGCTGCGAGTTCGTCGATCTAAATCTGTAGGATCTAAATTTGTTTCTTTTCTTGTTCGTATCATCATTTACTCATTACGCCAAGTACTCGTGTAGTTCTATCGCTCACAATCATGGACTCACCCATGAAAGAAGGTAAATCTCACGCTTCTCAACCGCTTCATCAAAGTAAAGAGACTAACAACGCCCAGCATACGTTCAACTCATCGAAGTCATCGCAAACGACACCACAGACCCAACCGCGACAGAAACCAACGTCCGCCAACTCATCGCCTCCCTCCCCTCCGTCCTCCGCGCTCGCGACGACGACCAGAGAACTGCCCTCCACCACGCAGCCCGCTTAGGCCGTAACGCGCTCCTCGTCGCGATCCTCGAGGCCAATCCGGAGGCTGATGTCGATGTCCGGGATGTTGATCTCTGTACGCCCTTACACCTCGCCGCGCGCAACGGACATGAGGCGTGCGTCGCGACGCTGGTGTGTACGGGTGGAGCGGATGTCCGCGCGGAAGAGAGTTTTCTGGAGACGCCGCTTCATGAGGCGAGTCGAGGTGGGTATGCGAGGATTGTCACATTGTTGATTGATAATGGGGCGGTAGTCGATGCGCCCAATCGGGATTTGGGGACGAGTTTGCATATTGCTGCAAGGCGCGGGAATGGAGAGGTGATAAGAGTGTTGCTCGAAGCCGGCGCGAACCCGGGGACGAGGGATGCTGTGGGGGATACGCCGCTCCATGATGCTGCTAGGGGCGGGCACGAGGGTGTGGTGATGATGTTACTCGCCACGGGATCCGTTTCCATCGAAGCGCAGAACGCGAACGATTTCACTCCATTGAGCGTCGCAGCACGTCACGGACGGGAGGCGATCGTGAGGATGCTAGTCGAGCAAGGCGCGGACGTCGACACCATGAGCAACGAATACTGCACGCCCCTCCACCAAGCCGCATCCGAAGGCCACGACGGCGTCGTACGTATTCTCATCGCCGCGGGCGCGGACGTCGATCTCCAGGACAAAGACGACCAGACGCCCCTCCACGCGGGCGTGATGTTTGAGCACGAGGCCGTGGTCGCGTCGCTGCTTGCCGCGGACGCGGATGTGGATGTAAGGGATACGGAGGACTGTACGCCGCTGCACCACGCCGTGAAGAATGAGAATAAGAGGCTTGTGAGGGATTTATTGGAGGCCGGGGCGGATCCGACTGTGATTTCATCGACGGGGGAGACGCCGCAGAGTTTGGCCAAGTTGTTGAATCGGAATTCGATAGCGGATTTGTTTAACTCGCCGCAGGTTGTGCCGAAGCAAAATGTTGGGCTTGATGTGTTTAGGGTTTTTGCCATGGCCGGTGTAGGTGGTGGAGGAGGAGGTCATGGGATGGGAGGCAGGGTGAAGAAGACACGCCCGCCGTCGAAGCCGAATCAGGAGGCGGAGATTGAGGCGTGTAAGCACTTCAAGGGGTTGTTCTGGTGTCCTGCGTCGGAGTGCAGTTTTGAGAGTTTGAGTGTGTGGGATTTGTTGTATGATTCTGAGACCGAGGTTAAGTTGTGTCCGAGGCCGCCTCCGCCGCCGATGACGCTGCCGCTGCCGTTACCTGTGTCGTCTCCACAGTCGGCTGAGACGCCGTCCCGGAGCCCCGTTGGATCACCCACACGAACCCCCGCGCGATCGAGGGCACATTCGAGGGCGCAGAGTCCTTCGGGGAGTCCGAAGCTATCGCCGCTGCAGACGCCATCTCACTCGCCGCCGCACTCTCCTCTCCTCCAACCGCCTGGGAGCCCCGGCGGGTTGAACATGAAGGAGATGAGGAAGCACATCAGCCAGCAGCGCCGCAAGAGCTCGCATACGACCGGTGGTGGCGAAGGTGCTACACGTAGTACTCCCAACAACTCCAAGGACGACCAGAGGCCTATCAAGCGGTGGTTCCATCTTCCTGCGAACAACGTCGCGTGGGTGATGGACCTCGTGCAGCGGATCTGCGCGGTGGACGGGCGGCCTGATGCAGAGTGTAACCGGATTATTACCTTCATCGAGGAGACGTTTCAGGAGATTCGGATTAGTGCGCCGTATCGGAAGCCGCATTTTCGGATGGAAGCTGCTACTGCTGCTGCTGCGGGGGCGACGACGGATGGGAGTGGTGGGAATGGGATGCCGGAGGTGAGTCTTGGGCCGGAGACGCCGCCGTCTGGATCGGTGGTCCCGACGCCGCCGCCCAGATCGCAAATGTTCTCCCTGGTACTTCCCGTCATTGACGTCGATCTTGACGAGGGCACGAAGAGGAGTCTTCAGGATGTACACATTGGCGATGAGGCCAAGCTATTCCGACCTATGGAAATGGTAGGTGGCGGCGTGGTAGCTCTACCGGCTGCTGCTGCAGGGAGTGATAGGAGAGTGCCGCCGGTCCAGAGACCGCATCCTCTCAGCGCGATGCCGACAAATCTGCAGCACTACCTCTTCCCTCACCTGGCGCACTTTGACGCCATGGCCAAGATGCGCGCGACGTTTACGAAATCTGAGCTTCACGTTCCGAGATCGCTGGATCAGTCTTACCACGAGAGTCTCAGCGCAAGCGACCTTGCGCTGCGGAACGAAAGCCAGGTGTTATTCCGGTATCTTCGGCGCGTGGAGGGACGACTAGCTGCTACAGCTGCGTCTGCGGCAGGCACCACGACAATGGGGACTACGGCAGCGGGATCGACTGCAGGTGACACGATTGCAGAGGATGTTATGGGGAAGCAACCTCTCACAGAAGATGGAATCGCGTCGACGAGGGTGCAGAAGACGCAGCAGCAGCACCAGCAGAGCCCGTTTGATCGGCATGCGCAGAGGGCGTATTCGAGGCAGAGCAGCTCCAAGCAGAAGAAGACGGACGGGACGAAAGCGGAGCTGGGGAGGATGGCGGGGAGGCAGGACCAGGCTAGTAGTGTGCAGGCCAAGATTTCGAGGGAGAAGAGGAGGATGGATACGGAGAGAAGGAAGCAGATTTTGGTTGTTGCGCAGCTTTGGATTTGGAGGATTGATGAGCGTGAGTCTTTCTCTTTTTCTTTGTTGAGCCATGTCCCTGGGGAGAAGAGTCGATGGCGAGGAAGATATTACAGAGATGAGACGAGAGTGGGCGGTTGCTTGGCGGGGGACGAAGCTGACGTGACGTTATTTGACAGACACCATCATCACCGCGTTCCCTGATCGGTGGGATAACAAGAACGCCAAGACGCTGTTAAACCAGATCAAGCACCGCGTGCTGGGTGCCAGGGACATGCGGTCCGAAAATACGGACATGATGCGCGTCGTGGAGAGTATTCTCGAGAGCGCAGTGGGATACAGCGAGGAGGAGTTCCACTTCCAGTTCGAGGGGCCGAGGAGCTATTGCAACATCTTTGCGGCGTCCATCGCTCATGTTGTAAGTTTCTCTATTTGTTCTTGGTGAAGGGCATTGTGCTCTACCTAGAATCAGAGTGGATGAGAACTATGTTGCGAGTTCGACAGAAGCTGACATTGGAACCAACAATCCAGTCCAACGAGGCAATGAAGCGCTACGCCAACTTCAAAGCCTCCATCAGCAAAATGGGCACATCAAAGACGGTCCTCGACGACCTCCGCGCTGAGATCGAGCTTCTGCAGGAGATTGATGACGTCCGTGAGGAGATTAACATGATTAAGCGGGTTCTTCGATCGCAGGAGCGGGTATTTGACGGGTTCCGCGAGGCGGAGGCGGAGCGGATTGGAAGTTCATGCGGTGGAGTCGGAGTCGGGGAGAAGCAAGGTGTCGTTAAGCCGTATAAGCACCCGACGTTGGATTTCTTCAAGAGGTTGGAAGAGGATGCGAATCGGGTTCGGGATTCGGTGAGTACTTGTGTCCGTGTCATGGTGTCTGGATGTCTTGGGGGGTTATTGGGTGTGGGTATGCATGTGGCTGACGTGATGATAGATTACGACGTTGTTGGATTTGAGGCAGAGGGAGGCTAATATCGAGGAGGCTCTATCTGCGAGCGAGCAGTCGAAGATTCTGTTCATCTTCACTGGAGCGACGGTCGTGTTTGTGAGTTTACATCCCCCTCTCGCTTGTCTACGACAGGGGATAACCAAGTTGACTTTTACAGGCTCCGTTGTCTTGGGCAACAGGTACGCAGCCGGTCGAAGACGTCTTCTTCGAGTTTATTTCGAGTGAAGTTTAAAAAAAACTGACTATTTGGAACAGGCATCTTTGACATTTCCATCGAGGGCGTACCATCACCAATCAGCGCCGGAACCCTCATACTCACATGTGGTAAGTCCCCCCTCAAGAGTCCACCCACAAACCCCCTTCCGCCCCAGTATTTAACTAACACAACCCTAGTCCTAAGTCTAGTCGCAACCCTGCTCCTCATTGCCCTCTCCCTTCAAATCTATGAATTCATCACAACAGGCAAAGCAAAGCACCTCTACCGGCGCGTCTCCAACTTCTTCGAAGCCCACAAGCTGGAGAAGCTGGCGGCCGCGAACCAGAGCAAGTCACCGCCCTCATCTCTGGGCGCGTCGACCCAACTTAGCAGGTTGAGGAGGTCGTCTCTCTCGCAGCCTGTGGCTAGTACGACGGCCAACGAGAAAAAGAAGATGCAGAGTGTGAGGAGGCGGCTTGCTGCGTTGCGGCCGAGGAGAGGGCTCAGGGGTGTTGGACGCGATGAGGAGAGGGAGGTTACGGGGAAGCAGGCTTGATGATGGGATGGATAGACGGACGAGCGTTCTTTGGGAATGGGCTTAGAGATAATTCTTGTGATGGATCAGCATTTCTGATAACTAACTTTGGGTACGTTTGATGAAGTGTGTTTGTTATTGTTACAACGTAAGGTATTAAGGAGTCTGGGCATAGCGCGGATCTATCAACGCCGCTGACCCGGAGGAGGTCCATGAGCCGCATCCGCGTATGCGGCATACTTCGAGGGGACATGAATACTGACTTCATGATTGGAGCTACTGTTTCAGTGATTGTGAGGCGTATGGTTAATGGGTGGCACCACTTTCATTTCGTCCGCGCTCCGCTCTTCGCCTTGCGAGAGACTTCGTCAAGGCAACGTGCTAATAGTCGTTACCTTGATCCAATAGCTGGCTTCCCGCGTAGCAGCTACGCATCTCTTTCCGCTATCATACTAGCATTTTTAACCGGATGGCACATTAGCTCAACGACCCAAAACGACCGTGGACCTCTTGGACAGGGTCAGTCTCATACTTTGGGGGAATTCCGGATGTGCGTCGGATAGACAGTCACCGTCTTCTTGTTACACGTGGCAGCTTGAGGGAACTACGTAAAAGACGTTATACACCTTGTGATTTATGCTCGCCGTCTTAGCCGTTACAACGTCAAGATCAAACTATCCTCCTCGTGCAAGCTTGTGGGCCAGCTAAACAGCAGGGTACCAGGGACGATTCTAGCCTTTCACATCAACGATAACTTAGGTAGATCTATGCATACCAGTCTACACCGGCACTATCGGCTCGGTGAAAGGCCTCCAGCTCGGCCGAGTCGATCTGAAGCCGTTTACTTGAGGTCTCGATGGTGCTCACGAGTTCGGTCTCCTCGGTTTTACGAATTTCATTGAATGTCAGGAACACTAGAAGACCTCCTTTTTAAGGACTCATGGTTGTTAATGACTTCATCACTTGGAAAGAGAGATTTGATGCCGAGTTTATTAGATTGCCTACTAGCAAATCTTCTGCTGGCAAATTGTAGACACTTGCCCATTCGTTTGCTGGCCACGGAGTTGAAGATGCTCTGAGGCGAGTAAGGAACGACATTGTGTTTCCACTCTTCGAGGAATCCCAATTTCATTGAAACGAAATGCACACAGCTCACAGTTTCTGTACATCATAGTCTCTCTTCAGGTGCGACAGAATAGGCAGCCGAGGACGAGGTCAGTATAGTCCTTTTCGCGGTTCAAGTGTATTGCTGATTTCCAGAAGTGCGAGGGAGCGCTTGTGAGCTCATAAGCTAGCTACTTGACCTACCAGCACCAAACGACCCATCTGCAGTCAGCATTCATCATCAGAAACAGGCGCAGCACACGGACGCATTGTTACAGTCGGTTTTGGACAACAGTCTGCTACTCATGACTTCCTCCGACGAAGCAGATATTGGAAAAAGTTAACAGCTTGGAGGTCAGAACCGGACTTTTACCAAAACTCCGATCGACGCTATGGCTAACCTAGTTGCATACACTTGCATACAGATAGGTTGACACTAGGACCGCCAAATTACCGTTTCCGGCCGTTTCCGGCATACATTTCGGGCGTTGATCCCTCCCACCTGCACAGCCCTACGGTGCAGGGATCGGACTTTTGCCAAGGACTTGAAAACTCCGGTCGCTATTCACTTCGAACCTCCACCAGTCCACACGCATCACACGAAAGACGAGGACATGGCGAACCGCGAGCAAGCCCCCCTCCAATGATCAATCCAAGACTTGCTGAGCCTTGACGGGACGCGAATACTCAACACTCTTCCAGTCTCATTTCAACGGACTTGATTTCCTCTTATTAAATAAGCCTCCGAGAGTTGGTCTCCATCCTTTCTTTCCCACAAAGTACCTACGACTGTGCAAAGATCTTTAATCGGGGAGAACAGCATTGTGCCGGCGGAGAAGTCAGAGAATCTCCAATATCCGCCGTTATCTTTAGGGGTTTTGCAGAGGCCCTCTCAGCTCCGGTTCCGCCGTTCCAGCGAGATGTCGGCCGCTTCGTCTCCCTCTCGATCGACCGAAAGTCCTTCGCCGGAGCACTCCCGCGTCCCCTCCGTAGCCAAATGGGGCGCCGCCTGCGCGCCATGTGCGACGGCAAAAGCAAAGTGTCTTCGATCAAATACGACACCCGGGTCGAAGTGTGATAGGTACGTTTGTGAGGCATAGCATTCTTTATGCAGCCATTTCTCCATTTCCCGGGTCATCGTACGCCTGCATTAGGGGCCGGGGATTCCTTAATATCTCCGGGCCCGGGGCGATCTAGACATGTTTGCTCTGCGGGAGTGATGAGTGGTGTGGTGGCCACCCGTGTCTCCGTTGCAACCTGGCATGTCTTTGATAGCCCAATGAGGGAAGTGGGAGAAGGATGTTAGGCGACGCTTGCTGTCATTCTGTGACTAACGATTGTGTTCTTACGTGATAGATGTGAGCGGCTCTTCAAGCACTGTTCGGTTCAGGTACACAGACCGAGGAAGAAGAGGCAAAGCAGGCCATCGTAAGTCACTCTCTCTATTCTCGGACCCGCGTTCAGTCAAGGATGATGTGCTGTGTGGTTGCTGTCAAGTATGACAAGCCGGCATTAAGCTCTGAATCAATGGGGTTGTGGGATACCGATGATCCTCTTTGTCACTCACTCGGCCGAATCACTGACACCAGATATCGCAGGAAAACGACCCAGCTTGAAGAGCGCCTCAACCGCCTGGTCAACACCCTACGCGTATCAGGAAACGTGTCCACCCTCCCGAGTGGCCCATCTACCGGCCAGCCAGTACTGCCAGGCCCATCAAGACACTCGTACCCAATCTCCAACCCTCCAGTCTCCCTGCTCTCAGGACAACCGGTGCCCGCAGATTTCTATTCCCAAAGCCGTGTCTCCCCTTGGGACGTCGAAGACCTCGCCGACATCAGACCCATCAACATCCCCGAGACCTACAACTCCTTCGTGCCCCCGACATGCATATGCAAGCCCGAGTCGGGGGAAGCCCCGCCCCCTCCCGACACGGACGAAAACCTCCTCAAGATCTACCGGACCAAGCTGGCGCCGTGTTTTCCCTTCGTGTTGGTACCGGATGACGTCTCCGCCACCACGCTCGGCGCGACGAGGCCTTTTCTGATGGCTGCCATCCGCATGGTCTCGTCGTACCGTAGCATGAAGTCGATGCGAGGACAAATGTATCGCCTTTTGAACCATGTTGCTGACCACATGCTCCTGCGATCCGAGAGGTCGTTTGATTTGCTGCTTGGGTTGGTGGTCATGCTGGGCTGGTTTCATCAGCACTGCATCGCTCACGCTCAGCTTAACCAGCTTGTTTCTCTGGCTACATGCCTTGTTGGGGAGCTCGGGCTGAAGAGGAGCCCTTGTTTGCCGGAAAGGACGAGGTTGTTGGTTATGAGGCCTTGGGAGTTGCGGGAGCGGACGAATGAGGAGCGGAGGTTGTTGTTGGCAGTATGGTATTTGAGTTCTTGGTAAGTTTTTGATTTTAGGAAGAAGTCGAACGAAGCAGTGGCTGATATTCTTACTCCAGCATCTCGATGGATATCCACCAGATTGACCCTATGAGATATTCGGGGTACATGCAGCAATGTTTACGAGAACTCGAAGAGGATGTAGAGTTTGAGTCCGATATACACCTTGCCTACATTGTTCGGATCCAAAGACTTTGCGAGAGGATCTCGGATCTGAGGTCGAAAGACTATCTAGATGAGGAGGGGGACGAGAGTACTCGGGCACCTCTTTCAGCCTACGTCTCTGGGTTCAGAGCTGAGCTCAACAAACTGCAAGCCAGCATGCCTCCTACCTTGAAAAATAATGGTTAGTTCTAGTCACAATTATAATTAGTCAAAGTTCGCAAACTGACAATCCCTAGCCTACCTTCAAGTAAGAATGGCCACCCTCCGCCTCCGCATCCACGAACCCCCCAGAATCGACGCCGAGCTTCTCGCCTCCCTTTCCAAGTCCCTCGACTCCATCAGCGCAGGCTCAACATCGGCCCTCGACGCCTTCTACCAATCCAACGCAGCCCTGAAAGGCTGGTTCGAAACTTGGCTCTCTGTGCCCCAGGAATTCTTCTACTGCATCCCCATCTCTATAGCCTCGCACATGGTCTACGCCGTCATGATGATGAGTCGCTGGTCCTGGCTTACAACGAGAGGCAAGACACCGCCCGAGCCGCAGACAGACCCCGCAGATCCGTCAGAGGATAACCCCAACGTCGCGCTGGCGGCGATGGAAGCCGCTATCAGCCCCAATACCCCCGCATCAACGTCGACCCCGTCGGCTGAGACGAAGGGATCTTCGCCGTGGCAGACGACATTGCCCGATAAGGATCTGCCTCAGGTGCTGGCTGCGCTCAAAGCGCGGCTTTCGACGCAGCCTGACCTCATGCTCGATGTGGAGGGATACCTCAACCGGATCGTCGCCCAGCTGCAGACCATTGACGCGCTATACTCTGAAATGTCAGTCGACGAAGGCGAGTGGCGCGGAAACATCTGGAGTCTGGGCGCGACCAAGGTCAAGATTGCGATGCTGAGGCAGCAGAGGTGGTCCAAGATCATTGCTGCGCAGGCGGAGGAGCGGGACCTGGAGATTCACAGCGCGGCAGGGGAGCAGCTCGGGCTGGGGGAGATTGAGATGCAGGAGAACTTCCTTGCATCGTTGCAGATGCCCGAGTGGGATGCGAGTATGGTCTGGGATCCGCACACGTATTATGATCCCATGCCTGAGGACCCGGCACTCTGGACTGATGTTGTTCCTGGGGATCAGGATTGGGGGGCGGGTGTGAATGGGATGGGAGGGATCGGGTCGCTTGGCCAGATGCCGGAGGGCAGATATATGTAACTTGTAAGATAATGTGTCAGAAAGCGGTCATCTAGATTTTGATGCTCTCAAATATCTACTAAATCTGTTATCGGCCGATATCAGCCAAGGGACTGGACTGGGATGCCAAACACGATGTCAGCTTGCTTCTGACCCGGGAAATGTGGAGTCAACATCGTCTATGGGTTACAAAATTGACCGCAAATTCATCGGGCATTGTGGCAGAGTGGTCTAATGCGCAAGACTAGAAATCTTGTTCCTTCGGGAGCGTCTGTTCGAATCAGGCCAATGTCGACTTTTTATTTTTATGTCACGTCATTACCTGACTTTTGCAATTTTCCATGTTTATCATGAAATCTTGGTTGGTTTATAGTCGTGGTTGCACTTGGGCAAGCCAATGAGTGAAACTTTAAATGTCCGTTGGCAACTGTTACCCCAAACTCTCTGCTTTGTAACCCTTCCCTGTCCCCTGTCAAACGTTGCTGGTTTTTAGTATTATCACGGTTTAAACATCCCTATCGTGCCTCATTGGCTGAACAACTGGGCATCCTTTCGATTCGATATGCATCAGCAGATAGCTGGCAGTGAATGAGTTCCCTACAGACTGAGCTGATATACACCGAGACTTCTGTGGCCTGAGTCTTCTTACATGCCTCACTCCCTCCTATTAGAGTACCTTATGCGACATCACATTCACCAAGTGCGGATAAGACGGCACCTAGTTTCATAGTCCCCGAAGCAACACAGCTCTTGAGCAAAACATGTCTCTAGTCTACTTGATTACGCGTCAAACGTCTACGGCGCAGCGGGGGCAGCTCCCGAAGAACCCTGCCAACTCTTACCCAATAACCCACCACCGCCGCCCTTCTTCTTCTCCTCCTCTTCCATCTTCAACACCAACTCTCCAAGCAACCCGTTCGCCCACCCAAACCACGCCCTCGTCCAGTCCTTCTCGTCCCAGCTGTTCACGCTCTCGTGCAAAACGCCCGAGCCGGCCGTCGAATCCAGCACCATCCGCAACTGCTCCTCGACATCCTTCTCTACGTCCTTGCTGCCGGAAATCGGATCGTATGCCGTGATAGCAGCAATGACGGCCGCCATAGGCCACGCTTTACCAGGTCCCACGTGTGGCCCGCCAACGGCGGAGATGGCGGGGCCCTTCATGTAGTACGAGTTCGCGTCGCTGAGGACGTACTTGCGCGTGTTGCGGTACACCTCGGTGTAGTCGTGCAGCTTCTCGCCCTTGGGCGGATCCGGATACTTGAAGTTGGAGTGCGTGAAGTTCCAAAGAGGCATGGCGAGGAGAGACGGTACGTTGGCGTCATCCATCAAGTTCGCGCCGCCGTAGCCGTCCACCTCGTATGCGAAAATATCACCGAACCCGGGCCGGTGGACAATGGCGTCCTTTTCGATGCCCTGTCGGATCCCAAAGGCCTGCGCGCGCATCTCAATCGTCAGCTTCTTGGCTTTTTCGCCGTCAAGCTTGGCCATGATCTCGGACGCGGACTCGAGATACTTTGCCCACATCATGTTGGCTGGCACCAGGAACTGGAAGATACAGGCGTCATCCGAAGGGCGGAACGCCGTGCGAATCATGCCGTTTTCCTTGATCGGGTTCCCCAGGCCGTCGTTGGTCAGCGTCTCGCTGCCGCGGTTTGTCCACCCCGTAAACGTCCAAGCCGACTTTTCTACCTTACCCTCGGGTGAGTAGGTACCCAGCCGCATCGCGCCCGCGGCGTTGACGGCGGCCTCGACGGCGTCGACCCAGTGGTACTTGTTAAAGTGTTGCCAGTCGCCCGTCTTCTCCGCATACGAGACGGACATTTTCAGAAACGAGGCGAGGGAGTCGAGCTCCCACTTGCAGTCGAACACCTTTTCCGGATCGTACGCCGGCATGGGGTGGTTGTGCACGTACGCGCCATTGTGCGTCGGCGGGATACCGCTCTCGGGCGGCGGCTGGAAGCTGTGGCAGTACGGCGAGATGATGACGTAGCGCGCGTGGGCGTTGATGAGGCCGCGCCAGAGACTGGCGAGGGAGTTTGGGTCACGCGAGGCCTCGAGGAGAGGCAGGTAAGGGCTGATTTGCTCGGCCGAGTCGCGCAGCCAGAGGGCGTCAATATCGCCGGTGATGACATACGTGAGCTCCTGGTCCGTTGCCCTGGATTCGCCCGTGGCCTTGTCTGTCTCGTTGGCGTACCCCCTCCACTTGACCATGCTGTCGAGCGTCATGGGATACGCGTTCTCAAAGAGGCGGTACAGGTCCGGGTCCTTGATGACACCCTTCATGCGGATGATGAGGTTGTCCATGGCGGGGAGGCGGAACGTGCGACATTCCGGCCGGGGCCGGTTGAGCGGGAACTTGCGCTTGCCCTCGGACGCCGGGCCGGGCCGCGAGCGCATCCAGTTCTCAAAGGACTCGCAGTCCGCTGCGGGCGGCGGTGTCGTCGGCATCGGCGACGACGCGGGAGCGCTGGGTTTCGGATCCCCGGGTCGGCCGGCGTCCGTGGGCGGCTGCTTGGCTAGCTCATCGTCCTTGTTGCGGTACGAGTCCTGGCCCTCCTCGGCGTCGGCCTTCAGCTTGTCAGCGGCGGCATCGGGTTCGCCGTGTGCTACTGGGAGTTCCTTGTCCTTGTCCTGGTTTCCGAGTGGGTGCTTGCCGGCATCACCGCCGGCGGTGGTGGATGATTTGCCATTGTTCGCGACGCCGGCTGCTGCTGATCGCGCCGAGTCGAGGTAGCTACCGCCGCCTGCAAGACCAGAGTTGTTGAGGAAGAGCACAAAGATGATGATGAGAAGGGCAATGAATACGACGCGCGCGCGACGTGTCTGGATGCCGCCGCTTAGGACGGTGAAGGCTGGCATGGTGCTTCGTGTTTGTGGCGTCACCCCCTTGGGCGCGTCGTCCGTTCCAGTGAGTGTGTCTTCAGTAAGCGTTCCTGTGAGATAAGATCCCCGACGAATGGTGTGTCTTTCTCCCTTTCTGATGCCGATAATGAGTGTGGCGTTATGAGTGTTCACTCAGCTCATCCGGCCCATGACCAACTATTGAAATTGTCTCACTTCAGGTCAATTAGACATCGTGTGCAATGTTTCTAGAGGGCGGAGAACTGAAGAGGAGTTGAAGACTTGACGTGCTTCAGGCGACGGTGTCGATTCCCACCCCAAAATGTTTAAAAGTAGGGGGGTCAACCTCGCTCGGCATCCCACTATATTTGGACTTTAGTTCCAGGGCGCAGTCTCGGTCGGTTCCAAGCAATTTCGGGTCGCTCGTGTTGCAGGATGATCCTTGACTAGTTTGGTTCTCTACTCTGATCAAACTTCTTGCGGGGGGTTGTCTCAGAGGAGGGGGCATATTAAGGGACCACGGGGTACCTTGGAGAGGACGACAAAGAACTTTCTATTGATTATTGACTGATCCCCTCATCAGTACGGGAAAAATACGAATATTCTGTCTGCTTTCATCCTGCTGATTGGATTGACCGCCGCAACGAAGCATGGCTTACAAACCTAGTTCTTCTTGGGTCAACCTGCGTAACCACACTGCTTCATCTGAACGCGGGGGAACAACTAATCGAATCACGGACAACTGGCTCCGAACTGTGAACGAACCACGCGACACTCGGGTTGCACCGCACTATCGAATCGTTGCAGCGTTATGTGGCTGACCACCGCGCGAACAGTGGCTTCATGCAAGAACGTGCAAAAACATGCAATGAGGCAAAAGATTTTGAGGCGATATCTCGACGTTGGCCTGATTCGAACAGACGCTCCCGAAGGAACAAGATTTCTAGTCTTGCGCATTAGACCACTCTGCCACAACGCCGAAGTTGTCGTGACCCCGCAATGAAGCGGGGATGTTGAGGAGTGGGCTTCGGTGCTACTACAGCTCTCACGACAGCCTCAATTTGTCGACGGATATTTATGAGATCGCCATACGAATATGTAGGAGTAATTGAGTTGACAAGACGCGTATTGCCAGCTTAGGTTACCGGTGGGATTCATGCCCACCCAGCTCAACGCGTGCGCCCACTGCTGAAACCTTGCGACTCATTGACGCAAACTCTGATAACTGGGACTGCTCGCAGCGGAAACATGAACGGCAAGTTCACAATACAGCTTGAATGCTCGCCAAAAGACATCATAGCTTGAACAACCGCGGCTCCGTCCCCTCCTCCGCAGCCCGACGCACAATCCCCCGGTTCTTAACCCCATAATACACCCTCAGCGCCGCACACCCAACGACCACAACAAAAAGCAGCGCCGCGTTAGCCCAGTGACCCGTCGGGTACCTCCGGGTCTTCTCCTCGGCCTTGTAGACCCATACGCCCGGGATCTGCCCGAGCCCGGCGCCGATGCTGACGTTGAGCGCGATGGCGAGCCCCGTCGCCGCCGTGCTGAAGATGTTGGACGTCAGCCAGCCCAGCAGCGGCGGGATGCACGCAAAGGCGCCCGAGGCGCCGACGATGAGGCAGCCGTAGCGCGCGTTGTAGGCGTCGGGCGGGAGGACGGTCGAGACGGCGAAGGCGACGCCGCCGATGAGGGCTAGGGCTGCGGAGTGGACGCCGCGGGCGTTGAAGTGGTCTGCGGACCAGGCTACGAGGATTTGGACAACTGTTCTGGCGCGTTAGCTTCCATGGGAGGTTGGTAGGTTGAGCCTGTCGAAGAAGCTTCTGTCTAGACGTACCGTATGCTGCAGCGTATGGGGGAACCGTCATCAGCTGCGCTTGTAGATCGACGAACCCGAGTCCCGAGGTGATGGATGGCGTGAAAAGCGACAGCGATGAGAAGGGTGTCGACATTGCAAAGTACACCAGGTAGTGTCCATACAGCCTCCAGTCCGTCAGCGTCGCCTTGGCTTCCTCCCACGACATGGTCTTGTGGCTGCTCTTGCTGCCCTCGTGGTAGAGCCTCCGCAGCGCGAGATCCTTCTCTCGCTCCGAAAGCCAGCCAGCACTCTCGGGATAATCAGGTAAGAAGAACCATACGAAAAAGGCAGACAGACATGATGGTATGCCTTCGAGGATGAAGAGCCACCGCCACCCCGACATACCGTGCACCTGGTTCATGTGCCCGATGCCATACGCAATCGCCCCGCCAAACGCACCTGCCAACGTCGCGCTCGCGAGGATCATAGCAACCCTCACGCTCCTCTCGTCATGCTTGTACCAAAAGGTGAGATAGTACACCAGTCCCGGGAACAAACCCGCCTCAAAGACGCCGAGGAGGAACCGCACGCCCGTTACCGTCGCGAAGCTGTTTGCGCCGCCGAGGCCGATCGTGACGGAGCCCCATGAGAACATGAGGAAGGCCAGCCATCGCGAGGGCCGGAGCTTCTTGAGGAGGATATTTGAGGGTACCTCGAATATTGCATAGGCGATGAGGAAGATCATGAGGGCGATTGTGAAGTCGTGGTTGGACATGTGCGTTTCAGTCTGCATGTCGTGGCCCGTGGAGGAGTTTAGGATCTTTGCATTGCCAATGTTGGAGCGGTCGAGGAAGCAGAGGAAGTAGATGCTTGCGGAGAGCGGGATGATGCGCTTGTCTTGTTTCCAGAGGAGGGCCTTTTCTTCTTCGGCGTCGGCTGGGGTTGGGGAGGATGGTGAGGGTTCCTGTGATGATGTGGTTAGTCCTGGTATGCGATGTGATCTTCTGCTTTACGTGACGACTACCTCTTTCACGGCGGGCGATTCAACATCCTCCCGACCTGGGGCGAACGAACCCTTCTCCTCTGACTGTAAGGCCATCGTCAATGGTGAGAAGGCAATGCTGCTGAGTAGAACCTCGGTTGTGAGCACCGTCAAGGCTGAATTTGAGCGCAGACAAGCTTTTTGACCATAGAGGTGTCGCTGTCTTCAGCCTTGAACTGTCAATATTGAACCCAAGCCAAAGTACCAACAGAAACGAAGACTTCTTACTTTCATTACACAGGAAGAATTGACAGCCTTTTCATCTCGGCCGAGGTGGGTTTCCCCATCCCCCGCATCCGCGGGGGAGCCTCCAACACGAAAATCTCACCAAAGCCTGCATGTGCCGCCATGCCGCTCCAGCGTCACTATCTGGTGGGGTATTTGTGATTTTCGCGAATCAACGGCTCACTGTTGCAGCGCGACGATCGGCCGTGCTTGATGCAATCATGCAGGTTTAGCCAGACAAGTCACACGATGGCCGAGAATCGGAGGAAGAAGGAGATATGGGAGGTTGGGAGGATTCGCCTAAGACAATGCCCTGTCCCTCGCTTTTTTGGTGTTGGGTAGAATTGTGATCTGCAAGGCCAACCACCGAATCTTAAATCGCCTACGGAGTACATGACTGTTTGAACGTCGTTCACCGAGTCGTCAAGTATGCGATAAAGGGAAACAAGTTCTCTCTCAGACATTAAACAAGAACAATCGCAACTTCAGGTTCTGGCAATGGTGAATGAGCAAACTGCCGTTTGAATTGCACGCCGAGGGCTCGCTACTACACGGGTCTGGATTGATTTATGTTCGGACGAATTTGGTGACATCCTCAATTTCGGACTTATCGACTGGAATTAGGAAACGATGGCCGCCTAGTTGTAGTTTCGATAGCACGAGAGTCGTTGTCCAACTCAAGACTAAGGAACTTCCCGCATTTCCACCAATACGATATCTCATTCCATGCACATATCCGCTCACAATAGCTGCAGCCTGCAGGTTATGATTCTGAATCTGCCGAACTCCTTGGCCAACTAAATCTAGTTTGGTGCTGTCTCACGCGCCGCGTCTTCGCGAACGGGTAAACACGTGGCTTAAGCTGACCCGAAGCCTCAGACAGATGTGATAGGCTGCAAAACGACTAATCTGCTGTGTTGCTGCTGATTATATCCGTTCTCATCGCGTTGCGTTCCTGAATACCTTCAGCTGCAGCCAAGATGGATCGCGGGGTCTAAGACAGCGTGCCGTTTCCGGTAAGTCAAAGCACCCACTTATGGGCCCCCCCCCCCCCTTTTGGGCCCCCCAACAAACATGGCATCAAAACATCGCCACCAACTACACTCAATTAATTAACTGTCTTCTACTGCCACAATAATACAGTCATTATTATCCCTAGGTAGTTCGACCCCTGCGAGTCGATTGGGACTAACTATACGGTCGCCAGAGTCCTCCTGAGCTCTCTGGATGTTCCAGATGTTGGCGAACCTGGTGTTTGGGTCTGTTGGGACAGTCTTCTTTTTCCTGGGCCTTATGCGCTCTATTTTTGCCTCCAGAACTCGAACTTGGTACCGAGATGTGGCCAAGTGGTAGGCCTGCTCCCCAAAAGCCTTTTTCACCTTTCTAAACAGCAGTCGTCGAGTGCTATCGTCTGGACTGAGCTCTATGAATAGCTTCAAGTGGTCGCAGAGCTCGCTGGCCCTCCTGGGAGTTGACCAGTCAACAACAGACGTCGCTGATGCCCAGTCAAGTGCTTCCCTAGCCTTTCCAGTCGTCTGCCCAGCATCTGTGCCCTTTTTGGATGGTGTGACTTGGGTAGGTAGGACCATTGGGTTGGTAAGTGGCTTGGACATGTTAGGTGGCCATAATCCAGTTACTTTCCACCCACTTCGTATATTTGACGACGTCAAACCAGCCAAACGAGCCTTCTGGTAGCAGCTCAAGAAGTACCGCTTTCCAACGATAGTAGAATTATCTACTATATCCTCCTTACTAAGCTCCTTTCTATAGTGGGACTTGATAGGTCCAAAGACAGCCATATCTAACGGCTAGAGGACATAGGAAGTATATGGTGGCAAGAACAGTAAGTAGACGTTGTTTCTATAGCACTCCCACATGAATTCTGTCGTCGTATAACTCCCATGCCCATCCAGTACCAACAGTCGAGGCTGGTTCAGCTTGCTGAGCCCCCCAATAAGGGGGGTCTTAGTCTGTGGCAAGAACACTATTTTCAACCACCAAAGGGCAGTGTCGTCGGTCGTCCAGCCATTATCTGTTGCTGTGAACTCCCAACCAGCATATGGGTTAAGTTCAAGTGGAAACCACTGCTGTTGAACCGACTTTCCCTTGTATATGACCAGTGGTTTGATAGCTCTGCCATCAGCAGAGATACACTCGATAATTGACACCCAGGCACGCGAACCAGGCTCTTTTTTTCGCACTGCTGTGGCCTCTGCCATGCCCAAGACCAGACCATTGGCTCCCTTGCCCTCCATAATACCAGTCTCATCTATATTATACCTGTTGGCCTGTTGGATGTCCCTGATCTCTGGTATGTCGAGTAATCTAAACCATGATTTAATTACATCAGTGGTAGCTCCATTAACACGTCGCGAATCAATTAGACGACTTCTCTGGACCCTTACTGATGGATTCCTTTTAATAAAAGCGTCGATCCATCTCTTGCCAAGTGGTTTATTATCCCCCTGGGATCTTAGAACTCGCTCAGCGAATTCCCTGACCTGTTCATGGGTTGGTGCGACACCCAGGCAATGCTGAATTCGAACCCACTGTGCCAGCTGGTCTTCCTGCCATGGAAGAAGCCTCTGAAGCTCTGCGAATGCCCTCGCTCTCGTCTGGTGGCCTCTCCTTCGATTCTGAAGTGTTGCCCTGGGAACTCCGAACTCAATCGAGGCCCTCCTGATAGAGAGACCGTTCCCAATAGCATCAAGAGCCCGTTGGAGCTCATTTTCGGTATACGAGACCATTACATATCGATTGACAATTGTGCAAAAAAGAAATGCATTTGGACGATTTTTGCAATTGTTGTGGTGGTTTGTACATTGAGGGTAGGATTTTAATGCGGTGGCTGGGCGGGATTTTGGGGGGGCCCAAAAGGGGGGGGGGCCCATAAGTGGGTGCTTTGACTTAGTTCAAGGACACTTCTGGGGAAACAGACCCTTGAGATATGGGCCCATTTCACATGCTAGCATCTGGAATCCTATTTACTTTCAGCCCTAGATGAGTGCGAGCCGGCCGACTCAGTATTGATATAATGAACTGATGGGCTGTACCTTCGTCTGCCTTGCTTGTCCTCTGCTTCTCGCAACCCGATGTAAGAGCCTACTCTCACTAGGATAGGAAACAAGTCAAAATGTCGACAGAATACGTCAAATGCGCACACAAAACCATCCCAGAGGATGACAACTTTGCAAACAGAAAGAGGCTTTTGATCTGCTGTGATGGCACGTGGAACAACTCGTAAGTCAAGCAGTGCGGACACTCAACTCTGCCCACATGCGACGTACTAAGGTGCTTCCCTCAAGGAATAATGGCGGTGTACCCACGAACGTGAGCCGTCTCTCCTCTGCAATCGCACACAAGTGCTGCACTGGCATGGCCCAGGTAGTCTACTACCACCGCGGCCCTGGAACAGAGGAAGACAAGTGGGCCAGCTTCGTGGGAGGCCTGCTCGGGCTGGGTGTCAAACAGGTAAGTGGTTCAGACAGACGACTGATGGTGATGGCACATGATTAACGTTGATTGCTGTCAGGATATTGTGGATTGCTACCGCTTCATCTGCGATAATTATAACCCGGGAGATGAGATCATCATCGTCGGCTTCTCGCGAGGCGCTTTCACGGCCCGGTCGCTCGCAGGCATGGTCTGCACGCTTGGCTTCCTCAACCGTTCTGGAATCAACAGCCTCGGCCATATCTATAACGACTACAAGGCCTTTAACGACTGGAAGGACCTTCGCATGTTTGACCCCAAGAAACATCTCTTGGGATTCAACGTTGATCAGCTGAAGGTGAAGATTGAGAAGGAGTACATGGCTGAAATCCAAGAGATTGAAGACAAGTTGGATCGAGCCGACGAGTTTTCGGAAGATAAGGTTTGGGACTTGGACGAGCAGCTTTTAAGAGTCCTCGAACGCTACGACGAAGCTACGAGCCCCGAGAGGTTGAAGCAGAGACTGGAATGGGACATGAAGAAACTTTTCACGACGATGACTGAGCAGAAACGGCCAGATGGAAGCATGAAGTTTCGCTCGATGGCAAAGTTGTATCGTCAGCAACTGAGCGATGTAAGTTCTATGTTATTATCTTCAATTTCGTGAGCTGGCGGCTGACTTCATGTTCCCAGTACGAATTGTGCTTGACTCGCATGGTGAAAAAAAAAGACCACAAGGATTCACACGAAGCCGTGGAAGGAAATATCAAAGCAGTCGGTTAGTCAATTTCCAATCAAGCTGGAATCTTGGAGTCAAGTCCGTGGTAGCTGACACCCCATTTGACTAGGCGTATGGGAAACGGTAGGAAGTCTTGGAATCCCCAAGATGCCGTGGTGCTTCTGGCACGGCTCTGGCCGAAGTGCTGCAGAGGTAAAATCTTCCTCGGAGGAAACTCCTCCGGGCAACTGTCATAATCTATGTGCGATAACTGACTGGCATCTGGTTTCCAGCTCCGGTTCGCAAGTTACAACGTCCACCCCAACATCGATCACGCGTTCCACGCCCTTGCCCTCGACGAGTTCAGAACCCCTTTCTCTCCCACGCTTTGGAGGTGCAAGAGATCGAACACGAATACTCAACTTCGTCAGGTCTGGTTCCCCGGTTGTCACAGCAATGTTGGCGGAGGCTCTGATTCACAGCAAATCTCCAAGATTGCCCTTGGATGTAAGCTTGCCCCTACCTGTGTCGTCTAGATTCCCTGCCAGGCTGGGAACTTCCCACACCTTCTTGACGGGCCCAGACTTATTTGGTTTCACTAGGGATGGCGGACCAGTTGACCTCCGTCGGCGTGGAATTCAGTAAGTGCGAAATGCAGCGTATCTTCAGGACAATCTCACACGGAGATACTATTCGGCCGTGGGGTCTCGGCGAGATCTCTAGCCCGACATCTCTGGTCACGACGAGTCCCGACCGGGCTTGGAACATCATTAGAGCTCCCTACCTCGCGTACTACGGTCAATTTGCAGAGAGCTCAGCACGAAAGCCTAGATTATACATGGAAGACGATGGGGTAACCCCTCTGACACACACCAAGGAACTGGTTCACCCCTGTGTCAGGGTCCGGTACCTGTACAACGGTCTCGGACTAGACGACAAGGCTGAGTGGCGCTGCAACGCCCTCACTGGGCGCGGTTGGGACCTCAAGCTCGACGGAGGCGTAGTTCCAACCGATATTCGGCAAGGTCGGGACCCGAAGATTGTGGACAAGTATAGAACCGTGGGCGGATCCGTCACCGCCATTCATCAACAGTATCCGAAAACTCAAGCCGAGGAAGGCAACCTCGTTGACACCGAGCAGCCCTCGGAAAAGGATCTATGGCAGTTGAAATCTCCGAAGAACACGTACACATGGACCCATCCAGATGGCCAGGTGCTCAAAGAAGAGCAGATTGGCATGTGGGAGCGCATGTTCATCGACATCAACGACGACCTCGTCGAGTTGAAGAAGAAGAGCGATGACGAGAAGAGAGACAAACGGACGCGCGGTGACCGCCTAAGAGACCAGGCGACGAACAAGGTGTACTACGCCCTGAGCATGGCGGAGTGGATTGTGAAGGCTTCCGTCGGCGCGATCTTGGGCACGCGGCCGGATAAGCAGTACCCGATCGGGTACCCATTACAACATGGGTACTATGACTTTGTGTCGTGGCAGAGGGGCCTCAAGCACGGTGCTTCGGAGGTTGAGTCGGCGGCGGAGGGCGTGCAGGCAACTGAGAATGGCGATGTCCATGTTCATTACCACTGGATGAATGATGGTACGCAATGAGAGGTCTTGGCGAAACTGCAGTTTGATACTAGGCGTGGGATACTTGGCGATTTATTTTCATCTGTCGGCTGGAACTCTTTACTTTCGGACGTCAAAGGTTATTTGCTCGGGACTTCAACAACATTGCCAATGCGTTAGGGAAAGGGCCAGCCCCTTCGTAGAAGTATGGACGAAGAAAGAAGCGACTATACTATTCACTAAGCTCAATTTCAATTGAAACCTTCGCATACCGACTCAACTTAAACAAGTGAAGTGTTTCAATATTCCGGCAATACATGTGCTTAAACTTTGACTCAGGAGCCATAACCACGAATCGACCAAGCCTTTCCACGAAAGTATGGCACCATGGGCCCAGTAAAGCTTCCTAGGCCATTTAATCTGCCAAAGAAGACGATCTGAAAGGTCTTCATCAGCGAATAGAACAGTATTATCAATCATCTTGACATCCCAAGGCTTCTCGGAGGAAGGTGGACAAGCACTCGGGTCTACATATTGCCGTCGGTCGTCTAAGGGGACCATGCAAGTCCACAACCTGACCCCTACTAAAGGGAAGCAAAGATGCACGACAGGCTTGATCAGTTCTTACTTGGAGATGCATACTTTCATCCTATGCTATCCATGTTGCGGCTTAGCTCGCTCGCTCGCTTTGGCAGGTGCCAAGTCCAGCCGCAGGCAGCAGTAAAATGAGCCTATGGCCCAACTCGTAAACGTGCAACCCCTGACCAAAGGATTCCCATGCAGCCAGCTAGTTTCGCTCGTATAGAGTATCGATCACACGTAATAATTCTAGTGATGCCATGCAGGGACGCTCTTGAAGCCGCCAACCTATCAAGAGCCAAGGTCGCAGTAAGATCTTCAGGGACCGCCGAAAAGATGCCGACGCAAGGAACGGCCCGTACATCTCTCTCCTGACTCCTCGATAATTCAGGACATCAAATCGTTCACAAATACGAGCCGTAATCGAAACTCATCCTCGAGAAATGAGTTGCTTAAGAATGCCTCCTCATTCATCTCTTAGAAGCCTGTAACTCCACCGCAGAGCGAGACGCTGTCATCTTGAGCAACGCATCCTTAGCAGCCACGAGACCAATCCGCGTTCTACGGCTAAGATGCTCTCCCTAAAGAGCACGCTCGCTCTCTGCGCCGCCATGATAAGCACAATCACAGCCGTAAGCTCCATCTCCGACACCCAAATGACAACCCTCCTCAACGAAGGCGGCATCGGCCTTGCAATGGCCGCCCAACCAATGTGGTTCTTCGGCCAAGCGATGAACCAGCCCCCTTGTATCCCAACACACGCAGTCTTCAACGGTCAGCAGGCACCCGGTGCCGAGCTCTGCGGGTGGCCGGATGCGGGGTGTAATTGTCGGAAACCAGGCGTCGGTATCGGGAACGTGGCGCCGGATTTTCCTGTGTATTACAGTTACAGCAAATGCAACGATAATGAAGTCCGGGTGGTGTATAATTTGTTTTATGAGAAGGATGGGTTTACACCGTCTGGTGTGTTTGGACACAAGTAGTACGTTCCGACCTCCCCCGACGTCTCGATATCAGGATGTAACTGACATATCATCCAAAACAGTGACTGGGAGAGGGCAATTGTCATCTGGGCAAAAGACTCCACAAACAACTGGCAGCCCTCGCAGCTCTTACTCTCCCAGCACTCAGGCTACGACCGCAAGAACTGGGGCGACATCCAAAACACCTTCAACACCGTCGACGCAAGCCTCCCCCGCGGCGGAGACAATGGCAGAAAGAACCTCGACCATCCCAAAGTCTACGTGGCTTGGTCGAAGCACGCCATCTACCACGACAGGAACACGGGTTGGAACGATGTGCTCTCCCAGCTGACGAATAATGCTTTTCGGTCACAGGATTGGTGGCATTATCATGCGAGTAGTAAGTCCTCGTGAATTAGTCTTTGAGGTTGCGGATGTTGCATTATGGGATAACATAGACTGACGGGGCATAGGCTCGTATATCCGCGCCGATGGCTCGACTGATATTGGAAGGCAGATGGCAGGGATGGACTGGGGGTCAGCTACGAGTCATCCCGCAAATGTCCATGATCGGTTGTGTTCCGCATGAGTTATCAGATTGCGGATTCTGAATGATTAAGATCTCGCAGCTCGCTATCCAGGCAGGCAAATATCTCAAACGTGATCCCTGCCATAACGAGAGAACCCTTCCCCCTTCACGGGAGTGTAACTCACGTTGTGATCCACCTCCGGGGATACATTAACCCCGATCAAATCCACAACATCGACGATGTGAAGCGGCCCGTGTACTGTCTCATTCGACACTCCCACGTGAAACCTGCTAAACGTCTTAAACGAACTCCGGTTAAACATATTTGGCGCGCCGGAATCGGGCATGTTGCTAGTGCCACAGACTCGACGCACGTATTCCGCCGGCCATGCGTGCGATTCAGCCCGCAATCCATGCGCAACGACCGCGATAGTCGACCCGGGTGGTATAGTTACCACCCGATTCACCATCCATGACGGCCTGTTTTCAAATGCGACGGAGCCGTCGTCACCCACAGCGGTCGACATGTACTGGTATTGTAAGACCAGAGCTAGCTGCTCTTCCCCATCACTCCCTGGCACCGGTGGACCCCAAAGGGGAATCACAATGGGAGACGCAAGGCCATACGATCCATCTAGGCAGTCAGTTATCGGAAAACCAGCTGACTTATTTTCTTGACCATCAAAAAGATATGGAGCACCAAGGCTGAACCCCTTGGGCAGGGTTCGGACGGCACATCCTGTTGGGTCTGAGTCATAGAGGAATGCAACATTTAGCACCTCCAAACGTTTAAACTTGATGAAAGCAGAACATAGTCTCTCACTCGTCCAAACGTTCATTGAAAAGGTCGAAAGCCGGTCCGAGGCTCTGTAGTAGGACAGGCTTTCGAGATGGTCGAAATCAGGTGTGGCCGTGATGCTTTGCACAGGAAGCGCGATGGTGTTGAAGATGTCGTTGCGGCGCCGACAAAGCAGAGGCGCCAAGAAAGCGATCCTGACGCGGCCTCCAATCCATCTAGAAGGCGTCTCTGCAAGGAGTGGAGTACCAATGACGATACCCGAATTTTCGATGCGCACTCGAGTACTGGGGATATTGTAGATTGGTATTACGTCGCCTGAGTCCTTGAAGTATGCAGGACTCCGCGCGAGGAGCGGCCAGTCGAGTCCGCCCATTTCCCGAATGATGCCTGCGTTCCCCTTGACAATACGTCCCCATGCGAAGATGGACTGGTCGTCATGGTCCCGGATGATTGCCTCTTGCAGTCTCTGGAAGGCTTTGGTGCCTTCACCGTAGATCAGCGGCATATTGACGTCAAAGATACCCAGTAGACAATACGCAACGTCTTCAGTTCGGGTCGTCTTCCTTTGTGAGGCCCAGCTCATCCGCTCGGCTACACTCGCGCTATTCACATTCCGCCCTGCCGAAAGGTAACGTCTCCTGATACCTGTTCTCTGCTCTATGACGCCGCCGAAAAGCCTTCGCGGTCCCAGAGGTCTCCAGTCTTGGGCATAAAAGTCCAGAGATGGTGGGGCCAGGAGCTCCTGGAGCGTCCACCCGCGGGTGAACCACCGACTCCCAGCCAGAGTCGTCTCGCACTCTTCGGTCCCTGGCTCGGAGTGTACGACATCTGAAAGGTAGGCAAAGCAGATCTCGGCCTCTTTATACCACCTGAACATGGAGTTGATAGCTTCTGACAGCTCACTGCTGCTAGCCTTGTCGATGCAGCAGGTATCGATCCAGATCCAGGAGTGACCTCGTTCGCGGGCCACGCGGCAGGCAGACTGAATCTTGGACCATCCGGCTTTGCTAGTAGGGTATTTATCGATATCTCGAAAGAGGACTTCTTCGTCGCCCCAGGTGTGTGATAAGATGGCGTATTTAGGAACCTGGCCCTCGGTGAACTCGTGCAAACGCAACGTACTTGTATCGAGAAGATGCATTGTGAATGGCGAGCCTCCTCACTGATTCGGGTCGAAAAAGCTTGATGCAACTAATCGTGAGGTGGTGAAGGAAGATTTTGAAGTTGACGTTTGGATCTGCAACCAAAATTACGCTCATGAGATGCAGAGGTGCATGAGGCGACTACTCCGCAACAAGTATGTCAGCGTCCCAGGCCTGCATAGTGTCCACTCCCCAATCATGGTCGATATGGCTCAGCTATTGTCTGTATGCAAGATAAGAGGCGGATATTGGCCATCCTGTAATTGGGAAATCTTCTCGTTCGTATGACCAAAAGGACATTGTCCAGTCAAAATGTTGTTTAAGGAATGTCATTGAGAAGAACAGGAAACGGCATCGATGAACATTGAGTCCTCAAGCTGACGTAAGGCAAGTCGAACATTCCGAGAAGCTCCCTCCCCTCCACAGGACCACAGACCGGCCCGAGCTCCTACCCGCCACAGCCCCACGAGCTTAAGCAGCGCCAAAGGAAAAAAAGAAGAAGGAAGGCAAGCCCATCAACGCGCCCAGACCTTATGACGCCCCCGACTGCACTTTCCCCGCCAGTCGCCCCTTGGTCCAAGCACCCGGTCTGTGCACCTCCTCCCCAAAAAGGAAAAGAAGAAGAAGACGGAATAGAAGGAAGAACGCCGTGCCTTTGATTACGGTAACCAAATGAATTAGGGTATCATCAAGTCCAGTCTATCCTCAGCTCATCCCCGCCAAAAGTCGTCTGAGAAACCAAACATGATGCCCTGTAATGCCGTCTGCTTCTCGTAACGAGTTGCGCCTCCCTTAAATAGGCTTATTCTATGATCCAACCAGTTCCACGCCGCGCCACAAATCGTACAAAACATCTTCTCTCATAACAGCGTCACGATTCTCCAATTACACCCCTTCCCATCATCATCTGAGCCCGAATGCCCCCTTTTCAACAATGAATCGGACGGGGTGTCTTGCTCTTCTCCGGAAGCTTAGCGGCCTTGCCCCACGTCCACCGTGGTTCGTAGCAGTCGGCGTCGGGCTAGGCAATGGCAAAGGCACCTGTCCCGGTGAAAGGCCGTTTCCACCACGCTCATCGAATCCCCACCGCATAACCCCTCCGCTTCGGATCCAGGTCTCTAAATTCCGGCACTGACTAACATCCACCCATTGTAGTCGACTACATCCTTCAAGCAGATTCTCGACACCGCCGCCAGTGACTCTAACGCAGCCACGAACCGAGATGCCCTCCAACTCATTCAAGTGTAGTGCAACCGACTGCAAGCTTGCATCCGAGACGGCACTGCCGCAGAACGAGAGGCGAAGTTCGCGCAGCTGAGGCAATCCCAGCGCGACGACTTCCGTGGCGGTATCCGACAGAGCGCAGCAAAAGGAGAGATCCAAGTGCGTCAGGTTCTTGGCCGCACCCACAAGGGCGACGACCGCGTTGTCAGAGAGGTAAGTGCAGTCCGCAAGGCACAAGTGAGACAGGTTCAAGAACCGGTAGGGAGCCCAAGACTGGAAGCCGGCGTCTGAAATTGACGTGCATCGAGTCAGGGACAATGACTGCAATCGATTGGACGCATGCGCAGCGAGGTGTGCCATTGACCTGTCGGTAATGTGTTTGCAGTACGATAGGTTAAGGTGCTTGAGGGCGGGACAACCAATTATGGTTCCCGGCTTGGGGATGTTTGCAGCTCTCTGTTGAGCCTGTTGCGTCGCGGCCTTTTGAGGCTTCGACTTGGCCGAAGAGCTGGATATCACCACCTGCTTGCTGGGCGGTTGGGGTGGCGGCGGCTCGGGAACTACCCAACCTACAACACGTGCTAGTAAGTTGTCGCCAACTTTGCGACAGTTGCTCCAGTCAATCTCCTCCAGACCCTTTGCGTTCTCTGCCATTTCCAAAATCTGATTTGCAGAGACATCCCATACAGATCGCATGCGCCATCGCTTAACATTGCGGCCACAGCTCTCCCAAAGACCTCGGAAACCGTCGTCAGTAATGTGGAAGCAGTTGCTAATGTCGATTGTCTCGGGGCGGTTGCCCACGAAAGGACCGATGACTGTTCGGATAGCCAGATCTGTGACTCTTCTGTTGTGCTCGGATAGGTCCAAATCCAGGCAGATCTTCGGGTGTGTCGTCAGTAGCTTGCGCCAGTGGGACGAAATGATTCGCGCGCGCATCAGCTCCGCAACATTGAGGAATCGAAATACTTCCACAAGCAAGTCATCGGGAAGAGCTGGGGCCTGGGCCGGATGTGGACGCCGCGGCAGTCTCCGGGCTCGCTTGACAGGCACTTCTTGCTCAGTTGGCGACTGCGGCGGAAAAGAGAAGCGGAGAGGTGTCGACTCGATCTGGTGAGTCCGAAAGCCGTTCGTCACTATTGACGACGAGTTGTCGGATTGCGGGGTAGGCGGGGCCAGGGAATTGCGTCGCCTATTTCGCATATTCTCCATGTCTACGCTCAAGAAAGGATCTGGGTCCTTGGGCTCCATTGTTTCCATATCGTCTTTTGTAGGTGACGTCGGTTTCGAGGGCGTCGTGAAGGTGACGTGCGGTAGGACTTTGGGTGTTGTCGGTGTCGGGGGGTCTGACTTGCTGGTTCGTTCCATAGGGTCCGCATATGACATTTCAACGTCGTCGTCCGAGTTCTTATATCTCTTACGAGCTGTTTCCTCAACCTGGGACTTGATATCGGGCGGGCATCGGCTCCAAAGCGTGTCTAATGCATCTCCGGGGATCAATAAACACTCGACCGTCGTAATCGCCCGCACTGTCGCCGTTCGACCTTCGGACAACCCAAGACTGGCCACTTCTCCAAAGTATTGACCTGCTTTCAATCTTGGCCTGAGATAGGTCGCACGAGCCACCTTCTTTGGGGGCTCATTTGGTGCTTCATGAACAACCTCTGCTTCACCTCGAACAATGAAGAAGATCTCGTTGCCGGCCGAGCCTTGTTGAATAATGTCTGTAAACGGAGGGTATGTCTTTGGCTGAACGCTGAGCCCAAGCTGATGGAGGATGTCAGGAGGTAATGTGGAGAACAAAGGCAACTCTCGCAATGTTCGTCGCACATTGACGAAACCACTACCGAGGGCACTACCCGCAGCAGGGTCTTCGATGGCGCCAGGACTAGGAGACTTCCGCTTCTTAGAGTTGACGACGGTACCCTCTCTGATGGTGCCTACCTCGCCCATAGACACTTCTCCTGGCACCGGTTCTCTTACTCCATTGGTCTGTGTCGAGGCAGGCTTGATGAGTTGGCCGCCTTCCTGGCGCTTCTTCTTGAGAATGTTCAAGCGCTCCTGAGCTTCGTGACGAATCGCCCGTTCCATATCCGGGAATTTCGGTAACTCTGCCTGGAGGTCTTCCTTCTTGAGGACCACCAGAAGGCATTTCGTCCGAGCCACAATGGTCGCAGTTCGCGGGACGTCCATCAATACTCCAATTTCTCCGAAAAAGGCTCCGGGCTTGAGTTCTGCATATATGGCTTCACCGTCTCTAGAGGTGACAGCCACAACTCCGCGCACCAGCCAGTACATTGCTCTGGCATCATCGCCCTCTGTAAGAATGTGGTCCTGTGCCGCATGAACCTGCGGTCTTAGATGGTTTCCGATGGCGGCTAAGAACTCCTCTGGCGCTGACACAAAAAGGGGGAATGATCTAATACGATCAACCAAGTCGAGCGGCATGTCGCGGATGGTGGAAGCGGTGAGAGGAGATGGCCGCATGGGTCGCGTAGGGTTCGTGTCAACGTTGAAGGACCTGAGGAGTGAGAGGGAATCCGGCACCCCGCCCGCGCCTGCGCCAGTATGGGCGAGGGCGCGGTAGGGCGAAGGCGACGTTGGGGAGCGATTCCGCCTCATGGTCCTTGAGGGATGCCGCGTGCGTGGTCGTGTCGACGCCAGGTTTTCGACGTGCCTTGCCGGCTAAGCTCTCCGCCCAGTAGGAAGGGCAGAGGGCCAAAGCTTCAACAGGGCTTTGCCAGTGCACACCCGGTCTGTAGCCTGTGCTCCGCAAGGGCGGCCGGAGGAGGAAAATCCTCTCCCTGCCTGTGGGTGGAAGCTTCCTCTGATGCTAGATTCTCGCGTTTTCCGTCGATAGTGTAGACAGCAGACGAGGCTGGTGCATGCTCTAGAACGGCGACTTAAAGTGCAAGGTATTGGATTCGCCGTGAGGAAGTGTCAATCGCGGGTGTGGTAATTATATATCCCTGATAATTGGGGACCTGTTTCTTGTTTCGCGCCCTTTAACTCTCGATGTTGAAGTTCCCCCTTGGCGACTCGGGAGTGAGAGGCGATCGTGTTTGGCTTGAAGGCGGGGTCTTCGGAGGGGCTTTGGAAGTGGGAGGGTCGCGGTGGTCGACAACGCCGAGTGTCGCAGATCGTATCACGCAACGTCGCCGTTGGAAACGGTGTCTCTGGTCGCTTTAGGAACAACAATTCGCCGGCAAGACGCAATGATTGACGAGGGATGCGGTGACAACAAGTGGCTGCGCGAGGACAGCAGCGGAAAGTTGTCGAGTGCCTGGCACCGGGTGCTGTGGAGGTCAAGTCAGAGAGAGAAACACACGGTCACTTTTGGCCGCTGGCGATTTCATGACGGACATTAGGCGGGGGAGCACCCACCAAATCTTTGACGGTGTAGGTAGGAAGACAATTGTTGCTGATTGTAATTGCTCTCGATCCGAGATAAACGACTCTTTACGCGGGGTTCGGTCGGTCGCAAGGAGCGGGTAGGCAAAGGCGATTTGAGTTGCGAGGGCGGTGGGAAACGAAGGTACCGGGGGTGGGTTGTTCGCTACGGCGGGATCGGAGGCGTCGATAGAGTGATGTAGGCGAGCGAAGAAGGCGAATGATTCGCAGTCGCAATATTGCAGATCAGTTGGGCCAACAAACGGGCAAGGGGATGGACGATTGGAGGTTGCGATGAGGGGATCTCCAGCAGAAGAGGAGGACAGGAGGATGACTGCTGCAGGAAAGGGTAAGCGGGAGTGGAGGGGGGATTGGGAGGAAGAGAAACGGCGACGGACGAAAAGAGAAGCGGTCGTGGGTTTGGGAAGGGAAGGGAAGGACCGAACTGGGGCGACGGGACGGGTGCGAGGATTCCAGGAAGGGACGTGAGGGACTTGAGAGACGTGTGAGCGTGGGCGCAGATGTCGGTACGTAAGGAAGGAGGTACCTTGCCTTTTGGTGTATTTTGGTGCCTTCCATTTGGTACGGAGTACAGTACGTACGGTACCTAGTGAAGTAGCGCAGGTAGGTACCTTCCACTGGGTGGAGGCGGCGTGGGCGGGTGTGGGCGTGGACGTCGCACTGAAGTGGGCGGGTGGGCATGCCCTGGTGGGCGTGGGCGTCCATGGCACGGCGCGGACGTACTGTGGAAACGTGGGACGTGGGGAAGGAGCAAGAGTCGTTCTAAACTGGCTGCTTCTTTCCTTCCTTACCGTTTCCTTCTTTCCTTCACAACGGGCACCCATGACACCTTCCTCAGCTATTCACTTTATCTTATTGCCAAGATTACATAAGGCAAGGTCTTGTCTACCTGGTCTGCTGGTATACAATTACATGACTTGGTACTTATGAGTTAAGGTAGTAAGTAAAGGATGGCAACCTGTAAGACGTAGAAAGACAAAGGTGGACGATGCTGCGTTGCGTCCTCTCCGTTTCTCGCAACCTGAGCGCGAGTGCCAGAGCGACCCAAACTGCGTCAACCAACAGCCAAAAGTTAGCGACTGTGCGGTGGACATGTGCAGATGCGCAGATGCGGGAGCTGGTGCAGATGCGCCGCAAGGATCTAGCAGGGAGGACACACTCGCACACACCAGAGAGAGTTCCGGAAGGTCAAACACGGACAGGACAGCCAGACGAGACGGGCTAGATACCTTCGTCTCTTCCCCAACCTAGCATGTCTCTTTCAGCAAGGAGTCCACGTCTTCCAACTCTCCCTTCTGCCATGTTAAAGTCACCAAGGCACATGCTCACAATACATACCACTGCTGGCGATTGGGGAATCTATTTGGTTCAAGCTACAAGCAGGCTGGAAGATAACTTATCTCGTCAAGCATAGCCATGGCAGTTCCAAGGGTCACCGCCACCACCTCCCTCTTCAGACACCAGGCACTTGGTATCCGCACACACAGCTTTTTTACCATCGCCAGCACTGCGGCGTGCCAGCACTCGCACAATGACGCTCGGAGGGTGGGGTTCGGGACACGAAGTTTGTACTCATCAGGTACCGATCTACTGCACACGGACCCTTGGGCCAGTCAATTCAGGGGTACACAGTATGTCACTGGCAGGGTGACGAGACAAGGCCGCAACCTGACCCCAAAGCTTAAACAGCCTGCGCTCAAGGGGACGTAGTCGTGTGGCCGCGGCGGCCGCGGCAGGCTAGAGGTGAGGCACCTGTGCCCGTACGATCATCGATACGATCATAGTTGCAGTGATGGCGAGGGTAGTCGAAGAGTCCAACGACAAAATGGTCATCTAGCCATCAGCTTCGGCTCTATCGTCAAAAGTCAGAGGGAAAACACTGGTACAAACAGCGGGAGCTTGCTGTGCCTGGGCGTGTCCCAAGCTCCTTGTGTTCCCTCCGCCCCGGGCACAGCCAAGCTGTTGTGTGTGTCGACATACCTACGTAGTCATTACCATATCTCTGCGTAGGGCACCATACTTTACAGTTTCCCTAGGCGTACTGTAAAGACCTGGGTACCTCGTCAGCAGTGGAGGAGAGCCAAAGCTAAAGTAAAGGGGGAGGAGCCTGGATGTGCGACAGACAAACTGCAGCTTTCGCGACCTTCGCCTACGGTGCCTTGTCTTGCCCTGAGCAGAGGAAGCAAACAGTCAGAAGACAGAGACATACGGGATGCTCCGTCGTGACGCTTCTCTGCCAACACAACAATTGGCTGACAACGTGCTAAGTTATTTGATGATGATGTCAGCAAAGGGCAGACAATCAAGAGACACTGGGAGACAGACCGACTAACCGTGACCACCAACCACAACTCGAGCCATAACTACCAAACACCTCTTGGCCAAGAATAAGGGGAGCACTACCAACTGAAATCGCTGCAAGCAATTATAAGCCGGCAGGCAGCGTCAGTGTCGGCTGACGCGAAAGCGAGAAATGAGGCTACCTAGCTAGGGCTGGCTCCAATGGCGATAGCAACATGGTACTACCTACCTACCTGAATCTGCGCACTGCTCCGGTCACCGGTGTGACGTTGAGGCATTGGAATAGAGTAGCGTAGCGTGGCGCGAGCAACGGATGCACGCACCTTGCTTAGCCCCCTTGGATACAAATCCAGGGCAGCCGCTCAATGGTCTTGGTTTCTTCCGAAGGGGGCGTCGCTAGATCGGCCAGAGGAGTACGGCGGCATGACCAGAACAATAAATCAAAATTTGACAGAAATCAAACGGCCAGCCGCCGGCCCGGCTTTGGGATTCCTTTGTTCTCTCAGGCTTCTGGCGTCGTTTCCATGCCGGCTTCTATCCTCGGTAGGCCTGGCTTCTCTCTCTCTTGCATTTGCTTTTTTTTTTTTTTACCTCTGCCTCTGCCTCTGCCACACGCACTCCCCCCCTCGGGCTAGCGGCAGTCGCATGCATCACCTTAGACTTCATGTCCACAGGTTCATCTGCTTCCCATCGCACCCTCTTGCTCTGGAACTCGATTCCCAGGCTTTCAATCTGATGCGATGTGAGGCGGTCAGAGAGACATTCCAGAAGCTCACACGGACACGGCAGCCCAACCACTCGGTTTGTCAAAGCATGTCGCATCCTTGCTCCATAAGCCTCAAGGCAAACTCAACAAACAGATGAGCAGCATGTGCACTAGTGTCGAGTCGAGAAGAGAGGCCAGTGATTCTTTCTCTGACTTGCACGGAGAGTAGTGCAAAGTGAGCTTGCGAATCGGAGATGGAGACAAGAATGACCGTAGGACGAGGACGGCAAAGGCTGCGAAGGCAACGGCGTGAACAGCTGGTGCGTGAAGATGGAGCGGGGCCGAGTAGAGTGCCATGGTCGGGGACTTTTGTCGCAAGGCACAAAATGAAAAAGATGAAGGCGAGGCGCGTGCAGACCGCAGCAGCGAGGAGCGAAATCGACCGAAAGGCATACGGCCGCCGTCCGTTTCGTAGTAGGTCCATCCTCCACTTCCAGTAGTTGACCTGGGACTGCTAGAGTCTTGGACACAACTTGATCTCGTCGCTATCCCCAAGTCGGTTCAGACTAGGACAGAAAGGCGAGTGTGTGTGGACCGCCATCTCACCGCGTGTCTCAAACTTGCAGCCCGGGACCCCTGGCTCATCGGACCCGAAATGGCGCGCACGGTGCACGCAACGGTCTTCGGAGGGGTAGCAGTCCACAGCGGCTGGAGGAGAGGATGCACCCGGTCAACCATGTCGGCGATGGGTGACGGCCAGGAAGCTCGGGGGGATGGTGGTCAAGGCGTCTTCCAACGGAAGGGGATCGATGCGTGGAAGACTCATGGAAGACGGCTAGAAGCCTGCCAAGGTTGGATTAGTGGAGGGCGATGGACGGGGGGATTTCGCGCCGCGCGCGCCAGACATAAGCTCTGGTCTCGGGTACTTGCGGTATGTTTATCGTGTCTGCCCAGCTGCGAAAGTTTGTCAAACGATCCAGCATCAATCCAGGGCGCGTGGAGGGTGGAAGAGTGACTCGAGATGCATTTCTGGCCCGGCCGGTAATTGTCATGGAGGTTGACTCCAATCTGAGAGGTTGTTGGAAAGTTGTTGGAGGTGCCTGAGATCTGTGCCTGACGGCAGTTGGCTGGTCGCCTCACTATTTTACTCGATGGTGCCTAAGCTGTTTCCCCTGAGACGGGAAGGTAGCTCGAAGGTGCCTTCCTCGACAAATTCCTCTGCGCCTGCTTTAACACAGGCTCTCAATGGAAATTAGACATGGAAAGAGCCTCAGGCTTCGAGGCAAGTCAAGGCAGGCACGAAATAACTTGGGAAAGTACGGAAAGTACACCTATGGTTGTACCTTCACATCTTGTCTCATTCACGAAGTGGATCCTCCTTCCCTGCTTCCTATGTTTTCTCACCCCGCCAGATCTGCACCTGCTGCGGGAGAACCATGGGGTTATCTACGAATACACATGGTGACATGCAACATTGAGGGGTCCATCTGCCCATCTTCCCGTCATTTCTTTCTTATTCTCGGCATGTTTCTTCTTCTTCCAACAACGTCTCCGCGTCTTGCTCACTGCTCCCCACCTGGATACTAGACAGATGCATGCAATAGCATTCTTCTCGAATAAACTTTTTATCCCTCTTCATGGATGGTCCATGATGGGCACACATATCCAACCTCAACTCCATCGTCCCGTCTCCAACTCAGTGATATTGTTCTGCAATGTTGCCTGTGTTTCACTGCATCGTTGCTTCGGTGCCCGATGCAAGAAGACATTTTCCAGGCTTTGATTCGTCCCGACGTCCCCAACTTCTTTTTCGGCCCAACTTTCGGCGCACACCATCCACGCGGCGTCAAGGGCCACGCAACAAAGAAGAGGATGAACTTGAACCCGCGAGTAATTCGCCTCGTGCTACTTTCCCATCCCAATCGTCGGCTCGCTTCCCGATCTCCGGTCCCGCTGACCTACAGAGAGCCATTGCTTAGACTTCTGTATCCTGAAACGCCTTTTTTCCTATGCTTCGGGCCCATGGGACTAGGACTGTCTGACTAAAGATCATCAGCGACAATCTCCACGATGACAGGTAAGTATAGCCTCAAACTGCAGGTCAAGGCCCGCATGAATGTCCGGTTAACTTTTCGTGTATACGCCCTACACCATGACTGACATGACTGGCCACACTCCTCGGTCGCTAGCTAGGGTCCGCAGTCCGATGAGCTGCAGACCATTGCAGATGCTGCGCACGCGTGGCCCAGCCTTTGCAACCTTCAGCGTCTTGACAAACCCGACATCTTGCATACCACGTGCTTCTACTTGTCAACGATTGCTTCATCACGTCGCACGGTGTTCAGGGCATTTTCCCCAGGCTTATTCTTTGTCCAAGTAGCCAGGGTCGCGCTGCTCTACACACATTGCATCGCTCTTGTTTCCTATAACGTACCAAGCACTATTAATAGCTGGGTTCCTTATGGTTTAGGGGCTTCCAGGACCTCGACATTTACCTCGTGGGAGATCGACCAGCTTCAAGATTCGGGGCCATCTAGTGTCCAACGCTACACCTGAGCCAAGTTGTCTACAGAGCAAGCTTCGACCAAGAGCCAACGGAGGGAGAAACTGTGTCGCATCTTCACGTGTTTGCTCCCACATGAATATGGCATCCTAAGAGCGATACGGTTGCATGTCCCTTGCTTTCAAGATCCCACGATTCGTTCAATGGTCCCTGCTTCGTGGCCCGAGCCCACCCCAACCGACAAAAGGGCCTTTCCGGGCACCTGTGATCGTCTTGAAACAATGCACGGCTCTGGTCCGCCTCTCGAACCAGGCCCAAGGCCTAGAGTTCGGATCCCTTCATGATCCCGGCCATTGGTTGACTGGCTTGAAGTGAAGACCATTCGAGAATAATTCTAGCTTCAGTCGCTGTACCCTACTTCGGCCATCACGATAGCAAGCTTTAGCAGGCTGAATGACTAGGGACCAGGAAACTGGCTCTGCTGCGACTACTCAGATGCTGACTGCCCGGGCAGCCAGGCTACACATGGGCTGGCTGGCTGATACTCCTATCAGACGTAGCACAAGACTATCCACAAGGGCAAGCTCAAGGCGAATGATACGCTGTCACCATCAGGCGACCATAACAGACATCGATTTCCCGGAGACTATTCTGCTTTGTTGGCACAGTAAGGTAGTCTGAAAGACTCGACTTGGAGCGGCTGGAAAAGCCAAAGTGGTATTACTAATTAAGGTATGGTGTGACAGCCTCGTTCTTTTTTGCTCTTCCGGTAAACACCAAACGTTGAACAGCCGCGGCATCCTGCCGGTTGATACTGTTGGCCCAGCTTCACTTGGGAAATTTCGACCACTAGACCTCTCGGGCGGTCTCCCGGCGGACCGTCTCCATCACGCAATCGTACGGTAGAGAGGCTCTACTCCATTATGCGCTGCCTTGCATCCCATGGACAAGGGGCCCAGCATTCGGTCTACTCCTCTACATAAGAGGTGGTTTGGAACCCAGTACTCACGGCACACGCACAGGCCGCAGCGCTTGTAGGGACTACATTCCCGACGCCCGCAAGGAGTTTGGTGCTGTCGATGACTGGAACCGTGATGGGATCGGCTACGAATAAGCTTGGGAGCTTATCCTCGTAGGCTTTTGTATTATGCAGCCGTCGTTGGCATCGAGGGTGGTCTCGATTCGGCCCGAGGTGTCGTCCTTCGTCGTGCGGCGAAGATCTTCGCTGCATAGGCCGCCTGTACTCGAGTCGGGAGCCGAGAGTTCCGGTGGACGTCGAAGAAGCGAGGATTTCGCATCTCGTATCTCGTATTTCCCAGATCTTGTTTTCGAGCAGGGTGACATTACGACCGACTCGTCCGGGCATGTAGCGCTCCGGATCGGTGAGAGGTGGGTCGTGATACGGGATCCGCCCCGGTTTGTAATCGGGGCATAGCGGGTGCTCTTGCCTTCCGGGGACGGGGCGAGTGGAGTGTCACCATCCCGACGCTCGCCTCATCTGGGATTTCCGGTTGCTTTCCCTCTTACAACCCGCACAAGCCCTGTGTGCAGTCGAGGCCTTCCGAGGTATTGCAGCAAATCGAACCATTGGCGCAAAAGCACGCCCTCCCGAGGTTCGGATCTTCTTCACCTTCCTTGTCGCCAAAGATTTGTTTCCAAGCGGATGCGATGATGTTGGACGCCGGCGATGTGTTGCTGCTGCTGCCGCTGCTGCTGGGATCCGATGTGGCTGCTGGAGGCGCTGCTGTGCCAGCCGCGACAGTGGGGGCTTTTGAGACAACTGAAGGGAATTTCAGGGGGTGTTGTTCCGTGTCGACTGGTGCGGCGCAAGCTGTTGAGGCGAGGATCGCGACGGAGAGGGCGGCGGAGAATCTCATTTTTGGCGGTTGGTGGGGATGAAAGTAGGAGCTGACAAGTTGGAAGAAGAAGACGAATGAGTTGAGTGAATGAGTGGCTTTGCTCGCAAATCCTGAATTCTTCGCCAAGCTCTGACAAACTTATCCCTCGTGAAAGAACGGATGACAGAAAAACAGCACTACGGATTCTCGATCATGCGTGTGTACGAGTCGGGGAACCGTCGTACTTTATAAGCCAAAAGTGAGAATTCGGCGGCGACGAGGAAATAAGGCCGAGGCGAGTAGTCTTAGCGCAGACGCGAGCGTTTGTTGAATTTGAATCACGAGGCGGGTTGGGCGGAACGACTAGAGGTAATTGTCAAGTAAAGGACAAGCCACACCGAAGCGTGAAACTGAAACGGGACGCAAGTTTGGCGCGAATCCGTTACACAAAGGATAGTGGAAGAGAGAGGGAAAAAGGGCGTTTTGAGTGAACCGACGCAGGTGGCTTGGTGGAAAGAGGCTAGGGACGGATGAGACGGTTTCTTTTGTGGTAGGGGAGTCGAGAGCGAGAGAGATGGTTCGTGAGAGGGGGGGGAGGGATTATAGACTATTAAGTAACGAGAAAGAAAAGTAACCCCCTGACTGTCAAGGACTCGTAGCATCACTTTCCAAGGATTTCTCGTAATGAGGCTTGAGAGTATTGGATTGTTAGTTGCTTTGCCCAAAGTTCCAACACTACCGCGCACCCGAATCGGGAAGTTGGCCGTTGGTTTTGGTTATTACCAATGACTATGCACGCTTGTTAGGTAGTACCCGGCGCGAAAGGACAATCAATGGAGATGGGGGGTGTTACAAGGTCATAGGATCGTAGGGTCGCAGTATAGAATAATACTAGTGAAAGAAGACAAGGATCCGAGAGCTTCCAGCACGCTCAGCTTCGTGTGCGCGTGTTGGAAGTTGGAACCTCGGAGTTGGGGGCGGGGGGCGGTGGAGGATGGGGAGCACGGAGAGGAGGGGATGGGAGGGGCGGACGAGGGATGTTGCAAACATCCGAAGCAGCAGTCTTGTTGGCGAGTCTTCGACACTCAGCATCGCGCATCGTCATACGAGATCAAGAAGAGTGGGAGGACTTTGTTATTGTGTAGGAAGTGGGAAGAGGGAGAGACACGAGACGACACCTGGTACGAGCGTGCGGCGCTGCCACGGATAGGTAGGCAGTTAGGCAAGCCCCCCCCTTCATCGTTTGTTTGACGCTGGAACACCCGTGCGCGGAAGGTTGGCGGGAAGATGGGGAGACACAAGAGGAGAGAAGTGGACGAGATTCATTAAGCAAACGGAGTCTATACTAAGACTTGGAATGGTGCCAGTAAGGACCAGTAGCTTAAGGGGGGAGAAGGGGGAAGGGGCAGCGCGCTAATGCTTGCGATCGCGACCCCAAGATTCATGCATGATTTTACACGTATTTTTTATTATTGTTCCTTTGATGGGGGCGATGTATGCACCTAGCCGCCGATGTTGGTTTGGCAGGTTTTCGTTGCCTGTCCAGGAGTGTTCCTGAGCTGCTGGCATTGGGGTCCTGGATCCGCTGTGCAGTTCAGTCTGCATATGCATCACATCCTGATTGGAAAGTAGAGCATTTCATGGTTGCGTGGTTGCTTATGATTTATTTAAGGTAGTCTTCGCTTTCGGGGTGGCGGTCCGCGTTTGGCTTTAGCTGGGTTAAAGCTTTCTGGGGATGGTGCTTATTGTAGATCATCACATCAGCGGTCGGTGCCTCGTTCCAGCCTTCCAGGAACGCGCCTGTTTCTTTGGTTTAGTTTAGTGGTTGTCCGACTGGTAGACTGGTTTCTTTTTCTCAAATCATCAAAGGGACTTTGTGTGTTGAGATTTCGAGTCAGTGAAAAGGCCCTTGGGTTTCTGATATTTCTTTGCTGCCCTCTGTATGTCCCTCTTGATGCGACACAGTTACTTACAACGGTAAGAGCCGACGAGTTTTGCTGCCCACGTTGGACGTCACGGTTAGTTCATGTGTCTTTCTTTTGCCTCTGACATCCCGGTTCCTACATTCAGTGGAGGTCCCCTCGTCTGCCCAGTGTCCCCTCCCCCAAACCCCCGTCCCACTTCCCGTACCCGGGCTCCCGTACGGGATTGAGGAACCGAGGGGGTGATCAGGTGTCTCAAATGTAGTTCAAGACGTGCAATGAGTCTGAATTGTTACGGTTTATCGGAGAAACAGAGTCGAGAGGTGAGGAACCCGGAACAAACAGGTCGTGGGATTACATGATGATTCCGTTGTTGGCGGAACCATGGGAAAGGAGGACTGTAAAATGATCCTACACAGTTAGATGTTTTGGAGTTGCTGCGGTGAGATGATGTTGATATTCCGTCGGCGTGATTAGTCAAATAGACATGGTGTTGTACTGAAGGGAAGTCAATTGCTGAACTGAGGCCCGTCATCCATGACCCTGAGTGAGAACAGCTCTTTCAACGGGCCAAAACATTGCGCCATTCGGCACAATCCTGCCAGACATCGTGACTCGTCCGAAGTAGCGAAGTAAGACATACAGGCATGCAGACTTCCCGAAATGAGTACGGACATGCAATGAGGTCGCGAAAGAGACCGAGTAGGCTTCGGATGAAGGGTTCGCGGCGCGAGTAGAGGTGATTGCGCCAAGTAGGTTTTACGTCTTGGTGGGAGGGATTTGACGGCAACTGCGGCATGTGGCTGGCCATGGCTGGATTGTCTGGGCTTGGAATTTCTGCCGGTTAACCGTTGGAGTTGTCACTCATCAAGGCCAGTCCTTATTGATGTTTTACGGTGGTACGGTCAGTGAGTTTGGCTAATTCGAATGATGGGTGGCTTGGGGCGGTCTGTGTTTTCTAGTACCTAATTAAGCCGGTATCCTAAGATCCTTAGACGGGAGAGACATGCGCCCATGTAACGGTGGTGATTCAGGTGGTGTTGAGAGATTGGCCAGGCACAGCGGGGTAAAAGGAGGCTACTGCATGGTAGATGGAGGCTATTTTGCTAGCTTTCTTGGGGCTTTCGAGTCTCAAGACGGTAAAAAATTTACGTTTAGGTACGGATGCTGGGATGTTGGTGAGGATGGGGCATGAGAATAGGATGAGAGAGGATGAGTGTTTCTCAATGCTTTTGTGATGAGAGGATGAAAACTCAGTCATCTCTTAAGCATCGTCGCGCTATAGCTGCTTGCTTTGCTGGCGAGCAACTCTACCGGTAGTGATTCGGGAATACGGAGGTTTATTGACAGTCCTGACTTTGTGTGACAGCGGATGCACCCTCCTGTCTGACTCCTCGAGTTGCTAATTCTGGATGCCAAGGAGGCATGCGACCAACAACAGCGGACCAGGCCGGCAGACGAGAGAGCTTCAGCTGGCATTGATGATCGGAGGAGAAGCCGAGGGAATAGGAAGTGTTGCCGTCGCCAGCTGGAGAGAAGCTCATGCACATATGGCGCCAGCTGGCTGCCAAACTCCAATGTCCGCCCGGGTGGATCGGCGTTAAGGCGAACGGCAGCGCAGAGAAGGTACGGGAATTTCCACCAGCTTCTCTCCAGCCACTCACATGACCGCAACAAAAGTTAGCTAAGCAGCTGCCTCAGCCAAACCCACCCGGAAGGAAAGCACCTCAGGCAAATTCCGGCCCCGAGAGTCCGCCAGAATCGGGAACGTCATTCGTCATTGCCTCCCGCGAACTCCTCTACGCAGGCCTTTAAACCTCGTCAACGACCACATCTTCATTGTTTCTCCCTTCGCATCGCAAACACACCCACACCACATATTCGCACACGAATCGACACGACAAACGATGTCATTCAGCATCACACTCCGCCAAGGGCCCGCGCGCCTGGCGCAGCGTCTCCCGCAACTTTCCCAACCTTTCCGCACGACAGCAACCAGAGCCTTCCACCAGGCTTCGTCAAAGTCAAGGCCGACCGCCTCCGTCGCGACCGCAGCCCGCAATGCCCTCCTCCGCGGCTCCTCAAGAACCTATATGCAGCAGGCCGCACCCGGCGTCCAGGGCCAGGCGAGCCCCCTCCGCAAGCTGTTGGTCGGCGGCGCCATCTTTGGCGGTACTCTCGTCGCCATCAACGTCGTCTTCAACCGTGAGACCCGCGATGACGGCGGCATGCCTGTCTACGAGCGCGAGTACCTCAATGACACCTTCCTCCACACTGGTTTGGGCGTGGGTATTATTGCCCTCAGCGCACGCCAGATGATTCAGTCGGGATTCGTTTACCGGTTGATGGTGACGAACCCTTGGGTCGTGGGTATCGGTGGTCTGGCTCTCAGCTTCGGTACCATGTACGGTACCCGTGCCATCTCTCCTGATAAGTAAGTTGAAAGCTGTCTCACATGTCCTCGAAATGCGACAAAAAACTAAATCATCAATAGCTACATCCCCAAGTACGCCATGTGGGCCGCCTTCAACGCAACCCAGGCCGCCATGATCGCTCCCCTCCTCACAATGGTTCCCGGCGCCCTCCTCGCCCGCGCAGGTCTCTACACCGTCGCCATGATGGGCTCCCTCTCCATCGTCGGTGCCACCGCCAAGCAGGACAAGTACCTTTACATTGGCGGTCCCCTTCTCGCCGGCCTCGGTGTCGTCGTCGCCTCCAGCTTCGCGCCCATGCTGCTCCCCGTCACCGCCGTCCGTACCCTCGCCCTGACCGAGAGTATTTCCCTGTACGGAGGTCTTGCCGTCTTTGGCGGCTTCACCCTTTACGATGTCCAGAAGATTCTGCACCACGCTCGTCTTGCTGAGCGCGGTGTCATTCGCAAGGATGCTGTCAACGAGAGCATTGCGCTGGAGCTTGACTTTATCAACATCTTTGTGCGCATGGTGCAGATTTTGATGATGCAGCAGAACCGCAGGAAGTAGGCCAGTTGAGGTGAAGAATGGCATTTGTGGAGGATAAGATAATGGGATCCCGCCAGTGGGACGGTGTATATACCCTACGGCGGGCTGAAAATAGAGGCTCGAGAACCCCTCTCATGATACGACTCTGGAGACGCCCACGGGCTCGGAGTTGGTTTTTTTATGTTGTACAATACCTGAATAAATAAAAACCATGAATTCGGTCAACTACATGTGTCACCACACTGCTGTGCTTAGAAAATAAGGATTGTCGACGCATTTGTATGGGGAAGCACGTCACCACTTTGGTTGAATTAGACGTTGCAACTCCTACTGACCTCTGAGCCTGACTGTGTAGCCACCACTCTGTCATGAAGCCAGATATCACAAGATCACAATCATTGTGGCACATTGTTTCAAAAACCAAAGCGGTTGAGCGCTATTCATTGCCTCGGGGCAGGTACATGCGTGGTAGGAGAACCCCATACCACCCCGACACATCCCATCCATCATTATAATGTCCCAAAGTTGAAAAGGAAACCATCCATATCGTTACATCCTACTCGTCCTCTTCACCCACTTATCCCCCCTTCCGTCCTCGTGCCCGTCCTCGCCACCGTCACGGAGTCATCCCTCAAGCGGGGGAAACGTCCTTAGAAAGTGACTAGGACACTCATACCCACTCGGATTCTTATCCAAATACGCCTGATGGTACGCCTCCGCATCCCACCACACCCCCGCCGGCGCAACCTGCGTCTTAATCCCCCCCTTATACCACTGCTCGTTCGCCAACCTCGTCACCTCCTTCGCAACCTTCTCCTGCTCTTCATCATGATAAAAGATGGCGCTGCGGTATTGCGGCCCCGTATCCGGTCCCTGGCGATTCATCGTCGTCGGGTCGTGCATCCTGTAGAAAAACTCGAGGAGCTGGCGATAGCTCACTTCCTCTGGGCGGAAGACGACCTGCAGAGCCTCGGCGTGGCCTGTGTCGCCGCCGCAGACGGCGCGATAGGTCGGGTTGGTGAGGTCGCCGCCGATGTAGCCGACGCGGGCGTCGAGTAGGCCCTTGTTGGCGAAGGTTTTGCGGTAGAGGTGTTCTACGCCCCAGAAGCAGCCTGCTGCGATGGTGGCTTTTTGGGCGCCTTCCGGGAGAGGGGTCGGGGCGGGGGGTGTGAGGGACATGCTTGTTGTTGTGGTGAAGGGGCGGGTTAGGCGGGTGAGGAGGGACGAGATCATTGTTTGGTGGTGGTGTTGTGGGAGGGAGGTTGCGACGGTGAAGAGAAGGAGGATGAGAAATAGGCCGAGGGCGGCGAGGGTGAGGAGGGGCAGCTGCTGGAGCTTTTGGTGGGGTTTGCGTTTGGGGGTAATCGTGATTTTTGGGCGGTAGTGCGAGGGGTGGTGGTTTTGGGTGCACTGGGCTGGTTGTAATGGGAAGGTGAGTAGATGGGATGTTTCGGACGTCTTTTATGCAATCTGAACAGTGATGATTCCAAAGATTTGATGACTCTATAACGTGAGGGTTGAATGGAAGTGGAAGGTGAGGTTTGGATTCAATTCTAAAAGTGTAGATAAGAGCAAGGTACACTGCCACCTGCGTCAGCCAGATTTCAAACCGTCGGATCCCGTCGTCGCCACGCCCGCGCTGGAGCTGTTGGGGTGGTCTCTAGCACTGCTCACCTAAGAAAATAAAAATGTCAGAGTCACCACTTGGCCAGGGACCTGAGCTGGGAGCTGATGGCTCGGGGCGGAAAACATGGAGTGCATGACAAATCGGGGACGGCCGGCTCGGAGATCCTTTTCCCAAGACATGGGCCCGCTTTTCGCAGTGCCGGGTCACGGGTCTTTGGATCCACAATGAGTCGTGTTAGGTAAGCTACGAAATCTGATGAGCTTCGGTGTCCGGGGGAGCTACCTGCAGCCCTGCAGAGGCGAGCTGTGTGTGCCCCGCCGACGTATGTACAAATCCACTGTCAAGACAGTCAAGACAGTACCAATTCCACCAGGTTGAGACTGTGACACTGCCGTTTCCGCCTTTCCGCGTGTGTTAGTGCTTGGCTTGGGCAATCCTTCTCGCTCCGGACGTAGGGATCTTTACAGGATTTCCGGCTTCGTTGGAGACTTTGGAGTACGTGTGAGGAGCTTTCTCGGTCTCCTTGACCCCGCGTTGTGAGCTGTTTGCTGCGGGGTCTTGCTCGTTTGACGTCGGGGTCAATGGCTCTCGGTCATTTGTTCTTAAGGGAGGGAGAAGACACTTTCATTGAGCTTGAATTGCATCGTTTTGTGGTTTCATTCGGCCATTATCTCATCGAATCTGAGTCTTCAACGTATTCAAGCACCCATCAATCCATAAAGTAGACATGAGCGGACTCGCAGGAGCAACCAGAGCTGCGGCTCAAGCTAGGTCCGTCATCTCACGCACAATGATACCTTGACTATGCCGGATACACTCACCCGTATACTTGATTCGCCAATTGCTCCAACATGATAGTCAATCTCTGACAAACACACATCAACAGCCGGGTCGCCATCGTGACAGGCTCCTCGCGGGGCATAGGTCGCGCCATCGCCCTCCGCATCGCCCGCGACGGCTACGACGTCTGTATAAACGACATCGCCGCCAACGAGGCAGGTTCCCATGAAGTCGCGAAGCAGATCCGCGATCTCGGCCGTCGCTCCGTCGTCGCTACCGCCGACGTGAGGAAGCTGGGTGAGGTGCAGGCCATGATTGACAAGACTGTTGGCGAGTTAGGGCCGTTGAATACCATGTAAGCCATTCTGTTGTCTACCTCGTCTCGCCTTCTAGAGGGGAATCCGCTACGGGATAAGAGGTGTTGTCTTTGTTGAAATGTAGAGCAAATGGTTGCTAACACGAGAAAGGATCGCGAACGCTGGCATTGCCCAGGTAAAGCCACTTCTCGACATCACAGAGGAGGAATTCGAAAACATGTTCCGCGTCAACGTCTTTGGCGTGCAAAACTGCTACCAGGCTGCCGCGAAACAACTCATCAAGCAGGGCAATTGCAAGCCTGAAACTCCAGGGAAAATCATTGGCGTAAGCTATCTCATCCCCCGCTCCTTCATCAATCCCATTTAACTGACATTGCACCCCAGTGCTCCTCCATAGTAGGCTTCAAACCATTCGCCCTCCTCTCACACTACTCCGCCTCCAAATGGGCCGTCCGCGGCCTCACGCAGGCCTCGGCCATGGAATACGCCGAGCACAATATCACCGTCAACGCCTACGCTCCGGGTATCGTCGGCACGGCCATGTGGGACTTGATTGACGAGAAGCTAGGCGAGAAGACGGGCGCGAAGAAGGGCGACACGATTAAGAAGTACACGAGCGAGTTGATTGCGCAGAAGAGGACGAGCGTGCCGGAGGACGTGGCCAAGTTGGTGAGCTTTTTGGCGGGGCCGGATAGTGATCATGTGACGGGGCAGACGCAAATCGTGGATGGGGGGATTATTTACACTTGATGGAGAGGTAATGAGTGCCTTGGAATTTATTTCTTTGTTTGGATATCGCATGATGAGTGAAAGGCATTGGTGTCTCGGTGTTCGGGTTGATCAGGCCATCGTGAGCTGTGCCACAAGCTTCGGGTGAAAAGGGGGCCGGGTGAGGGAGCTACCCCGGCTCAGAGACAGCGCACTGTGAGGATGTCCCGCTTTAAACACGAGCTCTTATCGATATTCGAGGCGTCTATTTGTCAAAGCCTCGGACGGGCTATCTTCTCGTCATTTTCACTAAGCGTGGACTGAGTAGAGAGTATTCGTTGTGTATCTCGAGACTATTGAATATGACATGATGTCACCTTATCCTTGCTGTCTCAACTTGAACACATGGTCCGAGAACGACGACGATTGTTGAAAGAATCCTCGCTTATGCAAAACACCTCGTCTTCATATCCATGGTATGACAGCGAAATTGTCTGACAGAGTTCCATGAATGACAATCTCCGGTGTGCCGGATGGCCCAGTTCGTGGAGATAACTCTCTTGTCGTTCGAGTACCCAGCCCACACGCAGGTCGCTATACCTTCAGAGCCGACAAGACCATTCCACTGGAATTTGTTGATACTAAGGTATCTCTTACGACTGTTCATCCAAATTAGCCAACATATCCTCCATGCACGGAGACTTCAAACACATGATCTCCAATATCTTCCCCATCAGTCCTCCCAGTATCGTCAGAATTAGCCCCAAAAATAGAGATCTCATACCACATCCACAGATAGTAGCAATTCGATCCCTGTGGCGGTCCCGATCCAGAAAGCCAGCACGGCCCAAGGACAAAGTACCCTGCATGGTGGTACCGCGTGGAGGCGTCACTGTAGTTCAGAGCGCGTTTGTTTAACTGTAGAGCACGCTTGGCGCGGTGGGCGTCGTTGGGGGAGGCGATTTCGGCGCGAAGGACTTTGACACCGTTACCTAGGTCGAGGACTTTGTGGGTTTCGAGGAGGTATCAGTTTGATAACGATAGGGGAAGAGGATGTGGGGACGGGGGAGGTAGTCGGGGCTGCGAGAGCGGTTCGGGTTGGTGCTGCGGCGAGGGCGAGGGTCGAGATGCTCAGACAGGAGTTTCATTGGGGTGCCTTACCCTTTCACAAGATACTCGGACGGAACTTTACCTTTTCACTGGTCAATCACCCGACGAGTCCGTCGTCTACCGGGTTCTTGGACAACAGGATGTTTGTCATGCGAGGCTGAAGAAACATGGGAGCCAGCCGTAGGTACCAAGCCAAGCACTTGGCAGATTCCAAGGTGTTTCCTCGGAAACGACTGCATCCGTTAACGAGAGATTCGGCTGACTCTAGTCATCCTACGAGTCTTTGATGAAGCTTGGAGGTCACTTTGTGGAGATTGTATGTTTGCGAGGGATATTCACTGCAGAGGAACAGGCTATCACCGTTTGCATGTCACAGATAGAACTTATTTGGGGTAAAGAAGGCTTCATTTCAATTTCTCTATGGGGTAGTAGTTAAGTAGGTCGAGTCATTTTATGACTGACAGTGATACGCCTAGTCATTTTATGACCGGTCGTCAATAAGTCTAGACATATTGTGTCTTGCATCAAGCTGAGGCATGCGATCAATCGCTCCCGTACTCCAAAACAATCAAACCATGCAAGCGCCGATAGCTCTCAGTAGTAGTAGTAGTAGTAGTGATACCCAATCAATGAAATGAAGCCCAAACCTCCCCAACCCAATCCTGATCTGCAGACACAAGCTGCTATCCATCAGTGCTCGTCCACCAGTCCATCCAAGTCCGCATACTGAGGCTGTCCAGCGTAGTAGTTCCTGTGAGCGGCAGCCATATGTGCGTAGCAGTCGGCATCGTTGTCGAATACCTCCATGCAATACCAGCAGACGTGTGCGCCGCAAGTGCATGCCACGTGATTGCAACCTATGTATCGGTCGATGGGAATTTTGCACCTGGGGCATGGCTTGATACCGAGAGATTTTAAGACTTCTCCGTTGGCGTGATCCTCAGCCTTATCACACGTGACTTTATGATTGTGCTGAACGTGACACGATGTGCAGAGGATCTCAAAGCAGCCCATGCAGCGCTGGATGGTGCCCTTGTTGTCGGCTGCCGCGGGAGTGACCTCATAGATGCGTTCGCAATGGGGCGTGGGACAACAGTGATACGTTGCGGAGTTGGCTTGCAAGTAAGAGCTCAGAGTATTGTCGATGAGCTGGTCAACGCCGAGAGTCCCTAGGTTGGAGACGAGCTCGCGGATGGTCAAAGGCTTGCCGCATTGTCCGTTGTTGCCGAAGCATTTAATTCCGTTCTAGCTGGCGTCCTTTGCGTTGGAACTGACTGTGTGCTCGTAGCAGGTTGTGCAGTAAACGTGTCCGCAGCTGGTCTGAATCGGATGCTCTGGAGGGCAAAAGCAGATGGCACACTCTTGATCGCTGCAGTCTTTGCGCCAGGGGTCCGCGAAGTCGAGAGATTTGCTGTTATCTCCGTATGGCTCCATGAAATGGCCAAGGATCTCATCCATGTCCTTTCTGTTAGAGAGGATGGAGTTCTTGTCGACGGATTCGAATCGGAGGCATGCCTTCTCTTTGTTGGCTGTATAGATGGCCTGTCCGCGGGGAAGAATCTCTCCATCTTCCAGTGCCTTGGCCCACTGAGCTGGAATGACGTAGTCCAGGGAGAGGATGACGATCGCGTAGAGCTGCTTGATACCAGCAGCCCTCTGGATCGTGTTGTTAAGCTTTTCGACTGCCCGTCTTGCGTCGGATTCGTTGAGGAACTGGAAATGGACTTCATTGAGCGCCTCGTTGTCTCTGATTTCGCCGTTCCACGCGATGGGGCCATAAGAGGAGACCAGGTTGTTGATGGCTTGGAGCTGGGATGCGGGCTCGAGCTTGGCGTTAGGAGTGATAGAGATGTGACTGGGATGGAGTAACGCTGGGAGACCACGAGTGATGTCCAATTTGGTAACCTTGAGTGGAAGCATGCTGAGCTGGACGTATGGGCCCCGTTGTCCAGGCAAGACTTGTGCTGTAACGTATTTGCCACAAGCTTCAGCTTTCCCGTCGTTGAAGTAGCGCACGATCTCTTGACACTTTGTAGCATCACGGAAGCTGAGAGAGGCCGATGAAGTTGCGGTATACCAAAAGAGCTTGACCATGTTTGCACTCGTGAACGAGACATATTGGCTTTCGTTGTAGCTTTTTTCAAGATAGGCATTCCAGTCAGCGAGCTTGGTGGGAGGAATGACAACGCTGTTGATCTCCAGGCCAGGACCAAAGGTCACATCGACGCCAGACATCTTCTTGACAATCTGCTGTGCAGCCATTGTAGTGTTTGTAGCAGACTGAATGGAGGTAGACATCGTAGAAGAATGAATAAAAGAAGATGTAGTAGGAAGAGACAAGTACACTGATAAACAGTAGTAACTTGATCCGAAAGTGATGAGACGAAAATGCTTGGGGTTCAGGATCGTGTAGGCGTATAGTCAGAGTGGATGAAAAGTGGTGTGTAGACTGTAGAGTAGAGACGCAGACTGGGGAGGCCAACTGCTTCCAAAGGGGGGGAGGACGAGATTATATATCTTTTCCCCGTTCAGCCAAGCACCGCGAAAAAGCAAAAGGGTTTGGGACACGGCAGAGACTTCGCCTTCCCGGTACTCCAAGAATCGCTCACGATCAAGGGCTTCGATGCGTACCTTACGCCGGGGAGTGACATGTTGCCGTGGTGATGTGGGGCAGCTCAAGGTGAAGTTCACCATCAAGGTGAACCCGTCCTTACGGAGATAGCCTCGTCCCAAACTGCTCCAAAGTATGTCAAAGCTGGATTCAAATGGACGGGGACTGGACTTGATCACCACTACCGTACATATCCCGTCGAGTACGAGATAATGGCAGTATCTCAAGACGTACTTTTACCTAAGGGCAATAACAAGTCACGGACTTTTCCTCAATATTCCGCGCTAACCTCTTGCCATATCCGGTCAACATATACAATTTCTCAGATAATTCGAATATCGGAGACAATCAGAGAAATACATGTTGACGTTACCCCACACTCGATGGGATATTAATGCTTTAGTCGTTCGTATGACTCGCCCAACCGGTATGCCAACGAAGGGACGAATACTTGAACTCATAATTGAACCTGCATAGATTGCATTATCTTACAAGCTAAACGTAAAATAATGGTACATGTACTTTTAATGGCTCAGACCTTGGAACCCCCCGACTCTGAAAGCCGAAATACCGTTTGTTCCTCACCTGGGCGAAAACCTGGAGGCAGAGAGCTTCCAGAAAACAGAAGAATGATTGCTTTGAACTTCTACAAAGTGAGCCACGAGAAGCTCCACAAATGTATTAGCCATCCCAGGGTTGAAGTTGAAGTTTGTGGTTGTGTTTTCAGGAACAACGATGGATCTCACGCATAGTTGCGAACAACCTGGCGGATGCCGCTAGCCGCTCGCGGAACCTTGCAGACTGGAACCATGTTGTCGGAAGAGGGTATCTTAAAGAAATCCGGTCTTCCTTTGGGGTAAGTATAAGCCGCTTGACCTTGTGAGCTTGCTGACTGATGTTCGGCATCAGGCTTGTCGTGGAGACTGAGAGGTTGTTCACAACCTCCTATATGGCTGGCTGTACGTAGGACATCGAATAAGCCTGGGAATCATCGGGTAGAGAATAACTGTGATTATGACACATGATGACATGCTTTGGTGTCCCAATGGCTGGAGAAACTTTAGTTTTCTCCGTTACCACCGATGTTCAGGAGGAAACCGGGAGAAACATGTCCCGCCACGTTCCCCGGCTGGGACTATTGCTGGAGTTGGTTAACCTCGATGGTTTGTCACGTGAAAGAACCGTCTACAGGAACAGGACAATTCAGAATGCCCGGGCAATCATCTTTGATAGCATGTCGTAATCCTCATGCCGCCAAAAATAATGTAGAATTGAACAGGAGCAGAAATAGAAGACGGAGAAGCATTGCCCGAAACCTGGAAGTGTACGTTTTTGTCTCTGATTGGACGTAATATGGAAGACGGTATGCAAAAGGAGATACAGGCATGAATATGGATCCCTTGCGGGGTGGGAAGAAGGCAGGACGCGCGGGACTCGCTCCCCGCGCCGGTCTTACTACGGGTACGGAGGGCTCGCTGGTGGACACCAACGGGCTCTCGGGTCTTGGCCAAAATCTTACACACTAAATTCGATAATGAATCAGCGACTGTCCAGATCGAAGCTGCTGAGGCGATTGCCGAGCTTGACGGGCCCAAATTGGTGTTGTTTGGGATGACCAACCTCAACCGGGCTTGGATGTGCCCAATACCTTTGTTGACCGCAGTCATTCTAAACTCCTGTGCTCATTCGTAATAGGAGATGAAGAGGATGTCGGAAAAGACCTACTCCTGGAGCAAGATTCTGTTCAATCAGTTGGACTTGGCTTCATGGACTGTGAGATGATGGGAGATGATGGGAGGTGATGACAAGCGGGGTTTCTCCGGTCACGAGTCCTCTGGAAGAGAGGGCACGAGAGCATTTAGAAAGAGGAAAATGGGCCGCGTGAGAGATTCGATCATAAGATACCATCCAACTAGAGCCTTGAGATTAATGGTACCTTAATCAGGATTAAGCCAAGGGTAAGCTGAGTGAGGCAGAGAAGGGCACAGATCATAGGGAAGCTTGTCAGTGCAGCAATATGTATTGGCTGATGAGGCCGAGCTACTATGTACAGAGAAATTGTCCTGTCACAAAGACTAGTGTCTAGTGAGTCGGAATAAAGAAGCAAATACACGCTCAATGGGATATTGTCCCTGAAACTCCACGCTTAAACATGAAAGGACGGGAAAGCATCAACAACCCGCTTAGCAAGCAGACAAAGAAGTCTGGCCCTTGCAGTTGGCGGTGGTGCTGACCTTTGAGCTCTCGCCGCTGCCCTTGGAGACGCCCTTGTACTCCTGGCAGACCTTGGAGACGCTGGAGCCGCAAGTGCTGGAGATGGTGGCGACGTCGCCGTAGTTGGAGTTGATGCCGACGAGCTCCTTGACGCCCTTAGCCTTGACGTTCTTGACGATGACGTTGCGGGGGCCTCCGTTGTTGGTGCAGTCACCGCAGCCGCGGTAGAGCTTGCCGGCGGTGACGACGGTGAAGCCGTCGATGGTGACGGTGCCGCGACCGTTGTGCTGGACGACCTTGTCGACGGCGTTCTGGGCGCCACCGCCCTGGATGAGGACGTCACCGGTGCCGAGAGCGGAGATGGCATCTGTGAAAGGGGGTTAGTAGGCAAGTCTTGGAGGGTTCAGGAGAGAAGATAGGGGTGAACGTACCCTCGCAGACGTCACGGAACCAGACGTTCTTCAGAGTGCAGGCACCCTTGCAGTGGACACCCTCGAGCTGGTTGGCGCCAATGATGACGTTGCTCAGGGTGGCGCCGTTCTCGAGAATGAAGACGGCGGAGTCACTGCCAGTGTCGGCGTCGGTGTCGCAGGCACGGCCACGGTCGAACTCCTTGTTGGCAAAGTCCTTGGAACCCGAGATCGTGGAGGGAGCGGAGAGGGAGACGATGGAACCGCTGCGAGTGGGAATGTTGAGGGTCTGGGCGGTGGCCATGCCAGCCAGGAGGGCGGAGACGAAAACCTTAGTCTGCATTTTGAGAGATGAGGTTGGCTTTGCTGAGAGAAGCTGGGCTTGAGAGACTGAGAGAGGCTGTTGGATGGTGTCCTGAGTGAGCGTGGTGAAGAGAAAAGGGCGAGACGAACTGTGAGGATCTTCCGAGAGTATTTATGTTGTTCAGAGTCAGATCCTTAACATCATGACAATTTCAACCAGGAGGCATTCCAAGATTCCATCGCGGAAAAGGAGTTTCACATTGATCGTAAAAGTCCAGACCGTACAACACCAACTCACTAGCAACCGTCCGATATCTCCACCTACAATCATGAGAGCCAAGTGCTCAAGAATCTCCTTGGTGGAAATATCAGACGTTGGCACCGGTATACCACAAAAGCAATCAACTCTGGTACGCCGTCAATGGATCCTCGCCCGAGTACGTGGGTGGCGGCCGCGCTGCTCGCCCAAGCATCCATGCTTCTCATGTACCGATGCCCATAACCCACCAATTGGCACGTTGTGGCATGAAAGCCGTCAACCTAGTCCCGGTAGTCAAAGGCCCCAGATAGTCTATTGTATGTGCCATGTGGAGGCACTACGGCCGTGCCTAACTCCATCTGTTGTCTCTTCGACGTCTTGGGACACCCTGAGCCTTGGGGCCTGTTGGGGGCGATAGTGGTCTGTAGTGGCCGTCCTCGTGGCTTGCGGACGCCGAGGGCAAACAGCTTGGTGAAGCCAATGAGAGCACATCTCGTACGTACTTGCTGGCCTGGTAGGACTTGGCAGATAATCTACTCAATACGGGAAGGTTAGGGGGATGTCTTCAAGCACAGCCCCCTTTTGCGTGTGAGTCTCATCGGGGGTGGAGAATGGAAGAGCTACTTCCTGGCTAGGAAAAGTAGGCGATGGTCGTCTCTTCTCTGGGAAGTCGGTGGTTGAGAATGTGGATGCAGAGAGATGGCGCCCCGGGGGCTTGATTCTCCAACTTGGGCATCTAGGCCCTTCCGATGGATGCCCCGAGCCCCACGCCTGATCCAATACCAACGTATGGGTACCAAGAGGGTCAAGACCGGGGTACATTTCTGTGCTACTCGCTTTTGAGTACGGTTCTAGAGATGGATTCGAGAAGGAAGAGCATCATGCAACGCGACGCATCGCTCAAAGGGAGGGGCCGAAATGGTGGTGCAAGCCGGCAGCGTTCCCCATGAGGAAACGCTTCCCAGTGTGTGGAAGACACTATCAGAAGCGGCAGGTGGGCGAGTAGAATCCTGACGGTTATCTGAGGTTATCTGATATTATCGCGGTTGGAGTGACATTCGGATCAAAGAGGCGAGCAGAATATCCCCAACCTGCAGCTGGAAATTTAAGCCTAAACAGTAGCTTACTTGCGCACATGCAGGGCCACTGGCGTATAGGGAAAAAGGAACGCACATCACTTCGACTACCGTGACTAATCCCGCAGACATGAAGCCGGGGTCAGCGTTACTGGTGAACCGCGACACTGACAACTGGGGCGGGCATTTGTCTCGGTAGATCATAGAACGTGCTCCGGTACTGCAGTATGAATCCGGGGCTTTTCTCCGTCAAGTGTCACAGGATTGAACAAAGGTGCGCCCAGAACTCCAGAAGAGGGGCATTTGCGATGGAAAAAATAATAATGGAAATTGGACGGACGATGCCAAGAGCTTCGAGTCAAGCAAAGCGCGTCGACACTAAGGCCATTTGAGGCTCTTGGCACTGCAACCCCTTGCCAAGTCTCACCGTACCGTTGAGAGTCTTCGAGAGCAGATTGGCTCAACTTGCCCACGAAGAAACAACACTGAACATATCCCGTGTCTTGGCACCGCGCCAAGCCCCCTTCTGGATGCGATGGATGCTGTGGAGCCTGCAACTCATTGATGGAAATCTCCTTTTTCCATTGATCGGCAGCCTTCAAACCAGACGTATTTCGTCCGGTCGTGTTGGTCAAAAGGGAAGTAAGAAGGTGAAAGGGGAGACAACTCGGACGCCCGTTCTTACGTGATAAGCAAGATCGGGAATGTAACGATACGATATTTCTACCGTCTACACGACACACGTGCACTACTAGAACGCTTTCGGAGGGTTCAAATAAGCCATATAATGATTGCAATATGTGCGCCCAGGTTCCTTGGCTGGGTATCCCAAAGAAAGTGAAGGGATACCTTGACCTCGCCGCGGCATGGACCGACGACTCGAGAACAAATCTCTCAATTGCTCTAGCTCGAAGAACCCCTCCCCGTTTCCTCTAACTTAGTCCTTGACTCTTGCAATACGAGTTCATCTACAAGCGTCAAGACAGGACCTTGCGGGATGTGGGATCCAGCTTCATAAACCACAACTTGCCTAGCGTCAACATCTAGTCTGATGAGATTGCGTACTTCCATGAGCCTTGAATTACCTTTGCTGAACAAGCAGCCCTACGATTCTAGGTTCACAGCTCCGCGTTCCGCAGGCATGGGCGTCCTTTCACTGGCCCAGGTCCCCTGTGTCGAGGAGCCAAACGGTCCAAACGTCCACTTTAACTGTGGGCAGACGCTTGAGTCAGAGTTTCGGGCAGTTGTGGGTTGCGATGCGCTTATTTCGACGTACGCAATGTGCCAAGCTTTGTAAATTGAAACTCTGATTCCAGACCACAACACGGGAGCATCTGCTTGGCGAGGATCAGTGAGCTGATCAAAGCTCGCGATAGTTACGGGCCGAGATGCCACGGACTTTCGCGAGTCATTTTATTTGGGCATAGAGTGGTCACCAAACGACTTGACATAGAGCTTCACCGACACTGCGAGAGAGTCCCATTATCTCGCTGAATGAGGAACACGTACCGACAACGCATCGGGAAACTCGGACGTAGAAGTGGATAGTTGTCGACAAACAGAGGCACCATCAGAACAAATCAATTGCTCAATGAATCGTCTCGCATTCGGACGTTACCAAGCCTGCGAGGTCAAGGACATAAGCACGAGAATTCTGGATGCTGATGGAAGATAAAGCACCTAATCGAGCAAAGGTTTTGCATTTCTGTGCCCGGAGGAATCATTCGTGTGGGCTGTTGATGCGCAAGGCTTTGGCACTCAACCTCGGCTCCTCCGGAACCGCCGGAACAGCACTCCTAGCCTAACGCCCATCGATCAGAATATCTTCTGCCCTCACTCACTTTATGATGATTGAGGCCCAGACTTCTTCGCTCAGCATTCACCCGTTGCACTTCCTCCCACGCAAGGAGTCCCAGTACAGTCAAAGCCCTGGGGGTTCACGGCGTTCCCACAAAGGTATGAAGTGGCAGCAGTCCCGTTGGCAAGCTCCAGGTCGACGTCGAAGAGACCGATGTTAGTGCAAGGTGCAACAGCGCTACATTGGAGACTGGCGACGCGGGATGACTTGGTCGTGCCTACCATGCCGTCGAGGGTGATATCGCGAATTTGAAACTGCGAGTTGGTGCAGTTGCCCACCCCGGGAGCGCCGCGAAAGCGGGTGCACTGAGAGATTGCGAACGCAGCGCCGCGCATACCTTGAACGGTCAGGTTCTTAAAAGTCATATCCGATGCAACTAAAAAGATGGCGGTGAGTAGGAGGCCTTCAGAGAATGCTACATGTTCGCTGTTTCGGACTTACATCCAAGCCCGCCGCCGCCGCCATTAGGAGGGTAGCCGTTTTGGTCGTCTGTCCAAGTTTTGAAGTAGACCTGATGACGTCGTTAGCACTAACAAGGTTTATGATATCAGAAGAGAAGGGCGAAGGGGACCAACTGCATGCAACGTGTTGTCAAAGAAGCAATTCTCGACTTTCAGTCTTTCGATGGTCTCGAACTGGTCATTGTATTGTCCGATACTGCCGAGAGCAATGCCCAACCCATTGTAGAACTTGGAGTTCGTAATGCTGACATCAGTGCTGTTTGCTTTGAGAGAGATGCTATCGTCGCCACTATAGACAGTCCAATTGTTGAACTTTATGCCGGAGGAGCGGATCGTGTCAGCACCGTCCGTGTTCGCTAAGTGAGGTCAGAAAGGCTCATGCTTCTACCCATGACAGGGTCCACAGCAAAGGGTATTGGCCTTACAGCTTTGGAACCGGTTGCCAGTGTTGTTAACTAAGATGCTATCGAGGACGACGTTGTGGGAGTAGATTATGGACAGAGTCCTGCTCAAGTCAGTGATGTTTAGCTTTACGTTTTCACTAAAACATGTACTTACCACATCTGACTTCTCAGGAAGTTTACTCCCTTTACAACAGAGTTCCGCAACCCGTTGAGAGTGAGAGCATGTGGACGGCCAGGGTAATTCGAAGTGTTTGCCTGCTGTCTGATCCATTCATACCAGTAGTCGCCGTTGCCATCGAAAGTGCCTTGCCCATAACCGTTGAGACGGACATTATTGCCGCCGAGGATAAAGGCAGTGGACTGATTCTGATACCCGACGTCCAGCGAGTTGGCAAGCCAGTACGTGATGTTTGTACTCCACTATAAACGGCAGTCTCACATTAGCTGATCGCCATCAAAAGAAAGTCTTGGTATTGTTTGGCTTGGCACAACACTCAGATTACACCAAGATCGGGATGGTGAGCGATAAGCCTGCCGTGGAACAGTAACGTACCAGCAGAGTTCCCTGAAGATCAATCTCGACATCGTCCAGCCAAGTAACATTCAAAGCGGAGTTGACATAGTACGTCGTTGGTTCGAACACGACCTTGCCGCGCCGGCCGCACTGCGTGAACGCCTCGAGTATAGCAGGCGCGTCGTCGGTGGTGTTGATTCCGCTAGCCTTGACAATGCATGTCTTGCGTCCCGCGGCGTCTGTAGTCTCTTGCGCATAGATCCCGGAGGCTGAAGCAAGTAGAGTGCAAAGCACGCCAACAGCCCAGGTACGGCGCATGTTCAAACAATGTGCGACAGTTCCTTTGAGCTGAGAACAAGGGGTCCAGTGACTGAGGGGTGGAAGAGTGATGGATAACAGGATTGGCTCAGAACATCAGCTGAAAAATAGTGAGAACCCCAGGGCTACCTCCCACCGGTAAAGCGCGACGGCGCCCGAGGGTTGAATAGTTTCCTAGCATCGTCAAATCGGGCTATTCCCGGCCGAGTCTCCTCGACATCAGCGTCGTATTTTCTCAGTCGCGCTGAATTCTCGCGCAGCATTTCTTGGGGCCATCATCGGAGTTACGGAGTACATCGTTGCCGTTCGACCGGGTCGAATTCGCACGAATCATGGAGAAGGAGATCTGTTGGTGCCCACGTAGAGCGAAGAGAACTTGACCGGTCTTCTCTGCCTTAAACCGCAGAAAACCGGCCAATTCCTCTTTTCCCCCCTCCCCCCCGCCCCTGGTACCTAGTAGATGAAAGCGCGGGGGCGGGGTGATGCGGGGGAGGATTTGCATATGAGGCGGGACGTCGACAATGCTGCTAGCGGAGAGTCAACCTCCTGCATTCGAAGTAACGCTCGGGTTGACACTACAACTCACTTTACCATTATTTTCACACAGTAGAAGCTTGAAATCGATCGCCAAGCTGAAGTAGTCATTTCAAAAGCAATTGCGGGATAGCTTGCCTTGAGTTGCTGCAGCTGGTCCTGAAAGTGCTGAATCGGCCATAACGAGAGACCTAGTACCTCGGCGTGATCAATGCTGCCCGCATTAACGATACCGTTCTTGTGGCATGTTTCGATATCAAGGTTTCTCGACATGTTTCTCACTCCCCTAATTAATTTGCCCCGACCTAACGAACAAGAAATCCCTTTGCAAGTACTACAGGCCTCATTTGCTGCCCTTCATCAGCCGATTACTTAAACCATCTGGGACTCAGTCTCGTCGATTTCCTGCATAAACATTTTTGTCGCTCTTTTATCGTCTTGTCTCATCCACCTCCGCATTCTCCAAACAGTAAGCGCTGTAATGATGACAGGAAGTATGAAATACATGGCCAACCAAGGTGAAGTCATCTGGTTGCTGTCGGACGGGGTCCAGCTGAAGAAAGACATTGAGAATATGCTCTAGTCACGTATTAGCTATCATTTGCCGGTGGTCCCCTCATAGCCATTAAAAGGAAAGACGAGTCTTGTTCATAGCGACGTATAGCTAGAAAAGTCCCCGGGAGAAAGACCATTCCAAGATGCAAAATAGTCTTCATTTGACCACCATCTCTCTTCATGGCGCGAGCAATGGAAATGGATTTTTTTGAATCTCTCCTGGTATTGAAACTCGATTCCTAAAAGTGTCACTTGAATAGTTAGTCATCTGTCTTGAAAACTTGGTGTTAACGCTCCTACCAGGCACTTCTATATATTGTGGACATGCCTTTTGGGAGGCCAGTTCCATGCCTCCGAGCGCGCTATTGCATTCTTTCACTCGGATGTTGTACTCGGCGAGTATCTCTGACAATCTTCTCTTGATCCTTTCACCTGTGTCGTGCTGCTCTGTAGTATAGCGCTCGATACTCTCACTATCTTCCTTAGAATGACTGAAGGTGCTCCTTGCAAGAACCTCGGAGTGCTCGATCATCTTTACAATTTGATCGTGAAAGCATTCCAATCCAATCTTGAGAGCACTGATTTGATGCCACAAGTTGGTCGATTTCAGCATTCCGCTCCGAGTCATAGGACCAAAGTTTTCGACTTCTGACGTTGCTGCAAATGTGTTCAATACTAGCTGTCTAGAGCTCGTTCGCTCTCGGTCGAGAACATTGAAGTGACTTTTGCGTTCAAACTCTGCAAATATCAAAGGCATTAGCAATGGATATGAAGCCTGCCCTCTGAACATTTTAAGCCATGCCGTGAGTTTTCCAGCGGTCGATGGTGTGCACCCATACATCGCAGCGTAGGTCATGCGCTGATTCGGAAAGTTTGTCAAAGAAAGAGTTGCATCGTCGAACTTCCTTGGAGACGCTGTATCGGACTTGCAATTGTAGACTAGATGGGTCTGTGAGTCAGGTACTTATTGACTGGAGCGCCAAGTTTCATATCTTTGGCTACATGTAGAGGTCATAGACCAAGGTTGGTCGGCACCACCAGAAACGAGAGCCACGCAGCAGAAAAACATACCGATTGCTGATGTCTTAAATTCATCTGAGTATCATATCGCCGATCGGGTGTTGAACTTGGCAGTAGATCTCCTGCCAAGGGCAAACATCAGAGACCGATGTTGGTAAAGTCGTTCGACTACTTTAGAGAAGGTTTCTTCTGAATATGGCAAACCCATGCTTTCCCCTATCTCAGTACCTGTGTCGGGCCTCAGGTGGATCACTACAAGCAACCCCGGATGTTCCAAGCGCTCCGATAATGGCTCAACCTGCTCATAACATTTCAGAATCTCGATACGGTCGAAAAGCATGCTCAAAGTACGCGCCCCTAGAGGGGGACCTACCGATTCTAACCAGTTGACGAATTCATATTCCGTAGCTTGTTCAATATGCTCAAATCTAAATTGGGGCTCAATAGTCTGAAGTCAGTTGATTTATTGTGTTCTTCGAGAAAGGCATTGTCCGCTTACATCCACAGGCTGCTCTTGCAACCGCACAGTCTGGACTCGACAGGATCCTACTGTAACCGGTGAGATTCCAATCGACCTCACAAACTCTATGTCGCTTTTGCGGAACCTCCATTCCTGGTGGGGCCACTCCATGTTGTCCTGTGTAGTGCAAAGCGATTCTAAAGATGTTCCCCAGCTTGCGTGGGCTCATGTGGAAATGGGCCGCTGGTTATATGACCAATCACTAAGAATCGCCCCCATCAATTCAGGAAACATTGCGATGGTTTTGCTCTTTAACATGCCCGCTCCTAAATGCTCCTGCGACCTCCCTTGGCCATGACGAGAAAGCCTCATATTAGGTCTGCTTAATCCTTAGCCTAGTCCGTGATGTGCTGACTGCAGATGCAGATGCAAGCCAAGCGAAAACATGCCAACAGCCTCGAACTTCATACCAATAGACGCACCATATCATACGTCTATGTCACCGATAGCCACCCTTGCGGAGGAAGGCATGTTCCGATTTATTGCGGGCCGGAAATGACTTCAACGAGCATATCCGGACATGCACCTCTTTCATACGGTTCCTGTTGTGATATGGGCTGATGCTTTCATGGAGTTCGAAAGGATGGTCATCCATTTTTACTCGAATTCTAAAGGTCACATCGCGGACTATCCTGGGACAGAATGCCCGTCAATCCAGGCCCTCCACAGCAATCGCCATCGTTGTTTCAAGCATTCGCATTCAATCCGCACCGCACTGCAGTCATTCTTGACGCCTTGAAATCTCCGAAGCCCGCAACACTGCACACCCCCAACTCACACAATAGAGTCGCTATCGCTGTTGACCTCCCTCGCCATCTGGTCTCTAGCTTTCTTCTCTTCTGCTTCCATCCACTTTCTCATACTCCAGACAGTGATGAGTGTGATCACGATTACAAGGACACCATAGAGGGCAATCCATGGGGAGATGATTTGATTGCCATCTGGGGGGGTCCAATTGAAGAAAGACATTGAGAAAAGCGACTTGCGGTGCATCCAGTCAGCTTGCTTATTCTGAAATGACTGCTCACACACATCACAGGAATGCACAAACTTACGGCAAGAAATGTTCCAGGCAGAAAGATCATTCCTAGCAGTGAGATGCTTCTCATCTGGCTGCCATCTCTCTTCGTAGCATTTGCAATGATGATGGATACTTTGGCGTCTCGTCTCGTGTAGTAGTTTGATTCCTAGCCATCAGCGTTAGTCACGGAATCCGCTGGTCAATGTGAGAGTTTTATCTATGCTCACCATTTGTGCAGCTAGTGACATGCCGCCAAGGAGACTTTCGCAGCTTCGGATCTTGCTTCCCAACTCATCAATGATCTCGCGTAATCTCATCTGAATCTTGGCTCCTGCTCTTCGCACTTCGAGGTGTTCATCAATCTCACCGCTGTCTTCGGAAGGAGGCTTATAATACGTTGCAGCTAGGTTTTCAGAGTGTTCGACCATGTTCTGTAGCTGAATCCTGAGACTATGGAGCCCATTTTGGAGTTTACTGACATCTATCCATAGTTTGGTCGACTCACAATCTCTCGTTCGCAATACGGGCTCAGAATCCGCCTTCTCGGAGATAGAATTCTGGTCTTCACCTCGAAGTTTGGATTCCAATTCCAAGATGCGTTGTTCGAGCGATGTTTTCTCCATGTCAAGCAAATCCAACAGACGTTTGCGTTCTAGTTCTGCGAATATTACTGGCATGATAAGAGGATGCAAGGCCTGTCCTCCAGTATTTTTCAGGCACTTGACAGTCAAGTCAAGGACGGGTTGTGTACAGCCGTACATGACTGCGTATGCTGTGCCACGAGTTGGAAACGAAGTCACTGATAATGCAACATCGTTTGGACTATTCAAGACCGGTGGGTTTTCGGTATCAGACTTGCAATTGTAAACTGCGCTTCTCGTTAGATCGCCTCTGGAATTCACAATGACAAGTATCCGATGAACAAGAAAAATGAAAAGCGCTCAATGACAAGGACTGGGTTCTTCTAGACTTCTCACCTGTAGATGCTAAGGGTGTGAGACCGCCCTCCCACGCCACAGGTTTGTGAGTGACGAGGGCTGTTGAGGCTCTCTTGAATAGAAGAGACAGTGAACGGTGCTGATAAAGCTTTTGAGCCACTTTTTTGAAAGTACTCTCTTCGTATGGCAGTGACCTAGCACCTCGCGGGTCGGTCGTGTTCGGCCTATGATGCATCACAAGCACCAAACCCGGCAACTCAAGCGGTGACTTCTCCTACAATATGTGAATTGAGCAGGCCAACCCGAGTGAAATCCAAGATTGGTTGTTGACTTACCGATTCTAGCCATTGGAGAAATGCATCTTCTGTTGTGAAGTCCAAGACATTCGGCTTTCAGACGCGGTTAGCTTGACTTGGGCCGGGCGGAAGAAACGAGCTGGGAACTCACGCGTTTGTCAGCCTTTCGCAAAATCACAGTCCGTATTTTGAAAGATCCTTCAGAAGAAAATTCAAGCGATCCCAGGTCGCTTTTGAGAAAGTCTAGTCTTTGAGTTATCCACTCCATCGTGGAAACGAGTGACTCGCGACCTCAGCATCTGAATCTATCAGGCAGAGTCTTACAGTTGGGCGTTTACTATAGCTTATACGTGAAAAAACCACACGTATTGTCGGTCAAGAATTCTGGCGTGCATCAAATGACTCGTCAGTGTGTGTCGTAGGGATACCCAGCTGTCCGGGCTTGTGCAACGGAATTCCCTTGACCCCGCCTTGGACTCTTCGTGGATTGAAAGCCCAGAATTGCGTTCTACCATACCTGCGCCATGATGACTGCAGATTACCTGCTCAACCAACTCAATCAGGGTGACATTTCCGCTGCAGCTCTTGCACGCTACTCGATGGGCTGTTCTTAGCTGCACTACTGCAAGAACAGTAACACCGACAATGAGAGTCTATGTAGTGACAGATAATATGCCGACTCTCAATTATGCCTTGGCACGCAGCCTGCTGTTTTAGTGCAGCTTATCTGGTGCAATGGACGTGGGATAGAAGTCGTTTGCAACCCTGCCCGACGGCCCAACACCCTTTTGCTCCCACCGGTGAAAGGACATGTGATGATAAGCCCTTTGCCCGGCTATGGCCCCATGTATGCGTGCGCCTGTAAAGATGCTTCGGAAACTCAGCCACTCATCCATCTGGCTGACACCGAAGTCAACTTCAATGGTTCGCAAAACAAACAATTGCACTTTGCCTCGCTGGAGCCTGGAGAGCACACGGCTCTGCTGACATAGACCAAAGTGCGAGAATTTGAAGTGTGCACCCTCTTGGTATAACTCGCGAGGCCTTCACTAGACAACAGATTCTCCAGCCTGGAAACTTGTATTTGTATTCTGAATAGCCCGTCGTTGCTTTACATGGATGACACCAATATCCGATCTTGGGCATCAAGGCTCAAGAGCTACATCCCGGGTTTCGGCAAGCGAGACAAAATGGATAACACCGGCAAGTTTGTCGCGACCGACAAAATAATCGATCGATATGCAGACACGAAGGTTTTGCAGCAAACGCTTTTGAGCTTCAAGTTTCCCAAGAACACAATCAAGATGAAGGTAAGACGATGCCGAGTTCACCAGTTCCCCGCTTTAGACAATTTACTGATCACTGGTTTAGGCAACAAAGGTTGACTGCGTCGAGGTTCAGCTTCCTCGCAAGTTGACCCCGGTGAGTCCAGATATTTCTTGCATTGAATTTTACTCAGGTCGCATTACCGTCTAACCCGTAACTAGGAGGAAATGGAGAAAGTTCATGTTGATCTCAAGAAGGCCAAAGAGGAGCATGACGACGAAGAAGAAGAAGAAGAGTAAAGTTAATGTTGACACTTGCAGTGCTGGAAATGGATATTGAGCGCTTTGCCCATCAGTTTGGGGATGACATGATGATACTGGGTTCAGACGCCCTATTGGTCATATCATCGACGAGTGGGGCGCATGCATGGCGCCTCCTCTCAGTATGCACCAGCAGCTAGATACTAGTAGACGTTCGTGGAACTGAAATACAAGTGATTTGTCCCTGGTCGACCCCAAGGAAGCCTGGCGATACAAATGTCCACATTGACCATCTTTTAAGAGAAACAGGCATGCAGCGCGTTCTACATACTATCCCCTCACACTTACCGCGTTCAAGAGTGAAGCGGGGGTTTCCAATCCTTGAGTGCCACGTCTCTGCCATATCTCGCATATCCAAGGTTGGGGTGCTGCAGCATCCGGTCTTCCACATTGCATTTGCAGGCATCTCGGAACCACCAGGGAAGAACTTGGTCCATTCGTCCATGAACGCGCCAGTCGGATGGACGCTCCGAGTCTCGACTCCCTACTTTACTCTTTGAAGCTCTGCTTCCATGCCTGCAAGATATCTCGAACCTCATTCGAGGCTGCTCGCGTACTGCCGTCGATGAGCAGCATTCTTGACTGGACGAGAGTAAGAAATCTTTCCAAGTCCTTTGTGCATCGTGCATGGTTGCGGAGATGTTGGAATTGCTGACACCAAATTTCCATCAGCATCACAAAATTGGGCAGAATCGTGGGTCATTTGATGTTGAAGCACTCACCGAAATAACCGAGGGCTTCAGATCTGCGACAATCGTCCGAGGAACTCTTCTTGGCCGCCACCACCATACCCCTCGATGCACCCTCTTTTTGAAGAATGTATCTTCCAGTACCGGGGGAAACTCTGGGTCGACATCGACCTCGTCTGTCTCTAGAAGGCGGCTTTCGCGGAAGCTCTCGACTCCGCCCCACCCCTCTATTGCCCAGGTGATGAAGTCGAGAAACAGGCATCCCAAGCACCATATGTCGAACGGCTCATCCACTGTGGATCCCTTAAGGTCTCTTTCGGGCGGCCGGTATGTCTTTGTCTCGGCCTTCTGCTTCGGACGAATCGAAGAGCCCCGATCAAAAGGCTTAGATAGACCAAAGTCCGTCAGCTTCAAATCGTATGAGACCTTGCCGCCCTGGGACTTTCGGAAGCAGACGACATTCTCTGGCTTGATATCGAGATGAAGCTGCGCCTCGGAAGAATGCCCCCCTTCTCGGGAATCATAGCCATGTACCGTGGCTAAGGCGTCGGCTATGTAGTAGCATTGGTCTATCATCCATTGGACCGAGTACCAAGGCGGATAATGCTCAGTAGAATCATGATATAAGTCATGATCTTCCCATAGGTCAAAGAGACTGCCACCGTCAGCCCAAGGGAACAAGAGATAAAATCGATTTCGGTGTGTGAAAGCAGAAAGCAGCGGTGTTATGCGGGGATGGGTTGTTCTTTGGTTGGCAGCAATCTCATCCCTGAATGAAATTTTGGCGGCCTTGATCGTGTGCCCCTTGTCGATGATCTTCAAAGCGAAGTATTCTGCCAGTGGTTCGTCTTGCTGAGAAACGAGAAGTCATTAGTAATGTGGCTTGAGTGGTGATTGGCTGACCTGCTAACATGCATCTAATAAATCGTGATGATCTCCGTGAATCTTCATCTTTTGCACGAACGAAACTTGGCCATCAAGTATCTCCCGCTGCATGTTGATCTCTGACCACGGCAATGTGATTTCATCATGCAATGTATGGTAAGCCTGCTTGTTAGTATTTGGGTCCGATTTACTAAAGTACGGAGATCTCATATGCCATTGCAGTTGGTGGAATAGTTCCTCGTCATGTGCGTTTAGGGCTTGCAGGACTTCTCGAAGAGCCTCAGCAGCCCGAGAAAAGTAGGTTGGCGAGGTCGGATCGCTACATGGCCAAGCTCCATCGCAAATATGAACCGGCGATTGGTAAATTTTCAATATTACTTCCTGTTTACCGAGTAAGAATAATGTTGCAAAGATTATTCTTAGTCCTGTACATAGAGCATCGTCACAGAGGCATTGTTCTTGCTCGTTGGGAGTAACAAAATGTGCAACATCGGCAACTTTAGTCTCATCAGAAGAAATAAATGTCCTTAGAAAGCTTGAGACATTTTCGTAGTTGAACTGAGACATCAAGCTGCCGCGTGGAACGAACCGATTGCGTTTGTTGTTGAGATCTTGGCGTGAAGCACGTAAGAGGATGCAGGCGATAACATCCCTAGCGGCGCCGACATCGAATGATCGAGGCAGTGATCCAGCTCGATTCTCGAGGACCGGACTCGTTATGGAGATCTGTAAGGTATTTCTTAGCGGCCAGTAGTAATGTGAAAATCGGACAAGTGCAGAATGGTTGCTTTTAACCCGTAACAGGCAGCGCTATACGCACGAAGCACGGAGGTGGATTATTTGCTGTGGCTGCAGCGCGCATGCCTCTTTGTCGTAGTGCAACGTCTAAAAAACCGTCCAACGCATGCAGTGAGATAGCAACCCACCTGTTCAAGTCCTGAGGAAAGCTCCATGATAGGTTATGCCGCGAGGAACTAGTTTGGTGTATTCATGAAGTCGAAGACACAGTACCGGCTCATTCGGGATTGGATGGGGTTGGGAAGTGTAGATCAAAGTAGTGGTCATGATCTACGAAAGAGTTGGACATAGGCTTGTTTTTGATTCTCGAGTTCTGAAAATACCGCGGGACTCGGCAGTCCTTTGCTGCCTGTTCTAGCGCAGCATTGTCATAGCCACCGCCATGCGCAGCTGACGGACACACCTTCTTGCCAATATGCAGATTCAGACGTGAGAAACGTGACGCAAAGCTCGAGGCAGGCCCCGGAATTGGCGGCTGTAAGCAGCACGCTCATCATTCATTTGTCCGAAGAATGATAACGAGATTCTGGTTGGTCTACGATAAGATTGGGAAAATGTGGGAGTACGGACATGCCGCATGCTTATGTGGAACATCCACACCATAATTAATCGCCAACCCCTCAGCCTGCTGCACCACACCACTACCATCCAAGCCGTGTTTCTGCCTGATAGTAAATATACAGCCAGACATACAGAATGATGCCACCGTTGATCAGCAATGCCCCGCACCGGCAGACCATGCACTCAACTACCTCCTAACAAGCCCGGTATACCGAACAACAAGGGTGGTGCAATGCAGCAATTCAGTAAGAATGCAACAGATGCCGGAATCGTTAACATGTAATTTGATGGGATGCTCGGCATCTACCCATGATGGAGGAGAAGCAAAACGAGTTATGAGAGGTCTTTCTTCTCCCTTGCAAGACAAAATTACTCGCTCAGTGAAACATACCTTAGTGACAGTCTGATACGTGTAGGTGGGGGAGTCGAGCTGGTATTACTTCAAGAGGTCCTACAGTCGTTTTAAATCCCGTGAAGCATCCTCGTCATGTTTTTCTCAGTGACCAAGCCATACTTCCGAGCACATCAAATAAGACTCTGTTACGGTGACTCCTCGAATCGACTATCTACAATCGCTCCAATGATGAACTACCTCACCGCCTTATTTTCGTCCTCCCCAAAGCCAACTTATCCTCGTAACGACAATTTCAGCCACTCTCAACCATCTACTAGACAGAGCACTGGCTTTTCTTCAACGGCGACTTCTTCATCAGCATATAGCCGTAGTTATGGGCAACAAGAAATAGCCGGACGATTTATCAGCAAGAGGAAGCTCCAGAAACTCTTGAAAGATCAATTTGGAAATGACTATCAACTGCATGTATGTGTCAGGAAAGCCTACGGCGACCTAATTTTTGCACAAGGGTAACGATGAAAATTTCTAATGCTTCTGTTACGACAGATGAGGTCGAACAATTACCGTCTATACGCGAGGAGACCGCTGAGCGAGGAAGAGATTCTAAGCTGTTGCTAATTAAACTCTCATTTGGAGTGTTCTGACTTCATTCCCACTGCGAGGTTTCCGAAATCCATACTTCAATTCTCTTGATGGCCCCCGGTTCGGAAGTTTTGGATTATCAGCGTTCGTGAGAAAGCTAGGTCTGAAAGGCGCTCTTGGCCGCACAAGCTGCCATTCCACCTACTTCAGAGGGCCGGTCGACTTCATCCAACTCCGCCTTAGTCCCTACATCATAGACGCAGAACAATGCATGGTGTTTCATTCCATCCCAGTCGATAGCTTGCCATGCTGACATGTGTATCAACTAAAAGACCACGGTGTTGATTCAGTGCATGACGAGTCGCCGTCAGGACTCCAGGGTGCATATGATGGAGAGCTTTCAACAGCATCTATTCTTCAAGATATTTATGTCAGTTAGCACGACACAATTTTGACCATTTTATGAAGTATGGCACAGAGAAGAATAATCAAATGATAGCGGCTGAATGTTTTTGTTCAACTCAATTAATCAGAATTTGAAAATAGTATCTCTTCCGAGCGATGCAACATAGGGGAAGGTTAACGATTAGTAGCCTGGTGCCCCCTTTATAATGTACTCCCTGGGCAACAAGATCTATGGTGATGTTTTGGTATAGCGTCCAACCATTTTCACACCCGAATGGTTTACATAGAGGTTCTCAGTCTCTTTATGATTTGAAACGTCAGAATCCACTTTCACAACCCAGAGGAACCATTTCCTCCACAAAGGAGGCCCGCGACCAGATATCCATGTTCATGAAATACCTCGAACACATGTCGGGTGCCATGACCCCCACCATACCGTGAATTCCGGAAAACTATCCACATGGTGTATGCCTCTGCATCATATCTTCTCTGAGCAGTGGAGTCTCAAAGTCGTCAGTCTCCTCTTCCAGCCATTTCAAGAGAGAAGATACCTGAAAGTGGTCAGAGATGTTGGGATCGAGATTAGTGACCTTGCGGTATGAGTGTACCTCTGTTTGGATCGCCGCCCAGAGAGTGCCCAGATTAGGGTTGATGGGGGTGCCAAAGCTTTCGTGAAACTCCTCGAAGAGACAGTCAACATACAAAACGTGGTCCTCGTCGTCGTTCGGGTTCTCGTTCTCCCTAGTCTCGCTACGTTCAAAATCCTGACAGGTGCTGACTCGTTTGCTGAACTTTATGAAAGGGCTGTCTCCTTGCGATGATGGCGTTGCGTGACGAAGAATCAGCACGAGGCACCTCCAGCCGATCTTACAAGATGGTCTCCAATCATCTTTGATTTCTTGTGGGACCTCTTCTGCCAACTCCATCGCGGTCATGGGTCGATGATAACAACTTCCCTCACCTGGAGACGAGAACATGTCAAGCACTGATAGATCCGCTACTTGGGCAGCATCAGCTCCTAGTGCCAAAAGGCAAACTAGACAAGCCATTGCTCCAAATAGCGTTTCACCATTCTTGCCGTTCTCTGCCAAATGAAATGCAACGGCAACAAGAGTATGCAACGAGCCCAGCTTCATCTCGAGCCCACAGCTGGTACAACGCCGTCGGAACAGACCGCTGTAAGCGTTGATGTCCGGCGCCGATGGTGGTAGGAAGATCGCAATCATGTTGTGGCATATAGCCTGCACAGAACTGTGACAAAAGGCATGCTTCCAATGTGTGGGGACCTGAGGTTGTCCAGACCTATAAAGGTGTCGTATTGCTGGCGAATCAGCATCCCATCTGCCGCAAATATCCTTCTCTTCACCCGGGAAACGAGTACAATCAACAAAGCTTGTGCTCACGTTGACAGGTGGACAGTCCGTGTGGGAACGCAGAATCGAAATCATGAGAGCATCTAGAACAGTATGTCCATTGGAGTCAAGGTTTTTCAATGCGATCGGATACGTCCCGTCCAGGGCCTTGGTAAGGCAGCAGAGAACGAGGCAGCAGATATTACCTCCGTCGACGTATGATGCTGCGAGATGATATGGGTGGATCTCTGCGAAATCAAGGTCGGGTCTGGACCCAGCTTCGTGCCGAAGCTTCGTGAGAAGGTCCACATTGCCAGTCATGATCGCAAATGCCCATGAATCTAAAGCAATTTGCTTGAGTGATTTAGATATGACCTCCGCAACAACCTCGTTGCTGATCGGCACTTCATTTGGTGCAATGGCGCTGAATCGGCTTGATGTTAAGGCTTCCTGGATGGTACTCTGGTAGGACCGAGCCGTTTGAGAGGTAGGCCATTCGGTCCAAGACGATTGATCCCCCAACTCAAAGGTAGCTTGCTCCATGGGTGGCAAAGGTGGTGTGGAGTCATCGTCAAAATCTACCGTGTCTTCGTGGTGGATTACCCAACGACAGAGATCTGTCGGTCGTGGGTTCTCGGTTAGGGGGGTTTCCTGTGGTAATGAATTAGAGACGCTTGCGAAAGGCGACATCGAATGAACGGCGTCAGGTGTCTCAGTGACGCCTAAGCCAATGGTGACCTCTGAGATCAGTCCCGCTGTCCATTCTTGGGGGCCAACCCCCCAGAACTTGGCTGTCATGAAGCAGTACATCCAGTAGTCATGAAGCCAGTCAGAGATGGTTCTTGAAGGCGGTTAGCATCCAAATCATATTGAGGATATTAATGATATCGCTACCTTCTATCATTGCTGTTGCACCCGCTCAACAACTCTTCCCTGCGGCCCTGTAGAAGCAGGCTGGACCGGTCTAACAAGGTCTTCCTCTGAATCAAAGCAGAAGTCGGAGTGATGATGTCTGATATTTCGCCCCGGCCAGCTGATGTGTCGGGGCTATTGACGTGAAGGTACTGCGGGGTTGGTGGGTTGTAGCTGAATGGAGAAGCATGATTGTCCTGCGTCGCGAGGGAAGCTCGGTAGGCTGCGTATGGGAGGTTCCATTGCGATATTCTATAGTCATGTTATACCCTGATCTGTTAAGATTATGGTGAAAGGTGCTAGCTTACATGCCAGGCGTCAATGGCGGAGCAGAGTGGTGACGAATTGTATCATTGATGAATCGCTTCACCTGTTTGCTGTCCACAGGCTTCATGAAATCTCCTTGTCGAATCTCCACGTCTGAGACTCTCCCCCCCGGTCGATTGCGTTTCCCTATAGCTGTGATGACAGCTGTCTTCTCTTCCTTCTTGTATTTTTTCTGATGTCCCACTGGCCGAGGCGATAGCGATACTGGGCGGGTCTGTTTGTGGCGTACGTTAGATGACAAGGTTGTACAGAGGCCATTCTCGGGGCAAAGATTGACCTACGATGCATCGAAGCCATGGTGCTTCTTCATGAACTCGGAAAGTTTTGGGAATGTGGGAGGGCGACTTGAAGCACCCCCCAAAAAGGCCTCGATGATGATTTTCTTGAGGGGCTCCCATCGTTGATCGTAAGGGATGTCATGAAACGTGGCCTGGGAGGGCAGGTGAAAGGTTCTCGGGGTGTTCATCACTGCTAAGAATAATTGAGGCAACAGTGATGCTTGTTATTATCTGAAATGAATCCAGTCTCGATTGCGGTTGGAACAACTCAAGATGGATGCAAGAACATGCTTGGGGGGGGGGGGGGGGGGGGGGCAATTGATGAATTCAGGGAACGAAGAAGAAAGACGACGGCGGAAGAACCAGTATCGATGGGCATATGAATGAAGAGATGAGATAAAGTGCCTCGAAGAAATGAAAACCTATGGGTTTATTGAATCGACTCGTAGTGGTTGCCTCGAGGGATAAGGCAACGGGTGCCTACCACACTGCGTGTTGTGTAACTCACAAAAGGCAACTCGCCAATCGGGAGCCTAGGAATTCCGCTTCACTCGCACAGCTGTTGTGGCCAAGCCTCTGGAAGTTCCAAGACAAATCCAATTAAAGGCTCTACAAAAGGAGACAGACCAATCAGTCTGGGTAGCGACAGCGACAGAAACCCACTCATGTTGGCTGGCAGTTGCGCTTCCAAGGGGCTCTGTCAGTGTCGTATGCTTAGCTGTCACGCTGTCCCTTTCTCAGTCTACCGACGCCCCGTCTTGTTAGACCTCACCAGCGAATAGCCGGACAGAACAAAAGGTCACTAACCAATGAGAAATGTCAACCCCTGTATTCTCTAAACCGGCTGATCCATCCATCTTGCAAACCGAGACTAGCGCGGTCCGTCCCTACAGGACCTGGGCGGAAGCTGCTTCCTACAACGACTGTCGTGAACAAAAGGTGAACATCCAGTAGGATGGCAGCGTTCCTAAATGCTGGTACTTACTCGCTGTTACTTCATAACGACTGTAATCCAAAGGTCCTGGGCACCTACTTCGTGGTGATCCTTTGGCCTGGCCACGATGTTCCAGTAACACCATCGACAAAAGGTGAGCGACCAATGGCGTTCGATCTTGACAGGAAAAGTGGAGAGTGAGTCGACCTTGAGCTCGTGAAACTTAGCTCCTCTGCGCAGATCTAGGCTGGATGTTCCTGGTATTGCTGCATTTATGGTCCCTTTCTTCGTTTGCCTGCGAGTTAAAGGACGAATCTTGGTAGGGCGGCGCTGTCCAGGTTTGAATGTAGGCAGACCTGACGGTTGTTGGCTTGAGAGCCTAGAGGCTCCCAGAACGATAAATATATTGTTCGTTTCCCCCAATTCTCATCGGTCTTTATGATCGTTATCCATACCTTTTGTCTTCGCTCGGCTTGAGTGATCGTTTCTTCTACAGATTGTCCAACTGTGCAGATCTCGTATCATTTACAAGACTGCTGTGCTCCTTTTAACCTGACCATTTCATCTATTGAGCCATCTGAGCTACAAAGCCATCTTTTAGTTATGGGATCTTCACGCAAGAATAGCCAACCCGCGTGAGCTTTTGTCTCTGGTAGCTACCTGGTCTGACATACCATACTAATTGTGAACTTATAAGCCCCGCCCCTTCCCCGGTCGACGACGAAACGTCGAGCATGACCGCCCGCTCCGGGTCGCCATCCAGATCTAATTCGAAGACGACAAAGAAGAACAAGACTGGTCATAGGAAGGGAAAGAAGAGCAGCAAGAATGAGCATATAGACGAGGATATATCCTACATGGGGACACAGTTCACGTAATGGGTCGTTGGTTACAGAGGACGGAACATTGTACATTGAAGGACGCAACTGTACCACAAAATGCTAGTAGCGCTTGCGGAAATGGGCCAAATACACACCACTTGATTGAAGCTTCCCATTAGGCTAGACTGTGAGAATCAATTTAAAGCCTCCTCCAGTCCGTGTAGCAATACGCAATAGCTTCTGCCGCGTTGTGATATGATTGGGGAGGCTGATTCAAACAAATATGATCATTGATACGTTTGTAGCAGCCCTAAAATGTTGAAGCAGGCTTAGAAGCGACCGCCTAGTCTTTTCACTGTTGGTTGATATCAGATAAGCAACGTACGCTGAGATGTTGCAAGCACAAGGTTCGACGCGCAGGGGATGATTCCACTCCGACTCAATTGGTCTACCTTATTCTATTAGTGAACAATAACTGTTGGTCTCACATAGTGTACTGTAACAAGTATCCAATCATACTCATCGAACCTACAAATAGATTCGCATGAATACGCAGACCTAATTCATCCATAACTCAACGTCAAGACGAGTAAGTTTTTTGTCGACCAGAGTTCACTCCACGCGATTGGCAAGGCCACTGTTGGCATAAAGGTACATGCAAGTTGTAGGTGGACGACGTGCCACCATTGGAGAAAGGCTCTGAGGTAAGAACACTGATTGATTACTACGTAAGTTAGATGTCCTAATTACTGAAGACCTGTTTTGGTGACTACGGGCTAGTAAACTTACTGAAGCAACGGAAATTTCGAGTTTCTCTCGACCTGACATTTCGGCTTATTGTGTTAATTGATATGTGCCTCCTGCTCCCCTCTGTATTCACCACCTCATGGGTATATAGCTAAACTTGCCGACCGTGATCTTGTGGCCATGTGCTAGGTAAGATGCAGAGATGCTGTTAGAGCCAAAAAACTTGCCATGCATTGAGGCTCAGAGACTATGCCCGACTGCGGATGGATCCTGACAAAGCAAGGACACGAAAGGTTCGACGTGATTGCCAAATGGATAGTAAATTGAGATTGGTATTTGCGGCTTTCATCTCAAGGCGTGATGATTTGAATAATCTTAGCTTATTATAAGTCGTGCGTCTCAAAGTACAAAGTGAGGGTTGTCTGCTTTGCTGGCAGAACGGACGGAGTGAAACCGGACGAATACACGTCCAGATTTAGCCGTCAGGCTCAATGGGAACCGTCGTGTCGCGACTCACCAATAGAGTTTTGCCAAGTTGACATCGGGATGATTATTTCGACATTCTCTTGTTCACCCGACGGACCAATGCTTAAAACAAATTACCAACGGCTTTTGTGGACATAGCAACAGCTAGAATGGCTAGAATGAATTTCTGGCAGAAACTGAGTCAGGACGCGAGTTCCAATTACACTTCATGGAACCTTACAGCCCGGAGGTTCACGAGGACTGATAAGTAATGCCTAAAAGTTGATTATTATTCACGCTCAGTTCAATCTATGTGGCCAAGGGTTTGCCATGTAACACGTTCAAGGATATTCACAGCGCGACTCGTGCTGTAGGCTAGTCCCATTTTAGTTGCTACAATTGACAATTTGACTTGAGTCTTCGTCCAAATACTAAGCAAGTAAGATTGACCAATACGAATTGACAAAATCTCTCTTTGAAATGCATATAACTCAACTCTTTCCTCTAGCAAGAACTACTTGAAAGACCTTCTCAACCACCACAATCATTTCACATCATCTTAGCCAACTGCGCCATCGATCCAATCACCAGCAACACAATCACCATAACTATAGTTAACCGTTCAAAATGAAGTTCACTATCTTCTTCACTGCCTTCGCTATCATCAGCGGCGTGGCTGCAAAGGTGATCCCAAGTCATTCTGCAACAGAAATTTGCTGTAAGACAGTTGGCATAGATACAAAGTTAATTCGTGATTTAGGACTGCTGCTGCAACGTTCTGCCAGCCAACGAGTGCGATTGCAACGGCCCCTATGCCGACAACATCAACTGCGACGAGATCTGTCGCATCAGGAACAGCTTCAGCTGCTGAGCCATTTTAGATTTGGGATGGGCTGATACCATCCAAACTCTGGATTGTCTGGGATAGACACTGGTTGGAGTGGAAGATGTGGGATGCTTTGTCAAACAGGAGGTTTGGGTATATCAGTGCCAATAAACAATCCATTCATTCAGCAGTCCCATTGTCAAATGTGTGACTATTTTCCAGAATTTGGAAAGGATCTCGCAGTTGTGGGTTATCAACCTATAGTATGGGTGGAGCTCAAGACTGCTGTTGAGGTGAATTCGTGCCACCAGATACCGTGACATCCGCCCGCCCTTCGCAACATAAGCATAAGCGAATACTCGATGCTGTAAGTACAAGTATGTCGTCTGTGGATATACAACGCGGACTCACGGAGTGGCTAGCTCTTGAGGTGAAGGGAACCAAAAGTAAGGCACAATTGCTCGCATGATTCAAGCTCACGTTGCATGTTGCCACCAGTCCTAACTTAGCAGACTATGAACCGAATCATATCCTCAAGAGTTTCTACGCTCGCGTTTCAATAGCCTTGAAGTTTGGCGAGGTACCTACCCAGAGGAACAGTAGAGGACCGGCTCGAAGAGTGCACTGATTGAAGGAAGAAAGAAAGTCTAGACCGGAGGCCAACAAAAGAAAAAGGTGGATGGACGCCAGTTCCAGTCTTGATTAATTACTTTAATCTGTCTACCCCGGACTCATTGGGCGTATGGCAGTGCACTGGGTCTTGGCGGGTAGCGACGTGATGTAGCACAAGGATCGTGCTGTGACCTTCTCTCGGAGGCTTCACTCCGGTTTCAGCTCGGGAGACAGCAGAGATTCGTGGAAGATGGCCACAGCATTTTCGCCGGCAACCGGAAAGACTGTCTTGATATTACAGAGCTCTTGGAAGTTCCTTCAAAACTTTCGTTAATGCTGAGAGGGAACCGGCCCTCCGCAGATGTTGAGCAGCTAGTGTAATGAGAGGGAAGTCGTCCACCGATGATAACTTTACTTAAGAATGGATCGGCCAGCTGAGGTTCATCAGAATGAATAAAATCCAGGAACCCAAGCTTTTTGAGATAGTACTTCCAAAGTTATACTTTCCTACTTAAGCCATTATCACTGCAGCAAAATGAGGTTCTCGTCAACCGCTCTCCTCGCTTTGGCAGCTGCCTCGGCCGAAGCCCACTGTAAGCTTGCTTGTCAATTACACAAACGTGTATTCCACAATGATCACAAAGCCAGCACTGCGGGCGGAATACAAAATAAACCTAACCTCTTTGACCATAGACACCTTTGGTCGCCTCGTCTACGGTGGTACAACCTACCCCGAATGGCAACACGTGCGCAAGACGCTCAATTTCTACACCAACGGCCCGGCCGACGGTGTGTCGTCGACGCAGATCCGCTGCTACGAGGCAGATACCGCAGACCGCGGCATGGTCACGACGTTGCCGGTCTCGGCGGGCTCGACCATTGGATTCGCGGCTAATGGAGTCGTGGGACACCCGGGACCGGCGAGCTTCTACATGGCCAAAGTGCCGACCGGCCAAACAGCGGCGACGTGGGACGGCAGCGGGGCGATGTGGTTCAAGATCTACCACGAGAGGCCGACAATTACGAGCACTGGGCTGGAGTGGGCTTCTACCAGTGAGTTGTTTCCAATTTTCTGCCATCTTTTCGCTGGTCTCCAGAACAATATGACGGAGAAGGGACTTAGAGAGCGTTGAAAAAAAGGCTGGACATGGAGGAAACAGGGAAGAAAAGAGGAGAAATGCAGAGACTAAAAAGCTTTCTGCGGGTTTCAAAAGAAAAGGGGCCCTCTTACTTTTGTGGAGAGTGTGTGAATCGCGAGTCCGCAACAGATTCCCTTTGCATAGGGCTGATTCAGTATTTTGTGGGCTCGTGGGGGTTTCTCATGAGTTGGACAAGCAAAAGCTAACGGTGAATAACGTCACAGACACCCAAATACTCTCCACCAAGATCCCAGCGTGCATCCCGTCCGGCGAGTACCTCGTTCGCGTCGAGCACCTGGCGCTCCATGGCGCCGCGACAGAGGGCGGAGCGCAGTTCTACCTCGCCTGCGCGCAGGTTTCTGTGTCCGGGGGCGGGAGCACCAGCCCATCGGGCCTCGTGTCGTTCCCGGGGGCGTACAAATCTACGGACCCGGGGATCTTGTTCCAGCCGTACTGGCCCACGCCGACGAGCTACACTAACCCGGGGCCGGCCCCGTTCAACTGCTGAAAAGCTTGCGAGGGAGATGCTGGGATCCCGGTATCTCGGAAGGCGAGGACCGGGGTGGTTTTGGTATGGTTTAAGTTGATGGAGGGTTCCACTTCCCGCCGCAGGGACCGTTCATCCGTCTGATGGTTGGTCGCTGACGGGACGTGATGGTGGTCTGGACATGATTCGGCGGCGGGCTTGATTCAACTGATTTCCAGGTTTTTGTTGAGGGTTCACTTCAATAGGAGACTACGTATACTATCACACAACCTATGTCATTCTGAGCCTGGGGGATGATCCGAGAGTCTCGACCATCATTCCCCCCTCTTCCCCCAGTTGCCCCGGGAAAGCCACCCAAGCCACCTGGAGTAGCCTAGCTCGCCGGATGGGAATGTAGCGGAGGTTTCCCTCCTGGCGACTGGCTCATGGGCTATTTCCAGCATATAATCCGGCGTACTAGCGCGGTGCGGTGGCTGTTTGGATTATGTCCGCGCGTCCCGCATATGGTTAGGGATGGTCCCGGGATGTTCTGGGATGGTGAGGGATGAGATGTTCGGCTGGCCGCCACAGGGATGCGGGTGATGTCAGGAATTGCGGGGATTTGTACGTCATTCACGCGAGAGGCGTGGCGCAAATCTTGAGATCTTCATCGTGCCCTTTTTTCTCTCACTCGTCTCTCCCTCACTCTCTGTGCCACTCTCACTCATGTCTCTGCTCAGTCACACCACCCCCGGCCCGGTCACGTCCACTGCTGTTTTGTTCTGAGCTCCCGCATTTCCCGTCGTTCGATCGTTTTCAGAGCCCAATCGCATTGAAAGTACCTTACCTAATCCCCCCTAATTACGTCCAGCCTCCGTGGTCTGGCCTGATTCCCATCCGTGATCTGCATAGATCGACAACTCAAGCTCACCTCCTACAAGTACAATTCACGCCTAGAAGCTCGATTCCTCCCGTCCCCGAGTGCTACCCTGTTTCCACATTCCCATCATCCCATCAAACCCATCTACATCGCGACGAAAGCTCACCCTCTCGAGGCAACACATGCTCTCGTCACAGTCGATTAAACAGATTACCAAACCCTTACCACACCCTCATCGAAAGATATCATGATGAAGATGAATACCGTCACGATGGACGAGTACGGGGCGCCGTGCTTCCCTCACGAGACCCTTCTTACCCCTCCCGAGTCCCCCGAGCTCAAGCCTCCCGAGGTCCCAGAAGTCAAAGATGATGCCCCCAGCAACACCACCAGCATACCCATTCGCAAGAGCAGGAGCCCCTTCTCCAAGAGATGGAACGGCGACGGCAAGGGTATCCAGGTCGACATTGGCGCCCGTCTGCGCGAGTACCTCGACTGCCTCAACAACCGCAAATTCGACGTCATCGGCAACCATCTCGCCGACACTCTGGAGCGCAACAATCGCGCCCAAACACGCGAAGAGCACGTCGAGCGCCTTCGCTCGCGCGTCGAAGGCCTTGCAAACTTCAAGATCAAAATCGACACCCTCCTCGTTGATAAAAAGGCCCAGGCCGTGGCTGTGCGATACATCAATCGCGTCACGCTTGCCGAAGCGATGATGGACGTCGACCCCGTCGGCACAACGTACGAATTTGACGAGCAGTGCTTCGTGTGGTTCGATGACAGGGGCAAGATCTCTCGTATGCTCACGCTGCAGGATAACGATGGCATCCGTCTGCAGACACCCGAGGCTGCAACCACGCCACGCTTCTTCATGCGCAGTCTCCCTGCAGAGCCCATCGATCTGGCGGCAACGTACCGCAAGTATGTCGCGAGCATCAATCGTCGTAGTATGGTCAAGGAGTTCCCGCGCTACTGCAAGAAGGAGCTGCGACACAACAACCGCGTTCTCTCAGTGCAGGATTACGCGCGCAGCATGCAGTACAGCCAGGAGGCGATTTCGGGATTGTGGTTTAATATCCAGGAGTTGCTCGTTGACGAGGAGACGCAGCAGGTTGCTGTGAGATTACAGATTTCGGGGACGCCTGTGCAGGAGTTTGCGGACGCGAAGCCTAACGGGAAGAGCGTTAAGTTCCACCAGCACTGTATGTATCGCTACGACAAGGGCAAGATCGCGCTTGTGTGGGCGACAATGGAGCTTGATTCGTACCGGAGACAGCTTCAGGAGAAGCCTGGTGACAGGAGAACGTCTTCCATGTTGGGCATCAACTGAGTCACGAGACAATTCTTCGCGACGATGTATTGTATTATTAGATCATGATTTGACGGACTTTGGGAATATTTTGGGAATACGAGAGCCGGAGAGATTCGGAGCGCGGCGCTGTGACGCTTGGAGTTTTGGATCTTTCTGGATTTAAGGGCAGCTCTGAGATAATTGTAATACGCGGTTGCTAGTTGGCAACATATCTCCCCGCAAAGAGAAGCAGCGTTAAAACTGTGACGGTGTAATCATACCTTGCCACAACGTCCATGAGACCCGCCACGCCACCAATAAGACTATCATTTATCTGATACAGGAGTGTTTGATTCCATTTGTTTGCACTATGACCTGACAAAGGATCAAGTCAAGCAATTCAAGAAAGGCGTTACTATGCCTAGAAATACTCTGAGCGCCTCGAAAATGAGGCGAACTCCTCGAACCGCCTGCACTAAAATAGTATGTCATATTCCATTATGAATTGCTGCTTCCTCTCCTCACAAATCATCCTCCGCCCCTCTTTTTCTGCAGGCTCTCGTAGGCGGTACTTTTGAGATCAGGTTTGCTATTTCGTGCAAGTCCAAATGCCGGGCAAACTCAACGGCGTCCATCCTCTCAGTCCTACCCTAGAACTCTATGGTGCATGGTATGGTGGTATCCGCACCATATTGCCAAAGGAGTTTAACAACTTGGAGACGGCGTTGTGCCAGTGCATGGTTGAGTAGGGAGCCGTAAATCACTACTGGTGCGTCGACATCCGCCCCAGCTTCCACAAGCATTCCAGTGATGGAGTAATCGTCCCAGCCAACGGTAGTCGCCAACACTCGAGACCAGTATTCGCTTGGCCTTTTTGAGGACTTCCTCTGTTCCAAGAACAGCTGCACTATCTTTGTCTAGCCACAAATAGAAGCAACGGCAGGAGGATCGTCGCCGATTCTTAGTTTATTAACCAAGTCATCAAGATACCGTCGCCGCTCTTCGTGCACTCTATCGTCGTAATCTGCAGACCAAATGAACTGGTCCGGTGCCAATGCGATGATTTGCGCAGCTTGATAGTCAGCACCATATTCTAGCAGGAGCCTTATAACTGGATTGTGTTCAGTTTTCGCCGCTACCATAAGCGCGCTCCCAGTCCCGGTTTGCATGTCAACAGTTGCGTGAATCCGCAGTAGTAGATGGACCGTACTTGTCTTTCTTCGCCCGGAGGCTGACTTCCGTGATCGAACAAGCGCGGGCCAAAATTTGCTCTGGCTTCTGAGACAATGCGCATGACTTCCTCGTGACCTTCAGTGGCTGCTTCAAAAATGGCGTCGTACTGTGTCGTTCCATGTCCGTTGACGTCTGCCCCATAATCCAAGAGCACCTTTGTCATTTCTAAGTTTCCAATCCTTGAAGCGTAGTTCAACGGGGCTGACAACCATGGCGACCAGCTTGCATTGTGGGCCGGCCTGCCGGTCAAGTTAGGATCTGCTCCCTGTTCTAAAGGCGTACGTGCAATGTCCGGGTCAGAAGTCCGGAGCAAAGGTGTAGTGAACTATTGACATGCGTCTTGGCATTTGCTCCACGGTCGAGGAGGAATATTACCATCTGATTATCACCTTATGATGTGGTAACTTCCAGAGGGTTACACTTCTCAGACACGGCATTGATATCTACTACTATGTCCAGAAGCAGCCTGGCGACGTCATGGAGTCCAGATAAGACACAGGCTGATAGAGCTGTATTACTTTCGACTGGTGTTTCTTGACAGACTCCTCGAGACATCAGAACTTTCGCAGTCTCTTGGAGCCCGTACCCGCATACGCACGATAGGGCGAAGCTGCGAAGGACTTTGATGTGGCCATTTGCGGTCATTTTAGCGTTGGTTCCGACAATGAACTTGTTTGCAACGGTTTCAGACTCCCAAACCCGACGATAGTCTTCATCTTGAAGGAAGTCGGCCGCTGCCTGGGGATGTCGTTCGCAGCTTCTGCCAGTTGGGCGAATCTCGTTCAACCTCTCGCAGCTAGACCGGCAACATGAATATCAGGTTTAGCTCTCTGAGACCGAATCTCTGAATACCTCATAAGAACCACTGGAAGATTGTGCGTTATGCTGATGCTCGCATTGAGCAAAGTAAATTCCATTCATTGACAACCAAGTAATTACTCTTTCACAGAGAAGTGGGCCAACTGAACCACGACGATAACAATATCTCCCGCAGGAAAAGGGCAACTTGTTACAGTTGACACGAGATTAGGCCAAAATAGAGGGATCTCCATTGGGTGTGGCAACCTGTACTCTGGGTTGAATTCTCGCCCCCAAATAGCAAGCGTTTCGACAGTGTCTTTCAAAGAGAGAGGTTCATCGGAATGGAGGAGAAACTGTAGAAGGAGTGTAGATTTCTCCTTTCTGATTTTGGCTAAGGTACAACTTACATGACGTCGGCCTTTTCTCCGACCTTCTCGCTAATCGTTTGAAGGACTTTGGGGGCTGAGGCCCATCTCTTGAATCCCTCCCTGACCCGTAACTGGGCGTCGACGTATGATCGAATGTCGGCATCGACGGATTTCAGATGCAAAGACATGCAATTTTCTGGCCCAACCACCCGAGAGATTCGCTGTTGGAACTCCACTTCAGGCTGGCCAGTGACGAGAGGCTTCATGTGGGCAAGACCGGGAAAAGATCCGAAGTCTCTCATCCACACTAGATTTTCCTTCCTCTCGGTGCATTCATCTAGAGCATCAATCAGAATGAAAACCTTTGAGGGATGCTTCTTTATCATAGTCAAGAAATAATCCGACAAGTCGCTGGATTTTGGTTGATCGGAACCACGTTGATGATATTTACGGGTGGATGACGTCGGATTCATGTAATCATTGAGTCGGTGGCCATCTCCAGCATACGCAGCCTCGAGGGCCCCCATAGCTGTTAACGGTGACTCAGGTGGCTGGTTCAGGTGACCTGTCTCCGTAAAAGTTTGGTTCTGGATCGTCTTCCCGTAATCATATCGAATGATACCGCCCTCTCCGTCACTAGGACAGCCAACCAAAACATCGCCTAGTGGAATATCGTGTTTTCGACCGGGTGCACCTCCGCCAAAGCCCACCATCAAGCCAATACGGATATTCGGAAAACTGTGTACCATGTCTCGCGCAGCCACGGCAGCGGAAGTAGTTCCATATGAGACCTTTAGCAAGATAACCCTGACCACATTGTACTTCCCTATTCTTTTTAGAGCGTACGTGTTGATTTCGTTGTGAGAAAGCATTTCGGGAGGCTCAGGTTTCTCGTCCAGGAACGCCTGGGCGGCGATGAACTCGGTGGTGGTGGCGCAAATCCAACCAATGGTGTACTCTCGACTATTTGACATGTCTGTAGCAGCAATTTGATGCAGACCTGCAAGCCGGGGGTTCTGTTGAGTTTTCTCAAGGGAATTTGATAATAAAGAAAATTTGCAAAACCTGCATGACTGACGTGGCATCTCGCTGACCTAGATAGAGCTGTAGCTGGATTGTACTTTTGTGTGACTAGATGAAGGAACCATTGAACCAAGCACCTAATACGCAAATATCTAAATATAGACCCTCTGCACGGTATCTGCACTTTGCAAAACAAATTACACAACGAGTAGAGCTCAATATATTCTGAAGATGTCAAAGGAGTTCATAGGTGTCCTGCTGTTTATGAAACTTCAATTGGAGCTCATGGTCCAGAAAAAGCAGCCGCTTTCATACGAAGCACGGAATTGTTCGACATGAATTGATGAAGTAACCCGACTTCCCTGAGTAACAACAACATCCGGTGATATGCTGTCCGCCTGCTCTCAGGTTCAACCTAGGTGAGATTCCGTATGGTGTTCAGCAGCCGATAAGTAGGTTATTGTTTAAATCACTTCGAGATTTTAACGCCATTGGTGGCACCTAGGCGTGTGTCATTAGCTCAGTCACGGAGGGAAGACATGATACCATACCAAGAGCGCTTTTGATACTGCCATAGATGGCAAATTGACCAGCGGTGAGCCCACCAATCATGAATAGGCGCGCCGGCAGCCCGGCAAAGGAACCGCGGAATCCGAGCTCGCCCGCGATTTTGTAAAGACGGAACGCGGTACTTTCGCAAGGCACCGCTTTTGTCTTGTTGATTCTGGAGAGCATCGTGTCGGCGGGCTGCGAGATGACGGCAGCGGCGCAGCCTGATATGAGTCCGGACCCCATATTGATCATAAGCTGGGTGGTTCCGGACCTGGAGTTATCGAGGCGAGAAAAGAAAAACTCGGAAATCTTTTCGAAAGAGACAAACTTTGTTACGGTATATGGAACCCTTTGATCGCGTCAGCACAAGCTGCAGTCTCGCAAGTAGTGTTCCTGCCCAACTAAGCTCAAGACTCAAGCAGTGGAGCTGGACCTACTGTTTGAACAAAATAGGCCCGAATCCGGAGTATAGTGCCCCAATACCCTCATGCTTGAGAATCTTACTAAACCCACCTATCAACCCGTTGGCAAAGCCAGGCGCGGATACGAGGCGGATACGTGTAGCTTCCGCGGGACAAAGGGTGACAGCGGAGCAACACTCAGCACAGGCTGCCGAGACGGAGTATACCGCCGTACGATTCCGTCTCGCTTTCTCGAGTCCAATGATCTCAATTGACTGTTTCTTGAAAAGTTCATAAAGACCAAACTTGACACCTCCTTGGATGAAGTAGCCGGTGAACGTGGGACCCAATCCTGTTAGCAGAGCGCCGGCCCCTTCTTTATGGATTAGTTGACGGAACCCTGCGATCATGCCACGATTGTAGGTAACTGGGTCGAGCTGGATCTTTGTCTTGACGCTGTGGTCTCATAGGTCAGTATGTGCGGTGGATTGGAAAATGTGGTGATGACACGACGTACACGTCGACAGGCGTGAAGACAGCATGAGTTATAGCGCATCCAAGCGCACCTGCAAGAGCGAATCGAGCATAGAGATCCAAGCCCTCCGGCCTCTGGATGTTGGCTTGGGCCGGAAGAATAGGAGACATAGCAGCAGCCATTGCGAATGTGACGGAGTCGCACAGTTGCACCGAAAAATCAGAGAAACATGCGAGTGACAAGGTGGAACGATGAGGGAGAACATCATGAAGAAAACAGTCTCACGCAAAGCAAGCGATGACTCGGCGGGTGATTCCGGGTTGTTTCGGCGAGCATTGAACGCCGCATATTGCTGTCGCCGATTCCCCGCTAGACCCCGAGGGGGCTTATTCACCAGCAGATGGCAGATGGTACATGATCTGGCCGATCTGTGCACGCCCAATAGTCGAATGATACCAACCACAAGCCGATTGAATCATCCTGCTCCGTTCTTTGTTCTACTGCCTGCTTGTACCATAACCGTGACAGCAGCGCGGCGTCAATCCCGGGTAAGCCGTTTCTGCCCGGCCGGTGAAGCTGATCGGTCCCCGGAGGTGTGGGTCCCCGAAGACCCGCTACACACAGCGAATCAAACTCTTTTCAACGCGGAAGGTGGTCCACGGCTCCGTGCGCTACCTGGTATTGCCCGGCTTGGTGCTCTCGGAGCTCTCGGACGATAGAACTTCCACAACCGGAGGGGCATTGAACGCAGAGTGCAACTCAACTTGCTTGTGATGTAATCCTCTGGAATAAGAATTTGCTGCTCGCGTACGAGATACTTCCTTAATGTCAATGCCTGCTGACTTTGGCGAACGCGTTCACTCTCCAAACTTGAAGCAGCGGCGTGCTATGCCTCACTCGTGCTACCGATATATGAAATTATTCGCCTCCCTGGCCGTTGGGGAGTAGTGAAAGCTATGTGGGCATCCTAAGTTCAATATATCGGGACGCTTCCCGTTCTCAGAGACAGAATGATTATCCGTATTTCGTCGCGACTTTCCCACCCTGTTGGCTCGGGTTCCCGCGGGCCTACGGATAGCTAAGCCTCAGGATCCACCAGCGAAAGCAATCTGCGGGCCTGGGGCAATAGCACGATGACAAGCACCCTTGTCAGCCTATCCTGATTGGTGCGGGGATGGCCTGATGTTCATTTCCCCTGAGTCTTGCATGCCCTGTACCTTTGTTTTCCAAATTGTCGACAGAGAATGTCATTGAGGAGTGGAAGTCTATCACAAAGGTCGCCGTGATTACCTGCAGTCTGCTACTGATACTTGGCATTAAGCCTGACGGGGAGCCTTTAGAGTTCAGCCCTATTGTTCCACAAACGGCTTCAAGACGAAGACGCGCTAGGGCAAACAAACTTGAAAGTTGGAAAATACCAGAGATCTTAACGGCCGCCAGTTCCAAGATCCCGCCCGCCCAGATATGGACATCCCTGCATTCCCGCCGCCTTGTCTCACCGCCCCCTGTGAGGCGCAAAGGAAGGGTCCAACCTGCTCAGCTGGCAGCTTTGGTCTCGCCCTGTTGGGGGGAGAGGGTGCTGCAGGAAAACACTGTTACTTTCTTAAGCGACTCGCGCTTACGGACACTTTCTCTCAACAGTTTTGTCACACAAATTTCCGTTCGAGAAACACACTGTTTGACTCCTTTTCGCCTCGGTATCTGATCGTGGAAGCTGAGCTGAGCTGAGCTGCCGACTGCGTCTTACGAGTGACAAGGACCATGAGCGAACCCATCACCGAGATCGCGCATACGAAGCGCGCTTCACCGGTCGCATCTAGAGCGCCCAGGCCTGCTCACTCACAAAAGCTCAAGGCCATTGACAAAAGCAGAAGGAAAGAGCTTGTCCAATGGCTCTTTGACAACCAGACAAGTACGTCGCGGAGGGGGTGGAGGGATGATGACCACCTCTAGTGATGCCATGCATCACACCCATTCATCCTAAGAGCAATTGCTGACCAGAGGTGTTCAATTTGAACAGGCCTCGCTTTCCAAACCACTGCCCCTCTACTCCTCACACACGTCTGCGTCCCCGCGGCGCGTCCGTATACATCCAAGTTCATCAAGCTCTCATATTACAACTCGAACACTGGACAGTATGGCGCCGGCCACGACGACCTCTGCTTCGTCGCATTCTGCGTCGTTCTCCTTATCGGCATCCGCGCTGCGCTGATGCGCCACGTTCTTGAGCCCCTTGGCCGGCACTGGGGCATATCAAAGAAGAAAGATGTCGCCAGGTTCTCGGAACAGGGCTCGATGCTGGCGTATTACAGTGTTCTCTGGCCAGTGGGAATGGTACAGTGGATTCGCATTCTCACCTCGTAGGCACGTTGTCGAACTAACCAGCGAGTCCCTAGTACCTCTACTGCAAGGCGCCATACTACCTCAACATGAAAGAGCTCTGGAACAACTGGCCCCAGCGGGAACTCGACGGTTTGATGAAGGGATATGTCATGGTGCAATGGGCGTACTGGGTCCAGCAGGTCATCTCGGTGAACATTGAGGCGCGGCGGAAGGATTACTGGGAGATGATCGTGCACCACGCCATCACCATATCCCTCATCGCGGCATGCTACGCGTATCACCAGACCCGCGTCGGCCATCTTATTCTGGTCTTAATGGACGTCATTGAGTTGATCTTCCCAGTGGGTCTTCCTTATATCAACAATCAGCGCCAAGCTTCCTGCTAACAGTCACGACAGCTGGCCAAGTGCCTGAAGTATATCGGCTTTACGACCCTCTGCGACGTAATCTTTGGCGTTTTCCTCCTGGTCTGGATCTGGACGCGCCATGTGTTCTACCTGATGACCTGCTGGAGCGTCTACTATGACCTCCCCCGATCACTCAAACAGCCATGCTTCCGAGGCGCCCCAGGCGACATCGAAGGCCCATTTGATGCGCCGACCGAGGGCTGGTCCCACCTCCTCGAGCCCTTCAAGGACCCCGCGGGGACGGTGTGCTTCACCGATGGCATTCGATACGGCTTCTTGACCTTTCTCCTCGCGCTCGAGGTCGTCATCTGCGCGTGGTCATTCTTCATTATTCGGGTCTCGGTGAGAGTGCTCAAGGGGGCTCCCGCCGAAGATGTCAGAAGCGATGTCGATGAGGAGGAGGAGGAAGAGGAGAAGATTGAGTTTGAGGAGATTGAGGTCATTGAGGAGAACGTTGGCGTGGAGTCTATCGACTTGAAGGCGTGGGAAAGGTCACCTAGCCGGAAGGAGTCTTCGAGCTCGAGGGTGAGCGGCGTCAGGACGCACAGCGGCCGGAAAGAACTGCTCAACAGAATTGGCTGCGAGAAGCAGATTGATTGAGGATTGTGGCGATGATGCGCTTCACTCGGCTGGCCAAGACTCAGACATACAATAAACTTGAATTCTTCACTTCATGACATATCACTTGCTAGACCCTACTCCAATACCGATGGCTTCCATGCGACCAGAGCAAGGAAGTCGAGGAACTATGTTAAGAGTCGCGGGCTTCCGTTCCAAATCTCAATTTCAAATATTTCTCCACCACAAAAGGCGGCGATGTGAGATACTACAGGCCAGAGCGACCGTGATTGAGTTGTTCTATAATAATGGCTTCACCATCAGGAACATTTGCTGAAGGCGGTGTGCTGCTCCGGCCCCCTCACAGATTACGATCGGGCGAGACCCGCTCCGTTCGGAGCAATATGACGACATAAACCCTCCGAATCGGAGGGTTCAAAATTCATACCGCGTCCCGATGCTCCAGCTCGACCGCCTCCCCCTTTTCCACTCCTCAAGGCTCAGCCTCCTACCGCAGTACCATTCTTCGCCAAGGTCTGGCGGGGATGGCGAAGGGCAGCCACCGTTGGAAACGTGGGTCCTAGTATTACGGCTGGAGGCTGCTGAGACATGGGCAAACGCCTGCCCACTGGGTCTGGCCGAGAAGCCTGCCAACAATCTGGGAGTTCACAACTCAGGCGCAGTTTTCTGAGTGCTCGCGGAGCTCAAATAACAGCATGTCGAAGTCGCACTGTACTAATTACACCCGAAAATTGTTTCCTTGAGGCCCCCGTCTCCGTCTTTGAACGGGGCCAACAAGACAGTCTTCCTCTTCTAGACTTCTGCTTACACCTGCATTTGATTAAGTGTGTGTCACACCACGCTGGTCAACAGCAGCCCCTGCATCGACCTATCCCAACACGGACAGCTTTCAAATTGCGACGGGACATCCTGTGCGTCCGCTCTAGCTATTCCATCCCCTCAAGATTTTGAGTCTTGCATTTGTTTCCTGCTTCGTCCTTTATGGATGTCAGCCGTAGTGATCTGAAGAGAGATCTGCCTCCAGCTGTCACAGTCCATTATCTTCCTCGATAACCTGTCCGAAAGCCATACTTTGGAGCGAAGCGGCCACCGGCATGAAAAATCGATTCCGACGACAATAATACGAACTCACATCCACCCGTCGAGTTCGAAACGCAGCGATCTGTTTCGACATGGGCGCAAACTACATGGAGCTCCAGCCAGGCGCTCAAGTCCCGCCTCAAATGTTGACTAACCGCCACACAAAGAGCTACTCTAAGCGCAAGAAGACAAAGGTCTTCGCTCTCATGCGCCGTCGGACCTGGACACTGCCCTTGTTCCTCACGATCGCGATCCTTTCCGTCTACGCCGTCAACCCGACCGACTCCAACCCAACGCACCACTTCATTTTCCCCTCCTACAAGCTCGACAATGGCAATGCCGAGACGAGGCAATATGGAAAAGGACCATGGGACATCGCCTTCGTTGCATTCTACACAATATTCCTCACTTTCACCCGCGAAGTCTGTATGCACGAACTCCTGACACCTCTCGCTCGCGCATGGGGCATCAAGTCGCGTGCCAAGCGAGCACGCTTTGCGGAGAACATGTACACGGCGCTCTACGTGACCATTATCGGACCCTGGGGCCTGCACGTCATGAGCCGTACGCCAGTGTGGTATTTCGACACCCACGGGATGTACGAGGCCTTTCCACACCGCACGCACGACGCTAGCTTCAAGTGCTACTACCTCCTACAGGCAGCGTTCTGGGCGCAACAGGTAGTGGTGATGGCGCTGGGCTTGGAGCAGAGACGCAAGGATTTCCATGAGCTTGTCGCGCACCATGTTGTCACGGTTGCGCTCGTTGCGCTGAGTTACCGTTTCCACTTTGCGTACATGGGAATTGCGGTGTATATCACCCACGACATTAGCGATTTCTTCCTCGCGGTTTCGAAGTCGCTGAACTATCTCGACAACAAGCTTCAGGGCGTGTCGTTTGGTGTGTGTATTGCAGTGTGGATTTACCTCCGGCACTACATCAACTTGAGGATTCTCTACTCTGCGTTGCCTGGATCCGAATTTAGTACCGTTGGACCGTATGAGCTGAACTGGGATACCGAGCAGTACAAATGTGCGTTGTCCAACTTCATCACCTTTGGGCTTTTGGCTTTGCTGCAGGCACTAAACTTGTTCTGGCTATATTGCTTGTTGCGCAGCGCTTACAAGTTTGTCTTCTTGGGCGTTGCGAAGGATGATAGATCAGAGGATGAAGAGGTTTCAGTCGCCCAGCCGGTGGCGCAAGAAAAAGGATTCACAGCGTCGAATATGTCCTCCCACAGCGTTGAGGGATATAGGACACCATCCTCGCATGGGTCTGTAAGGGAGAGAAGAACTAGGAAGACCTCGACATAGTTAACAGAATAGACGATCAGCGCTGTTGACAGATTAAGATGACGTGGCATTCATCTCAAAGTGACCCGAGAAGGTACATGTGGTCGATAGCTAAAGCAGGGGAGGCCATGTACTGGGTGAAACCAAAATCAAACCTCCTGGCCTAAGAGAGAAATGTTTTGTGGACTGTGGAGAGTTGCAAAGACAGCATAGGTACGCAGAGTGAGAGAGAAGGCTTGGCTATTTGAAACATTTAAGATCTCTATTCTAAAGCGCAAGACTCAATACCGATGAAAGATGAAAATACTGAAAGTGTGTAGGGTGAAGGGGGACTTCAGCGGTGCGGTACTTAAAGGGGAAAACACCACAACCTACTAAAACAACATAAGATACTCCCTCGATCAGACCAAAAAAGACCTAATTAAAGGAGGGTCGTCCTAATTAATCGTAATTATAGGTCAATCGAGAAATAAACTTCCCCGATCGTCTTATATTATTACATTTTAAAGTAAATATATGAGAGAGGCTCTAGTTCGACCTAAAAAGGTACGTCCGTATATTAGAGTAAAAAGTACGCTATTATCTAAATCTGATTGGTCCTTTCTACCTTGAATCCTTCCCTAATCAGAGCTGTCTGACTATCTCCTTCGGCCCGATCAGTCGTCCGTGATAACATATAGCACTGATTACCCTGCCCCACTCCAATACAAAACACAACTTGAACTCCGAGTTAACCTTACTTCATAGATGCAATCATCGCCGCAGCAACTTGGGCAGATTCATCGGCTCGCCAGACCCTAGCGAACTCCGGAACACGGCCGCCATGGCAGGCGACAGCCCAATTTCTTCCGCGCGATCAATCCAGTCGTCCAAAACCAACGCCTCAACAGTTCCCCCGGTTTCAGTCTCCAAGTACTCTTTTATTTGCCTCACATCCAGCTCCAAGTCACCGGACTCGTGAACGTACACAACCCCATCCCCCTGAGACCTAGACATGACGGCCCCCACCACCTCACGTGTGACCGTCTCGGGCTTCACCAAGTCGACGAAGCCTCTAAGACCGGGCGCCGCTGGCACTGCGCGTACCCGCCGTGAGTAGTCGAGCATGTTTTGCAGGACATCTGCAGCCGGGTTCTCGCCGGTCCTGTCAGATTCGGGGCGGATGATGCTCGATGGGCGGTGAATGTGCACCGGTAGGCCGGATTCCGCGTGAACATTCTCAAGGTATACCTCACTGGCCCACTTGGATGCGATGTAGCCGTGTTGGCCATCTACTGGAGGCGTGTGCTCGCGTACCGACACCTCACTGAGCTCCTCGAAGGGGGTGTACATGGCGACACCTGTGGTGGACAAGTAGTGTAGCGGTATTTGCCGGGGACTGCACAGTCGGACGAGCTCTTGCGTCGCTCCGAGGTTGGATGCGCGAAGGGAAGTGTAGCTCTTGAGATGCGACACGTCGGCGCCGTTGTGGATCACCGCATCGGCGGATTGGAATACACGGAGGGCTGCTGCTTCAGTGAGACCGAGACGAGCCGAGCTCAGATCACCTTCGTAGAACTCTGCCTTGGGTCCCAGGTCAGAAAGTAAATCTTGGCGGGTCTGGTCCTTGGCGTTCCTGACGGCTATGCAGATGACCTTCTCGATGTTTTCATTCTCCACGAGGGATCTGGCAAGGTACTGGCCGAGGAAGCCCGTGGCTCCCGTCAAGACGACAGTGCGAGGGGGCTTCGCAACTGAATTCGCTCTATCATCCACGGGGGTAACATCCTCTGGAAGCAGAGCCGTTTCGCTTGACCAGTCGATCTGAGCGTCCAGCTCCGGCTGGAGGTCGTCCATGCCGGGAAGAAGTCGAGCCATCGACCTAAGGGTGGTAGCTTGGAAAAGCTTAGGCAAGGCGATAAAGATGCCGAGATCTGCGCGAATCCGACCCTGAAGCTCAATCAGGAGAAGCGAGTTACCTCCGATTACAAAGAAGTCCGAATCGGCTTCGATTTCGTGGAGTCCAGTCAACTCCTCGGGAATCACGGCTTCCCAGTACCTCTTGAGTGTCTTCTCAGCCGTGGATAGCCTTGTATTCCCTCTGATGCCATCCGTCTCATGCTCAGCGCGGTGGAAAAGGCCTTGCGATATCGGAAGAGAAGCGATACCGCGTCTGTCGACCTTGCCAGCCACAGTTCGGGGAAGAGAATCGATCGGGATGAGGGCAGATGGACACATGTTTCGCGCCAATGGTAATTCTGCGAGAAGTGTTCTGAGGAACTTGCTCTTATTCTCGCCCAGGCTCTCGGCCGAGAAGACAACGTAGACAACCATGAACTTGACAGATCCGTCAGATGTACTGCGAAGAGAGGCCACAGCATCGGCGAGAAGGCCGCGAGAAGCTTGCAGGATGGTCTTCTCCACGTCTTTGAGATCAATGCGCACACCGTTGAGCTTGACCTCTGTGTCGTCTCCAATGCGACCCTTCAGAACGAGTGTCCCGTTGGGCTGCAGGAATCCGACGTCGCCTGTTCGGTACATGGTTGTCCATCCGCGCTTCAAATCTTCCTCGGTTGCAAAGACGTCCGGCAAGAAGGATGCTCGAGCCCGCTCGTCCAAATTCAAGTAGCCCATAGCAACACCGACACCGCCGATGGTTATCTCACCCGCCTGCCCAACCGGCTGGAGGTTCTGGCTGGGGTCCAAGATGTAGAACCGCTCGTTTGCGGATGCCAAACCGACGGGTATGGACCCTTGGTAGAATCCAGGTACACCGTACGATAGCTCCATCTTGGTAGATCCACATGTTGTCTCTGTGGGACCGTACACATTGAAGAGACGGAGACCTTCGCGGTCCACCTCGCGGAAGAGATGGAGAAGCGGCTCAGTGACGGCTTCACCGGCAACGAGAGCCAAGCGCCAGGCTGAGGATCGCAATGCAGGTTGGTCTTCACGCCTCAGCCAACTCTTGTACTCAGTCGGTGTAGCATAGGTAGCTGTCACACCGCGATTCTTGATAAGCTCGGTCATCGCGTGCGAGTCTGCGCGCATGGTGTGGGATACCGTGTGCAACTGGGCTCCCACCCCGAGAGCCAGAAAGATTTGCGTCACGGATAAGTCGAAGCTCCAGGCGCTCTGCTGGAGAACCACATCGTCTTGTTTCAACTCATATGTGGCGGCGCAGTGATCGAACTCATGCTTTAAGCTGCTATGGCGTAAAATGACTCCCTTCGGGGTTCCCGTTGAGCCGCTGGTGTAAAGGATGATAGCCGGTGCATCCGGTTGGGCGAGGTTGAAAACCGAATTCTCATTCGACTCTTTGAAGTCTGATACGTTGACTAGAGAAGTGCCTTGCTCGATCTCCAGTCTGGTTGCGTCGTCCAAAGTCAATTCGTGAACGAGGATTGACGAGGGTTGGCAGTCGCGTACGATCAGAGACAGTCTTGCGACTGGAGTATTGACATCCAGTGGGACATAGACCGCGCCAATCCTGAGGATCGCTAGAAGAGAAGGAATCCAACAAATTGATGGTTGCTGAAGGACAGCGACTCTAGAGCCGGGTTGCACACCTTGGCGAATGAGTTCCGATGCAATTGTGTTCATCTTGGTAGAGAGCTGTGTATAGGTAATCGAGCCACCAGCGTCATCGGTAACCGCGACTCTCTCCACGACAGTTGGGAAGAAGCTGTCGAATCGATGAACGAGGGTCTCGGGCCAAGAAGAGTTGAAAGCCGGGCCTGTAGGGATGTTAGTAACCTTGAGCAGGACCAAGATGCCCTTTGTTGTTGAACGTACCGCGTCCCAGTGTAAGAGCCTTCTGCAGAACAGCAGGTCTAAAGTGCCACGTGCTACCAACTGCCTGATCCGGTGCGTTGGCGAACTCGCGGAGAATATCTTCATACCCGTGCTGTAAGATCTGCGCATCAGAGTCCGTGTACAAAGACTCCTGCAAATTTAAGAGAATACGGGTGTCGCCGGTGGTGTTGTTGATCACGGTGAAGGTGATGTCATAAGGAAGTTCAGCCATCTCCTGCTTCATCATCGTCATCCGGCACCCGAGGAACGTCTGGCCGTCTTCGAGGTCGTTCTCGGCGTAGTTCATAAATGCTTGTGCCAGGGGTGTATGCGTAGCCTGACGTGAGACGCGGAGCTCATTCAAGATAACCTCGAGTGGGATCGAGTTGGCGAGGACGGCGAAGCTCTTCTCCCGTGCCTCGTCGAGGGCGCTTAGGAAGGGCTGCTCCGCGTTGGCGGCCATGCGCAGGGGCAGCATATTTAGGAATGGGCCGATTCCGGTGCGCATGTGATCGTCTCGTCGGCAGCTGTCTGCGATACCGATGCACACGTCGGTGGTGCCGAGAAAGCGGTGGAGGAGGACTTTGAAGGCGGCGAGGTGGAAATGGAACGGTGTGGCGCGGTGCTTCCTCGCAACTTGGCGGATCTTCGCCGAGAGCTGCTTGTCGATGCGGAAGTCTGGGATGCGGGATGCGTAGCGCTCGAGGGGCTGTCGATCGGAAATTTGGCTGCGGTGGAGGGATAGGGGGTCAGGGATGGTGGTGAACTCGTTGCGCCAAAACTTTATGGCTTCGTCCCATTCCCCAGATGAGTACTGTCTTTGCTGGTCGTCGGAGTAGTCAAGGTACTGGAGAGGGTTCGGGTCGTGGGGATATCCGTTGTAAATCCGCTCTAGGTCACTCATGACAGCGTCGTTGCTGGCTCGATCGAAGAAGATGTGGTGGGAGCTCATCAGAAGGTAGTGATCCCGTGGCGAGTATGAGAGAAGGATTGTCCGGCTGGCCTGGCCTTGACTCAGGTCGAAAACATGGCCTCGGAGCGCAGCGTACTCGTCGAAAAGTTCATTCTTGGTGTAGATCCTCTTGTGCTCAAGGGTGAAGGAAGGTGTCCTCATGACTCCTTGACTGGGCTGGCCGTCGCGTTCGCAGATGCAGCTACGCAACGACTCGTGGCGTTCTCCCAGTGCTCGAACAGCGCGGGAGAGATCGGGAATGCGCACTTCTCCGCTAAGATGAAGCATAACTGTGTTGTTCAGAGTGGTCTTGTCAGGCAAGAGCTCGTGTACGAACAAGAATACTGACTGGGTGTAAGACAAGCGCCCGAACCTTTCCAACTGGACTTCCTGAGGCCTTGCCTCTTTCTCCTCCTTGGTTTCGAGATCGCCATTAACGATGGAAGAATTCTCTGTCTCGGGAGCCGTTGAAGGCGGGGTTCCAGACTTTTGGGATGACTCTTCCGAGGATGGCGAGGTGTCCTCGGACTGCGAGGAGGAGAACAGCTTCGGTGCCAGCTCTTCCGGGATCTCTCCCACGGCGTGGTCGATGAGACCTTGAAGGGCTTCACCCTTGAGAATTCGTAGTGCGGGAATGTTGACTTGGAAGTTGTTGAGGAACCAGGACCGGATTCTGACAGCAACGAGAGAGTCAAGTCCGAGCTCGTCAGTACGGACAGCAGGCGTGATGGCGTAGTCATCGCTAAGATGGAGCATCTTGCGCATCTCGGCTATGAATGATCCTATTGTTGTGTTAGTCGTTGAGTTGGCGGGAAAGGGAGAGAAAAAGCAGTCATAAACTCACCAGTGATGATCTTCTCTACATCATCTCTTGTAGTTGCAGTGGCCAATCGGTCCTTGATAGACGGACCAGCCTGGGTATTAGTCGCGCTCGTGTCTTCAACTGCGGCCCTCTCTGTGAGACACGCGAATTGAGGATAACTATACCACTGCGGCCGGTTCGGTGCATTTGCAGGCATGCGTCTCAGCCCGATCGAAATCTGCCACTCGGCACCCGACTCAGGGTGGCCATACTGAATGGCCTCTGCTAGTGTCTGATGAACGTCGTACTCAGAGATGGTCAAGAGACCTCGTTCAAACGAGGGCCGGGTCAGGACGTTGCCCTTTTCGCGGGTGATGTAGCCCGTGCCCATGATCAAGCCCAACTCCACGACTGACGCGGGCAAACCACGCTTGCGTCTTTGCTGTGCCATGCCGCTCATGAAGAGGTTGGCTGTCGTGTAACCTGCCTGGCCGGGATTACCTGCAACAGTGGCGACGGAAGAGAAGAAGATGAAGAAGTCCAGTGGCTCATCTCCCAAGACGCGGTCTAGATTCAGACTACCCTCGACCTTGGGGCGGAGAACCCGGCTGAAGTCTTCGAGCCCCATATCGCGGAGTGCCATGTCGAGCAGAACCATGGCGCCTTGGTAAACACCGGCGATTGGGGGCAGTGTGCTGGAAATCTCGTGGTGTGCCTGCGCAAGGGCATCGTAGTCGGTGAGATCGCTACACAATTCATGTTAGTTCAAAGTTTCCGACACAATCTGGTGATTGGCTTACCATGCTACAACGCGAACCACTGCACCTCTGGCTTCCGTGGTCTTAAGCCACCTCTCATCGACCTTGGGATTGCGGCTGGTGATGACTAGGTGCTTGGCGCCATTTCGGATCATCCAGTCTGCGATAGAGATTCCGAGATCTCCAGAGAGTCCGACCAGCCAATAAGTCCGGTCTGCCTTGAACTGAGCCGATGCGGGCTGGACAGTGATGGAAACCAAAGAGACGTCCCAGCCGACAATAGTAAGGGCTCTAGGAGCTTCCTTAACCATCTGGAGATCTTGTACACCAATCAAGCTGACTGCTGCGTCATCTTGCGTGCATTTCACAAGAGCTGAAAGTACTTCAGTCGTTGCATTTGCCAGAAGCTCATTGATATTGTCGGCAGAAGCTCGGCCCATCTTTGCAGTCGTAGCGAATAAGGAAGACGCATTGACAATAGGAACACTGGCTTGCAAGCAAGAAGCCACTGATGATAGACCATCATTTGTCGCGAAATCGATGTATCGAGAGATATTGGTGGGGAGAAGGGTCTTGATCTCAGATTGGCGCATGTAACGTCCGATATAGACAGCATCAGTATGCTTCGCAATCTCTTTTGACGATGAAGTGCAGACCAGGTTGATGTCAGCACCCTTGGTACGGCTACCAAGTAGCTTTACCACCGCTTCGGGAGCATTGTGGGCCAAGAGAGTGTCGCCTTTGCCGAGAGCGGCCATAAGTCCTGGCATCAGGAGGTGCGCAGCAACATCTGACAAAAACACCGCCGCAGACTCAGGGGCAACAGAACAAGTGACGAGACTGTCTTTCGAAATACTGACGACAGATGCAACAGATTCAGAGAGGCCAACGTACTGAGTGCCAGTCTTTGCGCAGCTTCCTAGTACCAAGAATGCATCGCCAACATCAGTCTTGATGGCCTGCAAGCTGGAATGCGTCAACTTCAAGGTGACGGCGCCGCTATTGGAACGTTCACCAGCTGAAGGAGACCGCTGGACAAGGGTGTACCGATCATCCACATTCTCAATCGCGATTTGCGAGTCTAGAGTCTGGGCATCCTTGACGATGGTTCTGCGCGCCGAGTTGTAGCGTTCATTGGCGGTGCTAACGGGTCTCATTCTTGGAACCAACTGGCATCCGTCTGAGTCGATGATGATCTCCGACTCCACAGACCAAAGGGACTTGCCCTGACTCTGGTCTTGGACGGAGCCAGACATCTGGAAGCGCAGGACGGACTCAACCAACGCCCTCGCGTCAATGCGATGCGCATCCTGGAAGTCGATGAACTGGTATCGGATCTCCGGGATCTCCCATAGGGCTGATCGTGCGAAGCCGACGCCCATGTTGCCGAATGGATTTTCGACCATGCGATCCTGCGTGATCCACGCAATAGACTTCTCGGATCCGAAGAGATGTTTTAGACCAGCCCATCGTGTCGCAGTGATGTCTTTGAAGACGGGGTGGTCGAGATCCTCTAGAACAAGGACAGTGGCGTTCGAGTCGATCTCAACATCACCGAGTCTCTCCAGAGATTCAACCGCTGTGATATCGTCGCAGAAAGCATGGATCAGCTTTCGGATATCTTGTACCAAGCGAGAGACTTTCAAAGTGGCCCCTCCAATAATGAAGAGATGCTTGATGATAGACTGTCCAACAAACAGCGAAGGAGATGCCAAGAGGGGCTCTCGAATGAACTCGACCCAGTCATCTACCGCTTGCGACACCATGACGGAGTTGGGAAGAGACATAGCGTCCTTGACGGGTGTCATGGTATCGACTCCGGAGAACCCAGTCTTGCGCAGGATGGCATCCCACTTGGACTCGGAAACGCACGCACCCAGGGTTCTGCCTTCCTCAACGCCTTGCCACCATCCCGGAAGACATCCAAAAAGGGCAGTGCCGCGGATGATATCGATATTCGTAACCTCGTAGAGAATGAGGTAGCCACCTGGCTTCAGAAGCGATCGCACGCGACGCACAGTCTGCTCAATGCTCTTCGTGGCGTGTAGGACGAAGGAGGCTACGACGATGTCATACGAATGCTCTTCGAAGCCCTGAGTCTTCATATCCCGCTCAAGGTCCAGAACGCTGTAAACCATGCGATCCTCAAATGCCTCAAACTCCGCTTCGGCCTTGTCGAAGAATGCCGCCGAGACATCGGTGAACGTGTAGGTTGAGAAATTGTCATCGACCCGCTTGAAAATCTCTCGGGTCGCCTGTCCGGTGCCGGCGCCGACTTCCAGAATCTTGCTCTCGGGATGCCGTTGTAGAATTTGCACGACAGTCTCAGCCAAGATCTCGGTACCTCGGGTGATGCTTCGGGCCTGAGCGTAGTAGTCGGCCAACAACCCGTTATTCATCAAGTGCTCGAGCATGGTTGTCTCCCCCAGTATAGCCCGTGGCATCTGCTCTCCGACGATATGCATAGCCTTGATCTCAGGTTGATCGGAGAACGGCTTGGAAAGGGCTAGGATGTCTTCCAGTGTGTCATTGAGCCATTCCTTCTTTGCGTAGCGATGCTTCCCTTGCTGGACGAGCTTGTGGGTACGAGAAGCGAAAGACAGGTAGGCGGCATTGTACGGGTCAGATCGCCCAAGGTGGCCCTCTGGAATCTGGTTTTCCAGCTGGCGGAGATAGAAGTAGCTGCCACGCTCCAAAATGACTGCCATATCCTTGTCTTGAACCGAGGCATCGTAAGTGCCAGGAATATCAGCGTTAGGCTCTGAGTGAACCCATTGCGTGGCATAGAACTGCTGTTGGTCATCGGCTGGGGAAGCGGGGGTGAAGGGTACAACATGGAGTCCTTCCACTTGAACAGCAGTGAACTCTCCCTCTTTGTCGTGAATATCGACATCGCCCTGAAATCCGGAGGTGTCTCTGGACTCCTCTTCATCGGACATGGATGCGACAAATGGGACTTCGACAATGTCTGACCAGTGACGCCCGCACAGAGAAGGGTTGATTCTGATCTTGTCGATGCGAGTCGGTAAATGGAGACTCCAGAGTCTGCCATCTTCAGGGTAGCTAAAAGTCAAGATAATAGAGTGAAAGGCTGCATCCAACACCGCTGGATGGATGATGAGAACCTTGGCATTGGACTCGGGGGTTGTCAAGGCGAGGGAACCAGACGCCTTGCCAAGCTTCCTCTTCAAGCCAGACAGAGCTTTGAAAGGACCCGTGTATCCATAGCCGACATCGTTGAGAGAAGAGTACGCCAACTCGGTGTCGACGTCGACCATGTAAGGCTCAATCCTGGCAGTCGCGGGGAGCATGTCACGAGACGCCTCGCCAAGGGAGACGGAAACGTCGCAACTAGCGACTAGCTGGAAGTCCTTTTGCGATCCGATGCATGCCTCATACGTGAAATGGGCTGTGATAGAAGAGGGGTCATTCCGGTTAATATTGCTGACCATCGACCGAACCTCAATGCCAGACTCTTGCTCGTCGTTTCCGAATATCAAAGCCTGGTGAATGACGAGGTCTTTGATCTCCATGAGCTCAACGGAAGCCTCCTCAGCGAGGAAAGGAATTGTTTCAAACGCTGTGGCCGCATATGCAGCCGCGGGGAAGACAGTCTGGCCTTGGATTCTGTGATGGTGAACCCAAGGAAGATCATGGGGACGTAAAATCGCTTTCCATGTGACCTGGTGTGCTGAGCTCTGGGGCTGCAAGTCTCCGAGAAGCTGATGAACGGGTTGACTTCTTGTGCGTAAGTTCCGTGAAAGGTTGGACTCATGCCAATACCTTTGAGAATGGTTCCACTGGTACGTGGGTAAGTCGGAGAGGAAGCGGTGCTCCTTTGAGCCACTGAGGGCAGATTCGTAGCGATCGAAGTCGATAATGAGGTTGTCCACATGCGTCCACACATACCCGATTGCGAAGGAGACGCTCTGGACTGCGTTGGTGTTGCGCTGGAGTAGTCCTGTGTACGGAATCTCGAGCTTTTGCTCTCGGAGCGTATCAAGAACGGGACCCTTGAGAGCAGGGTGGGGACCAACCTCGATTGCGGCGTCGAAGGGACCAAGTTGCATGGCTTTCTCGACAGCTTGCATAAAGAGCACTGGCGACAGGAGGTTATCCACCCAGTATGAGGCATCAAGACTGTTTGACGCACCCAGAGACCAATCCAAGTTGACACTGGAGACCCAAGTGCAGCTTGAGTCGGATTGCTTCATCTGAATAGCAAAAGGCTTCATGGACTCCAGATACGGCTGTGAACAAGGGACCATGTGATGTGAGTGGTAAGCCTTGTCCACCCGCAGACGTCGGACAAACTTGCTCTCGTCCTCGAAAATGTCAATCATCTCCTCAATCGCGTCTTCATCGCCTGAGATGGTAATGCTAGAGGCAGAGTTACATGCCGCAACCTTGACTCTGCCCAAGAAGTAGTCGTCGTTGCAGATAGACTCGGCATCGTCTAAAGTTGTTCCGACTGCAAGCATAGCACCTTGAATACCCTCTGGGCCTTCAGCCAAACGAGAGTGGAGACCACGATAGTATGCAATGCGAATGGCGTCAATAGCAGAGAGCGCCCCTGCAGCGAAAGCGGCTCCAATCTCGCCTGAAGAGTGTCCAACCACCGCGGCGAAGTTGATGCCACATTGCCGAAGCAGCTCGACAAGAATGACCTGCACAGCGGTACACAGAGGCTGAGCAACTACAGCGCTGCCAATTTGGCTAGTCTTTGCATTGGCAAGTAGTTGTTCTCTCAAAGTCCAGGATGGTCTGTCTGCTTCTGGCAGTTGAGCCAAGGCTTCGTCCATGGCGGCTAGCAAGCCGGCCGCATAGTGGGAGCTCTCGACGAGCTCTGCGCCCATGCGAGCCCACTGTGCGCCTTGGCCTGTGAAGACGCCCAAAAGGCGAGCTTCCTTGGTGCTGGTGCCGGCAGCCTTGGATTCCAGCTGGAAGTTGCTGTTGCCAATAATGCCCTTCAGGTTGGTCTGAAGTACCTCAATGGTTGAAGCTGGTAGTGCCAGTCTCAGCGGAAGGCGAGAGCGACGTGACCGTAGAGTCCAGGAAAGATCTGAAGGATCAGTGTCGGGATGCTGCTCCAAGTACTGGGCGTGGGCAGAGAGACTGGACAAGAGTGACGACTTAGACTGCGCGGAGAAAAGAAAAGGTGCGACACTTTGGGCGTCCTTATCTTCCTCAAAACTAGACGCTTCATAGCTCTCAAGGATGATGTGCGCGTTTGTCCCGCCGAACCCGAAGCTGTTCACGCTAGCTCGCCGGCTTTGACCCGGCGCAACCTGTGGCCAAGGAGTAAGCTCCTGGGGGATCTTCAAGTTGCCGTAGAAAGGCAACACGTTCGGGTTGAGGTTCTCTAGCAGCATATTTGGTGGGATGTAGCCGTGCTTCATGGCTTGCACGACTTTAAGAATACCGGCCAGACCGGCGGTGCTTTCCGTATGGCCGATGATGGTCTTGATCGAACCGACGAGGAGACGATCCGCGGCGGGATCTCGGTTGCCGAAAAACGCGGTGTGCACGGCCTCGGCCTCAACCGGATCACCCGCCGGCGTCCCCGTACCGTGGGCTTCGAAATATTGGCACCGATCAGTATCGGATTCAGGGTTGAGTCCTGCCTTGGCGTACGTAGCGCGGATAAGCGACGCCTGCGCCGCTGCACTGGGCATCGTGATGCCGCGACTGCGACCGTCTTGGTTGACACCAGTCTCGCGAATAATAGCTTCGATATGATCTCCGTCAGCCAGTGCGGCACTCAGCGTCTTGAGCACAACTGCGGCTACGCCGTCGCCGCGTGCGTAGCCGTTAGCGCCCTGGTCCCACATGCGAGAACGGCCATCGGGTGACAGCATTTTCAGCTTGCTCTCGTGGATGTATGGCTCTGGGCCGAGTAGAAGGTTGCTTCCGGCAGCTAGCGCGACGCGGACCTCTCCCGATCGCAGAGCCTGGACGGCTTGGTGCACCGCGACCAGACTGGAGGAGCAGGCGGTGTCGACCGTCAGTGAGGGTCCATGCCAGTCGAAGAAGTATGATATTCTGTTAGAAACAATACTCCGAGCGGTACCTACGGTTGTTAGGAACATTTTCTTCGCGTCATGGCTTTCAGTTCTCACCAATTGCAAGGTACGTTGGGACATGCTGCAGGTCTCGAAATTGCAGGGATTCGTAGTCGACGTACATAACACCGACATATACACCGGTGTTGGAGCCTTTGAGGCCTTCGATGGTCAAGCCAGCGCCTTCTAAACCCTCGTAAACCGTCTCTAGAAGAAGACGCTGTTGTGGGTCCATTGCTATCGCTTCTGGCGCTGTAATATTGAAGAACTGGGCATCGAACTTGGCAACATCTTCTTGAAGAAGGTAAGAGTGCTTGACGTTGGTGTGACCGGGGAATTGAGAGTCCGTGTGATGAAATCCACGAACATCAAATCGACTAGGCGGAATCTCGCAGAGCACGTCGCGAGGTTCTCGCAGCAGATCCCATAACTTGGAAGGCGAGTTGGCGCCTCCTGGAAACCTGCAGCCGCTTCCGACAATCGCAATGGGCTCGTTCCCTTGGGAGGCCATGTTTGGGGCAGCCATGCTGAGGAGCTCGACGTGCTCAGAGAAACAACTTTGACGGGCGATATAATTGATTAGAAGATGCCCTCGGTGACAATCGTAGCTAGTTGTTGATATTGTACAATGTGATAGGCTCAATAGGCGGTTCACGAACCCTGATTATCATTCAAAGAAGAGGAACGAAAACTACGACTCAAGTTGACGCTTTCCAAAGGCACTATTTGATCAATGAGTGGATTTGGATCGCGATAATTCAAGCTTCAGCTCTTAACCTCGGCCACATATCGCTTACCCGACGTCAATCCAGAACTTGAGGCAAATATCGAACAGATAATTGTTGGATTTCGATCCCTGTCACCTGCCACCATAGAGCCCAGGCTCTGGATGCAAACTGGTCCCTGCAGCTTTGTCTTAGTGGACTCCGAATCCGCGGCCAGGGCCGGTCTTACACCCCCACGCCTGGAGCAAGTGGACTCGGCAGGATCAGCTCGGCAGGATCACGTCTTATGCCTCCGAAGGTGTGAGAAAGCCCTCCGAACGGCTTGATTAGGAACTTACGAGTACATTGTGGGGGGGAGCCGATTGGCCAGAGTCATTCTTCAGAAACAATCCTTCGGACAGGGTCCAGACGACTACCTTATGCTTTTGGATGATGAGGAGAGTAGTGCGTAAATCTGTGTGAAAGAATCCGATCGCCGAGTCGGTGACTTTGCCTGCAGATGTGGCGTCAGAGGCCGGATTATCGCTATCTGTCGCCGTGCACGCACGCTGTGGCCTGGTATGCACTAAGTATGCTTGATAACCGCGCGATTGTTCGGTCTAAGGCTTTCTTCCCTTTCTAACCCGTGATGATAATATGAGGTCTTACATGTAGTAGCAGCATTCTGTTAAACTTGGAATTGGGTTGCTGGGCCAAATTTTCAAATTGGGGCATCAATCTGACTGCCGCCAACATGCTGAATCTCGAGTTTTCTGGTACGGGTTGGGCAACTCGAGATAACGCCACGATTGCTGTTGGTTGCGTAAGTGACCCCTCGTATCTGATTGAAGAGATGCGCAAATTGCAGAGTGCCTAACAGTGCCTAGATTATCGCCTATAGCGTGATTCGAACCATCTACTTGGTTTGTTTTCATCCTCTGGCCAAATATCCCGGACCCAAGATTGCTGCAGTTTCCAATGTCTGGTATGGATACCAATGGTAAGTCGATGAGACTAGATGGACAGAATGCATTGAAGGAAAGCGCTAAGACTGACCTTGTGCTCCTTAGGCTATCTGGCCGCTACCCATGGGCGATGCAACGGGCCTTCAAAGAATATGGTTAGCCCAATTCACTTCCTAGTGACGAATTGGCCTTCTGATATGAGTAGGCGATGTTGTTAGAATTGCTCCCAACGAGCTGGTCTTCATTACCCCGAAAGCTTACACAGGTACGTCTTCTGGAAACACATGTTGATGCTGAATTCTCTAATGCAAAGTTCAAGATATCTACACCAGCAGCATCAATGGACGACCTGGCTTCGTCAAGTCGGACATGCTTGACACTGGAGACAAGTATGAAGGCTTGGCTTCGGAGAGAGACATCGACAAGCATCGAGCTGCCCGCAAGCAGCTGGCCCCTGCATTCAGTCCCCGTTCATTGAAGCAGTATGAACCCATCATTCATGCCGACGTAGACGAGTTTGTGGAAGTGCTTGAGAACTCACCTGCCACTGAAGAGGGGGTTGACATTGCTCCATGGTTTGAGAGAGCTACTTGCGATCTTGGTGGCTCGATCACTCTCGGCCACAATTTCAGAAACATTCAATCTGGTACGTTAAGCCGCGTCTATTGTACTTAAGAGCTCTTTCGAGTCATTTGCTATGACATGACGGCTAATATGGACGCCGAATAGGCCAAAACCACCCTATCTTAGAGTCACTGCTGCGCATCGGTCACTGGGCCACATTCCGCAACGTCATGCGCCGCTTCCCCCTGCTCTACCCGCTGTCATATGTCTTCTTGCCGCCAAAGGTTGCGTTCAGCTACTTCAGAGCTCACTCGACGAGCAAGAAGCTCATTCGAACCCGTGTGGAGGAGCGACACGACCGTAAGGACCTGGACTACATGGCACAGTTTCTGAAAAACGAGGAGGCGCTTCCGCCCAATGGATTTCTCGTGTCTCAAGCCGGCCATTTAATTCTTGATCATTACGAATCCTCGAGCGTTTTGACAGCTGGCATATGTTTCTTGACAACGAACGATGAAATCATGGACAAGCTGCAGACGGAATTGAGGGCAACCTTCAAGTCATATGAAGATATCACTGAGGATAAACTTCAGGATCTGCCTTGGCTGAATGCAACTATTGAGGAGGTCATTCGACTTCACACAAACGTCCCCTACGGGCTCCCAAGAATCAGTCCTGGCCATACCGTTGATGGGAACTACGTAGCGAAGGGCGTAAGTTATACAGTCTACTCTCCAGCTACTCATCCGACATCATTGTCTTCTCGTTCTTTTCGTGGGCACATCAAACTAATCTCAGACTCAGGTCGTCGTTTCGTCTTGCGCATATGCCACAACGCACTCAGAGAAGTACTTCAACAAGCCGTACGAATTCAAGCCTCAGCGATGGCTCCCCAAAGACCACGCAGAGCATGACCGTACCTTTGATGACGATGACCGAGCTGCTTTTAGGCCTTTTAGTGCCGGATCTCGTAACTGCCTCGGCCAGGCTATGGCCTATTTGGTGCTTCGCATCATGTTTGCGAAGCTTTGCTGGAAATTCCAGTGGGAACTCTTAAACAAGAGTGAGATGGATTGGGACCGGGATCTGCGGCTTTACATAGTATGGCAAAAGCCAAAGGTGCACGTTCGCATCACTCCATTCGAGAGAGAGGTGTGATCAGAGACGTTGCATGTGCCAAGTCTTGTGCAGACGTCCAATACATGTATGTAACGACTAGTTAAGCTTTAGCTTTGAAACATGCACTCCGTTACTCTATGTTTCTAGATACTTATATTGAATCAGTTGAAAAATGCTTAGAAGTAGGAACCGGCGCGATGAATACGGTGATGCTTCGTGATGAGGGCTGTCGCTCCTATCCAGAAGTTCCCCTGTTTCTATGGAGACTTGTGTATATGAGAGACCTACTCTCTTACTACTTTCACGGATTTACTATGGCTTCAATCACAAGGTCCGTGCAAGGATTATAACAGCAAAGTAACTATGATTCCGAAGTCGTGGTATTCTAATACCACGCCGTTGCCCCTGTCGTCTACGTACTAGAGCCTCTAATTCGGTTACTAGCCTGTCTAATGGTCTGGAAAGTCTCCCTCGTTTGTCTCATAACGCCCCGAACGATTTCAGAAGTCTCCATGCGACCAAGAATCCCAACCTCATCCTCGTTCGCGCCATCTCGTTGGTCCCAGATTCGAAACTCTGCAGGAAGACCCATGAGCCGCTCCACCGTATGCATCTGGTACTCGAAGACTTGAGTCATCATCATGAGCTGTATGCTTGTCGGCTGCGCTAATAGCTGAGCCGAACCCACAGTCGATGAACCCGATCCAGATCCTTCGCGCAGACACCCGCTCATGCGGTTGAACACAATCTCAAAGAGTTCACCAAGCTGGACGTACGTTGACAGCAGCATCAAAGTCAAAGAGAGTGCCGGCGGTGGTCCTGGGGTCACTGTCTCCAGAACAGTTGCGAATCGCATCGTTACGTTTAGAACACGATTCCAAATGTCAAGGTCTCGTCCTGCCGGTGACCCTGTATCTTTCCCACGTTGAAAGGCATCCTTTGCGAGATGTGGATTCCAGGACTCCCATGGTTCATCTTTGAGCTCCGCCAATTGATGAAAAATGCTGCCAAGGAGTCCTACCACATGGACCCCCGTCTCGCCGGCGTTCGATGTGCTAGGCGTGGCGATCCCGCTTCGACCGGAAAGCTTGTCTTCGGTATCCGTCATTGGCTCGTGGAGATCCCTGTGCAAGTGTTCGGCCATTTCGTTTAAGTCTCCAAAGTCGAGATCGGGGACACTCAAGTCGGAGAAGACGTGTGAGTGTGCTCTTGACGAGGGGATGGTGGGCTCGTCGGACGTTGACATCGCAGTCGGGAAGTTCGACGCATCTAACCACATGGCCGAGGCGGTAGTGACGTGATCCAGTGCCCTGTTGCTGGTGAAGAACTGGGAGGGGCCTGGATCTGGCGGTTGGCTCTGTGCTGTCGTCGCAGGATCCGTACCCATTGTGACACGCACACCACGATGCGTCGAGGGACGACCATTTCTGGCACCGTACAGCGATCGACTGTTCTCTACCTGGCCACGGTGGTTCGCGTGTATTGGAGGCCGTCCCAGTGGCCGGCCGATGCTAGTGACACACATCGCACCTAGACGGAGACAGCGCTCGCAGGTGCCACTATCCGGCTGGCTTCGGGGACATTTGAGCTTCTGCTCCCGGCACCGGTCGCAAGCATATCTCTTCGCTGTCTGGTTGTTCATAGTGCCGGGAGGTTGTTCCGATTAATCGTCCGTGCGAAATGATCAGGGGTTTGTCGCTCCGCGCATCAGTCTCTTTCGGTGTATTTGAAGTCGTTCGGGGCTGGAGCCAAGACGTTCGGAGCCTCAAAGAATCTTTTAGTCGTGTTTTTGAACAACTTTCAGACGAAAGAATGTGACATTCCAATGCGCAACCACTGAATCCTACGCTTTCCTAATCCGTTCAAACGTATGTTCTTCGCCTTTCAGCCCACTTTCTTGCTTCTCGGTAGACTACTTGGGCGTCGAGGGCTCTCGCTCATGCAAGTTGAAACTCTGTAAATGTCTCAAACTTGACAGCTTTGGAAAGTGATCAAGACATGCTGTTCAAGGGAAGCAATGCAGACATCTTACAGGTTCCTTATCCACTAGATTCCTGGTTGTAGGAATGCGTTATTCGTGGGGTTCCATCGACAACTGACTAGTGTCCCTAGGTCTCCCGCCACTCGCGTAGCATGTCCAATTACACCAAGACAATAACGGCTTATTATCCGTGAAAACCCCCTCTCTTTTCAATCTCACCGACTAGAGCTCTAGGCAACTGCTTGGAAGATGCAGTGAGGGCTGTCCTTGGCAACGGGTCGCATCCGATGTGGGTTTCCTCGAGACTCGGTTGCTTAGTCTTGGCGCTAATACCATCCAGCCGGCGAAGGAGTTAATTGTGGGAAGTTTCCCCTACCGGAGCAGTCCTTTGCCTGGTTAAGCCCAGCAGCCGGGGGGGCATGGCCAGATCTGTCCAATTTCTTGTACTTTTTCGTAAAGTGAATAAATGATTAGCGTCCCGGACAGGCCCGCTGAGGATTGGTATGCGGGGAGTGGTACGGGCCGCGTGTACCGGTTGTGATGCCGTGCATCCACAGAGCTACACAAAGTTTTTGGTTGACTACCTCACTCGTACATCTTTGATTCATGGTAAGCGCTCAGCCCCAAAAACATAGCTCGTCCCATGCAGTCAGCAATACCCCGGACACAGTCAGCGTTTTCTCGACCTGAAACGGACATACGGGTAAGCAATTGTTCGGCCACTTTACACAAAGGCACCGAGAGGGCGTGTTTGAATCAGACGATCGCCCCACCGGTGGAGGAATTGGAACCCTGGATGAACGTGGGGCTTAACATCCTTCGATCCACACTCGGGATAAGTTTCGTTCTTTCATACAATCTAGAATACAAGGAATTCTCCAAATGGCTACGTGTGCACCCACATATCTAAGCAGTCGTCATAAGTTCCGACAACTGTCGGACCTAAAGACATCCACAAGGGTTTTCCAACGGCACAAAGCCACGAGCCTCCTGAGCCCAGGGAAGAGTCGTTGGCATTGATACTAGCACAATGCTTCGCGAAATTCTGTATGGACTCACTGGCTTGATTCTGCTGGCCTATGCCGCAGATTTCTTTTACAATGCCGGAGATGATCCCAATGAGCCGATTCGGATACGTTCGAGGTTCCCCCTCATCGGACATGTCCTGGGACTGATGAGCCAAGGGCCAACCTACTACAGAAAGACGAGGTGCGTTAACTCACTTTGAGTTGTGAGGCAAATTTCAATTGCATCTAATGACCCAAATCTTCGGCAGCAATTCTACCGAAGCCGAGATCTACACCCTGGGATGTTTTAAGTTCAAGGTGTACATCAGCGCTTCCAGCCGGCTTTTACCCTTCATCCAGAAACAATCAAGAGCTCTATCGTTCCGACCTTTTCTCCAGCTCGTTGCAAGAAAGTACGGCGATGCTTCAGATGCGGCTTATGAGATCTTTGGAGGCAGTCTGCCCGATGATTTGAGTCAGTCGGTGAAGATGAGCTTGGCTCCAGGTCGCCATCTTGACGAACTGAGTTTGAGAATGGGCAAAAGAGTTTTGGTCGACATCGATAACTTGCTTTCATCCAGGGGTGAGTTGCCATTATTGTCTTGGGCTAGACATGTTGTCGTCCAAGCAACAAGTTGTGCCGTCTATGGAGAGAAGCACCCTTTTCTCGACCAAGAAATCGAGAGTTCTTACTGGTAGGTCCCAGTTTCTTTCGGGATTTCAACTGCATTGCCATGCTAACCAGATTGCACAGGAAATGGATGACATATCTTACTGCTCATTTGGTCGGCTGGCTTGATGTTACAAAGAAGGGATATGCGGCACGAGAGAAGGTTTTTCAGTCATACATCAAGTACTGCAAGAAGCTTCCCCCAGAAAGTTCGCACCTGATGAAGGAGCACCAGCGTGTTCTGGGAGAGGCTGGCATATCTAATACGGACAAGGCCAAGCAGGCCGCCATCTTCACCATTGCCTCCTTCAGCAACTCAGCACCAACTCTGTACTGGACCTTGTGGGAACTCTTCTCCCGTCCCGAAATTCTGGAAGAGGTGAGGGGAGAACTCACAAAACATGCAGTTGCCAAGCTGGAAGACGGAGAATTCGTACTTGACGTCGCCGCACTCAAGTCTCGGTGTCCGCTCCTCCTCTCGGTGTTTCAAGAGACGCAGAGAACTCGTCACGTCAATCCCAGTTTCCGCAAAGTCTTGGCCGACACGCTTCTGGATGACAAGTATCTCTTGAAAGAAGGCAATTACCTCCAGGTACCCGGAAACGTCATTCACAGCGAAACTGGCATTTGGGGTCCGACAGCTTTGCAATTCGATCCCTATCGGTTCATCCCCAAGAAAGGAGGCGAGCGAGATTTATCTACCGCCAGCGGCTTTGTCCCGTGGGGTGCTGCGCCGTATCTCTGCCCGGCGAGACAGTTTGCCGCAACCGAGATTCTCATCATAGCTGCCCTGCTTGCCATAAGGGCCGATATATCGCCTACGAGTGGAATTTGGGACAAGAACCCAGCATTGAATCACGCAGACCTTGCCACGCTCTCGCCTCCCACGAAGGATGTTGAGATGAGTGTAAGTGTCAGGGAAGAGTGGGCTGGCAAGTGGACCGTCAAGATGGGTGAAAGTCGAAGCCGTGTTCCTCTCGCCTCCGGATAGTTGGAACGCCGTCCATTGAGGATTCTGATATTTTATTGCCTTATCTATAGAAACAGCAATGTTGGCAGCTATCACTAAATACACATACTTTTGCAATCCTTCAATAAAACCCAATACCCCAATATACCTGGATACTTTAGGAATCAGAAAGAGGACGTTCGCAAAAATAAGATAGAGAAGGTAGTCTTCTATCAAGCGCATTATCAAGAGCCTTTAGATGAAGTCTGCTGGACCAAATTTCTCACCCTCATCATGAGCAAGAGCGATCCGGGAGTTCAAGTAAGTCTCTCCTGAGATTCTGATCTAACGTTTTGAAGGATTTTGCATGTCACCCAATCTTTCTACGGGCTATCTGGAACAATTGTAACATGTCTGATGGGATCTTGCGTGTCCACACACGAGTATCGAATTCTTTTCAGGGATAGATCGCGATCTAAATAGTCTATCCGAACGGACCCAATGTAGCAAAATGTTCTAGTTGCCTTTGCTCTTCTTGACAAACTCACACATACATGGATGCGCCATCTTCAAGTTCAGTTCAATGCGAATCTGCTGTTCGGGCTGTCCCGGAGGAATCCGGATCTCCTGGTATTCTTGGCAAATTCTTGCCAGGACGTACTCCATCTGCTGTTGTCCAAACTTCTGACCGAGGCAGTGGCGAGGACCACTGGAAGGCGTTCAGGTTAGCTTCGTCGTGTTTTCAATTCGTCGTTCCAAGGGACTATGAGGGCTTACTGGTTGTACGGAATGAAGTGCCAGCGATTGATGTTAGCTCCTTCCCAGCGCTCGGGTCGGAACTCGAGCGCATCCTCACCGTAGATGTCTTTCCGGCGTTGTAGACCACCCAGGGAGTAAACTTTGATGGTCTGTTAGCAACAGTTTCGCCCAATGATTCATGTTGTTTCGTCAGTGCCACTTACTGATGGTTGTATCCTTGGGAACTGCGACAGGGTCTCTGCCGCTCTTTCCTCCCCCGATCGGCAATGTAGCGTCTTTCAGAGCCATTCTGACATTCATACCAACTGGTCAAAATTAGCTGCTGAGCATTCAATGCTTCGACTACCTGTCACTTACGAGGGTGATACAATCGGAAAGTCTCATTGATGACATGTCGGATGTACGTCATCTCTTTAAGATCAGATGCTGAAGGTGGCTTGTCGCCGGATCTAACAAAGCATGAGTATACCTCGCTGTCGCTGTCGATGGGTAACAGAATGCTTACACTCGCTCAACCTCGGCTTGCATCTTCTTCATGACGTTGGGATACTTCCCCATGAGGAAGATAGCCCATGCAATGAGGATTGCCGAGGGGTCCTGGGATACTCAGTCAGAACTCGGGGGTTTCACAGTGTCTCACTGGCTTGACATACCTTTCCGCCAAGCATGATGGTCATCATGGAGTCTTTGATATCCTGTAGCTTTAGTTAGAATGATACTTTTCGTCCCTCAATGATGCCTGCTTACCTTAACACTCTTCTTCTGGCTCACAAGATCGTCCAACATGTTGTAATTTTCGGCTGACTTCTTTGACAAGTCTCTCGCATACGCGCGTTCGACAATGCCCGAGGTGTAGCCATTCAATTCCTTGAGAGCCTTGGGGGCCAGGTACTTGTCCTTGACGTAGTAGGCGTTCTTTCCGAACAACATGCGTGCCGTGTTGATAGGGTGGAGAGTCTCCATTGGGTCCCTGAAAGGATGGTGTCCAGTGAGGGACTCAGCCGACTCGCCGAAAAACACCTCAGAGACGACATCGAGTTGGTAACGGTCGGCGACATCGTAGACCTCGATTGGCTTTCCCACGTTGAAGCGCTTGAAGAGTTGCAAGGCATGCTTTTCGGTGATCTCAAGATCATCCGAGCGCATCTTCATGACCTAGGTATGGGATTTACGTTGTCAATAATAGAGTCTTGATATGCCCGCATGATGCCAGAGCACGATTGTAGTACTTACATGGCCCTTGATGCGCTCTTTGCTGTTGTGCCAGTCTTCTCCGTCCACTGTTGTACATCAGTAAGAAGTTTTTGATTAGCTCGTGACGACTCACCAACGAAGATCTGCGTTTCTCCCAGCATGTCTCCCCAGATACGCTTAGTGACTTCGCCTCTTCCGAAGCTGGACCACTTTTTCACGGTATTAGTTGTCGCTCATAGATCAGAAATCTTCAATGATATTTTGATGTGGCTTAAACAAAACGCTAAGCGTACCTCTGTGGACATGATCGCCTTGATGTTGGCAGGCTCATCGGTGAAGATGAGACCTGTGCCAAACATGCGCATCTCAACTGTTCGGCCAGGCACGGCCTCAAGCCAGCTATTGACGAGCTCGAAGAAGGTGAACTTGAAAAATCGGTACAAAGAATACACAGCCAAGTCAATTCCTGCGGCACAACTTGTGAGTATTGTGCAACGTCTCTATAGGTGTGAGTACCAACCAAAAGGGGCCTTGAAGGGAACCAAAGGGGGCGGGGAGCCAAAATCGCGAAGCCTCTTGTCGCGACGCGACTTCGCTCCCCAATCGAAAACATAGATGCTTGCGATCAGCAAAGAAGAATATGCTGCCCAATTCCAGCTCTTGGCCATTTCCTGAGTCAGCTTCGAGGATGCAAGAGTGTTCAGGTTTGACTTGATGGCATCCGGAATGTATGGACTGATGACGCTAACGACGTTGCCAGCAAAGTCGGTCAAGTTGCTGGACAAAGTCGTAGGCAACCCCGCTAAGGGAATCGAAGAGGCCATGATTGCTTAGAGTTCTGGATTCTCCTCTGTCGTAACAATGACGAAGGCTTGGAAAACTGAAAATGCAACAGCACCTCTTCAGATTCTGCCCGTTGCGTGAGATATAATAACTGGACTACTTGAGGCAGTTCAGAAGTTGTGGCTTGGTGGGATGTGGGGGCAACGCGCAGCGAGTTAACAACGTCACAAATGGGATGACTTACAAGCCTGGACCAGACTAAGATCCTGGGGGCCCAGAACAGGATGGTCTGGTAATCCTTCGTGATACATCATGCAGGGCCCTCGCCTGACGTGAACTGTCGTCTTACGAGCCTCCCGCCGAGGGGTTCCAAAAACTTCAGTCCGCTTACCGGATGGATTGAGCCGAGTCTGGTTCGCATGAGGAGTGGAGTTTGACATCTTTCTCAGGCGGACTCGGACCCAGCTTCGGGAACTTGTAAGCGCTGGGGGCCGTGCCTGTCCGCCGGACCCACTTCGGTTCGGAGCCCGGAGTCGGAGGATTATTCGGAGGCTTACCTACTTGTATCCGAACAAGGAATGACATGCAGGCTCGATCCTTCGAACATCTGACGCATCATCTTTGGCGATATCTGGAAGCCTGTCAAGGGACCCTGCATTGAATGCTGAACACAAGGTTCCACGGTGCACTCACCAGACCATCGCAATAAAAGAGGGCAACCTGGGGACGACGGTTTTTGAATGCCATTAGGTGGTGAACTTCAACAGCAAAGTCGCAAAAATGGCCAAAGGAACGACAATCACAGCCCTTACTCAATCACCAAATGGCGGGGGCCCACCGCTGGTCTCGCGAGACCGACCTATGCCGCAAATCAGAGAAGCCCACGATGTCGTCGTCAGGGTTTCGGCTGTCGCGCTGAACCCGACTGATTACAAGATGCCAGACTATCATCCCGTGCCCAATGCCATCATGGGATGTGACTTCATGGGAACCATTGTCGCTGCTGGCCCTGAAGTCGACGGCACGTGCGTAGGGATGCGGGTCTGCGGCCCCATGCACGGCTCAAATCCTGGTAACCCGGATTCTGGAGCGTTTGCTGAGTACCTCATCCAAGATAGGCGTCTTCTTGTGCGGGTGCCAGACTCGTGGAGTGACCTCGAGGGCGCAGCGCTTGGAGGAGTGGGATGGGCGACTGTAGCATTAGCTATGGAGGATTCGCTTCTCTTAACAGGCACTCCGTCAAAACCTGCTCCGTTACGGTCTGACGGGACTCGCGTGCCTGTTCTGGTATATGGTGGTGCTACAGCCACTGGTACCATGGCTTGCCAATTGCTATCGAGGTACGTGCGACTGGAACCATTTCGAGCCCTGGTTAAAGCGAATGGTCTAACATAGCTTTGCAGTGCTGGCTACGACCCCATTGTAACCTGCTCTCCGGCCTCCGCGGCTCTCGTGAAGAAGTATGGAGCAGCTTCTACAACACCCTACTCCTCGCCGACGTGCGGAGAGACAATCCGCGAGGCGACAAAGGGTACCATTCGAGCAGCCATCGACTGCATCACCACGCCAGAATCGGTAAAATGCTGCTTCACCGCTCTGGGTCGCGCTGGCGCGAGGTATGCATCCCTCGAACATGCCCCCGATGAGTGGAGGACAAGAAAGGCAGTCAAGATGGATATGCCCATGACATACGTGGTCATGGGCCATGAGGTGAAGCTTGATGGAGTGTACCACCGCGATGCGGACCAGTCCAAATTTGACCTGGGAGCGAGGTGGGCGCTCGAGGTCCAGATCTTAGTGGACGAGGGACGTCTGAAGTGTCACCCAGCCCGCGAATTGCCCGGCGGTTGGCAAGGAGTGATTCAAGGTCTGGAAATGTTGAAGTCGGGCCAAGTCCGAGGACAGAAGCTTGTGGTGAGGGTGGGAAGTGCCTGAAGACATTTCTATAGTTGTAAGGATGATACATGTATCAAACACATAACAATTGAAGTATATTACTAGTTCACTGTCTCGATTTGATTCTCTAGATTTGTCTTTCCCTAAGAACATGTGACAATGGCTCCCTGAGTACGGATGTCTCTCTGCCTTTGTCACAGGTAGTAAGTAGCCTTTACGATATTTAACGTTTAGTTTACTAACGTGATTGGCGGAGGGCTCTCTAGAGCTTCAATTGTCACCGCAGATACGTTAAGACCATGTACAGCAGCTGTCCTCTTCAACCTAGGTGACACGATTGCGCAACAGCAGCACCTCTCCTGAAAACATGAAATAGATCTTCCAATTCCGATAGGTGACTTTCCGTGACGTAAATCGAGACTCATCCTTCCGAGTGATCTAGCTCCCACTTATAAGTCTCCTGCGGGTGGACCGCCAAGGCCTGTCAGCTTCGGCTCCCTTCAGCCCTATTCGGTGCCTTTGCAGTTCGGTCATGTACATTCGGTACATTTCGCACCAATGATAAGCCCAATTGCATAGGGCTAACTATCAGCTTGCAGCACCTCTGGAGTTGCCTAGGCCTCGTCGTATCATATAACCAACTCCATCATGTTCACATGCCCGTCCCTCAGTGTTCCCATGTTCAACAGCAGTAGTATCATCATCTAGCAGCCAGGCCCATGTGAATTCACAACTGTTACTCGCGTCACTGTCTTCACTTCACACCTCCGGAAAAATTCAATCCTAGACTTTTCGCGAAAATGGCAACAGGAACCGCCGAGGCTACCAAGCCGGCTTCCACAAACGGTTCATCGGAAAAGCCCATTCAGCCCATACCAGCTTCCGGCACAAACTACCCGTGGAGCAACAAAGATGGTGCCTGGTATCGTCAATTGGGCTCTATGGAGTCTTTCTATCAGAGTTTGGCGTCTCCCGAAGGTTATCCTGTCCACTGGATGATCGGCTGCAGTGTGACTATCCAAGCCCAAGATGATAGCATCGACAAGGAAGGCTCTCTCAAAAAAGCCTGGAAGGCTGTAGCGAAGGACTTCCCATGCGTTGGCGCCGTCGTGGATCCAGTTTCGCGGGAGATTGTGGCTCGCGAAAATGCTATTACAGACGAGTGGCTACAGAAGAGCTTTCGAGTTCATGATGGAACAACCGCCGACGAACTCTTCTCTGCGTTCAAGAGCCAGTTCCACATCACACTCCATTACATTCGGGATACCAACCAGCTTCTACTCCAGTCACCTCACACTCTGATCGACGGGCGAGGAATGTTGTATCTGTACCATGCCCTGTTTACTACACTGGCTGCTCTACCGGGCGACAACTCTCAGGCACAACACGAGACGTCCGGAGCACCAAATCTTTCGAAGCCGTACGATGACTGGCTGGGAGTCCCAGCTTCGCCCTCAGGGAAGAATTTTGCCGATGCGCAGTCCATCTTTCAGCGGGTTTTGCAGCAAGAGAAGCCGATCAGGCTCCCTGGTGTCGACTTTACAACCATCCCGCAAAGACCAGTCCACAGAGATCTTGAGGTGGACGAGAAGACAACCTCAACTATCATCAATGCGTGCAAGGAAAAGGGGGTCAGTGTCACTTCAGCATGGCACGCTGCGCTTGCTTTGACAACCCAGGTAAGTTTCATTTTAACACCCAATTGTGAATAGCCGCTCCATGCTAACATCACTATTTGCAGAAACTGCAGTCAGCTAGTGGCGAGGACGGTTCATCCTACGTCTCGTTCACCACCATTGATCTCCGTCGCCATTTCCCATCCTCTTTCATTCCACAGAAACACTCAATCGGGTCACTCCAGACCGCCTTGCCTCTCGCAGCGGACCTCAGCAAGGACAGAACTTTTGATGCTCTCAGCCAATCTCTGCACAAGCAGTATAAAGCGCCTTTCGCTTTCGCCGATAACGATTTTGGGTACCTGACCCCTTACATGGCCATGTCTCGGCAGATCCTCGAAAGTGGCGGTGTGCCACCCAGCAGTACGCCGTCGTTGTCCAGCATGGGAGTTGTTGACGACTATCTTCAACGCCAGTATGGAGCTTGGGGGGTTTCCAACTTTTGGGTGAGCTCCACCATGATGACTGGCGATTTCCAGATGTATCTGTGGACTTTCCGGGGAAAGCTCACCTTTAGTGTGTGCTATAACGAGGCGTTTTATAGCGCGGACAAGGTCGATCGTGTTATGGAGAGCACTAGAGATGAACTAGTTCGTGGCTTGACTCAGCTGTAGGTCGCTGGGGAGCGCCTGGAGCTGGCGCTAGAGCGAAGCCTCATGTGTCCTGGGTCGAGCCCTGCAGCCCCTATTAGGGCCCCAAGTACTACCATAACGCAATTTTGACATGATGTTTGCGCTTTGACATGACTTCGACATGGATTTATCTGTGGAAGCTCAACTTGACTGATGTCTACACTGCCATACATGAATACATCCAACTGTGTACCATATCGTGCGATTTCATTGGAAAGCCAGATTCCGTCAAGGTCGATCTTTTGCTTGTAAAGCCGAGAAAACCCCACCATACATCGCAGTCGAAGGCCCCCTGTAAGTAGCGGTAATGGGGGCTGTTGGCCCGTGGTATTTGAAAATGTCCGATTTCCAGCGTTTTCCTCCTTGGTCAGTAAGTACCTATCAATCGAACATTAAAGCCACGTGGATGCGGTTGTTTTGGGGCTTAAAATTGAGACTCTTCAGTCTTTCTGTGTCATTGTGCTAGCAGGTTGTTCAAGGAACAGTATCTGAAGAGTTTGCAATTTGGTTACTTCCCACTCATGCGGTACCCACCATCATCTCCAGCGCTATCATGTTCTTGAAGCTTCGTCGTTCATCAAAAGTCGGCAATCAAAGAAAATCAGAAATTGCAACGCAACAAACTCTAGGTCAAATCAAGATTCGTCACCATTCAAACGCAATATGCTCTACTTCCGAAGATTTCTCTGTCGAATCCGAAGTTGACAACGGCTCAATATCAATAAAGACAGAAACTTCTTCCCCGGGGATCGATTCTGCAATGCAATCTCGAATAAAGTCTGCGAGATGACGCTTGAGAGCATCGAACTCGTCTTCTCTTCCACAAAGGATCATCTGCTCTGCGTGAGTGTCTCGAGCTTCCATTCGAAGAAGGAGATGCTGGAGCTTAGAGCGCTCGAACTGCAGGGGGAGCTCATCTTCTAGCTCGGCCAGCGTCTTGGTGCGGAAGCTTCCTTTAGGCTTCCAAATGCAGCTTCGGCGGCTTGGGTAGCGGGTGATTATGCGGTACACGAATTTGACCCGCGCTTGACGCAACGATGCCGTCTGGGGTAGGTTGAAACTTTCAACTGGCTCCGGAGCCATGGTCTCTGAGCGTCTCATGTCTGCCAAGGAGGAGACTGCCTTCTTACGGTCGACACCGGGAGTCGCTTGACGCGAGGGGTCGACTGGCGCTGATGCTTCGGGGCTGTTGACATCCTCGTCTGGCCGAGGTGAATGCATCTCAATTTCGGTGTTCTGTTGAACGATGGTTTCATCAGCGAAATCCTCCACACTATCCACACGTGCGCGGACATCTGGTCCCCCTCGGGCACCAGTGAAAGAGCCGCCAGAAGCTTCCAGGTGGGCTTCAGATGAAATGGCGGCGTTGTCAATCTCTGAAGGGTAGTTGTCATCTATAGCAGAGAGTTGTTCGGCTGTTGCGAATCCATCCCGTTGAGGTATCTTACGCTTGCGTGGTGAGACACGGCTTGTTCGGATATCGGTAGGAGTCTTATCTCGCTTCTCCTTTGATTTCTGATCGGAAGACTCGATGTTGTCAACCTTTTGGCGCTTGGCTGGAGGTTCGGAAGGGTTCATCTCGGCGTAGGGCGCGAATTGACGGTCTTCGTTGGGGCCAGCCGAGGACATGGCGGCAAAGGTATGATAATTCAACTCAAGCATGTTAGAGTCACTCTAGTTGGCAACCTTGTACGACGTATCTAGCTTACGGATGTGTTCTCGGCTTGTTGGTCGTAGCCCTCTGGTGCTTGATCGGAGCCTGGGTGGAATGCTCTTGCCAATCGCATTAGTTCTTGAACCTCATCCGAGTTAGGGCCGATTCCATACGGCTCAATAACCTTCGGAGAAGCAGGTGGCTTATCGGTCTTGGTAGAGCTGTGGCATCAAGTGTAAGGCGATGTCTCTTGATACGTGCGGGATGTCGATCACTCACCTTGAGGTGCCCGGCGTTTCAGCCGCATTGGAGTTCGCAAGTGGTTTCTCAAACTCATCTACATCGATCGGATCCTCGTGGCTGAGACCTCTTCCATCGAGTGTGCGTGTGTCGGTTTTGTCCGTTTTCTCCTTGCTCTTTTTGTACTTGAGGTATTGGTGTTGCTGGAGGTTCATTCGCCAAAAGAGCTGCTTCAGGATTCGCTTGATCCTATATTTCTGTCAGCTGGGTGCTTTCTTGATTCTTAAGTATGGCTGTTGTTCCTGACTTGGTCTCATGAACGGAATACTTGAGCTTGTTGACCCAGTTCTGGACAGATTCGTCCGGCCAAAGTCGAGGTCCATTGCCGTCACGGTCGAGATATGCTTGGACCATCTCATCCAGAGCACGCTGATTCTCTGAAGACTTCCAATCGTGCACTGCACTGCTCTCGTGCCCTTGACTGCTCACAAAGGTCTTGCGGAAGGTCCGGACGCTGTCATAGAATAATATTGATTGGCAATGTTCCGAGCGAGAGTCTCCATATCCAAGCTTCTTTCGCAGGGCAGAGATGAATGGAATGGATGAGGGGCTGATGGAAGGCGCCATGGTCACAAGTGATGATTTCACTCCGTGATAGGAAGCAAAAGGCTTGAGTAGAGAAGTCGCTTAAGGCTATCAAACATAAGCTGAGAGTAAGGAATTAGTCATTAGGACTACCGACAGCTATCTCCCTTCTCGACGAAATGGAGGGGAGGGGCTGTCCCATTATATACATAGAAGGGCAACAAGGGTGTGGGGCATGTGACTCAAGTTCTTGAGTATGCCTAACTAACTTGCTTCAAATCAGGCAGAAGGGTGGAAGGGGTTGCAGAGCCGAAAGCCTGAAGGTAGAAGGGTAGAAGAGGATGAACCGGTCGAAAAGAATAGAAAGCCTGGAAAAGATGGAAGAGCTGAAGAGCGACAAGAACATGAAATCATCGAATTGGAATTATTGATAGGGCCAAACTGAACGAACTTAGTGATAATGATTTGAACTTGGCGGGATGGTTGAAAAATGGGATGATCAAAGAAGATAGAATGGTAAAAGGAAAGAGAAACGGCAGACTTGAACAAACGGAATGGGCGGTGTTGGAGTCTGAGCAGTAAGCAGAATAGAGAATGTGCGCAATGATCGAGCAACATAAAATGACAGAAATAATGAAAATGAGTAAAATAGACGCAATATTCACAAGGAGTGAAACGAGAGAAACAAAACGAAAAGAGTGAGATGGGAGCATTACTTAAAACGATTAGAAGTGTTGGAAAATGAAAACGACCGAATCGCAGAATCGTGCGAAAGTACCACCCTGAAAACTTGGAAGTTCGCTCAGTCGAGGAAAATAGTGACATAGACGAAAAGGCCCAGATAAGGAACACGAGTGAAACAGAGAAAACAGAGTGAAATGAGTGCAATAGTTAGAACTGTCGAAAATGGTGGGAAAATGAAAACGACCAAGTCAAGATTTCGTGGAAAAGTGCAATCATGGAAACCAGGGAGAACGCTCGGCGCGTAACTTGCAGAACATCTGCCAACCTTGAACTCAGCTGGCAAGGATTCTTACATCTATCACGTCAATCTACAGAGTCATTGATAGGATGGAATCAGTTCCGGTTGGTCCGGCATTTGGTCGAAGGGTTTTTGTTGGTTTTGTTGGTTGATACGTCTCTTGCGTTGGAACGGTCAGGTCGCAATAGACCAACCCCCTTTCTGCGGCACAGTCAATTCGTGTCTGAGGCCTCCTGCGGGTAGGTTGCAATAATGGATGAATGAGAGTTGTGGGCGACCAGAATCGAGGCCTAGTATTCATTGAACAAGGGAGTACTCGATGGTTAGGTTTGAAGCGAGCGAGGTAGGGGGGTTGGGTGAGAGCATATTGCTCGCTGAGTACTGATTCACATCATCTCAAGTTTTGCACGGGGAAATTCGTGATGATGTACAGTGGATCATCACTGGTAATTCTGGTACTCAAATCTTTTTCACTACACCACACGAAGGGGGCAACTTGTGGACGCCCAACACTACGTCAAACCTTTCTAGCGCCCCGGCCATCAAACAAATGGAAATGGCGCAGATTGCTTTGGCGTTGGTCTAACCAACGGAGATGCTTTGGGGCAAGTCAGTCGAGACGGTCGGGATTTGTGGAGATATTCCGGGTAATTGGTACGGACATGTTCGGCCCCGGTCTTTAAGCAGCCGGTGCACGTGCTTACGACCAAGGGAGCAGTTCTCTCCGCCTCCTCATCACGTTTGCGATAGCACCAGCAAGTTATGTTTTAAGGACTTATTTCTGTCTAAATGCAATGCTAGACTACCGAGATCCCAGACCGAACAGATAGGAAACAAAATGCAAAAGGGAATAGATAACGCCAAGAACTCACAACGCTCGTGTCACATTTGTTTTGGGAATGAGAACATCAAACCTGGTTGAGAAGAGAACTCAACCCACCACGTGAGGAACACCCCTCTTCCACTTGAGTTCCTTACCGTGCTTACTCTTGTGGTGCCTCGACACATTGTCTCGTCTCCCCTCGTGATCGCACCCCTGGTGCGGGCACTGGCGGATCTCGGAGCGCACGTTGTTCTTTTCCGCGACATCCTTGTGGCGCGCCTGCATGTGCCGCTCGAGGTCCCGCACTTGAGCGAACTTGTGCTCGTGACGGCGCTCGGCGCGGCAGATGGTGCAGACGAGAGATTTGCGGTGAACACGCTGGTGCTGCTTCACCTGGGCCTCCTTGGCGAAGGTCTTTGTACAACCATCAATAGTGCAGCTAAAGGGATGGGAGAAGCTGGAAGGGGCGCTTGCGTTGTCTGATCCGGGGGAGGAGATAGTTGTGTCGAGGGGCGAGCCGTCGGTGCTTGCCGGGAACATGGAGTATGGGTCGGTTTCGGGGAAGAAGTCGAGGACAGGCTCGAAGGGGGAGGTATTCGTGCTGCCCATGTAAGAGGAGATCTGGTCAGCGGAAAGGTAGCCTGAGGTAGAGAGGTCGGGCAGAGGGCCGTTGAAGTTGAAGAAGTCGGGGCCTAGACTCTGCGCGACATCGTACTGAACGGTGAGGTCGTTGAAGATGTCCTGAGGAGAATGGGTGTTTTGGTAAGTGGCTTCCATGGTGGATAGGTCGAAGGTGGTCATGTTGTAGTCGCCAGTAGCGAGCATGTCCTGCTGCATGAGCATGGCCCAATCGTCGCCCTCGTCCGGAGCTTCGAAGAGCTCGGAGAAAGGCGAGTTTTGATACGTGTTGTCGTTCATTGCATCGGGTGCAGCACGTACCGGCTGGGCCCCGTAGGGCCAGCCTGTGGTAGTGACCGCCATAACTGCGACTGAGGGGGGGAACCCGGGGTGGTGTGTAGTGTTCTCGCTTGGAAGTCTGCCAACGTTGATCGTTGCAGCAGACAGGTCGTAAAACTCCGTGTTAGGAGTTGTAGGTTGCTGGTAATAAGGGTCGTTTTGATAAAGGGTGATTGACTCGGCGATTTGCTGAGCTATTTGGTTTACGAATGGTTGCGTTTGTGTGAATTCTTGTGGACGGGCGCTATCAAGTTCAGATGGCCGATCGAGAAGTTTTACGACGTACTCAGGTCCTTGGCCAACCTAGGGGTAAGCGTTAGAGGCAAGCGGCGACAGAGATCGTGGAGGCGCCGTCAGCGAGCTTACCGGTGCGAATAACCAACGTCATCTTCACCATATTAGACAGCAACAAACAACGACTGCATCGAGCCGTCGGGCTTCCAAATGGAGACCTGTCGGCATGTTTCCGGGATGTCCAGGGGTGCCATCAGTGCATCGTCTGGGGACTCCGGGACTGGGTTGAGGAAGTCAACAAGGCAAATATCCTCCATCAGTGCAAGGCCCGAAAGCTGTGCTCTCGCCAATTTCTCCCGGACACTGAGGGAACAACAAGCAGTTCTGCGCCTATTGCAATCATCAAGAGAAATCGATGCAAGGTGGGACTAGGTTTGTGTGTTAGCCTCTCGTCTTGAGAGAGAAGAGCTTTTTGTATTCAGTCGTTAACTAACCTTGCGAAGTAACGACAGCACAGGTGGGCGTCGGCGTCTTGTCGACGTCAACAGTGGTGGTGGTGGATATCCTCCATCGTCGGAGCTGCCTCCATCAAAAGGGGAGTCCATCTTCTCGAACTCGACCGGGGTGAAGTTAGGCATTCCCAGCTCGAAAGCAATGGCATCTCCCGTATCGACCGAAGTCGTGACCCGAGGATCAGGAGTCGTCAAAGCTTCCCAGTCAAATTCGTCTGATATGTCGTAAAGGCATAGGTAGCGATCAGGATCGCCGTCGAAGTCATGTGAGTCCCAGCGGTCTGGGACCAGTGGATCTGCGTAGGAAGCCATATTGGCTGCGGGGTGAATCGTTGATTCAACTAGAGCGTCATCTCTTGACTCTTGGCGTGGCTTGGCATGAATGAAGCTTCAAAGCTTGTGTCAATCAACGAGTTAGATGCGATCAGCAATGATGTGGTAGGGTAAGGTAAGAAGAGGTAGGTAGAGATTGAAGGTATTCGGAGCGGGTGAGGATGAAAGAGAGGTCTGCCAGTCGAAATGCGCGAGGGATGCCTGGGGATTTGAACTGTTCAGTGACTCAGGCCCGCTTCTTCTGAGTGGTTGCCTGTGCCGGTTTCCCAAGGCGCAGTGATTTTGGCCTCAGTGGTCCGTGCGCCGATCGCAAGCAGGGATAGTCAATCTGCGAGACATGTAATGCCCATTAAATGTTACTACAGCACCATTCAACGCCGCGCAATATGCTTCACATGTGAGCTGGATCTATGCTTGAAACTTGAGGCAATTCATAATCTCTTGATATAATATCTTAAATAAAGATGTCAACCATTTCACAGCGATATCGTGCTGCTAAAAGAAAAGAACTTTGGTTCAGCATCGCACTGGTCAGCATCAATGTACCCATGCGGCCAGGACGGGGCTGAACGATGGGCGGATTTCTTGTGGTGGATCCATTGGCTCGCTCGCTTGAGGAGTGGCCCACATGGCGCGAAAAAAGGTACCGAGTGACTTGAGGCCGCCGCAACTTTCCCCGTCCATTTCATGCCAATCGCGCCGTTGCCCATTTCTCAACACTGAAATCTGGGCACATATGATGCAACATCTTCGGTGACCCTTCATTTGGTCTCAATTGATGAACCATTATTGGTCGCCTTACGTTGAGTCAATCGGTCAAGATATATTTGCTTTGACTGCCGTGGTTTTGGCGCAAAGATTGCATCGTTAGCATCGTCACATTCTCAAGGCTACGTCTGATCCCACGATGCCATTCATTCACGCCGACGACATCATAGCTCGTACACGTTCGCGAGTGTCACCGCGGCGCAGCGCAACGAGTTGATACGATATTGCGCTCGCCCGTATTTCAGCGCTTTCTTTAGACGTTCCTGAAGTCTGCCCAGATCTTACTCGACCGCCAAGACTGGCCCTATCCAAGAAACCAATCATCCCGTTCCGGCGAAACAAGATGATTAGATCAGCTTCATTCGGGCCGATGCGACACTGATTCTGGCATTGTTGAGTTCCATGAGCGGATAGCCCTCGCAAGAGACTGGAAGGCGCCGGCGCCGATTGAGCATCAAGAATACAAACAAGTTGGGCAATGCGCGTCAACAACGGTCACCCAATATCAATCACCCAGCCCGGTAGAAGCAAAAGTTACGGCGGGTACCAGAGGAAATCGTGCTGTCTTGCAAAAGAATGCGTCGACGGGGAATCGAACCCCCGACTCCCCGACGCTGCTGGATGGCAACGGAGAATTTTACCACTAAACCATCGACGCTAATTGGGCTTACTCAGCTCATAACTTTCTCAGCGATTTCGCGCATCATGATGGCCGCAGTGCACTCGATAGATCGTGATTTTCTATCTTCGCGCTCGCAAAACGCCAGTTTTGGGAGCATAGATGGCGGTGTGGTGGGGAGTCTACGACTGAAGTCGAGATAGACTCGGCAGCGGGGACGGACCAAACTTTGTTTCGTCAAAGGCGTCCCTACCTCTGATATTGGCGGTTGGGGCATCAAAGTCGGTGATGACGTCCATGCCGAGGGGTGGGGAAGTTTCGGAGCGGTGCCCGGACTGGAGCTGGAGCCGGAGCCTTCGAGAACCGCTCTGGCGCCGGATCCAGAGCATGCGGTACGACCGAGACCGACAGACCAGTCGCCGACTTCTCACGTAATGATGTTCTTCTATTCGGCAATCGAGAACCACCGGTGCTCGGGGTCCTTCGAGCTCCTTTCGAGAGAGCATGACATACGGGAAATGAGGAACTGCAATACCCCTCAAGCGAACACCACCGTCGAAACCGATACCGAGCCGCAACTCTAATTTGGCGGAGAACCGAGACCGACACTGATGCCGTAGTCCACCTGCGCTCCAATCCTATCCGTACACTAACATTCCGTGAAGCCGTGGAGATCGAGGGACATATGAGCATTTTTTGATGCGCCTTCCGGACGTATCGGCTTGTTATGTCCGCGATGCGATGTCAGGCAAGCTGGATCAGCTTAGCACTCGTCAGTCTCTATTGAGGCAATGCGGCAGTGTTGGCTGTGGGGTTGTAGCGAGAGGTCTTGGAACCGAGTTTCTCCTTTTCTTAGCTTCGCAGAGTTTTGGTCGATGGGGGTTTGCTCTCCTATTTATAAGCTAACATGTAGTGATCTTCGAAACACTTGTTTGTCTCAAGGGCTCCTACATCGACTCGTTCCGTTATCAACCGCACCCCCGTCATGAAGCATATAAAAGCTCGTCTGCTCGCAGCAGCAGCCATCTCGACATACAGCTACGCTGCTGAGACGAACGCCGGAGATCGAGTCATTCAACTCGGCAAGGGTTACTACAATGGCACGACCAAGGTCCAGTTCACCACGGAAGCCCTCGGTGAAGCAGACTTCCTCAAGATCGACCCCGGCCCGAACGCAACTACCTTTGACTCGTATGTCATCAGACCCTACATGCAGCTTGCCCCCCTGCTGCCGTACATGGAGCTGACACTGGTATCCACAGCTGGTACTTTGATGCGATGAACCCTTCGACCAACGAGACCATCGTTTTCAACTTTGAGATCCAGAGACCGACCGACAACGGCGCGGATGTAGGCACCACGCAGTACCACCTATCCCTGTTCGGATCCTTTGCCAATGGCACGGCCTTTAGCTACGGAGTCAACTCCGAAATGGCCAACGTCACCGAGAGGGCGGACAAGAGCATGCGCGTAGACTTTTTCGGCGGCAGCGAGGTCAGCTGGTCCGGCTCAAGCTTGTTGCAGCCGAGGCCGGTGTATAACGTCACCATCAACTCGCCCGAGACCGGCATCTATGGAAGTCTCATCTTGAGAGGCAACGTGAGTACATCTCTACCCCGTGGATATATGCCCAGAGACTGACGAGTTGGTTGTTGCAGACCGTCGCCCCCCACTATACCTGCGGCACCGACGCAGCCGGCGTAAACGAGAAAAACGTCGAAGGCGTAGCCTGGGCCAACGCTCTCCCCGACGCTGAAGCAACAGTCGACCTCAAGCTCGGTGACACATCCATGTCCTTCTCCGGCTACGGCTACCACGACAAGACCTGGGTCGACCGCCCCTTCCAGGAAGCAATCCAGGCAGCCTTCTGGGGCCATGCCCGCCTGGGCCCCTATGCCGTCGTCTGGTGGCACTCGCACGCGCAGGACGGCACCGAGATCAGCTCGGAGTACCTTGCCACCTACGAGGACGGCCACGTGATTGCTTCGAGATGTGTCGATCGCGCGAATAATACGCTGGGATGGGGCGAGGGGCAGATTTGGCCGCTTGTGCCTGGGACGCCGGCGCCTGCTGGAATGATTATGCGGTGGGATTTGGGGGATGCAGGTGTCTTTGTGGCGAATATTACGAGTAAGGATATCTTTGTCACGATTCCGTTCTGGCAGGCTGGTAGAGGACCTGTTTCTGGAGGGTTTGTTGGCGGGGAGCAGTATACGGATGAGACTGGTTTGTGGTCTCTCAACCAGCTCCCCAAGTTGTAGGGAAAAGACAGGTCTTGTATTCTAGGTACTATCAATCATCGCATATGCGTCTTCTAGTAGATATATGATGACTTCAATTTTATAACACACAAGCCATAGTGCCAAGTTGATGTCTCTGGGTGTAGCTGTGGGCGAACTTGGACTATGGAGAAATGTCCGATGGTCAAGTCCGTGAGATTTACTTGCCTTCGGTGATGTGATGAATAATAGATACCATGGACTTGTTCTCAAAGCCAGTTCTCACGTCGGAGTACGCTTGTACATCAAAGGAAAGCGCGTGGTGTTGCTGTTTCGAATTTTGTGGTGGTTTAATCGTTTTTGTTCTTGAGACGCCTTTGTCGTCAGTTCAAACTCAACATGTCAAACGCATCTACATGATCGTCGAGCGCCTTCAGCTCTTTCCTCTGCCATGACAGCTTCATCAATATCTTCACAAGGTCTTAAGACCAAGCAATCGAGAGTCGTTAGCAACTCATGCACACGTGACATCTGACTTGAGCCACAAGTCCACTCTCTAACAGTTGACAGACCGCCCTCGACCGGCAGATTGTCTCGACAACAAATAATTCAGCTCATATCACCCGCCACAATCACCGCTGATCTTCATTGACTTGAACCAATCCGCGCATGCCATCTCCCCAGCACTGAAAGCCCATTCGGGAGCCATAACCGGGGGAGAGTGCGTGAGATTGAGCAAGATACTTGCATCCGCGCTAGCGCCCGCCATCCCCGCCTCCGCCCCTCCACCAACTCTGATTCGCCGCCCAAACAAGGGGACCATTCCCGTCTTGAGCCTCTCGCCCAACTTCAAGTCAGCCAGACGGCTGTTTCCACGAAGAAAACACTCAAGCTGCCGTCTGCTTCTTACAGGTCTCACCCAAAGACCAGCCAGATTCTTGCTAGGCCCAGGAATCTTGCCCGAGTGGAAATAAACTTGCTCAATTGGTGCCCTCCATTGGTCTACTTTCCTGTTGCGGAACTGCTCGCCCTCGGTCTTTCACTCCGAATTCCCTATGATTTCCACCTCTTGTCACCACGAGACCTGGTAAAGCAACGGGATGCTAATGTGATTTTACCGTATACCCGCCAGCCAGCTGATTCCCATAGGGCAGCAGCGCAGGGCATCGCCGAAGTTCACCAAGAGTCTAAGCCGTTTTTGTTCACATTGTGGCGTGTGAGGGAGTTTCCTTCGCGCTGGAATTGGCCTGCCTTAGTTTACCTGCCACGATGCTTACAGCTCAGATCCCTGCCTACGTGACATCCCAAAGGAAAGGATAAGCTACCCATTAAGGTACGCTGCAGGTATTGCACGCGGGGGAGGTTGATGTGTTTATAAAAATGCTTACCTCGCAGAAGTTTCTCAGTCACATCAACCCTCCTCCTCTTCATCTTCTTGGCAGTACCTCCCAGTCGTCCATCCCTTCACCTGACCCGCTGTACAAAGTTGCGAGCTCTGTCGATCTCACACGACCTACAATCATGGCCCCCAAGACCCTCCTCCTCGCCCTCGGCGCCGCCAACTTTGCGTCTGCTCACTTTGGCCTCGCCTACCCGTCATGGCGCGCTGATACTCTCAGCGGAACGAACCTGACGGGCTACTCGCAGTGGACCTACCCATGTACGACCGTCTTTCCCTTTCCAACCTGTCCCCACCTGAACCTCACTTTCCATCGCTCGAGGGCTCGAAGTGACATGAGCTGACTTCCTCACCAGGTGCCGGCGTCCCCTACGGCAGAGGCAACGTCACAGACTGGCCCCTCGACGGCGGCTCTATCGAGCTTGACTTGCACCACGACTGGACCTACGTCTTCATCAACCTCGGCATCGAGTCCGGCGGCAACGTAACAACGCACAACATCACCCTTACCCCTGAGTTCTGGAACGCCACCGGCTCAGGCACCCTCTGCGTCGAGAAACTTGCGCTGCCGACGCCCGCAAAGGACGGTCAGAGGGGAAGTATCCAGGTCGTGACTGTCGGCGAGTCTGGGTCTGGTCTCTACAACGTATGTCTTAGTACCCTGCCATCATCTCGTGTGGAGTACTTCTGTAGATACCAGGATGCTAACCTGGTGGGCAGTGCGCCGATATCCGCTTCACCTCGAACGCCACCACACTTCCCTCGGATCAGTGCAAGACTGAGGGCGTGACGGTTCAGACCATCCAGGAGCAGAGCGCCAACGGGACCAATGGCACCAGCGGGAACAGCACCGGCAATTCCACCTCCGGCAGCGGTTCCAGCGGCGCGGCAGGCAGCGGAGCTCACATGCTCGCTCTCTCATCTGTCGTCGGACTCAGCATGGCATTCGTCTTCGGCATGGGCCTGTAAACCTTTGCACCGGCCGTGGAGGAGGAGACGGCCAGGTAAGGCTAATGTCTTCATCAGACATACATCACGGTGAAGGGGGGACAGCATGAGAAATGCGTTTGTGCTTCTAATGTACATGAATGCTTGATACCAGTTCATCCTCCGGATGACCGACATGATAATGAAAAGGAAAATCCTGAAAGAAAAATGCTATGCTCAGGTATATGGATGTGTGTATATGAGATGCGAACCAATTTGACCAAATGCAATGCGACCTGAACTGCGTCAATGTTACTGAACGAGGCCGGTGTGAATCCCCAAATCCACAAAAAGCACTTACTCAAAACCATGCATGCTACTTTCTCAACATAAGTGGTATCTCTCGCAAACATCATGCAACTTCATGCGCGTACTACCGGGGCAGTGACGTCTATCTCGACCAAAACGACAACGTATAATCCAGATTAAATCCATGCCGAAACATAAGAAAAGTAAGTGTTGAGCGGAACCAATCACCTCTTCGCAAGAGCTTGCTGCTCCATCACGTAAAGCTCTCTCACGACGCGAGCCATTGTGATTCGCTGGGTCGGCGCGGGTATCAACATATCGGAAACAAGTCGCTCAAGCTTGTCGCGCGGGTACAGCTTCTCCCTCGCCACCGCAACCTCGCTCAGCCATCTGTACATGAGATCCACAGCAGGACAAGGCTGGCCAGGGGCCCTCTGCTGCGGGCTCGGCGCGGGCCGATTCACGTCTGCAATCATCCAGTACAGCGCAGTCTGCTTGGGCTGCTTCCGCGAGCGGGCGTCCGGGAAGGAGATCTTGCCGAGGACGTAGAGCATCGTCACGCCGAGCGCCCAGACGTCCGACGGCGGGCCGCGCAGCTTCTTGCCGATGAACTCGGGCGGGATGTAGTACGGCGTGCCGCCAGTCGTCACGGGCCCGCTGGTGTGCGTCGACAGGCCAAAGTCGCAGAGCACGGCGCCGCGAGAGGGCGAGTAGAGGATGTTGGCGGGCTTGATGTCGTTGTGGACGAGGTTCTTGCTGTGTAGGTAGTGTAGGGCGCCGCTGATGTCGCGCGCGATGGCGAAGGCGTCGGCGCGGTCGCCGAGGAAGCTGTGGTCTACGTGGGAGCGCCAGACGCCCTTGGCGCTGAGGTCCTTTGCGTCGACGTGCTCCATGTACAGGGAGAGGTAGCGGGCGTCGCCGCCGTAGAGTTTGACGATGGACTCGTGGTTAAGGTCGTCTTGGGACTGGTACTCGCGGAGCCACATGTCGGCCTGCCGGATCACGTTGCGCTCGTTGTTGTCCTGTGGCTTGGTCACGGTGTTGGCGTTTGCGTTGGCCGTGCGGGTCTTTAGGACTTTGACGGTGACGATGCCGTCTGGGACGTTGGAGTGCTCGGCTGTGAAGACGGAGGAGAGGGTAGTGGAGGCGATTTGGTCGCGCTTGGAGACTGTGTACTCGTCGATCTCGCAACCGCCGGGAATGACGACCGTCTCCTCCTTTTGCATGTCGAGCAGGGCGTGGCCGTTTGTCGCTACAAGCTCTCTGCCCTTGGCTTCTGTCGGCAGGGGAAAGACCAGTGGTTGTGCTTGTGGTCTGAGGAACATGATGACGCCGTCTTCCTTTTCCTTCTTCACCATGCCGGCCTCCTCCGTTGTGCGCGCCTTCTTCTCGGACCGTGGCTCACCATCGTCGGCGGTGAATGACCGCTTGCCGGAGGCGTTGAGGGCATCTGGATTTGAGCTTGAGGGTAGTTCGTCTTTGAGGTCCGAATCGGCATGTCTGAAGTAAGCGGGCCGCTTCTCCAAGATCCTAAAGTCGAGGACTTCAACATCGCGGACGTTTATCCTCCATGTGCCTGGTGACAGCGCCTTGGGGGCTCCCGGGTTGACCCCCCAGCTGGCGCAAGAACCGGGACCGTCAGATATCCTCGTTAATGAGATTGGTACCTCGGATCTGTTCAGCAGAATTTGGTTATCGCTCGTCGGATCATAGTAGAGCTCGCACCACAACGGCGGGCGGGGCGTGTTGTCATTCAATCGCTCCGGCGGGATGCGCACAGAGAACTTGATGTCCCGAGACGTCTGAGAGACGGCGAGGACCTTGTGCTGTGGTTCCTGCTCTGACGCAACCTCTGCGCGGAGGGCAAGCCACTGGCAGTTGTAGTTGCCTGGGCTCACCGAGCGGCTCCGAGTGAGGGGTCTGACGAGGATGCGGATGCCCTGTTTGTGGTGATGCTCCTCGACACGCAGCTTATCGAGCGGTACGGGGTCGGCCGAGATGAGGTCAAAGGGTTCCTCTACGCGGATGTTTCTCATGCGGGCATCGATTTCAGATTGAGAGAATGGTTCCGTCTTTTCTTCCGACGGCTCCTCGGAGCCGCGGACCCGGCGGTCTCCCATCAAGCGAGGGAAGGGATGACGATGTTGCCTAGCCTACCGTGGCCCATGCGCGGTTCGACTGACGACGGCCGGCAGCTACGGATACCTTACGGGGAGATAGACTCAGAGACGACGCCAGGCACTCCGGATGGCGGGTCGTATGTGAGGAGGTGAGTCGTCGTTGTCGCAGTGGCAATAAGGTGAGTGAGTCCCGGCCGGGATGGGTTGGCCTGGACACGTAAGTTTGGTGTGAGGTTAGATGTCGTCTATCCTGGTATGGCCAGCCAGACAGGCGAGTTGAGTGAGTGTGAGATGGCGCGCGGCAGGGTGAGCGTGGTTAGATCTTTTGCGATGAGCAAGGTTCAGACCGCAGCGGTCTGTAGGTTGGCCGAGGCGTGATTTATGAATGAGGAAAAGGGAAAAGGAACAGGAAGAGAGAGACAGTATCTCTGCCAGGTACAGATGCAGGAACAGCACGGCATTAATGAGCCTCCTGAGCACTGCCAACAAGCTGTTCTGTTGGAGTGTTGGAGAAGGGCAGACGGACAGGACTAGACGTCAGATGAACAGATGAACAGATGAGCCAAATGTCAACTGGAAAGCAGGCGACGGTGGGGAACGGGAGAAACGGGGAGTGAACGGGGTTGAGCTGACTTGAACTGACGGGGGGAGGGACCTTGGGACCTTATGGGAGGGCCTGCTGATGGAGTCTCAGCCTCAAGTAGTTTATCGGCCGACCAGCAGGGCAAAGATACTACTGTAAGATTACGCTGCTCTAGCAGCAACTTGAGTGTTCGAGTGAGATTCACTCAGTGTCAAGCACACTCAGCGATATCTTTGAGTGTGGCCGCAACGAGGGCCGAAACATACGCACTGAGCATGGAAGATGAGTTTGGAACGCGCGCATATCCCTAGGTTTAAAGAGTCATCGAGCCCTGTGGAACGAGACCGGTGCCTGGGGCCGGTTGACTTTGGTCTTGGAGAAGAGCCTAAGAGGTGAGGGGAAGAGGAAAATTGACTGAAATGATGGGCTAACCGGACTGCAGGGCTTCCAACCGAGCATGGCGCTGGAGGCCCAGAGGGGAGATCGTTCTCACTTGAGATCTGACACGGCGTCAGCCCTGGTCGACTGAGGGTCAAAAGTATCCTATGGGCGGATGTGATGTGGAAAAGTGACATTGCCTCTTCGTGCGAGAGTCTTCAGCACTTCAATCGCTCATCAAGCCAAACCAGAACGTTGACCCTCACCCAGCCACAACAGCGCCTCTTATTCAACGGTCCGAACGGCGCACGCCGGGGAGTCTGCAGGTCTTGCAGTGCCCGCCAGGCCTCTGACAGTTGACCACAACCTGACGCAATGATAATGAACGGGACAAAGTCACTTGACGTTCCGTATTCACGCGTCGAGGGGAATGAGATGGAAACTGGAGAAACAGAGGCAGCGGGCCGTTCGTGACTGGGACAGGTGCCGACGAAAGAGGTTTCTTATGAGAAAGCAGTTTGTCGGGAGATTCAGACTGATGTGTCAGACTGATTGAACAGTGAAGACTGGCTACTAGCCATGAGAGTGTCGGAGATCGCAAGTCGGGATAAGGCGATGATTCTGCCAACCGAGTGGATTTCGATGAATCTTGGTGAGTCGAAATGTGCCTCGAATGAGTGAGAACGGCCAACAACCAGGAGTCACTAGGTGATTGGCTGTGGAAGCGAATGTTGATGACTGAACCATCCTATTGGATTTGTGTCGCCGCCTCTCGTCGTCCCCGGCCATGCATCTCTTCTTCCTTTTCCCATCGTTCTTCCTCGACTTGTGTCGCCACCAAGAGGGAAATCTTGAGAGAGAGCGTGAGAGCCCAACACCAACTGGACACTCATACTCCGAGCCAGACGGAGAGGAAGTGTGAGTGAGAGCAGAGCCTGGCTGCAGTTCACTGCCTGCGCCCGGGCCAACCAAGTTAAAAATGTCGTCTCGTGGCTTGCGTGAGTGGATCCGCTCTGACGCTTGCAGCCTTAGTAAGCTCCCTCATTGGCCAGGACTGAGAGCACCATGCCACCCTGCATCCTTCATCCTTTTCCTATTGGTTCGCTAGAGTGGCGGAGTCTGAGAATGCCAGGCCAGCCCTGCCCTCGTGTGCCGATTTCGTCGGGCACAACAGGGATATGGCGTTACCTGCAGGGCCTCCTGTTGGCGCTAGGGGTGTCTAGCGTGGCACTAGCGTCTTCGGGTCCCTTGCACTTTCCCGTCATCTTTGCAATTCTCTCCGACTGCACGTGACTTTTGGCGATGTTTTGAATCGGCATGAAGTTCGTCCGACTCTGGCTTCACGCACATTGCGTCCGGGCACCCCCCCGACCAACTCATTCTCGCGCTCCTCGGTGTCTCCACGCCCTGAAACCGTCCATCCTCATCACCAACGAGCCCATCAACAACCCCAATCTTCACCACTTGCTCCTCACGGACACCTAAACATTCACAATGGATACCCTCTGCAGTTGCATCTAAATGTTCTTCATGTCGTCACTTAAAACCCACCGTTTTTACCATCGAGCAAACCGAAGCCACGGGCCTCGCCAGCCGCCCTTCACCCTATTCCTCCGAACCACCTAAAACTACCTTCTCTCCATTACGACACCTCCTACCACGACTCGACAACTACTCGTCGTCGTCGTCAACTACCTTCTTCAGTACGGTCTCGCCCTAATATGGACGAACCGGGTTGTGCTTGGCCTTTCTGGAAGTTTGGGATGAAGAGAGACGATCTCTCCACCAAACTGCAAGACCAATACAACACCATTCCTTCTAGCATCCAGGACCCCGACGCCTTTCACAATGACGTCTGCGAGATCTCCCACGTCGCCGACACCGCCGACGAGTTCCACCGTCTCATGGCCGACCGCAAGGAACAGCGCTTGAAAGAGCTCAACGCGTCTCTTGATCTTGCTGCTGTCGAGATCATTGCGAACCCCAAGCTCGTCGGTACGGCGCAGTGGTCGTACGCCCTGCAGCTCTTCCGAACACGCTCTCTCGACTCCCTGGTGCGACTTTTCTCAAGCTACCTCCCCGACGACTATTCATGCGCGCAAGGCTACTATGCATCCTCCACCGGCACTTCTTTTAGTGATCGATGCAGTTCTCGCACGGCGAGCACCAATCTCAGCAGTCTCGACGACGGTCCCTGTTTCTTTCACGATGATGATGACGACAAGCCCATTATGACGCATGAACCCTTTCACATTTCGACTTCTATCTCTTCCTCCGCCATTACCACGGACCTCCCCCCTTCCCCGCGCTCCATGACAATGCAGTCCGACACCTCTGCATCGTCCCCGATCGACCATGATCACGATCACAGCTACCACCTCCACAACCTCACGCCCGCGCGAACGCTATCCTTCTCTGGATCCGAGTCCGGCCGATTTGAAGGGAGACGGCTCCATTGTCTTGACAATGAAGACGATGAGGAAGAAGACATCTCACAGTCTGAAGATCCCGATTCCCTGACGACGTCGGTCTCTGATTTAGAGGAGCACCGTTTGACGCGTGAATCTACCGTGGAGGAGGAGCAACCTAGTGAATACATCGACAGCGCCATTGAGGAAGACGACTGCGAAGAAGAGTTCCCGACAACCCAGCTTCCCTTCGACCTCTATGACGACTTGATGGAGTCTTCAGAAACACCAACACCCAAACCAGAAACAACAATGACAACGACGGCGTCTTACCTTGACAGCAAATCTCCTTTCCGTTCGATACCCCAATCTTTCCGCGCGTCCTCACCAAAGATACCCCATCTCCACCGCCGTCGTGACGCCAGCCCCGCCAAGGGCATTAGCAGTAGTAGTATCAGTAGGAGGACTCCCGAAGAATCAGCGTGCCGTATTCAGAAGCCGCAGCCCGACGCCGCACGCGTGCGGGCCTTGGCGGCAAGGGATCGTAGAAGAGGCTTGGACTAGCATGCAGGGCGGCCGGGGACGGCGGGCACTGTATATATGTCCATCAAGTGTACATACAACTGTATCATGAGTTCTAATCCGTTTTCTCAGCTACCTGACCTATTACCGTCTTCGCTTGTGCGAACACGCGCGCGCGTACCCAGTTATAAGCGATCACTCTGTCCTCCCGTTTATATGTATCGGTCTGCAGACACGCTTGTTCCATGATAAATATGACTCTCTAGCCGGCGCATGGCCTCAAATAACTAATGTTCCAGGGATACGCGTGTTTATGAAAGACAACGAAAGTAAGAACTTCTACAAAAAATAACCGCGTGCACACATCGAAAACGTCGATTCCGCACTCATTTATCTGATCCGTTTGGCATCTTGCGCGACAACGTGATGTCGGTGTCGTGACGGTCTCGGTTTCTCGGTAAGTTCACGTTTTGGGCGCAGCCGAACCGTCTGACAGTGTCAGGTGGCTTGCTTGTATCTTTGCCTTGGTTTGGTGGTGTCGAGTGACCTTACTCCCGTCGACTAGTGTCTTACTCACCTTACCCTTCCTCACTTTACCTTGCCACGTTTTAGTTTTGCCTTACCTTCGGAATATGACGTCAGGAGAGGGAAGAAGTCCTTGTCTCCTTTCTCTTTGTGGTTTATTGTTGGGTTGGATTACGGAGGTGGTCATGTGCTTGTCCTTCACGAAGTGGTGGGGGTTCGGGTTTCTAGCGAGGCTATTCGCAGCCGCATGTTGTGCAAGGCGCGCGTGCGTGTTTCGCTCTCGAGTTGTGCGCAATCCTACAGGCGAGTGCGTATACGATACCGAGTATTTCTTGATTATTGGGCACGTATGATTCGATTGTTACGCTTTATGTGCGGTGAAATAGTAATAATATTGAGATGTCCCTTCTAAGATTTCACTATGCCTCCGCGGTAAAATCTCCAAGAAATACCTTGAGATTTCACGGGGAAATCCCGGGAAAATCTCCGTGATATTTAGTAGCCTTTCGCCAAGAATTCCTAGTGAATTCTCGCGGGTTTCACCGTAAAGTCTTTCACCATAATGGCGGAGAAATCATGGTGAAATCTCCCTAATATCTATAAGAAATCGTAATAAATGCCCCTCGCTAAAGAAAACCATTTTATCCGTAAAATCTATAGGATAGCAGAAGTATATTGGTTACACTTTATAAATGATTTACTTATAATATATTGAAATTATAAGGAAGTTATACATATAAACAGGAGATCAAACAGAACAAATAGTTACTTAGTTAAATAAAAACCTTAATTTATTAATCTACCGGCCACTTAGTATAATTAAAAATGGCACTAGCCATACTACTATGGTTCTTCCGTATATTCTTAGCCGAGGTATAGGTTAGGTATTACCACCGCTTATCCAGCATCGTTAATCATATCGATATTATTAATATTAAGTAGAGCGCTAACGTAAGCTAGAGTAAGTTCCTCTTTATTAATATACTTAACAAACTTATCCAGGTTCAAGTTAAAAAGCTAGGACTAGCTATAACGCTATATATACATATAGGCAGCACCGGCAGTAAGACAAAAGTCTTTAGCTAATCTATTCTTAATTATATTAATAAGGGCGGTCTTATAAGCTATAGTATAGCCCTTATAAGCTTTAACGTCCATCTTAATAAAATAAGCGGTATTTACTAAAATCTTTAGATTATAAAGAATCTAGTTTAAAAGAAGTCTATTTATAAGTTTATCATCGGCCACTAATAAACCGATAATAATATAGAGAACAGCGATTATACAGAGAATATTAATAATTCCCTCTCCCTTATAGACGAATACGTGAAGGCTAAGGCTCTAGTTAATCATATTAACCGGGCTAGTGTTAGGGAGGCTAGTAAAGAGCTATTTAGATATATACTTATAAAATATATAATTATTCGTAAGGTGCATAATACGGTCCTAAAATACTACAGTAAAGGCGGGGGTCTTACTAAACTAAGTATTTATAAAAGTAGTGCGGGCGGCTACGAACGGGTTATGTATAGTAAGTTTATCCTTATATAGCATACGGCGTACCTTAGTCGGGGTTTTAATAGCTTCATTATTATCAGAGAGCTTAATAATACTACGCTTATTAATAATTAAAAAACGGGTCTTATTAACTACATCGTCGATTCGGCACAGTACGATCTCTAAGCTACTCATAGCAAAGTTAAGAATAAATATATTAAATACCTCCTTTAGGTAAGTATATATATTTAGGTACTAGGTATAAGTAGTCGTTATCGCCTTATAGAACTCCTCTTTCTTCATATTACCGTAAATATAGTCCTCGGCTAAGCTATACGCAACCTTAATAAACTCTAAGCCTTTATAAGCTTTTCCAACTATCTTACGCTCCTTAGTAGCACTTATAATACTAGACGTATAGTTAATACGTAACGCCGGGGTAACTAGGCGGTTTATCTTATACATATTAAAAATCTAAATAAATTATCTTTAGTTATTACGGGGCTAGCTGCCAGGCATAATTATAGATTTATTATTAGAGTAAGCGGAATTATTAGAGGTTTAAGAGTCGTACTTAAAAATATTAGCTATATCTTCGACGTTTATAAAGATATCTTAATAAAAATCATTACCTAGGATTAGCATAAGGGTCCAAAATATAGGACACTAGGCCTAACCTTTATTAAACGGCATATTATAATGAGCGATAAGAGGCTATACATTGAGGCGGAAGATCTTGTAGGCTTCCTCCTTATTAATGGTCTATAAAAACGTTACTTAATTCTAAAAGATTATGGTTTTAAAGGTATTTTCCTAAAGGCGCAGATACCCCTTAATAATAGCGAGATCTCGTAGCCAATACGTAAATACCGGATTCTAAAAAAGAGTCTAATATACCTTCTTACCTAATTTAAGGTTAGAGTTTAATAACTTTTCACCACCGTAAATACAAATTACTTAGAAATAGCTATTAAAGGTAAGATCGTTCAGCTAACGTCCGTTCTAATAAGCAATATAGCAGTATTTATAAAACCAGTAGTTACGGGAGCGGTATTTATTAATAATATTAAGGACTAAATAGAACACCTTAACTAAAAACATAGAAATGCCTTTAATAAAATAAAGCTTAGTATGATTTCGTAGTAAAATCACGGATACTAAAAAATAAAATAAGGTATATAATAAGTAAAACCCTTTCTACTCGGTATAAATAGACTATACTCCTTTATTTACGAGGCCTACCGTACCGCCTTTAAGGTATTATAAGTAGTTTACCTAGTTCTCTTGCTATAAGCTATATTACAGTAGGGATACAAACTAAGTAATTTAATGCACGCTTATTAATAGCCTTTACTAGCTATTACTTAAAAGCTTCTACTAATTTAATCGACTCCATAACGTTAACGTCCATCTATATATTATAGAAATATAAATAATCCTTCTACTTAATAAAGTACTAAATCTTACTTAATCCGGGTCTACGCCTTTAAGTACGTTTATTTAAGATCCGTTCGACTTTATAATAACTATACTAATCCCTCCATTCCGTTTAGCATAGGTCGTCTATATCTACCGGTATTATTAAAAGAGCAGTATAGTTAAAAAGATCGGTCTATAGATCTTAGGCTAAAATAAAATATACTATAAATATTACTAAATAAACATTTATAGTTAGTAATAGGTCAAGGCAGTATATTAACAGTCCGACTCGTTCTAAAACTTTAATTAGCTTAATATATTATAAAGAGACTTTTCTAAACGGATTTCCCAGAAACTTATATCTCTTACCTAGACGTAAGTATATAAAATCGCTAAGGGCAAAAATTATATATCGGTAACCCTTATTAAACATGTCTTTCATATACATCTACCCCTCCGCAATAGAAAGTTTTACTTCCTCCTAGAACATATTACGCTTAATCTTATTATTTATTATCATAAATAGACTTATTAAGTTATTAGTTTTAAAGCCGTATAGTATTTCATTTAGAGCGCACTTAATTATAGACAAATAATTATTATTTAAGCTAAATTACATAAAGATTATTCCATATAACTAGTTCTTATCCGGAAAAATCATATACTATACTTAGAGGGCGGATTTTACAGTTTAAATTTTTTTTTTTAACTATCCGTTAGTTTATAAATAATATACTATTAAGAACTTTAATAATATATTAAGTTCTTTCCATATATTTTACTAAAAGTTAGAGAGAAACTTCAGATCTCTATTAAAAATAATATTTTTAAGGATTCCCTAATTATAAAGTCATAATATTTAGAGAAGGCTAACGGACCAGTCTAAAGCTACGTACATAATATAACCTAATATAATTATAATAAATTTAAAAAACTTATCGGTCACTATAAAAACGCAATCATAGAACAGGAAGTTTTACAGTTTCCAAAAGGAGTTATCCACTAAGACCTCGGGTAATCCTATAACAAAGTCTATAGTAATTATATAAAAAGGAATTACCGGTATAAGAATAGGTTACAAGGCCCCTATCGGCTTTCCTCTCTCCTTTCCTAATAGGCCATAAACGGGACAGTAGCGGCAATATTTTCTAATTTTAAATATCAAGTTCGATATAACAAACTTATCTTATAACTCATACTATACTCGTTTATCTCTATAATACTAGTTTTTATTATAAGCAGCGGCGATAAGTTCGTCAATTATATTATTAGGAATACATAGCTTTCTCTTACTACTATATTTAATGAAATAGAATAGGCCTTAATTAAGGTCGAACGGCAAAGTAAAATCTAGGTCCGCGCTTCATAATATATCCCTATATTATTTCCAATTTAGCACATTCCTATATTTATAGCGAATTCGCCATCTCATATTAGGAGAAATATTAACGTTAATAGACTAATAAACAAGCTTATTTTACTAAATATTATTAAGTTCGCCTATAATAGTTAAATCGGTTTCTTCATTTCTAGATAGAATTTATAAGAGCATATCGAGAATAATATTACTTATTCCAGGAATATAAATATATTTAAGCAAG